GTACTCATGTTTATATATATATATATATATATATATATATATATATATATATTCTTTATTGGTTTTGGCTTTGTTTATATGTGGCTGTTATATGAAAATTCTGCCAATATTGTTTTTCATCTTTACGGAATAGATGTTTCTCTATGTTTGGTGGAAGAAGAACGGACTTTCATATGTGATTTCTATTTTTTGGGGTGCAGGCTAGGTTGCGCAGGAACTCCAATGGCGGTGACAGAAGATCAAAATCCTCTTCTTGGAGAAAACACCTGTGGTTCCTTGTTAAAGAAGCTGCAGGTAATGAACTTCATTTGGCTATTCGTTTGTGTCGCTTAAGATGCCCATGGTCTACAGAGTACTAAGATTATATTATCTTTATTTGCTGTAGGAAATATGGGATGAGGTTGGTGAGAGCGATGAGCAACGAGACAAGATGCTTCTTCAGTTAGAGCAGGAGTGCTTGGATGTGTACAAGAGAAAGGTTGAGCAGGCTGCAAAGTCAAGGGCACAGCTACTTCAAGCCTTGTCTGATGCTAAGCTGGAGCTTTCTGGTCTTCTATCAGCTCTTGGAGAAAAGAGCTTTGCTGGAATTGTTAGTAGCTACTTAACTATGTCTCATGATGCATTTAGAGAGTAATGTGGCAAACTAATTTCCTTTGCATATCTTTTATTCTTTCACAGCCTGAGAACACATCTGGAACTATCAAGGAACAGCTCGCAGCCATAGCACCAGTACTGGACCAATTATGGCAACAAAAGGAAGAAAGAATTAAGGAGTTCTCAGATGTGCAGTCACAGATCCAACAAATATGTGGAGAGATAGCCGGGAACTTGAACCTTAATGATGTTTCACCTGCAGTTGATGAGTCTGATCTATCCCTGAAGAGGTTAGATGAATATCAGTCCGAGCTCCAAGAACTTCAAAAAGAAAAGGTAATTCTGTTGTAGTGCTCAGTAATGTATCAGTTAATCAGAACTTTGAAAACTCTATTTGATTCATCCAGTAAACAGCTTATTGAGAGTTTTGTTTCATTTCTTTGTTTGGCAGAGTGAGAGGTTGCACAAGGTTCTTGAATTTGTGAGTACTGTGCATGATCTATGCGCTGTCCTTGGTATGGACTTCTTCAGTACTGTAACTGAGGTTCATCCAAGCCTAAATGATTCTACTGGTGTTCAATCCAAAAGCATAAGTAACGACACCCTAGCTAGGCTGGCTAAGACAGTCTTAACGCTGAAAGAAGATAAAAAGCATAGGCTGCACAAGGTAAAGCATTTAGAACACTGTTTTATTTCCTTAATTTTTATTTATACAATATCTCTTAACTGTCAATGCACCCAAATGTTGTAATTTTGGTATCCTGTGGTTTTTTTCCTTGCTAAATTCATATATGTTTTCAAGAAATCAGCATCAGTTTTGACAATGGCACCTCAGAAGTGCTCTACCTACAAATGTGGTGCTTTCTTTTCTGCTTGGCATTTTTAATTTAATACCATTTTTACGTTGACCTGGATACCCCATGCAGCTCCAAGAATTAGCTTCTCAGTTAATTGATCTGTGGAATCTAATGGATACCCATCCAGAGGAAAGGAGACTTTTTGACCATGTTACCTGTAATATGTCAGCTTCTGTTGATGAAGTCACTGTTCCTGGTGCCCTTGCTCTGGATTTAATTGAGCAGGTACTACAGACCTTCTGAAGTTTACAGATTTGGGCTCCAAAAATGATGTTAACTGATTTCCCTTCCCCCCTTAACGTAGGCTGAAGTGGAAGTTGAGAGACTTGATCAGCTGAAAGCCAGCAGGATGAAGGAAATTGCTTTCAAGAAGCAAGCAGAACTTGAAGATATATTTGCCCGTGCTCATATAGAAATAGATCCGGATGCTGCCCGAGAGAAGATCATGACATTGATTGATTCAGGAAACATTGAACCAGCTGAATTGCTGGCTGACATGGACAATCAGATAGCAAAAGCAAAAGAAGAAGCTTTAAGCCGAAAAGATATATTGGACAAGGTTGAGAAATGGATGTCAGCATGTGAAGAAGAGAGTTGGCTTGAAGACTATAATCGGGTACTTATAATCTCCATTCTGCTTTTCTTTTTTCATTCTGTATCTGAGTGGTTGGTTGTGCCCAGCTCTGGTGAGAGGCAAAGTTGTACTATTCTGGGTAGAGCACTTACTATCATTGTTAACAGAAGTAGTGAATTCTTTAACCAGAGTCAATCTGCATTTGTCTTTGTAAAACAGGATGAAAACAGATATAATGCAAGCAGAGGTGCACACTTAAACCTCAAGCGGGCGGAGAAAGCTCGGATATTGGTCAACAAAATTCCAGGTATTTATTGAATGAGATTACAACCACCGTCAGACTGTAATTCAATCTGTTGTCAGTGTAGGCAAAACGAAATGATGCATCGATATTGGAATAAACAATTTGTTTCTTTTGGTGAAAATGCAGCTTTGGTCGATACATTGGTTGCTAAAACCCGTGCATGGGAAGAAGATCATGGCATGTCATTTGCATATGATGGTGTTCCTCTTCTTGCCATGTTAGATGAATATGCCATGCTCAGACATGAACGGGAAGAGGAAAAACGGAGGATGAGGGTAAGTTTCACAGATAAGATGATTAGGATAGGATGACTCATTGTCATATTGATTTGAGCACTTGCTGATAATAAGAAAATAAATCTGCAGAAAAATAAAACTATCAGCGTGGCCTATTTCTGTTCACTATTATGTTTGTTACGTACTGTTTGTGGTGAGAGGTCATAACTCATGGATTTTGCAATCTTTAGGATCAGAAGAAGCACCATGAGCAACGAAACACAGAACAAGAAGTCATCTATGGTTCAAGACCCAGCCCTGCTAGGCCAGCTAGTTCCAATAAGGTAGGAGGTCCTCGAGCTAATGGAGGAGCCAATGGTACTCCTAACCGACGGCTATCTCTCAATGCTCATCAAAATGGAAGCAGGTCCATATCAAAAGATGGAAAAAGGGATAATATAAGACCAGTTGCTCCCGTGAACTACGTGGCCATATCAAAAGAAGATGCTGCTTCCCATGTTTCTGGCACTGAACCCATCCCGGCATCACCCTAATAACAAGAACATTATTTTCATCCATATAATTTCGTCTTTGTAGCATTGTCATATTACTAGTTACTGCTGTAGGAATATAATATGTGAGTGACAAGTAATTAGAGAGGAACTGTTCTGCGCTGTGCATGTTAAATTTGCCATTCGGAGGTTTTCTCCATACATGTTGGCTTATCCATTGAAGCCTTTTAATATGAAAATGTACACGGTGGTAGTCATGCCTTTTTCCAAACCCTTGCTCCTATTCATTGGTTTGTTTCACTACCTTCTTTATGTGGTCTAACACCTACTTCCGAATCTCTATTTTCTCCTTTCTCAGTCTGTCCCTGGGCAATTGGTATTTCATGAAGAATAATGCTGAATGGTAGGAACTAATATTTGTCGTGAAAATTGCAGGGATTAGGTGAAATTATAACACGTCAATTTAAAATTATAATATTTTCCTAATCTTTACCATCTCTAACCTCCTTGCTTTTTAATATCAACCGGTGTTTTACCCCTGTATAGAGGATCAGCAAGCTGTCTTTTGGCATCCAGCAAACCGCCTTGCTTTGGCACAGATGGGCATAATTATCAGGTTCCAAGTTACCTTATTATACAAAAGCCTTCCAAAATGTTGGTACTCCAGTTCATCCATTTGGGTATATTTTAGTTTGTGCATTAGTGTATATCAGGGCATATACAAAGCATCCTTATAGGCCAGCTCTCATCTGCATAAGTTTATGGAACATATAATAAATTTATAGAACAAAATAAAACTGATAAAGTCATCAACTTCAAGAAAACAAGGAGAGAGGAATACAGATCCTAAGTTAAGCATGTGAGGAAGGCTAACATGGTCACGGAAAATTCAGAATTAGGGGTAAATGTGAATTATAATCTTTTTGATTTGGTCCAGTCACATGAAAAATGTAGTTGTAGAGATGGATGTCCAAGCACATCAAGAGAAGGGAAGCGATAGAGAAGATGGTCTGGCCTATTCTGAGAGCAATGATGACATTGCAACCAACCATGTTTAAAATTATATCACACCATCCTCGTAATTCAATTCTACCCCAATGGAAAAGAAGGAAAAAAGGAGTTTTAAATTAAAAAGAAAAATATTGTCTTTCGAACTGCAGTGTATAACAAGATTATTTCATAAATATTTAGGGTTATTTATTTTAAGGTTAAATATAATCAATTTGAAATAGTTAAAGTTAATTAAAATGTATGTTGAAATTAATTTCAGTTAGAACTTTATATTAATGCGTATTTTTTATTGGAAACAATAAAAATTAATCTTTTAATGCCAAAACCAATAAGTATTAAATTACAGGACTAACGTTGTCAAATAACTTGTTTAAGTTATTTCAGGCATGCGTATTATTAACCAAATGTCACATTATTTATGTTATAATCTACTTTTATATTAACATAAAGTTTTTTTATCTTTAAATAAAAGTATTTTTAAAAATTATTTTAAATAATTTTTTAAGAATTTTTTATTGCAGTTTTTTTCTAGTATTTAGCTTTTAGTATTTAATATTCTTTTATTCTTAAAAATGAATTGTATGTTTTTCAAATTCAACTATAAAAATTCATCCCTTTCATAAGCAATATAGCAAATGAATAAATTTAATTTGAAAATTAAAATATAAATAGAAAATTCATGTTTATATCAATTAAAGTTTTTAAACACAGTATATTAGTAAAAACAAATTATTTAATTTTTACATTTCAATAATTTTTTAAAAAATAGAGGCTTTTTCTTTGTCAATGTTTTGTTTAGAAGAGGAAAGACAGAGAGAAAAACAAGATTATTTAAATAAATATATTATATAAATAAATATAAATGAATCAACGAAAATAAAAAAAATTATATACAAAGTGATATTACTTAGGTCTGACTCACCCAAAAGATTTGTTTCTTCTTTTGTCAAACGTAGTAAAAATTTGCACACATCAACGCGGCAAGGAAAGACGGTCGAGAGCACAAGCTTGGAATAAAGAGAAGAAACGACGTCGTGTGGTTTGCAATAGCTTCTGAGTTTGAGAATTTGGGATGGCGAGCGAGAACGAACCCGCGAAGCTGCTTTTACCATACCTTCAACGCGCCGATGAATTGCAAAAGCACGAACCTCTCGTCGCTTATTACTGTAATTATAATTATCTAATTTTTCTTCTTTCTTTTTTCGATCCTGTATTTGATTATTGCTTCGCGTCTTCTCAATTTTCCCTTCACCAAATTGTATTGTTTTTTTTCCTCTGCACTGATCTGAAATACACTAATCATTATTATGATTATTATGATTAATCGTTTTTGGTAAAATTAGGTCGATTATATGCGATGGATCGGGGGTTGAAGATTCCACAAAATGAGCGCACCAAGACCACTAATGCTCTTCTCGTTTCGCTCATGAAGCAGCTTGAAAAGGTTTTAAACTAATCATATTGATTATTTGTGCTGATTGTATTCACAATTAACTGTAACACTATGAAACCCGCCAAAAAAAAATGTGTGATACTTCAATTAATCTGGTAGATCCCGAACTCTGTTTTGTTAAAAGGAAGTGTCTAAATCTGGATAATAGTGATACTATATGGCGTGTTTCAATGACAACCTGCAGTTTTCTTTTCCTATAAAAGATGTCAGTGCTCAATTGGTTTATCCTCAATATGTTTATGGATTTCTACAGGATAAAAAGTCAATCCAGTTGGGGCCTGAAGACAATTTATATCTCGAGGGATTTGCTTTGAATGTGTTCGGAAAAGCAGACAAGCAAGATCGTGCTGGAAGGGCTGATTTGTATGACCAATAGCCTTTTTTTGTTTATTTAAATGCTTATATATAACTGCTAAGTTCCTAGGCTTGAGAGAAATGAGCCTTTAAGCTTATTTGTGGCTTCTTTCGTGTCAGCTTTGAGTTGTTCTATCTCAGTTTTGCATTGAGGTTTATGAGGAATTTTTGTTTCTTCTTGTTCCTTTCTTATTAACAAGACAAGATAGTAGTTCACTCTCTTTACAGTATCTGTCTTTTGCCACACATTCCCTTTACATGTGGTTTGCATAACTCTCTCGGATGTTAAAAGTTTACGTCTGTGATAAGTTTTTAACATATATTCTTTGACCTTTTGCAGGAATACGGCAAAAACATTTTATGCTGCTAGCATCTTTTTTGAGATTCTTAATCAATTTGGAGTGATTCAGCCTGATGTATGTATTTGATGCTTGGCACCTTCCTTTTTTATGCATGTATTGCTGCATTTGCATGTTTTTCACAAAGCTTTTTTTTATTTGGAAACAATTTGCAGCAAGAATACAGCTTCCTGTAATTGTATGTTTAATGCTTTTTTTGAGTTTCTCTTACAGCTGGAGCAGAAACAGAAATATGCGGCATGGAAAGCAGCTGATATAAGAAAAGCTTTGAAAGAAGGAAGGAAGCCCACAGCTGGCCCCCCCTATGATGATGAAGATCTGTCAGTTCCATTGAGTGCTTCAAGTATTAGATATGTATGATTTGAAACCTAACCTGGTATCTTCTGAGTTTGATCAGTTACTAATACATATATAATAGATTAATAAGTATAAAGATTAACTTTCATTTGTTTATTCTTGCAGGACCTAGAAACTACTGAAACCACCGTTACCAGTCCTGGACCAGAATCTGATTCATCACATAGTTATCATAACCCTGCCAACTATCAGAATCTGCCCAGCACTCATCCTGCACCTAAATTTCATGATACTGTTAACGACCAACATTCTGGAAACATTCCACCATCTATGCCGTTTCATGATAGAGTAGATAATAACCAGCATCCGTCCATTGTTTCTCCATCAGCTCACTCTTACACACCTGCAGTTTATCCTTCACAAGATTACCATCCTCCTCCACCTTCACAAGATTATCATTCTCCTCCACCTTCACAAGATTACCATCCTCCTCCACCTTCACAAGATTATCATTCTCCTCCACCTTCGCAAGATTATCATCCTCCTCCACCTTCCCAAGATTACCATCCTCCTCCACCTTCCCAAGATTACCATCCTCCACCTGCCAGATCAGAAAGTTCTTATCCTGATCCTTACAGCCATCAGCAATTCTCACCAGATCACTCACAGCATTTAGGTCCTAACTACCCTTCTCAGGAAACTTCCTCTTATTCTTACCCCCATTTTCAGTCATATCCAAGTTTTACGGAAAGCAGCCTTCCATCTGTCCCATCAAACTATACTTATTATCAAGGGTCTGATGCTTCCTATTCTTCCCAGTCAGCTCCGCTGACTACAAACCATTTATCAAGTGTTCAACACAGTTCCAGTAGCAGAAATGGAACTGTCGTGGAACCTAAGTCAATTACTCAGACATACCAGTATGACAGTAACTACCAGCCAGCACCTGAAAAAATAGCAGAAGCACACAAGGCTGCAAGGTTTGCTGTTGGGGCACTGGCATTTGATGATGTCTCAATTGCAGTAGACTACTTGAAGAAATCACTTGAGTTGCTGACAAATCCATCTGCTGGCCAGTGAGATTTTATGCAAATAATAATGTTGGTTTCCATGGTATTTCGACCTATTATTTGCATGTCTTATTTTGTAAAGTATTATATGCATCATGCATGAAAGAGTGAAGAAATTCAGTGAACATGACTTTGAACGGAAATCATGAAATCTGCCTGGAGTGTGATCGTTCTTGTTTAACTGGAAATTGTTAGATTCGTTGTTTGTCAAGGGGTTGTGGTACATATAAAATGTCTGATTGATGAATTTCAGTTGTCTGTCTGGATCAATTCTCTTTCTTTTTTGGGTCTTTTCTCTGAACTCAATTCAGGTTTACGTTCATTTCATCTATTGATCCTGTGGAATTGAATCTCGAGCAGTGAAATTCCTTAGCACGTCATAAAACTTGTTGCTTAACAAATTCCATTTCAGCTATTAGGACAATTTGGTCTGGCATACAAACCTATTCCATTTCGGTGTATGTCTACATTTCTGTAAGGATAATCATAATTTTTCCCAGCTGGATAGCCATTGACGGAAATTGTCATGAGGAATACATTTTATAAGTTTAACGATATTGTACTATGACTCGTACAGACTTAATCGGGCACCTATTTTCTTTTTAATTTGTCTAAGAAACATACACAGAAAAACATAGCAAAGATAAAGGAGTCATTTAACGGGAAAAAAAAAAGAAAATTACAAAATAAGCAAGCAGAGAGAGAAATTTCGTGGTCGAATTAGATGATTTATTAGTAACGGAATGGTCAATTTATTGCCCTATTTCAGTATTTCAAGATAGTAGCTGCTCTACGTGCTCAAAGCTTTTACGTGCCAACGGAAATAAATAAACAGTAATGTTTTTCCGTCAATGAAAAGTAAGGAAGAACAGAAAGAGCTCCAGGCTTGTTTAACTTATCCAACGGAAGTTTCGGGTTTTTCAATGTATAAAAGCAGAGTTAGGGTTCAGATTTTTCCGAAGCAAAAATATTTTGCTTTCAGTAAACTTCTTTTGTTTTTGTGATTACAACGACAATGGGGACCCAACGAGGGAAAGCCCAAGCCCAAGGACTCAAGAACTGCAACATAGACTTCACGATTGTTGTAGTGTGGAGAACTAGCAATACATAAATATGATGTCAACATGAGGAGCAAGTACACGTGTCATATGTGAATCTATACTAGTACAGAACGGAGAAGCAATCAGGGACATATTGGGCTGAAAATCCAGGGTCCAATCTCTATGGACCTACAACTTGAATTTTAGGTACTATCAACATGCTGCGTGGTCGATTCAATGTTTATTTCGGTGACCAAAAACTATTTATTACGGAAAAACAAAAGAATTTGTGAGGCACACCCGTTATGTTGAACCATCTGAATTTTTTGTTGAATTGATTTAGGTTTGCAATAAAGTCACTTTGTCACTCAGTAATGCATGATATTACATTATTTTAGTTGTAAGGTATTTTCTAGATTAATTCTTCAGTCACAGGACTTGGCTTCGTTGATATATACTGTCTGCCAATTTTGCAATATAGTCATCACTCCAACTTAGATATTCATGATAACTCTTATGAATATGTTATAAATTCTTTCACCAATTGTACTTCTAACTTGTTTTTAGGAATCGGGAGTTTGGTGGATGCAACCAAGGCAAATAGTTATGATGAGCAACATCAAGTGCACTTCTTTAAGTTCAAAATGCCCTTGTGTTTGCTTAGGAAGCTTTGTCTTCACCGCCAAAGTAAATGCCAAAAGGCCAAAACTTAATATGTGGGCTATTGAACTATGAATTTTTCTTTCTTCTTTCATACAAGACATGCTATATTGAATATTTTGAACAATGAACAACCGCAATAGTATATATGCTTCTAATCAAATGGCAGAATTATTCAGTATTCCTAGTTTTGGCCTTGATATTTTATTTACCGTTGGAAAAAAAAACTATTCATGTTTATTTAATCGCATTGCATTAACGGTATCCATTCAACATGTTCCTTAGTTACTTGTTGATATTAACAAGGGCATCGAATGTAATTAATATTCTTAACTCTAGGAGAATACGTCTTAGGTGTCCTATGTAGTCTTAGTTGATTATTATTAATACCACGATTCTCACCCTTCCGTTTTGCAAGTAAATAGAATGGGAATTACCTTTTCATTCTGTTCTTCTGAGGCGTATTTACGCCGTGAGAGATTACCTAAGGAAGATTCTTGTCATGGAAAGGTGAATTTAGTAGTATGGATTATCCAAAATATCAAACAAACTTTCTTGCTGAGAAAGAAAAGGTGGGAAAAGAAGAATAAAGAGGGGCAACAAAAGCAGCAACTGAAAATGGGGAAAAAGCTGACATTAGAGGAGTGGCTTCTAAAATCACCAATTATGGAAGATGATGGTAACTTCAATGGTGATCATTATGGTTTTAAGCATCGGTCTAGCATTGATTATCCCTCAGTAGTTAAAGGAAGGACCTATTTTTCTGGCTGTGAGGAATGTAGTTTGTCTTTGGAGCAACTCTTAAAGGGTGGTGACTATAAAACTTTGTCTATGGACCACAATATCTCTTCGGAGAAACTGTTGAAAGATGAAGCGGTTGATGTAAAAGAAATGGAGTTTAATTCGTTGACTAGAAGCCAAAGTAGCAAGGGGAAGAAAAGGGTGAGCTTTAGACTGCCAGAAGTGTCGGAAACTATCATTTTGTATCCATTAGAGGTGGATTTTAAAGAGTGTTAGTGCACAAGTTTCTATCTTCTTATTCAATGTGAATTGTGAGTTTACTAGAATGAAGTGTCTCCTAACTATTCGTAACATATGTGCTTAAGTATTGGAGTGCAATAATAATGGATTAAAATCTCAAACTTAGCTCAAAATTCAAATTACTAATCCCCTTCAATTCGATTGTATGGTTCTTAACTAGTTGATCAATGCATGTATATTGGTGTTGGAGCATTTCAGTTGTGTCTGCTTTCGAGGTCTAGGTGAGAAAGAAGCATAAGATACTCTGAATTTGTTCCCTTTTTCTGGAGTGGTTGATTTGGGTAGAACTTTACTTGTGCCTCTTTAGGGGACATTGCAGTCTTTCTTGTTTTCATGTTGGATTCATTTTAAGGAGGTTTCAATATCAGATGCTTCGTATTCTGTTCTCTCTTCCATGCTGTTTTCTGTTTCTTTTGATAGGATTCCTCTTTTCTTATGTGAAGTTTTCCATTTTTTATACTTAGTAAATATGGATCAGGTTTTGTTCTTGATCATAACGTAGCATGCTTGACATGGCTCAATATAATGGTAACAGCCAGCTACTATTTGAAATGAGCTTGGATAAGGAATCAGTTAAAGCATTTAAAAAAAAAAAAAGTCTTTCTACCTTTCCATTATATTGTAACAGAACTAATAATTTATCTACCTAATAAATAAGATCGGCTAGTGACATATTAAAGAAAAAGGATGTTAGATCGAAGAGGACAAGAAAGCAAGGAAATGTGACTAACAATCAAATGGCGTATCCAACAACATAGCTTATTAGGTACAAAAGTCATCACGTTCCATTCATACATCTTTCACAAAATATGGACACTATAATATACTCTGTGGAAAACGAAATTAGTTCACATACAAGGGATCATAAGTCAGAAAGCGCATGATGTGTAGAAAGTAACTACAGTCAGCAATAAAACACACAAACAACACGCAAAAGAGGGAGAAAACAAGAGGTTGAAAGTAGTGAACCTCTCTTTTCTCTTTCTTTTGTGCATTTTGACTCCTATGAGATAATTCAACACACAAAGTAAAAGAGGGTGAAGGGGTGGTGGAGTAAAAGTCTTTGTCGTATTAGTTATCTCCAAGTGAGCTTTTATTCGCTGTCTCTAATGATTGAGCAAAGAAAGGGATGCAACAATGTGAAATAACTGTAGTTGCTCTAATAGGTCTTTGGCATGACTAGTGGCTCTTTGTTCCACTCTAAGAAACAACTCCTCACTGAGTTTGTCACCAATGTGAGCATCAACAAGGACTCCAGACACGGTTCTAATGCTGTTGGCTAATGCCCTTCCTACTTCACTGGCATCATCTGGTTGGTTCACCACAAGTGGGCTTCCTCCTTTGAATACCTCAAGCTTGTCTATGGCAAATGACCCATTTTCTTCAACCACTTCCTTGAAATCTTGCAGACTTGCTGCATAAACTGGAATGTTAAACCTGTCTCGTTTTTCTTGGCTAATTAATCCCTGCGATCAACAATGTGATTTTCTTCATAATACCATATGGATATCAAATAATTAAGCAATACAAGATACTTTAAATAAAATTAAAATATACCGTTCAATAAGTTGATAGTTTGAGATAAAAATTTGAAAGGCATAACATGCACTCAAACAATATTTGATTTCCTTAAAGTAAATAACTGTATAAAATAGAAAAATAGACACATTATTGTTGATTAAATATTATGTTAAGTTAGAAGATATTTTAATTAAAATACGCCCTTATTTTCTTAATGTACACAGTTGTTCAATTTTGATGAGCTAATTCCACTCAAACTATGATATGAAATTCTCCTTATATCTCTCTATTTTTGAGTTGGTATGTGGGATTTGCCATGACACGTTTTAGTTACTGAAATTGTTCAAATTACTCAAGTCATCCTATTATGCAGGTGTAGTTATATTCTGTACTTCATATATTACAGTTAGGGAATTTAGATGTGTACAACGGTAGAGGATAATTCTTTAAAGTACATGCCTTTGACGCTGTTCAAAGACAGTGTTGGGTCCCATAGGCTATGATGATCATTAGATGAAAATTGATCAGATGAATGCATATCCATTTTGTCCACAGCTTTAAGACATGATGATGTGATTCAGTGTTTGTTCTAAAGTTTAGATATCCAAAACCTAATTGTTGGTCAATATTATGGACCACATGGCACGGCCAGCCGGCAATTAATTATTATTTCTGCCGACATGATGATTAAAAAAATGGAGGGCTAGATCAATTAGGGGTGGTAATCAACGGCTGGGACCAGTTTATATTAAACGTGGCCAGTGAAAATTCATGATAAGTTCTGGTGATGCCTACAACACTCGAGCATTTTTTGTTTTTCAATTTCCACAGTGTCTCCAACTCCTTTTTGGTCTACCAATGGCAAATAGAAGCTATGTGAAGTGGCAACTGTTCTCACACAAGCATGCATAAAAATGTTTGTGATTATGATAATTACCTCTTGGACAAGATCATCCCAAGCATCCTGAAAGTGGGTCCCAAAAAGAAGGGCAGGCCCACCTTGGTCTGTGGGGTCCACTGAAGTCCTACCCAGGCAAACTAAGAACATGGACCCCCCTCTCTTCATCTCCACTGACCTTGCACTCAAAAAGCCTGCTAAGTCTGTTTGGAATTGTTTCTTGTAGGCATTTCCTGTGCTCTCATCAGCACCATGTATAAACACCTTCCCTTTGTTGTATGCACTTGACCTCTTGTCCAGCACAGATTCTGGGACCTACAGGTCCAAACCAACTAAGTAAATAATTGGAAAAAATATATAAATAAAGTAAAATGTTCTGTATTTAGTGCAAGACCAAATTCGGATTCCTTAGTAGTTTTACTTTACTACATGATAATGCATGTACTAAAAAAAAACAAAACTGAAGTTAGTATGGTGAGGTGAATGATGTGTAACTGTGTGAACGATAGATACCAAGTACTAAACACTTACAATAGGGATCCGAACTCCAAATGTGTCTCTTTTGGTAATCAAATTCTAGGTGCCGGCCCCATATATTATTGAAATTCAAAATGCATGAAAGTAGAAGAACATTGGGCGGTTATGCATGCATTGAAAATTACTGTCCAAACACGTTACTTGTTTCCCTGAAACATGGTCCTTTTTTTCAACTCTATAGACCATGAATTTGCTGCATTCACTTTTTGACCATTAATTACGACTTAGCCTTCAAATTAATGATGATTTTATTAACTTGTCATCGGGAAGAGGCAAATATACTATCCCATTCTTATTGTGGTGGAAAATACATATTTAGAATCTTTGATTATGGATGGGTAGGTTGGGGAGTGAATTAAAAGACAAAATATATAAGGAAGTCTTGAAAACGAGAAATTGCTTCAAAGGGTTCGTTAAACTAACGTAATCGTGATCCACCAAAAGTTTCCAAGAAATGTGTGCGGTACCTTAAAGTTGGAATTCTAATCGAAAGGTTTGTAAAGATCTTGGGCATGAATGATGAAAGATGTATACAAAAGCCATGGAATGATTTGAAGTAAATTATAATTTTTTGGTAATAATTTAACCCCTTCAAGTTAATGAAATTTTTAGGGATAAGAAAGAAGTATCCATCGAACGTTTTCTCCCACCATCAAAAAAGAAACGAAGAAGGAAACTACATATATAAGATAATTAGTGTCTTTTAATTCGAGAAATTTTTAGTTTTAGCTAGTGTCACTTTATTGTTTTTTTTTTTTTTTAATTTGTAAACATTCGCACAATATTTTTTAGTGTTTCTTGTGTCATTTCGTATATGAATTTAAATCTTAAAAATAAGAAACAAAATTTAAACAGAGTGACGATTTTACAACTGTTTATACACTGAAAAAAAAAATCACGCGTACGTACATTAACAACATATAAGAAGATAATAAGAAAGAGGTATTAACAAGTCTTGATAGTTACCTGAGATAACCAATGCAAAGAAAAGGCTGAGTGGAAAACATCAACGGACCTCGCCGGAAAAAGTCTCCGGTAGAAAGAACCGGGAACTCCGGCGGCAAAGTAGGAGCGGTAGTTGTTGGCAGCAAGACACTCTTCCATGCTAACGCCATGGTTGGCTAGTGGAGGAAGGAGTTGAAAGAGTGTGTTGAAGTCATTGCTTGGAAGGTCTGAGAAGAAAGCAGAAAACTCAGGTGGGTAACACCCTAAGGCCTCATAACGCTTTATCATGTGTTTGATTATCACATCCACCACGTTGATGGTGTTTCTGCCACATGAACACCCCAAGTCCACCACCACAAATGCCGTGTCACCACCATGAAGCTCAACTCTGTCTAGGGCTTCCTTCAGAAGATGAAGCATGGACTTGGCATGTATGGCCTGCATGTTATATATTCATTAATCGTATGTTATTATTTTTAGCTTAAATTTTTGTATTAGAAAAATAAGGTTTAGCTATTTTGAGGGTATGTGTGAGAGTTAATGGAAACATATACTATTGTTTTATTTATTAGGAAAAACCTAAGATGATAGATGTTATGTTAATGCATATACCTGTGCTTGGGAATTGTTGGCATAGCTGGCCTCTCCTCTGCCTCCTTTCATGCTAAGCAACCTCTCCAGTTCCATGTTGGACACAACAACATTGTCTCCCATGGGAGCCATGAATTAATAGCCAAGCCTGATGTAAGACGAATGAATGAATGAATGAAAGAGAAATGGTATATGTGAAAAGGCAAAATAGTGTATATAATTTGGACTTGTGAGTGATTGGAAAACTGAGAGGCATGAATTGATATATATATATAGATAAAGAAAGAGGCCACTCACAGCTGTTTGTTTACTGTTTTTTTAAAACACTTCTATGTTTTCTAAATAAAAAAAAAAACTTGTTTGATCAATTAATTTTATAATAATTGGTTTTAAAAACTTTTATTTTTTATTTTTAGGAGTAAAAAATTTAAAACAATTAGGCTGTTTTGCTTGTCAAGTTTCATTTTAGTTTTAAAAACAAGAAAATACACAGATAAGAGATTGTTTTTACTAATAACAAAGTTATAAAGACTAAGAATGTAACGAATTGTTTTCAAAATCGATTTACAAAATGATTTCTTAATATAAAAAACAAAATCAAATAAGCCCTTCTTCTTTGTATTCTATTAACTTCTGCCGCTATCTAGACGATAGATACAAAGGACAAGCAAGTGGGTAATATTATTTTTGTTGTTATTATTATAAATAAATTAGTTAGCTGTGCGATGGGGAAAGAAAAATTATAAAAAGAAACTCTTAAAAACACAAAATATGGGCCTCTCGTGCAACACGGAAGGCCCAAGACTGGCGCCGGATTCTGGTCTTTGTATCAGGAAGCTACGTATAAAGTATATATTTTGTTTATGACAAAAAAAAACAATAAAAAAAAATTGTAATCATTTGACTTATTACAGCATCTTATACCACTTTTTTACGAGAGCATATGTTGTAAGCTTCATCAAAACTTTAAGGTTACGAACATCTGTGGTTATTTTTAATAGTAGATGGATGATCTTAATCTCACCCTCAAAATTTTTTATATAACCAAAAACCGCTAGGAACATAGATTTATTATGATCAATTATTGGATTGAACTAAACCATCATGCACTCTGCTTCCTTACCGCAGAAGATCTAAATTCTGAAAATATTATAGTGCTTGTAAGTGATCTGTTAATAAAGGAACACAAACAAAAGCTCCCTATAAATATCTTATCGCACTAATTAATCCCTATATACTTTGATATCAGAATGTCATATCGATTATATTATCAGCAAAAGAAGTACTAAATCATAAGCCAGTAAGTGCTATACAAACGTTTTCATCATACCCTTTTTCACCCTATACATATTAAATTAGCTCAATCAATAATGATCTTTAGTTAATTAATCTGTTTACGGTAAAATATAATGCTAGAGAGCTTTAGATTAATATATTGAAAATTATTGAGTAATGATACGTATTATTTATAAGGGAACAACCAGCTACCTACTTGGTGAAAAACATCAAAGAAGGTGACAATAATGGTTCTTAAGGCTACGTAAGTTTCCATTCATTTGGCAAAAGTTTGCCATATAACAACTTAAATTGATTACTCTTTAATAAGGAACTTTTACATTTTTTTGACTTAGTGTAATTCTAGTGGGAACATTGATAACTTTTGCCGACTGTTCAGGGCTTTATTATAGAATAAGAAGTCAAAGTAATCCATTAAAAGTCAAATGATGATGGTTAATTATTTCTTTATTAATTAAGCCATCACCCCAGAAATCAAGGTCCATCAGTTTGTATCAAACAAACGAGTTAACGGGATGGTACTCATTTTGTGGGATTAAAATGATAATCAATTTAGTTATAATCAACTTCAAAGCTACCCGTAAGCATTTAGTACTCCACGGCTCACTTTACTTTCTTTTGTTTCTAAGTTGCGTTCTCTTTATTTTATATTCCTAACTGTTGATCTCTTTTTCGTTTTCCAAAAGGCTAAGAAATTTAAAACCTTGAAAAGTTTTATTAATATAATTAAAAAGATGTTTTTACAAAGCTTTTTCAAAGAACAGTATTGACGGTTTTACGAGAGCATAATAGTATACTACTTTTTTGAAATCGCGATTCACATACATGTCTACAGAATTGGTCTTTAGTTGGTAGGGAGAAAAGAAAAGCAACAAGAAGCTTCAAAGCAGATGCCTCAAAGTACAGTGGATTTCAATGACATTAAGTACAACGAATTCAGTAGCTTACATGCACCACACGCCTAAAAATTAAATCAACAACAACATGCATATTATTCTCCTTTTTTACATATGGTCAATAAAGTTTCATTTACCTCTTGATGTCAAACCTTGTTATCCCTTGTATGATCTCATCAAAACTCTCAAAAACAGTTGAGAGAATCAATGGTGCTAGTGTTTTATCGGTCAAAAGAAAAGAGTATAAAGTTTCTAAATTACCAATGGATTTCGATACTATCTATTTATCATATATATAAAAGAAATTTGATGCAAAATAAAGTTATATAAGTGATAGTATATAAAAAATTTAGTTTCTATCCTGGAATTTAACCTCCTTAATTAATCATAATTATTATTTTAATTTATAAAAACTTCTTTTACCACTTTCTTTTTATCTTCCATCAAAACATTGAACTTAGATCGACCTGTTTTTTTTTTTATATAATTTTCTCTCATTAGATTGAGAATATTTATGAAAAATAAAAAAATAATAATTAATATCAAAAAATATTAATTAATCAGCTTAGAATGTTAATTAGAAGTAATTATTCTGACCGTCCATAGATTCATTACTTTAAAATATAAAATTAAAATATACATATATATATATATACTTTATATATATATGAGAAGAATTTTTAGTGTAAGTCTAAAAATATATATAAGAGTGAACACTAATAAACAATGCAATAGGAAGGGTCTCACTTTACTGTGTTTCAAAGAATAAGTATCGTATGTAGACAAGACATCATCGATTGAAGGAATATAATGAAGGTTGTGATTTAGAAATTGTTTTGAAGTTGCCAGTAGAATTCCTAGATTGGGTGGGATTAGTTCTTCTTTCTATTTTATGCATAACTATATGCTTGAAAGCCCGCTATAAAGAACCACAAATCAATCCTAATACTCTCATAGGTTTATATTTGCATTAAGAAATTTTAAATACCAATTAAGTGGTGAATTGATAAATCCAGTTTCAGTTATACATTTATGTATTATTGTTTAAAGATAGAAGAAATAATTTATTTTTCTTGTCAAAGATGGACATATATATGATTTCTTTTTATTCATTATGAAAATCTACTTATATTTAAATTATAAGTAATTTTCATCTTTCACACACATTAAAACAGAATTTTTTTAATTTTTTTTTTGTAGTAGTGCAGCTCTCACCAGCTGAAAAATTATAAAATATCATAATATTTTATAACTTTTGGATGAAAATTTTAAAAATTGAGATCATACTGAAAAATTTTGTTTGCTGTATGGCAAGAGAGGATCCGAGTCCACACTTTTTACTGTTAATATGTATGTTCCTTAAGATTGCCTTTATATATTTTTTTCATCCCTATCAAACAAAAATTCACCAGAGTTTAAAATTAATAAAAACACTTGAAACTATAATTATTTAAAAAGTATATTTTTCTATAAAATAAAAATATAATTTGTATAAAAATCATACAAATTCATTCTTCTATATTATTTTATTTATTGAACAGTTCAATTAAAAACTAATTTTACTAAACATTCTTGATTCATTTAGCTAATTTAACAATTTACTTTTAACCTTCATCTAATACCTTTCAATTAACTCTCTTAACATATCAACCATTTTTTACCATCACAGTTTTACATAACGCATCCCGACAAGTTGTGAAAAAGGAGCATATATATTCACAAGTTCTAACCCATTATGATCTCTGAAATTTAATTTACGTTGCAATCCAAAAACTTGGAATCTTGTCATCTAATTTTCACAATAGCTATTAACTAATGGCCCCCTCTTCCCTTTTGCGCTCCTTCAAAGTCCAAACCACCGTGATAGTCGCCGGTTTACGTGAAACTAGGTCCTTACCAATAGTATGTAACAGTCCCATTTGCTAAATACTTACACACATTTTGTTTTATTTTCTAGCATTTGATTGTATACATATTTTAATTGGTATATATATATATATATATATACCAGCTGCTTTCTTTTGTTTCATACTCTGAATCAACATCTGTAACCATTAGATTAGTGGGTCAGGAATTTGAACAACTGATAATTTTGCTTAGTGGAACCAAAATAATTATGATTTGTGGGCTATCCTTAGTTACTAAATAAGGTCATTTAACAAAAGATATCAATGGGAAACTTCTAGCCCAGAGAGAGAAAAGAGAGATCTCATAGACATGGTAGGATGGTCAAAAGTTGGTAGTTATTTTTCCCTTTTGCATATATGCTTGTGCAATGGGTTCTCTGCCTAGTTTTTGGACTTCGGAGAACAGGTGGGTGAGGGGCCTTATAATAAAGTAGAGTAAAAGTTTTAATGAGAATGCTTGCTATTTGATTTGATGTTTGTGCTTTATTGTTAATGTCTTTACTCCCAAACAGCATGGATGCATAATTCTGAAGACTTAAAAGAGAATATTCGTTTTGTAGTTCTTGTGCTTCTTGTAATATCTTTAAAAATTTAACCACAGTATATATACTATTCTAGTTCAAACCCACTACGGTTATAATCACCTATTAATTAACTAGAACCACACTTTTGATCTTAAAAATTGAAATTATTTTTTTTATATTCATTATTTATTGATTGTTTAACTAGTGCCTTCAGTTATGTTACTAGAAGATTTTATGATTTTGATGACTGTTTACCTCTTTCTTTGGGGACATATTAGCTATAGTTAGTAGACTTAGCTAGTGTTGAAAATCTCATACATTTACATGTAAGAGTTGGAAACAAAACGTAGTAATTACGTGTAGACAGTGGCTTTTCCTGCTCTCTATCTAGCCACATAGGCATCTAGCTTGGCCTTATTTTTATATAAAACAAAATTAAGCGACCCTCATATGCCTATGCAAATTCTATAGGAACAACTAAACGTAAAATATTAATCTGTATCTCTAAAAAGGAACAACGTTCCCAGAATCATTCAAGCATAGCAGTTATCATGGTTTCAAACTTTTCAAGCAAAATAGATCATAGAATGGTTTGTCACGACGAATAATAGAGTAAAATATGTTTTTGTTCTCACAAAAGGACATTTATTAGGCACTATATAGGCTTTAGCTATTTATTATCTCTACATATCAACATTTATTGCATTGATTTTTCTATACCAAGTAAGACTTCTTGCCATGTTGATTGGCTAACAACACGGTTTTTCATACCAATTCCTAAACTGTGAAGAAAAAGTATTGGCAGAATTGAAGTAAGGATCCACATGCCTACGAATTATATAAAATGCTAGGCTATTGATCACATGTCAGTGTATATATAAGTTCATCTGATCAAGAAGTTAATTTGAAGTTTCTTGATATTTTGGTTGGATCGACTTGAAGCAACCATCTATTATCTATAAAAGGCTCATGAAGATCTGCGTCCCCATGATAGGACCTGGCATTGTGTCTCGAATTCAATGATATCGGGAAAGAAGATGTGCATGAAATTCAGGAGTTGAACTTTTCTGCTAATTAAGATTCCGCAAACAAAATATATTAAACGAAGAACTTAATAGTTCACATAATGTCACCGAACATACATAGATCAGTTGGAGTGAGACTATTCCAAATCAAGATCTCGACCTTGAAATGCAGTAATTACATGAAAACTCATAAAAATCGTCTCACTTGTAATAATTAGAAAAATGTTAACTTCAGTCAGAGAATAATAAGCAACTAATAATGAAAAAATTTTATTTTAAAAAATATTTACTGTACTTCTATGATTTTACTATAATAAATATGTATCTCTTTTTTTAAATATATATATATATATATATATATATATATATATAAATATAAATATTTAAACTCAACGTAAAACCTGAGGTTAACAAAATTTTAATAATTACATTATACTCAATCCAAATCAATTAAATGTATAATGTAATGCTCGGATGTCCATAGGATTAAGTAAAATAAAATAAAAATCACACACATGATACTCATGCAAATGATTTATCCTTTACAATGCGAGACTTAATGTCATGATCATGAAGAAGTTTTTCATCAATTCCTTTGTTTCCGTTTCCATTCTATTTGAAGGTATTAATTAACTTCTTACGCTAACAAATTTAGGCAAACACGGTCACATGAATTAATCGAGATAGAATGATGCGTTATAGGGATATGAAAAAAAAAATACTAACAACGTACAGAGATGGGTCTTTCCCTGTTAGAATTTTACACGATCATATGAAAAACCTATGTCATTTAATTTTTGTTAATAGATATTGAATAGGTCGAATTCTATAAAAATGTATGAATATTTATCAAGTGAAAAATAGGCGCAAAACTTTTGTATGATATAGTCTCACGTGAAATTTTAACATAAAAGAATTTATTCTCTTTGACACACTTTTTCTACCATATTTTGTTATTATAACAAATGGTGACCGACATCAAAACGTAGAAAGCTTAAAATAAAAGTATTTATTACAAAAAAGTACAAAAAAAAATTAATAATGATTTGGTATGATAATATGTTATTGTTTCATTGATTGTAGATTAGAATAGATAGAATTTTAAACATTTATTACGAGCGCTGAATTAGATTTTTCTTTCTTATTTGAAAAAATTTATGAGTCTTTTACAAATGTCTAGTAATTACGCCAGAATAATCAATATTTAATAGCCATATAGTCATGTTGGACAAAACCTCTCCATCTCATAATATATATGTGATAAGAAGGGTTACTTTTGCCCAACTAGTAGTCGCATAATTGGCAATATTGAAACTAATCCAAAATTCCACATTAAAAAAATAAGTTGATATTGCAACGAGAGTGAATATACTGGAATGAAACACCTTTCAACATTTCTAATTTTTTAACCTTTTGCAATTTTTTTTAAAAAGTCCAAATACTGAAATCGATTTGCAGAAAACGCATTTTGTTTTAAAATAAAATTATAATGAAACTAATTTAGAACTTTAAACACAATAGAAATTTGTGTTAAATCTAATCTTCCTCAAATTTTTATTAGAACATTTTCATTAAAAACGAACAGAAATCAATTTTCCAACTACAAATCAGAGAGGCACCAAAGGTCCACTAATAATCAGTTTGGTATCTTAAGATAAACAAGAAATTAATATATACATACATTAAGCTCATGAGCTCGAATACTAATCTCATCCAGTAAAACCTAGGCTACTCGTTCGGTGGATAGAAAATGCCTCGGTCATCGCTAGAAAAATCATCATTGGTCGCCGAATTGGTGTCCAATGGTTAACGAAATTCTCAATGTTGTGCATTTTAAAAGAAATGGCTTTTGTACAAATGAAGTATCTTACAATTCCAGCAAACTAAGGGGACTACACTTTGGACCAAAAAAAAAAAAAGGAACTACACTGATAATCTAATCTCAAGGATAATAATGTGATTAGTGGGCCAGTGGGCGTAAAGAGCCTAGTACCCAAAAAGAATTATACAGAATGAATATCTATCGGGAAAAGATCTACTAAGGTAAAAGCTAAACTAAGCAGTCACAACTTCAGTTACACATTTCATATCAAATGCAATTCAACTGGAATGATTGAAGTTTCTTGCACGGGGAGGGAATGCCGTTGCAATGAGCCTTGTAACGAGTCTCAAGAATCTAATGCATGCTCAATTAACCCATACAAGAAAAATCCTGCTAGATTTTATAGATTCAGAGGATATATTAGTGTAAAGAAAGTTCTAGCCAACAATTTGGCTAAATACCAAGGGTCAAATACTCACCACAAAACTGCACAATGTAGGAATCACAAAACATATGTTCAAGACAGAATCAACTGGTTACAGGTTGAAATAAGCTTTTGACTTCATCATAAAACCACCTGCAAAATAAGCATATCACTTAAGAAACCTCAACAAAAAAAGTAAAAGAAAAATCTACAAAGCAAAAATATCAACTCTGATTCGATCCAAATTTTGTCCTGACTGATTAATAGGGTGGATACATGAGCAGAGTACGTTACCTACATTGATAGTCTGATTCAGAAGGTATGAACCTTTAAAATATGAATTAAATATGTGGTTTCAAAACCATAAGTTAAGCATATAAACATGTTTATGATACAAAAAACAAAGAAACGGCAATGAAAATAGAAGATTGTGTCATATTTTTAATACTACATAGACTAGCATTTTGTCACATATTCGATAAAACATTGATTAACTGACTGCCAAATGTCTTCTTGTGTTAGCCCATACATAATCTCGTATTGGGCAGTTATAAACACTGAAGATTTTGACCAAAAAACACACTGAAGACCCATGTGGATTTTGTGAGCCTTGTAATGAGTTTTCTATGATGAGTACGTTAACCTATATTGTTATCACAATAGGTCTTTACTCATCATATATTTATTGTAGTAGTCTCAGACTCAAGATACCACAAGGGGTTTGTTTGCCACACGTTTATACATGGTATGAAGGTAGTTCCCCTCCTCCATCTTATGTATGAAAGTCCTTGTTGATGATTGTTTCCCAGGTTCAACTGTGCGAAGTATTCATCCTTTTTCAGGTAAAGTAACTATCCCAAAATTAAGGGTTTTTTAATTCTTGTGGACCAAAATTCCATCAAATTGAAATAAGGATGGAATGAAGGGTGCCAATGTAATGTTGTATACGAATTGAAATGAGGTCAAAGTAGAAAAAACGTGATTTCTAAATACCCAATCATATTGGAAAGCAACACAAAAATTTGTTTTAATTATCCAATTTTTCACCAACTATAACATGCAAAAACCATAATTCAAAGCATTTTATCTCCCTTTTTACACACAGCTCTTTTCCTTTCTAGTAAAGGTTCCCCAGGCACACTACTACACATAAGTTGTCGTGACCAGAACCCTACGTGTGAAACTTGCACTCAATCTCAAATCAAGAGCTAGATGATAGCCTTGATCATGATAAGCCCTTCGTTCCCCTTCAACCCCATGAAAATAAATCATGCACCAAAACTATAACCATTGCAACGTCTGACTACATCTTCCCATATTCTAAATTGATCGAGATTTATAATTCCCAACAAAAGCCCAAATATCTAAGAAAGTTGGATGAACAAATAATTGATTTGAACAACAATAACAACATAAACTAATACCCCTGACCTGCTGTGAAACTGTATCTGATCCCAATAAAAGATCTCCTAAATCTCCACAACCAAGGGAATAAGAGATCAGACACCAATCTCCTTATCTAGATCCTCTAGTTCTGTTATTATACTATGAAGTACTATCAATCAGTGGATTCTCTGGTTCTGTTATTATACTATGAAATACCATCAATCAGGAGTACTAGTAAATAAAGGAATATTCTTCTTCCTAAGTCCCAGTTGCAACACCTGTTACTTGACCCCATCCAGTATAGACACAAGGGAAATCTAAGTTTGCAATTTTGCATAATTTTAACTTCCACCAGATCAGATTGCACAATGTTCTATCACAAGATATTCCAAATTCCATCTCATAGATCCAAAATATTTACTTTAAGCAATAGGCCTGTACTTCCCATTTGAAGAACTTGTATCAGAGTCAGAGAACATTGTCCCCGACCTGAGAAAGACCACTTCAAAAATTTAGCAGAAAAAAGTTCATTATTATACAAAACACACAATATAGAGGCTGCCATATGCTTATATCAAATACAGTATTATATTGGTATGTATAATGGCAACTTCAATACTAAGCACTAACTTTTGTGTTATCTATTATCAATTTTAAATATAGATTATCTAAATTAATTTAAGATAATAATTCTACATCCGAAATCATAATTTTTTCTGTTTACCACTGCCCTTTTTGTAGTAACTATAAGCTCAGAATAAGTGTAACAATTGTAACATTTTCTACTTCACAGGTGCATTACATATATGAAAAATTGTAAATTTTGGATGAATGAGGGATAAAGTAAAACAACAAAATAAAGTGTCTATAATAATTGAAGAATATAAAGAAACAAACCTGCAAAGGAAAATGGGCTGCATTTCAGCACTTGCCTCAATTCCTAACTGACATCGCCTGTCATTTTCTTGTTTAAATTTACCAGATGGAAGGACTTCACATGGGCCTCGAATAGAGCTAGCCATTTCAGTGCTGTTACTATTAGATTCATAAACCTTCAACAAAGAAAGTATAGCTATAAGAAATATGCAACATGGAGAGCATCATCATTTGATTGGAACATCAAACAAAAGAGAAATCAACTGTATAAGTTACATGTTCAACCCAATAAACAGCTTATGATGTGTAAGTGCATGTAAACCAATGTAGCTTTAGACAAAAACTTATACTTAACGTACCAATGAAAAATTTATGCACTCTGCATGAATGAACTACTATCCATCTAAGGAAAAGACGTCTGTTTATATATAAAGATGAATGTATACAAAGATAAAAATAAAATACCTCATTGACTTCAGATATACACGGATGACTAATACTCCCTGGCAAATCATTGGGAAAATAGCACTTTGTCACCTGAACCCACTTTAAACCAGTTTTGCAATCTTCCCACATCGACTGAAAATAATAAAGGAATAAGTCCCTTTGTTAAAGTTCTATAAATTTATTAAAAAGCAAACACAAGGAGGCAGATCGATAACCAATCAAAACACAACAGACACAGTAAAGTACACCTAAAACAACTTTTTTGATATCCATATCTACTGCTAAGTTTGATAGGAAAAATTCTACAGGTATTATATAACCAACTGCTAGATTACAGTGGCAAGTATGATCATTTGCTTGCCTGGAGTTTAGAAGGAGTTAATTTGCCATGGCTGGTGGGGAAAAGAGCATGATGCTGCAGCCTATATGTTACTCCATCAACTCGGCAAGATTGGTAAAACTTTTTCTCATCTACAATTTGTACATCACCAATCCATTCTACAGCATGTGAACTATCTGAAGGTAATGCAGACTGCTGTCTACCTTCAGTATTATTTCCAGAAGTTCCAACAAAATTTGTGAGCACAGCATCTTTGTCATCCCGTTTGATATTATAAGTTAAATTTTCTCCTCTAGATTCCTTTTGTTTATTCATGTTACTGTCAACATGTTTATCTGATGATACTCCAGTACCTTCTTGTGACACTCTCTGTTCAACTTGAAAATCTTGTGATGATTGCAAATTTTCACATTTAGCTGGCTCAGATGATTTAGGAAGAGACTCAGATTCTGAAGTCTCTTTAAAGTTCAAAACCTTGGAATTTAGTTGTTGTGCAGAGCTTTCGCACAGCAAGCCAGTGGAAGGACTAGAAGCTGTACTAAGGGGTTTCATAGAGTTGTTTGGATCAGGTGTCTTATCAATAGCTTCAATGCTGGATGAAATGCCAGTCCCTTGCATATCTTTTGTATCTGGGATTTTTGAGTCAGATGGCAGCTCAACATTGTGATTGCCACTGGAAATAGTTGGAACTGAGCTCCCATTAGTCATAAAAGTCTGCAGGCAGACCTTTGGATCTAAGTTCTCTGGCTTCTTCTCAGAACATGATTGAATACCACCTGTATTAGAGGGCAATTTTGGTGGTGTGCTAGAGGATCTCATGACACGACCATATTTAGGAGGCAAAGGTTTTCCACCACTTGAACTCAAGCACCTCGTGCAGTGCCAATCAGCTCTATTATGAATTACTCTAAAGACCGATGACTGTAGACATTTCAAGTGATATCCCCTTTCACAAGCATCACAGAGAAGTACACTATCAACCTCATTTACAGTGAGCTCACACATCTGACATGTCAAAGCCTTATTCATATAATCCCTTGATGGAGGAGTCCATGTGGGACGGTCAGGAAGCTTTGGTTGTAACACTTTCTGGACAATCTTTGCAATATCAGCATGACTAGGAATCAAAGGAGGCTGAACAATGTTTGTGGCGTGCAAAGGCTGGTGCAGGCTAGGCAAATTTCCAGGGGCTGTTTGAGTAATAAATGGTCTAAAGCTCTGATCTGTGGTTATTTGTGGCCCTGCCCTTGATACAGTTACATCAGGTGTTCCTTCAACCTTGAGAGAGTTATGAGCAGGCACCTTGGTTTCTGATGCGCTCCTAGGTAATGAAGCAGCTTGAGTCTGTATTGACCATGTTGGAGCATTCACCAAAGGTTGGTTTGTTGAAGAATTTGCTACAGTTTAAAAGTTATATCATTCAGTTGCCAATTTCATTACTAAAATGTCAAAAGATACACTTGTACACATTATAAAGATATGATAGACTTCCACCTTTTGCAAACTATGAAAACAAAACACAAGCAGAAAATGAAAACAGATATTTAAAACATTAACAGATTTTCAAAATAGTTACCTACAAATAATAAAGATTGAAGGGGAAAAAAGGAAATCACTCAATTCCAGTCTCTTGAAAACAAGGAGACAGGAACATCTGCTTGTCGATTATCCATCCAACAACCTCTAAATAGACCTAGATACACACCAATCCAGTGAACTTTCAGACTTCAGCATGCATCATTCCCTGACCTACTTATATTGAAGAAATTACTATATGTAAATAACCATAAAATTCCCGCCCTTTATTTTGAACATGAAATTAAAAATTTTACAAAGGTTGTTTCACAGTAAAATAAAATCCAACTCAACATGTTCAACCCATAATTCAGTCAAAACATATTGCACTGTTAGTCATTCATCAATCGGAAAAGTAACATCACCAGTCCTTGGAAATTTGAACTGGTGAGGAGCTTTGTCTGACTATACCTTGGACTTGCAAAACATAAGAAGACCCATTTGATCCTCCATCAACTTTGAACTGTGGGTGTTCAACTTTAGGCAATGCTAAGGAAGATGCATTTCTCCCTAAATGACTGCTAGGCATTACACCAGAAACACCAACAGGAGGTCTTACTTCATGCCCAGTTGGTTGGAATTGCAGTGTTGCAGAAGATCCAGCAGAAACATGGACAGGAACAGACACTACGGTACCTGTAGAAGACATTATCGGATGACTAGATTTATCAGGTGGAAACATTCGAACACCTTGTGATGCACCACGATTGTCCACTGTTCCACCAATGCTTGTTTGCAAGGGCTGGGTCGCAGAAGGTGTAGATGATGCAGAAAACTTCTTTGCTTCCTCCATCTAGGAACCAAAAGGGTAGTAAAGAAAAAGAAAAATAGGAGAAAAAACTAATAAAAAAATTGCCAAAGCATCATTGTTATCATTGCACGCAAACTATAAACAAACAAATGCTCTTAGTCATGCATAGAAAAAACACTTTTCACATTAACAGAGTTCAACATTCCAACAAACAAAATGAAGTGCCCGTGATTAAAGATTAACACGAGTGGCAACAGAAAATTAACTTAAAAATACCACAATACTACTCAAGCCAAGCAATGAAAACTCATTAGTACACATTAATCCTGCCAAAGATTCTTCCATTAAGATATACACAACAACTGCCCAAGAATCAGCGGAATTTCGTGGCAATAATAACCCAACTTTTTTATCCTCATTTTCTTAACTCCGATATATCCATCACAACCAACATAATCACAATGAAACATAAGCATCGATCATAACAAAGATCAATTATGAAAACAACAAAGATAAACATAACCTCAAACTTCACGAGCTCAGTCTATGAATCGATATGAAGCTTATTTTAATTCAACGCAATTTTCATGAAGTAACAAAGATGAATCAATAGTATATTAGTTGAGCAGAGAGGTTGGTTACCTTCCACTTAGCGTGAGAATACCTCTCGGCAATGGACATCTTAGGGGTTCGAAACCCTAACCGCTGGTCCTTAAGCTTGGAATTCAAACCGAGATCCTCAATGACAGTGCCAATAGCTTCGGTGGCGACAATATCCTTGGGAGCGAAACCCTCACAGAGGCTAGCGAGCTTGGCGCGAGCCTCCTTCATGAGTTCAACCTCGGCATCGGTGGGCTTCCTACCCGCTCGCATCGTGGCCATCGTGGACAACACCAGCACAATCTCCGCCACTCGCTTCAATTCGCCGTCGTCGACCTTAGACTCCACCTTCGGCTTCTTGGAGCAACGCTCGTCCAAATCCGCAGGCTCGCCATTCTGAACCGGCGAAGTCTCCTCCGGTTGGGGATCGGGAACGTCCTCCATACCCTAGAGAGAGGGAGAGAGAGATAGGAAGAGAGAGAAAGGGAGGGAAGAAGAAGAGAAAGAGATATTTGAAAAATAAAGAGAGAAAAAGAGATGAAAAATTGGAAGCCGCTAATTATAATTTTGGCGGGTAAGTGAGTGTGTTTGAGATGAGAGAGAGATGAAGGTAAGGGGTTTTTGGTTTGGGCGTGTAAGTAATTAGGTAATAGGTAATGGGCGAGATGAGTCAGTGAGTTATTCAAAGAGAACGAGTTTGAGTTGGTGGCTGACCAGAGCCATCCCTATTCCCTAGCGAGACACACACAGAATACAAAAACAACCCTTTTGCGAATTAAAATAATAATAACCTCTCTTTTAACTCGCTCCCTCTTCCCTCAACTCGTAACGCGACTCAACGAGTTTCCCCATCACCATTAAAGAACTTTTTTTTAAGATAAATATAATAAAAATCAGATATTCAAAATATCATTCTTCTAATAGTGTTAATGTATGTAGGCGTTGATTTCTCATTAGTTTAAAATATCTTATCGTAATTAGCAAAAAAATATATATCTCATCGTATTTGTTTTTTAAAATACCATCTAAAATCATAAATATTTATTTATTATAAATTATGATTATAAATATATTGTTATGTATAAAGTTCACGGAAAATTTTAAATTTGCGTTGATATTTTTCAAAATCTTCTTTTGTTTATTTAAGGTCACGTCCAAGATGTAGGTATTAGTTAAATTATACTAGTTAAATAATATTAAATTTTGAAAATTAAATGAAAACATATTTAAATTAGTAGGCAATGACAATTAGTGTTTTTTAAGAAAATATTTTATCAAAGACAGAGTTAATTAAACTAAAAATGTTGAGAAAAAAAAGAATAAATGTTTAACCTATTGAAATTATAAAAAAAATGAATTACTATTATTATTATTATTATTATTCTTTTAGTTTGTACCTTGATCACCCAAAAAAAAACTCCAATAAAGCAAAACTCCTAAAGAAATAGGTTAATTGTAATGTTCTTTGCATAAATTTACAAATAAAAATATCAATCTCAGATTAAAATAATAAAGAGCTTGAAGGACATTTGAGGAAGGAGGTTTGAATATTGGAAATTTTCTCAAGAGTAATGTTCATGACAGCATAATTTACACTAGGAAAAATCCAAAGCAAAGAGATGAAATACACAAAATAGGTACACGTGTGACACTCACTCTTCACAGCCATACCATAGGTACACATAGCAGACAAATTTCTGAGAACATGTTTATGATGCATAAGCATAAGCAGGTAGCTGTTTGAGGTAGTAGTCTCCTAAGAAGGAAACATCACTACACACTGTAATCCACGGTGGAGTGTACAATATATGAGCACTATCAAGAGCAAAACCGTTAAGAATTGGCAATGGAATTCCCCTCTTTAACTGTGAGTTGAGGTATGGTATGAGGACAGTTTTGAGGACACTTGATGTCACTGACTGCAAATATTTACACAGTGAAAGAATAAGATTCACAATAATAGCCTCAATGTACAACAACTATGCACATGAGAGGAAGGAAAATGTTAATAACTTAATATCATTTATGCTGATTTACCTGAATAAGATGCATGTGTAGCTTCCCTATTTTGCTCCATTTCAAGTATGTGGAAAACTTTCTTAACTTAAGCCAACCAGCAAGATTGTTTCCTACAATTTCTGCAGCACATGAGGCACTAAAATCCTGCGCCAATATGCAAGATTAATGGACATGTTAGGTAAGATACTCATCATGGCTCATGGCTACCTCTTTAACACTACGAAAGAAAGCGTTTCTGATAATAGAATCTTAGCGTGCAAAGACAAAAAAAAAAAACTTGAATTTCATATAGCTTAATCAAAATATAGAAATACAGAAATATTATGGTGGCATTTTGAACTATCCACTAAAGTATTGACTTCACTTAAGCATACCACTGAGATGCATGCAACAGGTATGACTTCACTGGCTTCAAGAACATTGATTATTATATCTATGGAAAGGGTTACACCGATATCTTTGTTCGTCACTTGTATAATCGGTGGAGAAGATACATAGATAAAAAGATTCATGTCATCATTTGGATATTGCTTGAATAATTGAGGAATAAGGAATCTCCATTCAGCAGTGTTCAAAAGGGCCTGATCAGGTAGTTCATCAACAATCCATTGCATACTATCTGCCTGAGCACAAAACAACATAAAATATCAAAACTATATTTCATTCTATACTCTAATAATGTAAAACTATCCAGCACAAAAGCTTGAAGTGCACACAGTTAATTGGAGTCACCCAGTAACCTAATCAGCATTAGCTCATAATAGAATTTTACTCATAATGTGATGCAGCCTAGCAATCCAAAGTCTATATGATGTCAGCAAAGTAATACGATTATCCCAAATTTAGCGCAATTCCAGCAACACAAATCACCCAAACAAACATTCCACGACCAACCTTCATTATTAAAGAACTCACTCCACTAATATGTATGAATAAATGAGGCAAGCAAGCATGCAAACTGTGGAACGACAAAGAAATTTTTTCTTTTGCAGAGTCTAGATAATGCTGTAGCCTAACATGGAAAAAGGAAAAGTCCATTTATTGGACTAAGCCATGCAAAAAAAAAAAAAAAAAAAGAGTAAAAACTTCAGAAACTTACAGAGAAGTAAACCAAGGAACCAGATTTGAAAACACTTTCATGTAATGAAATCTTTATCATCTTTGGTGAACTTCCACCACATGATCCTCTGCGATGACGTTGAGTTACTAAAACTTCATTTCTTGCTGTGAATAAACCATTAAGTTCAAATTCAATAGAAGAATCACTCAGCACAGGATCGTCCACAAAAGAAATATTTAGAACAGCAGTTTCATCTAAAGAGATTGTCCTCGGAAGAGATTGCAGTAAGTATTCAAGTGTTGCTATCCCCTCTTTTATTTTCTCAGAAATTGCCTCTTCAACTGAAGATGCTATATTTCCTTCAAAAGCATCCACTAGCCTGCAATAAAAAAGACATTATTGGCATAATATCTTCAACTTATGTGAGTCTAGTTTTCTTCCTTTAAAAGAAAAGTCAATTCACATGAATATAGAAAATAGAGCTTCAAATTCCCAAGGAAAGTTCTTGTTGATAATGTAAGCACTCTAATCTGCGTTCCCATTTTCATGTCACCCTAAAGAATCGAAGTATCAGAGAATAGAGAGTAAAATGGAAACATAGCTCTGGGATTATAGTTGTATGCCAAAGGCTTCCCCATGGAATTGTGGAATTTAAATCAGCAAATAACAAAACACAAGTTAGATACAGCATGTGTGAAGAGTTCAGTAGCCAATTATCAAAAACCATGGCTTAAGAAGGCTGCTTACACTTGGTAAAGCCAAGCTGCTCCACCGTTCAACTTTATATATATATCTCCAACATGACATCCATAATCCAGGAGAATCAACTTAAGACTTCCTTCTTGGTTCCTTAAATTTACAGTAAGTCCCACTTGCAAATCTTTAACCTTCCAAACAAAGCACAATACAATAGAGTGAGGATATTATTGACTGAGCAAGGACGAGAGTAATTTTATCTGCATAAAAAGTTTACTGTTCTCCAGGTTTATGTCTATCTAAACACTGCAATACATGCCTTTTCTTTTTATAATTGGCTATTGATTGACAAGTTGATCGAACTCCAATATCAAGAAGGGGGAAAATGCAATTCCTACCATAACCACTTTATAGCTTTCCCTAAGACAGTGAGGCTTACCAATTTGAACAAAATAGCCAACATCATGAAAACACTTATTATTTGGTTTAAGGTCAAACCCTCTTAATTAAAGCACAAAGCAACAAAGTATAAGCCATCAAAACAAAAAGGTGCAACTTTAGAAAAGGGTATGTAATAAAAGTGGTATTATTCTAATATATATACCTTCACAGTGGCGGTCCCACTATCCGAAATTCCAATTGGGACTAACCAACTGCTGCAAGTGTACCTCCACTTCAAACTCAAATTGACAGTGGCACCTGAAACAACTAGAGCAATGCCTGTTTCTCCTGTTTTAACAGATGAAGAATTTACTTGGATATCATTGATTGTGATCTCAGAAAGAACCACTTTGGCCTTTCCAATAAGTGGGACTTGGACAGATTTCTCAATTGGTGGCAGTTGAGAGTGAACAATAGAGGCAATAGCCTGCTCTATCACAAAATCCTTGGCAAAATCGAGGCCCTTATCAGAGATGACCAAAGAGATGAAACCCTCTTCATGATGTTGGAGATCACCACTGGCAGTGATTGGAATGAACAGAAGGAACAAAAGAAGGAAAAAAACTGAGGGTGCCATGAATTTTGCTCCTTTTGAGGGATCAAAGCAAATATCAATATGCAGCCTAAGCTATTGTTGAATCTTGAAAAAGAGCACTGCTATTTTTTTCATGAATATCCACTGAAAGATGAAAAATTAAACACACCCATATGATGACAAGAGTTTTACAGTTGTGTCAGCAGGGAACACCTTCTTACTATTTTATCTGTTGAATAATGAATATGGAATTGGATTTGGAGCTTAGTTTTCTGAAAACAACGAGGAGGAACAGGAACTGTGAATGGAGACGTAGAAGGAAGTGGTTTGGTTTTGGAGTTTACTTCATTTGTTATTATTTAAATTGATTTGGAGCTCGCACGGTAGTGATCAATAATTAGTATATTTACATGTGAGCTCGAGACGCACGCGACGTGAAATTTTACGCTTCAGCATATTCAGATTTCTAACTCTTGAAAATGCAATATTTCACAATATGGGTAACTTTTCAACATGCTGTCCAACTAACCAGTAAACCAGAACCTTGGCCCCCAAAAAGAAATCTTATTCTTCTACAATCCAATTGATGTAGGCTTTTTTCGGGGTACATAGAACTGTGACAGTTAAATTTATTGTGATTGAGCAAGTATCCTAACCTCTGAATGCTTTGATTTTGCCTGTAAGTATTATAATTTAATGTGGTAAAAAAATTAATACGCGAAACAGTAATTGCAAAGGTGCAGTTTAAGATACAAACGCTCCTTATCCTTATCCACGCCAACGACAATAGAGGGGCCCAGTGATAGGGGCATCATTTCTTTTTTATTTATATTCAAGTTTCCTTTCATGGTCAAACTGGGATAGAAGGTATTCAACTAAAATTTCCGTATTTAGTTCAATTGCAAGTGCTCCAAAACACTGAGAAAGAAAAGGAGATTATTTTATTTGCTATATTGATTGAAGTTGCAAGTGTTTTTCACTCTCATTTATTTTAGCAAATCGCTTAACACGATGAAACAAGGAATGAACATTGTAAATCTGATTGCAAATTCCCAGTCTATCCGTTTCATTCTAGAATGGGCATCCCAAGCGATTTTTGTACACATCAAGCTGCTCCATGCATTTGTACCCAAGTAATGCCAAGGAAGGCAGACTTTCTAACATTTCCGTTAAAATTTATTGGAGATAACGCAACCGTGACTATGAAATAAACAGTTTGAACCACAATTTAAGATAAACTTCAACTAATAATAGATTGTGTTGAAGAGTGCCCATATGCATCAGGATTTTCGGTTGAGAAAGGTCCCTTCTCTTTGACCAGTGAACCCTCAAATTCAGGCAAGGCAAGAAATACACTACCAAGCACCAGGGGTAAAATTTGAGCAATAATACATTTACACACATACTGAAGCTCATAAAATTTTATGGCCCAAACACGGCAATCAAAACTCAACTAGTGGGTTTCTTCCACGGATTATACATGGAAAGTTCTCTCCCAATATTCCCTCATCCAATTCAATCCTCCCTAATCAAGTTTTCATACTTGTAATCGTCATTTTCCCTCTAAACCCTCTGTCCATCACAGCTTTTGAATGAACAAAGGTAATAATATATTGCAAATCACATCAATTCACAATACTGCTATAAAACTAAAGATGGGTGAAGCAGACGCATGGACCGCAGAACTCCTGCCTCCGGAGCTGATAATTGACCTTCACTGATTCCTCCCGAGTCAGACATAATCTCCCCCATTCAAGTATTCCATTCATCAATTTAAGCATTTAGATTGTAGAAACAAGGAAATCCACTTCATAGGAAGTAATCTGGTGCCGGTTTCTTGGCAGGTGTCCCTCTTGATTCCTACATCCCATTAAAATTACAAATTTAAAAACCAATTTTAACAAACCTAACGCATTTAAATTGCCACAGGGAGGAAAAATTCTAAAGCATCATATGGTAGGGAAGAGCAAGAAACACCAATTGTTTGTTTAAACACGGAAAGATAGTGCAATCCAAATGAAAACAAAAAAATATATACAAATAAATTAAAGCTCACTCTCACAGTAGTGAACCAAAGGTCATTTTAAAAGCACATCCGTTACCACATGAATCAATGGATTTGACATAGAGGATTTAAAGCTAATATTGCTACTATTTGAGGAACTTGTTATAGCTCACTAAGTCACTGTGTATGGAGTTTATAAACGCAATATATATCAAGTGATTTTGCCTACAAACCTGTGGAGCAGCATCAAACACACGGAACTGCTTATTAAGATTTCCATCCAACTCCAGAATTGCAGCCACATTGCCACATCTGTGAAAAGGATGAAAAATGTCTTACTAAAATCATCAGAACACAAACAAGAACACACCTTTTAATTGATTACATACCTGTAGCAATAATTTGGAGCTGACCAGACAGTAACTATCTGGTTATTGAACATCCATTTATATCCTTCCATTACCAACTGATGAGCACGACATATATAGTCAATGTTATTGGAGTGGTTAAAAGATGTAACAACACTGCCACCAAATAAGAAACCAGCACCACGGGGACTCAGACCCCATCCATCCACAATATCTTCAGGATCTGACCATAGGAGGTCACACATGGCACCGTCATGAGGTACTTCTTGCTTCCGATCAATAGTTCGTATCTAGTTATGAATGATGAATAATTATAAATAATATTGCTAATATAAAATCTAAAACTTCAAAGACAAATAAATTAGGATAGAATTTCTAACTTGATCCAAGGTTGAAATGGCAGGAGAAAGACCACCATGAACACTGAAAATCTTGTTTTCAATTAGGGCGGACAAGCTGCAGGTTGTTGTTATCAACATAGGAAAGTTATTAGGGGAAGCTGTAAGTTAAACTAAGTAAATCTGTAAATGCAGTTAGGTTGTCTTATAAGCAACTAGATACAAGAATTTGTCCATTTTAACCTCTCTAATTTTGGTTACTTCTATACACAAGGAGTGATTGAAACACATTCTCTGACACCCTTATCAAAACTCTCAAGTCAACAAGGTTGTCAAAATATAGATCCTACCTTGACTAGGTATGGGTATGAATGATAATAAACCATGAGATCATAGAGGGATCTTAAGATCTTACCAAAAAATATAAAAATTATATTTTAACATAAAAATTATCATGATATAATTAATTAATACATGTAGGAATATCACAGAAATTTAGGTAAGAATTTACATTTACTAGTTATTGTAAATATTTCGTTTTTTGTATATTTGATAATGATTATGAAAAGGCAAGGAAAAGAGAGCAAAAGTGTACAGAACTGATAAGACAGTCTAAAGATCTAAAAGACATACTTTAACCAAAGGCCTAAAGTCCAATCCATGGGTTTTAAGACAAATAAATAAGAGCAAAGAGGGAGGGAGATCAGATCAGAAACACTTGAAACTAGAAGTGGAGAACAGAAATACTAAACAATCAAATGCCAGACACTACAAAAAACAGTGAAACATTCTAAATGCTCCAACCCAGGTCAAAATGAGTTTGAAATGAGAACAGAGAATAGAAGACAAACAGACAGAAAGGAAGAGAGAAGAGAAGTGCGGCTACTGAGGTCAAACACAGAAAACAGGGAGAACTCTCAGTCTCAGGTAACCCAAGCCTAAATGAACTTGAAAGAGAGAATAGATGGAAGAGACAATTTCAAATAGAGGGATTGAGGGCTCGAGTGAAGAAAAGGGGGAGAGATTAGGGCAAAAATCTGAAAATTTCCCAAACTAGGTCATGAAACCTAACCCACAATTTTGCAGCTCTGCAACTCATTGAGGATCATCGATTCTACAACCTCAATCTTGCACAACAATCCCTCTCCCCTGTGATTTTATATGTGATCATGCATGGAATTTCCACAAAACACATAGGATTGTATGATCCTACAAGTTCACAAATTTGATAATAGTGCTCTGTCCATTGCTAAGCCAATTCCCATGTGCGTCCAGTTATAAAATACACAGAATTTACCTAATAATGAAAAGAGTGCCAAAAAAAAGAGTATTGAAGAGTGTATTGTTTGCATTTACCTTCTATGCTTGTAGAAATTCTTCAAGCAAGAATTAGACAGTTGGAAGAAAAGGAAAGAAATAATAGTCCAGAAGGAGTTGCCCAAACAACAGTTTTGCATAAAGATGAACAAAAAATTTTCTTTGTAGAAAAATCATTTCAAAGAAATAGCAGGCAACCCCTCTAGGCCATTAAAGAATGAGACACTATACAAGAGAGGAATTAGAAATGGCATGGCATGGAAAATAAGCTGCAGTGCAACAACCATTTCAGGAAATTTATATTATATCGGGCATTGCACTCTTCTGGAGAAGTAGCTCCCATATGCAGGACTCAAAGCAAGTAAAATTTATATTAATAGTAATATCTCAATCTGATTTATGCCACCCACAGAAACTATTGTATAAAATCTGTAATCTATTAGATATTAGCAAACCTTAAGTAGTCGAATATATCAGTACAATATCTCCACACATTGACTGAACCATATTTTCGAAGGCACTCATCATAGAATCCATATACCTGTCAAGTGATGGATATTGCATAAGGATTCCGGAGCCATAAAATGTAGAAAAATTTTCAGTGTCTTTTCCCCCACTTTCCCCCATTAAGTCTATTAAAAAGATTTACTTTCACTTCCAGTTTAGCTGATGGACAAACCTGTGTGATCTGCCGGCTTTCATGGTTTCCCCTAATTAGAGTAATTCGATCTGGATACCTCACCTGATTGTATGTCATTAATTAGTTACATAAAGAAGGAACGATATAAAAGAGGCATAATTAAGAGGATAGAATGAATGAGTAGTTCTACATTCGACAGAACCTAGCTGTCAAAGCCAAAAACCCTTCCAAAGCATTTTATTCTCCTTTTCACAGACAAAACCTTGATATCAGGCTGGATTGATAAAATATTAGCAATAATAAAGCATCCTTAGGCAGATTTTCACATTTCATTACTCATACCATCCCATACAAAGACTTGGAAGAGATTTATTCCAACAATAGTAAACTGTGTTCCCGAAAAAAAAAATATTTAAAGTTCACTCCAAGACAACATATGCACGAATCACCAAGCTCACAACTATGATGCTATAAGACCACATTTTATAATAATAATTGAACAAACTGACTGAAAAACTTTTGAAACTGTTACAAGGCGGCCGAACATAGATCCAACAACCACAGAAAGCATAAAATATAAACATAAAAGATAATTCAAAATAACCGCACAAAATGCTTCTAAGTTCAAACTTCCAGTGTTATCACAAGAAAAGTTTTTGAGATGAGAAAAAAAAGATTATCACCTTAAGAGCGAGCAGAAGCAGAAATGTTTCAACGGAGTAAAAGCCTCTATCGACAAAATCCCCAAGGAATAAATAGTTAGTTTCGGGGCAATCACCTCCTACTCTGAAAAGCTCTTTCATATCATAAAACTGACCGTGTATATCACCGCATATCTACACAAGCAACAAAAATCATGAGATGAAAATCAGATAAAGGAAAAACAACAATAGTGATTACTACACGTGGCATTTATAACAAGCCCTAGAAAAAATGAAATTGCGAATAAAATAGTTGTTAAGTAATAATCATATTGTAGTAGTAAAATGGAAAGGGAAATTGTAGAGAATGAAGTGAAATGTATTATTAGGTAAATTGAGAATGAAAAGAGAGGAATGAAGGAAAGAGATAGCGACTGACGGTGACAGGGGCGTCAACCCTCTGAACGTTGCTCTCTTCGACGAGGATTTCCATGGCTTTCAGGCAAAGCGCTTTCACTTCCGATTCCTTCAGAGGCTCGCACCTCTTCAGCTGCTCTATTTGCCTGTCTAGGTCTGACATCTCTCTCTCTCTCTCTCTCTCTCTCTACAGTTCCTTCTTCCTCCTCTTTCTTCCCTCTCTTCTGCTTCTACTGCTTCAATTTTCGCTTTCTTTTCCAATATAATTCTAACTTTACTCACTCCGTTCCTTTCTTCTTCATTTCCTTCATTTTTTTTCTCCGCTGTAAAAAAAAAACAGGGAAAATTTAAGATGTCGTCAACAAAACCTAGCACAAAGCTTTGTCACCATTATTCCACTTCTGTGTACCAAAAAAATAATAGTAATTAAAAATAAACCCCTTAAAAAATATGAAGATTATTGATGTAAAATATTTGTAATATAAAGTTTATTAAATAATACGAATACTAATTCGCGTTTTAATTTATTTATCATTTATTTTATAATTTCTCTCCCCTCTCTGATTTTTAACTTTTTTGCAATTTAAACTCAGTCATGTATTCTTATATTTTTTTGAAAATAATTTAAGTGAGTTGTATTCCAAAATGATGTCTTTCAAAAAAATTTATAAATCGCTCACTGACAGAGTTATTATATAAAAATTGAATTTATAAATGGAATGAATTAGTATTTAAAATTGAAATGTATAAATCAAACAAATTAGTATTGCTCTTTTGACATAAGTGAATGGCGTGTTAAATGACAAGTATAAGCGAATGACACTGTTAAAGAGTTAACAGTAATAAAATTATTTAAAACACACAATTAAGTAGCAATTATATCCATGTATCTTGATAAAAATCATAATAAGAATTATTCAATTCCTTTTTTAAAAATTAAAGTACGTAGATATATCACAATAAAATTATTTAGCGAGACTAAAAGACGATTTGAATATTTTAAAATATTATACAAATTAATACATGGTGTTTCAAATCTAAGAAATTGAATTTAAAAATTGAATTTCTTATTAATGAGTAAAGATAAAATAATAAGACAATCTTATCAAACATAAATTAAAATAAAATAAGTGCAATCATTGAATTAAATTATTGAACTATATATAAGGATTTTGTCTGTTGATGTGGCTCTCATTGTAGAAAGTGACATGCTCAAGTGTGTATCCAACCTTTAAGGCAAACATAATGACACGATAATTGTAAGTTTTTTGAGAAAAATTAAACACTAAGGGATAGTTTAAATTTTAGTAAATAACAATGAAAATATAAAACATGAAACATCTACACGAAACTAAGAACTTGACTATGCACGTCAAAGAGAAAACACCCAAATAAAATTATAACTCCTTTCTATTGCAGCCACGAAGATGACAAGTAACAAACATTAAACTTTCTACATATATAAATAGTTAGGCTGAATATAATATTGTCTAATTAATATAAACTGTTAAATATAATAATAAAGTACATGTGAAATAATTATTATTAACAAGATTTTAAGTTTTATCTCTCACTCATCCGACATGTAATCAGTTTTTCATTTAGCTTCATCCACTTTTTCTTTATCGTTGACCCACCTTTGTTAGTAAGCTTCTTTGTGCTCCTCCCCCAGCTTCTTTATCACGGAATTTAATTTATCTCCCAATTATTATCCACATTAATGTAAATATAAAAATAACCTTTCAAAAAATGAATAACTTTAAAACTTCGCTTATATTTTTTTAAAGAATTTTGATAACCTTTGCCTTTAGAATTAAGTTTAAATATTTATAAATATATTTTTTTAAATAAAATTTTACTATTATTAGTTACTTATTTTTAATCTTAAGAATTGATATAATAAAATACTTTTTTTTAATAACAATAAATTGTGTTTTTATAATGATTTATATAGAGTTTCTGTATAAAAATTGTGAAATTTTTAACTTTTTTAAAACTTCTTTTAATATAATTATTATGATCGATACATTATTTATAAAAAGTTATAATTGCATTTATGATTTTAAGTGTAATTTAACAGAAAATAAATAGATTACTCTTCAAAATATTAATAAGATATGTAATAATTAAATAAATACTGTATAAAACTTTGATATTTTTAAGCCATCAATGATAAAGAATCTAATATAGATAATTTATATCCAATCATAAAGTTAAATTTGGTTGTTTAGTTTACTCTTTTTTTTTTTTTAAATATATTCAATAAAAATTAGTTCTACTAATAAAAATTGAATTCATATTTTATAATATCACAAGCTGAATATCTTTTAAACTTTGAATTGTGTCTTAATTTTTAAGAGTCTTCTAAATTTAACTTATTTAAATTTTTTATTAAAAATAAATAAGTATATACAACATGAGACAAGTTTTCTTAAAAATATTTTTATCTTTAAAATCTATTTCATTTAATTTTTTTTATAAGAAAAAAATAAATATTTTTTTATCTTTATTATAAGAAATAAATTATAGATTCAAAATGTATTGATTGTTAAATTTTTTTTATATTTTTATTTTATAAATATCATTAAATATATAAATTACTAATTATATTATTTAATATTATAAATATTTTTAAAATAAAATTTATATTTATAAAAAATATAACTGACTTAATTATTTTCTTTCATTTTTATAATTTAATTTTTTATTTTTTATAAAAAGTACCGAACGTAATATTTCGCAATAAATATTATGACAACCGGAATGAATGAATTTTTTCTGTTCTCTTTAGGAAATGACCATAATCTTGATAAGTAAAAATTTTAAAAGTATTGATAAATTTAAAACAAAAATTGTATTATAATAATTTTAATAACGAAGAAATGAATAAAAAATAGGAAGGATTCGGTAGAATGTATTTGGCAGTAATACAATATGACATCTACCGCTCGTTTAATATAACTATTGAAAGAAATTAACTTTTAAATACTCTTCACATACGCAAATGTATATATATAATAATTAGGATTTTGTTTTTCTGATGCGGAAGCAAGTGGATGTGCAGAACACAGTGAAGAAAGGGATAGAGAATGATGCGTAAAAGGACAGCGAAAACGACGCCGCAGTGAATTCAGGTTCCATTATCTCGCGAGGTAAACGACGGCGCCTGTTGGTGGTGGTGCCGTACGCATCATTCCATTCATCGTCATCACCACCTTCCTAAAACGACGTCGTATCCATCACCCCTTGCCTTTCCTCTTTCTCACCTTCACTGTTGTAGCTTCCCAAAAACGGTAATTCCCTCTCCGATCGTTTCCCTCTTTAACTCTCATTCCAACTACTTCCCATTATCAGCACAATTATTCTTCTGAATCTTAATCTGCTTTTTCTTTGTTATGATCATTCACTGAGAATGATATGCTTTGTGTCTGATTATGAGTTTCTATCTCTCTCTTACTTTTGATAATTTTAGACTGGTTTAAACACGGATACTGGTAAATTGTGATCATGTGATCGTTTTATGGGTTTAACTAAGCAAGTAGAACTTGTCTTGTGTTAATCTTATGCACTGGAACAGTTTTCTTCTATCGTGTTTCATGCTGTGTTGAAAATTATAGGCCTTTCTATTTTTATTTATTTCACGACATCTGTTATTTGTTGTGTTATTTTTCATTTCTTTTTCTACAAAATCGCGATATTTATTTGGTTTTTTCATTGATTTTTCTCTCTTTCAGGTCAATGGCATCTTCTTCAGACTCGTGGGTGAAGGAATATAATGAAGCACAGAAACTTGCTGATGATATAAGTGGCATGATTTCTGAGCTGAGTTTGTTTCCTGCATCTGGACCAGAAACTCAGTGTCATTCATCTGCTATAAGAAGGAAAATTACAATATTGGGAACCAGGCTTGATAGCTTGCAATCCTTTTTGTCAAAGCTTCCTGTTTCTGGGAAGCAGCCTATGTGAGTGTGGTTTTATTGATTAATTTAGAAATCACGATGGAAGTGGATTAATAACATTGTTAATATTTATTTATTTTTTTGCTTTTGATTCTTTAACTAGTGTATGTTGGTAGAAGAGGCAATGTCTTCGATTCAGCTGTGAAGGTTTATGATGAAGTTTGCGTTATTGTTTTATGAAGTGTTTTTCACTTCAATGATGCAGATCTGAGAAGGAGATGAATCGTCGCAAGGACACGCTTGCGAATTTGAGATCAAAAGTTAACCAAATGGCTTCCACATTAAACATGTCAAACTTTGCAAATAGGGATAGTTTGCTTGGGCCAGAAATAAAACCAGATGCAATGAGCCGAACAGTTGGCCTGGACAACAATGGAGTTGTTGGACTTCAACGGCAAATTATGAAAGGTCGCTTGATTGAATTGTTTGAAAATATATTGCTTTTAGTCTGTTCTTTGGATCTTATAGTGCATTGCTATTCAAGCAGAACAAGATGAGGGCCTTGAGAAATTGGAGGAGACTGTGGCAAGTACAAAACATATTGCTTTGGCAGTGAATGAGGAGCTGGATCTACACACTAGGCTCATTGTATGTTCCCTTTGTACATTAATTTTCGTTCTTCTTTTCCCTCCCTTTCTAAAATTGAATCTTTTCTTTTTCATCTGCCAGGATGACCTGGACCAACATGTAGATGTCACAGATTCTCGGCTTAGGGTAACACTCTTATAGTAACTTCTATTGGGACCAAATCTCTTTGTTTAGTCATATCAAAGTTAAATTATGTTCATATTAATATTGTAATTAACTTATAGCATATCTTTTATGTTTCTGTATTGAAAACAGCGGGTGCAGAAGAACTTAGCAGTTTTAAATAAACGAACCAAGGGTGGTTGCTCCTGCCTGTGCATGCTTTTATCAGTGGTTGGTATAGTGGTTTTGGTTGTTGTCATTTTGCTATTGATAAAATATTTGTAATGATAAAAATACCCAATTTGGCAAGCGTAACATTTTGTCTCTGTTTCTGGACGTGTGCATCATAACTGGGTTTCGTGATTTCTGTTGATACTTTTCCAAAGAGAATTTGTTGAGGTTGTGGAAGATGTTGTATTGTAATTGCCTAATTGGAATTTTTAAGCGTTTAAATAACGTGTGTTTTTCCCTTGTGAAAATATGAAAGTTAAAGTTACTGGCTGTAGTGTCAACATGGTTGAATTTTTACACATTGCTCTATTTAGTTAGATTTTGCTCAGTGTTATGTGCATGACTGCCATTAATTTCATCGAGCAACTTCAATGGTCCCACCACGAGTTGGTTAAGTTAAATTTCTTGAGTCCCATCATAACACATCAGTTCTTTTCATTTTATATAACTTTGAGCAATTTTTTTCTCTGATGGTGTGGTTCTAAAAAATTTATTTGAGCTTATTTTATTTCTATTTAAACTTTAAAATTTTAATTTTAGTTCGGTAAATTTTCTTTCACCTACTCAAAACTTTATTTGTACTGTTTTTTTTTTTTTCCTCGATTGCATCTCCTTTCTTTCCCAGTGTCATCTCTCTTTTCCTTTTGCTTCTCTCACACTCTTCTATTGGTTTTTCTTCCTCTTCCTTCCATCTCACCATCACCACCCTCACACTTTTCTCACTGTCGAATGGTCCCACTCTTTCTGTGTCGGCAGAGCATTCTGATGGTGGCTTGCCCACCTACCATTGTGGCTCTTCTACTGATGTTCTGACCCCTGGTGTCATCTCTTTTTCGTACCATGTATTCCAGAATTTGGAATCCCCTTTGTTTTGATTCTTGAATTAGCATTTCTCCAAAGACACGAAACAGTTTGATGATGCATCTATCACTGATGTCATGAACTACTTATTATCTGAGGATTGTAGTTAACTTTTCATCTGTTTCGCTCTATTTCATCTCCGTTCTGTCCCCGAGTAAGAACGGTAAACGTCTCATCCACCTGGGATTTGCATAGAATTACAGGATATGGGTACAGCCTACACTAGTTCAAGTACTGCTTCCTATTACTAGGAAGATCGGCGAATGTACTCGAAAAGTATTCCCTCGTCTCTGACTGTACATTGATCATTCCAAGAATCAATATAACATTCTTTAAATAATTTTATCCTTTCATGACATGGTAACACATTTCCCCTGTAGATGAAGGCCTTCACATATTAGCTGTACGAATTCCACAATTCTTGATCATTATGCGATATAAACACTCCTCCCCATGTGCCCGTGTTTCGATGGGAAGATGGGAGGGAAAGGGGGGAAATCCTAAAGTAAGTGAATACAGGGTATTCATCTTCAATTCATTTTACAATACATTATGATCTGAATCTATTAAATAATTTAAGGATGATTATTTTCAACTTATATATCCATTGTATTGACAAATTGTTTGTGAGCTACTGACATTTTACGCTATTACACCACAACGATACGAGCAATAAGCCACGACAATGTCAACGTCGAACTTCTTGAAGAAAAGAACGAAAAACTTAGCATGAAATAGCAGTGCATATTGGAGGGGGAAAAGAACATCAAAAGAATGATATCTCGATAAATCAATTAAGCTTCAAGATCATTCATTACACAGCTGAATGACTACGATATTAATAAGTAGAAAAATGATAAAAGAACTTGATAACAGTGCATATTGAAGGGGAGAGAACATCAAGAGAATGATAGCAAATTAATTAAGCTTCAAAATCATTCATTACACCGCTGAATGACTACAATAAAATAGTAGTTAGAAAAAAGAAAAGGATAGAAGCACTATGCAACTAAAAAAAGAGCCTTCGCGGGGATGCTCTAGATTGAACAGTGGAAGATGAATTTGAGGACTTGAGAGGAGGAGGCACTGCCTTGCTCTGTTGGCCCTCAGCCACTTTGTCAAGCAGCTTTGCAGCCCTTGGATCTGTTAGCAATTTCTTCTGAAAAGACTCTGAGAAACCAGTTGCAATGATAGTCACATGAATCTCACCCGTGTAGCGATCATCAACAACGGCCCCAAATATAATATTAGCAGAAGGATCAGCCAAACTAGTCACCACCTATAAAGATTGTACGTGTCAAGGACAGGACAAATATGAAGAAAAGGGCACAACATGTAGGAGTGAACCCGGTAATAACTGCAGGTAGTTATACCACTCAGCTTAAAACAAAATAAAGCATTACATATTAATATGAAGCAAAGAAAAACAGACCCTTGAGAGGAGTATAAATATATTCCTTTTTTTCTCTTCCAGTGAGAGGTTAGGTGGCTATCTAAGTACTTAACTAGATGAAATCCAAAGGAATACTTAATAATTTTTCAACATATTATGGTAAAATGAACGCAAAAATATCAACATAAAGAAATATTGCATTATTCTACTTGAAGTCAAGCAACATTCTAAGAATAGTTAGCATATAAAAAATATCATATTTGTGACAAATTCACAAACGAATAACAAAATGTTTCTTAAACAACTAATGATAAAATCCTAAAATACCTGAGAAACCCGATTCACTTCCTGCAGGGTTATGTCTCTTCCTCCAGTAATATTATACACTACCCCAGTAGCTGACTGAATAGATGATCCAATTAAAGGAGCCAAAGTAGCCTGTTCTGCTGCTTCTTCTGCCCGGTTTTTACCGGAGGACACACCAACTCCAAGCATTGCAGTCCCAGAGTCTTTCATCACAGCTTTTACATCAGCAAAATCCACATTGACAAGCCCAGGTATCTGCAAGAAGACGCAACAGTTAATATTATCCAGAAAGAAAAAAATGCATGAACATACCCTTCACATAAATGCAAGCCAAAATGCCCAATTATGAAGAAGTGACCAAGTGACTGCTCAAAAGTACCAAGTTAAACGTGGGTGGAGAATGGTTTAAGCATTTTATGTTTCCCTTTTATCTTTGCAGGTTACTTAAACCACGTTCTAGTGATTCAGTAAAAATATGAATACATTGTTTTCCAATCAACTCACTGTTATGATGTCTGATATTCCCTGTACTCCTTGGCGTAGAACATCATCTGCAAGACGGAAAGCATCCTGAAGAGGCATCTGCTCATCAGCTATGTCAAGCAGACGGTCATTTGGAATCACTATAAGTGTATCGACATTTTTCTGCAGCTTTTCAATGGCTTCATAGGCCTGAAGAAAATCAAATGAAAACTAGAGATTTTATTTTCTGAATTTCCGATGACAAACTACAACTTTCAGCCTAATAAAGAAAGAGTGAGGCATTAATAAAGAGTAGAAGTAGCTGTGCAATCAATTTTCTATACAAGGAAAAAGAAAGGACACTTGCCTGCAGGGATCTTTTACGTCCTTCGAAACTGAAGGGATAGGTAACAACACCGACAGTCAAGTAACCTGTCTCTTTAGATATTTGGGCCACAACTGGGGCAGCACCAGACCCTGTTCCACCACCCATCCCAGCTGTTATGAACACCAAATCTGATCCTTTAAGAGCATCAGCAATAGCTTCTCTTGACTCCTCCGCAGCTTGTTCCCCCAAAAGTGGATTCCCACCAGTACCTGCATTTCTATCAAGTAACTTGAATCAAAGGCTACCTCTCAATTTCTCGATAAAATCAGCAAAGAAACTAGACTACAGAAACAAATCACATCATAGTCGAAAATTTGCGAGGAGCGCGCAGCCTGACCTAATCCACGAGTGAGAACTTCTCCAATTTTTATAGGGTTCTCAGCAGCAGAATGTAACAGTGCTTGAGCATCAGTATTTATTGCATAGAAGTCTACACCCTGATTGAAAATGCAACATAGTTTAACATCAGTTTTCACTTGGTTGCAACAAAACACAGAGGGTAGCTTAGTGAACAGTGGCACGGGCCACACCATCACACTGGAACAACATAAATTAATCCAAAATATGCAAGAAGCAAAGCACCAAAGTCATTAACCCACATAGAAATCACTAAAAACAAAGAAATGATAACAAACCATTAACGATATTCCAAATTGGGCACCAAACATGATACCCAATTGAAGTGTGAGCAGAAGGGCAAAGTAAAAAAAGAGAACTTCATCGAGAAAAGAAGAAGGGAATGAAAACCAACCTGCAAACCACTACCGATCATGCGATTAACGGCATTGTTGCCACCACCACCGATTCCGACAACCTTAATCCTAGCGTTATCTTCATAAGCGTAGGAACATCTCACCGACACGTAACGGCGAGTGAGGCGTTGTGGGGCAATTCTTGTTGTTCTGGGGTTGAGAGAAACAGAGGTAGTGAGAGCAATTGCATTGTGGTAGATAGAAGAGCAGAGAAGCTCGTTTGGGTTTGTGAGGGGATGAAGCATGGCCATTTTTGTTTCTTTGGTTTTCCGATATTATTTTTATTTTCTTTTTTATTAGGGTTTTAGGGCAAAATGGAAATGAGAATTGAAGCTGATTACCCTCCAATTTCGAGTGGATTTTGTTCACTTCACTTGGTTGGACTCTAACCAAATGAAGGGACGTTACTTAACGGTTCATTGCGGCGGACGAAAACCGACGACGTCGTTTTCGATTCAATCTTCCTCGCTCTTTTTAAAAAATAAATTAAATCTACCTGAACATAATATTATTTATTAATAATTAACATTTTTTTATTTTTGAGTGAATTTCTTATTTTAGATTAATTAAATTATGTGGTTTTTTTTTGCCTTTATAAATTTAAGTATTAATTTGAAACGATAAAATTCATTAATTTCAATTTTATAGAAATGAAAACCTTTTCTATTAACAATCATGTGTTTTTCAAATGTTTTATTTGGAAATATTAAATATTTCCTCCAGTTTGTTATCTATTTAATAACAAAAGTTAGAAATTTGCTGAAAACTTTTGTACGAGACATAATATTTTACTGAGTGGTAATCATATATTGGAGATATTGATAATTCTATTTATGTTAAAACTTTAACGTAAATGAATAAACATTATAATGCATTTAAATGACATTTTCAAAATTGGGTAATCTGTTTTACTTACTATAATATCATACTGTGCATGTAATTAACAGTCGAATCGCTACTAATCCATAGTTTAAATTTAAATCTTAGATGCTCAAGAAATTTATAGGTAATTTCGATGATGGTGCATATCTCTAATGTCATTTTCATGCTCCGGCCCCCTCTTTTCAGCCTGAGATATTATCATCTGCAAAGATGCAAAAGCTTCAAGAATCACATAAATAAAGGGACAAAGAAAGTTGAAACATTAATGGCATAATGGAGGAGAAAATTCACCCGATGGAGCAAAGATTGCAAACTCTATATGCACCTTGCCATACATTGAACCCAACACTCACTTTATTTTCTGCAATGAATGAAATATAAAAAATGCATATGATTTTCATATATAATATGAATTGAGATAATTCTTTAATAATTCATGGCCTTTAAACGGTCATCATTCCAACATTTGATAAAAAAGAAAATAAAAAACTGAAATTGAAGTTTGTAATTAGAATTTTTTAGAAATTGTTGTTTCTATACATTTCAGAGAAGTAGAAGTAAAAAAAACAAGGGGCAAAATTTTTTTTTTTGTCCAGAAAAAAATAATAACTTTTTTGGGTCGATTGACACAACCCAAGAAACCCAAATAACAAAAGAGGAAGGAGTGAGTTGGGCCCATGTGGATACCAAGTTGGAGAGTTCAATTAGTGGCAATGTAATGAACAAAAAAAAATAAAAAATGAGTGGCAATGCCATGCCAAGCGTGCGAGGCGATCAAATTGGATTGAACTCACGGCACAGAGCAGCACCGCAGCAACTGCAGATCTTCGATACGACGACGAATTGCGGAGCTCAGAGGAAATTTCCCGTCTCGTTTTCACTGCACACTTTCTTTTGCGCAAACCAAACACGCCTTTAACAGAAAGAGCTTCTGTTTTGAGATTTTGTTCATTCTGTCTCGCAGGAATTAATTTTCTCTCTGCAATATGGAATTCTTGGTAGCAACGCTAATTTTCGTGTCGATTGGAATTGTCGCGTCCCTTTTGACCAGAATTTGTTACAACAAAGGACCTTCTGCTAATCTGTATGCTTCTCCATTTCTTTCTGCGGAATTATGACTGGCTTTTATTATTTTCTCGATTTCGATGCTTGGGTTTGGGAACTATGCAACAAATTGAACTACACTACAATTTTACAACGTTCTCTTGTAGTTCCGGTGAATTAATTAAAATAACTGGTGTTGGTAAATTAATATAATTGTTATGGGCTTCTTAAATGTGCAAATCTTAAATTTGGTTATGGTATGGTTGGATTATCTCATAAGGGCCCTTACTTCATTTAGTTCTAATTGTGGATTTCCGTTACCAAAACTAAGACGAATAGGGCTGAACTTTTGATGATTAGGTAGCTCTTTGAAAGAGATAAGCGAGGGATACACAGTACATGGAAGAATTCCCATGATCAAATCACGGTCAAGAATATCTTAGAAAAATCAGGATAGATAAATTCATGATCTGACATACTGATAGGTTTGGGAAAATGAGAACTGGTTGTAGAAAAAAAGTTTCTGGATGCGGACTTTGTAAAGTATGATTGAAGGAATTATGATGTACTTTCCTGCTTTGCATGATTTAGAATCTGTTGATCTATTTCATAGCTGTTTTGTAATGAACTGTTTATGATAATGTCTTGCTGTGTTTTACAAAGTGACATACTTATATTTATTCAGTACCAAGCAGGTTTCTAAGATGATGTGAGTTGATCTGAAGAAAAAGGAGATTTTAATTATTCTTGAATGATGAATCCCTCAAATTTTTGTTGTGTTTCCTCTCTCTAATAAAAATTTCCTCTCTGGAAATTTCCATTATCTCTGTCTGAACGAGTATCTTATTATTTGGTTGCAGATTTCATCTAACTCTGGTTCTTACTGCAACAGTGTGCTGCTGGATGATGTAAGTGCATGTTTGATTTACATGATGACATTCTTCTTTTTGTTTGCATAAGGATATAATAGGAATTGGTGCACGTAGAATTTGTGTGTCTCAGCTTATTACCCTGGCATGGTATTGTGCAATTAGAGAAGAAATGCACTGCATACATACTTTTCTCTTTTTTTTCCCCTCCAAATGAATATTTTCTCAGCCTGAACATATCTGCAATTCTTTCTTTCAAAGTTGTTTGTTTCCATACCAGTCCTTTTGTTCTGTGTGGCCATAATACTGCCGCATGAATTTGGAGTACTTCGTAGTCAAACTTTGGGCCCTGCGTAAGAGCACTAAATAAAAGTAATTGAAGAGGAATAGGTGAAATCTTCATAATCTATGTTTAGGTAATCATGCCTGGGCATACACAAGCCTTGGTGCTTTGCTTTCGTTTATTAAGCAGGGCATTTTGCTGCCAAATTTCACAAGTAGACAAAAGGATATTTGATGGGAAACTTTATCATCAATAAGAAGCTTATGATGAAATTGAATGAACACGTTGAGTGCATGTTGTCTTCCCCATCACATGGAATAAATGCTATTGGGACAGTATGTGTCCAATATAATTAAGGGAGGAGGAAAATTTTCCTTTACATGGGATGAATGCATAACGAGTTGAATTAGTACTATTTTTTAAAAGTGTTTATACCAAAATCTTTCTTTTCTATCAACAAAGCTCAATTTAGTATTCACGGTGATGTAATTTCCAAAGATCTAGATATGCCTGTCTTGAGTTGATAGACTTTCGTTCATTAATTTATGATTTCAACTTTTTTTGACCAATTGTGATTCTAAGTTGTAAAGAGCGATGTCCTCTTTCATTATCCTTTACACTTTTTTCTTTTTGGGTGGGGGGTGTTAAGATGCCATTTGCTTACTTTGATTCTTCAATTGTTTTTATCAGGTGGGCGATTGTATATCTGGCACAGATGAAACCGCTCATAGTACCTATCTTGAGTGAGGGCGAATAATTTTCTGTATAGAGTGAAACTGCGTAAAGAATATGAATCACAGCTCTCATGAATCATTCAGTATTTCCTGAGGGTGGATCTGTATGTATTTCATGTTGGATAATGGGGTTTCAATTGGATCTTCCATTGCTGGCATTACCCATGTTACCATTGTTGTATTTAACCCTCATTCGTTTCTGAAGTCGGTAGAGTTGGTGTTAAGTATGATGAATTTTGGTTAAATAAGTTAATGCAAGAAAATTATATCTGGTTTTATTTCTTTATGAAGAAAATCATCTGTGCAATATTGGTCATCTTGTGTATAATTCTTTAGAAACAAAGGAAGCTCCGGTCATTACCACATTACAAAAAAAAACATAATTATTATGAGACATCACATGGAAAAATTTTAGTACCGATTATAATGTTCAACACAAGAAGCAGATGGTAACACCTGGAAATATCTTTCTTTACGAGCCACTGAAAAATTGGATACTAATGTTAGTGCGTTGGTCAGAAAAAAAAAAAATCTGTTTCTTAGGTATGGCTTTCTGCATTTGAAACGTTCAGGCAACAATTGAATACAACATTGCAGCCTACAAAATGTTTGTGGCAGGGAGGAGCTTTTAGGTGGTTTTATAACGTGGTAATGTAGTTTCGTATTATAAATTTCAAAAGCAAACTGATAATAATAATAATAACTATGACAATAATGATAATAAGATAACGTGATATTCAATTTGCGAAGATATGCGTCATTTGAGCATGACTGAAAATCCTATTTTTGTTGCAGAAAACTAAATCTAAAAAATGGGTAAAGACAAAACTTGGACCTTCATTCATATTGAACTGCTAAAATTTTCCCATTATACAATCAACTACATCGTTGAACTCCTTGATGGATCTCTCGTCTGCGCCATCACGCAACAATGGCGGAAAGAAGAGCCACGCGGCGGTGGCTATCACAAATGCCATCGTGATGGGCCCGGACACAACCCAATGCAGTCTCCCCCTGTGCCCCAACCGCTTCAACACACAGAACTCCACAACTACACACGCCCCATGGAGCACAAAGAAGCACGTGACCTCCCACGTGGGAGTGTCACGTGTGACGTAGTAGAACAGCAGCTCGTGCATTAGCCCAGACACCAAGAAAGATGCCATGACTCCGGGTACTGAAGCCCAGTGGGGTCCTATTGTAGTCTTGGACATGAGTGATCTCACGGGAATGTATACGGTGTGTCGCAGAAGATATGTTACCATAAGGTTCCACCTTCTTCCCCAGAAATCACGCAATGATGTTGAGAAATAAGGCTCATCAGACGGCAATTCAAGCTCAATTCCAAGAGCAGCATTGATCACAATGTTGCAGAGACCCAAAACGACATCCACCAATAGATACATAAGGCTGCAATAGAGGGCCAGAATAACTACAGGATGCAGCTTTTGTTTGTGATCATTTAGGCCTATTGGTAGCAGACCTAAAAGCAAGGCCTTGATTGGGAGAATGAGATATAATTTTAATTTTAAGGGACTTTGGTTAGATGGGTTTGTTTGTTTTTGGGTGAGTCTAATGGGGAGGGATGCAATGGAGAGGAAGTGAGGAAGGGTCTTTGGTGGGTTAGAAGAGAGGGGGCCTAAATCAAAAGCGAAGAGGAGGAGTTTGAAGTTGGTGAGCCATGTGATGAAGAAGGCAGTGACACCTGTTGGAAGGACAGTGGAGAGTTGAAGAGGTAGGATGGTAAAAAGGTACAAAATTGGAGAAAGGGAGAGAAACCTGAACAGGACTTTGGGTATTTTTGATGATATGAAATAGCAGTAACACAGTGAGATTATGACTGAAAGCCATACCTTGATTAAGGTTTTGATTTCTCCTTCCAATTCCATGCATTTTGGACTATGCATCTTCTTCTTTACCTTGCCTTTCTCCCCTCCCAATCTCACAATTGTTTTTTGTCCATTGGGAATGGGAGCATCCGTGGAAACTGGAACATCTTTATTGACTAACCATTTTGGACCATCTCTTAGGATAAAAGAAAGACAAACGATTTATGGACAAAACTTGCACGGACTTTTCATTTTATTTTCTAATTAAATTTTCAAGATTGTAACAATTTATTATTATTTTTTATAAATCTTTAAACCATTTTTTAACATTATCTCACGTACATTAAAAATTTATATACAATATTTTTTTAATAAAAATTACAAAATATTACAATTTATCATTAATAATATTAAATTATTTATTTTTTTAAAAATTATTATTTATTGATTGTTCTTCTTTATTTTAATTTTATTTTTAAGTATTCAAAGTGTCTCTTTCTTAATGATATATATATATATATATAAGAATTTAAATTTAATATTGCTATTCTATTATTTTTTTATTGTTAATTATCATTATTAATGTCTTTCAATATATATATATATATAAACTGAAAACTTATTTTGATAAGTCCTTAAAAGCAACAAGCTGCAATGATAGTTTTCTCACTTTTATAGTAGTTTCCTCTTTTTAATTTAAGCATTATTTTGCATTGAAGTAAGTGACCGATAGTGACAACCACTTAAAATAAGAATTCATTTACTATTCACTAATCCTAATTTTAGATGAGATATTTTGTAAACGAAATTTATTTTATGAGAAGATTTTCAAACATCGTGAGACAAATTAATTTATTTGAATATACTATTTTAAATAATTTAAATAAAAAAATTGATAAGCAACAATAAAACTAAATAAATTTCAGTAGAACAGTAAAAATTTATAAAAATATTTCTGGACTTGTATCTCGATCTCTCTCTCTTGGCTCTTCCTTCTCTCGCTCGTTTTCTCCTTCCCTGAACTCCATTGTTTATGGTGCCACCGCCACCAAATTCCTTTCCATGCCCTCTACTCTGGCCAGTGGTTTCTGCTGCTTTGGGACAATCATAGTTCAGAGGGTGGTTTCTACTCCCACTTTTTCCGTTTGTTTATGTCAATTCCTCTAACATCAGTTTGAAAGTATAATTAAAATACTATTATGAGGTTTGAGTTACTTTTTGAAGATAACTTTTGAAAATAAACTAGATTTATTTATTTTAATACGATATTAAAGTCTGTTCAATTTAAATTTTGGATCATCCATTAAATATTCAATCTTAAATATAAAGGGTGCATCATTCTAGCAAAATAGTTAGTTTGTTTCTTACTTGTCGACAAGAACAATTAAAAATTTCTAACAAAGAAAAAAGCATTAAACAAGCAATTAACGTCTTGTTCAAATGATAAGGCATATGCTTCTCCAAAGAACGTTCAATAGAACCTGTAAAAATTTGGCATCATACAATCCACTCCATGTTTGAACTCCTTCATCAATCTCTCGTCCACGCCGTCGCGCAACAGCGGTGGGAAGAAGAGCCATGCAGCGGTGGATATAACAAACGCCACCGTTATGGGCCCCGACGCGGCCCAATGGAGTCTCCCCTTGTGGCCCGATCGCTTCCTCACACAAAACTCCACGACTACGCACACCCCATGGAGCACAAAGAAGCACGTGACCTCCCACGTGGGAGTGGCACGTGTGGAGTAGTAGAATAGCAGCTCGTGCATTAGCCCAGACACTAAGAAAGATGCCATGACTCCGGGCACTGAAGCCCACTGGGTGCCCAATATGGTATTGGACATCACTGATCTCACGGGCATGTATACAGTGTGTCGCAGAAGATGTGTTACCATAAGGTTCCACCTTCTTCCCCAGAAATCACGCAATGATGTTGATAAATAAGGCTCATCAGACGGCAACTCAAGCTCAATTCCAAGTGCAACATTGATCACAATGTTGCATAGTCCCAAAATAACATCCAACAATAGATACACAATGGTGCAATAGAGGCCAAGAATAAAAATGGGGTGAAACTTTTGTTTGTGATCATTTAGGCCTATTAGTAGCACACTAACAAGCAAGGCCTTGATTGGAAGAATGAGATACAATTTTAATTTGAAGGGACTTTGGTTAGATGGGTCTGTTTGTTTATGGGTGAGTCTAATTGGGAGGCATGCAAAGGAGAGAAAAAGGGGAAGGGGTTTTGATGGGTTAGAAGAGAGTGGACCCAAATCAAAAGTGAAGAGAAGGAGTTTGAAGTTGGTGAGCCAAGTGATGAGGAAGGCAGTGATACCTGTTGGAAGGACAGTGGAGAGTTGAAGAGGTAGGATGGTGAAGAGGTACAAAATTGGGAGAATGGAGAGAAACCTAAACAAGCCTTTGGGTATTTTTGATGATATGAAATAACAGTAACATAGTGAGGCTATGACTGAAAGCCATACCTTGATCAAGCTTTTGAATTCTTCTTCCAATTGCATACATTTTGGGCTCACCATGTTGCCTTTCTCACTTTGATGGTTTTGATCGCCAAGGTTGGAAAAGGGGGTAGCCATGGAACATCTTTATTATTAACCAACCATTTTGGACCATCTACTTTGGTTTTGGTAAGGCGCCCTTATTTTTAAATGCACTGACGAAAGATCTGTTTTCTTTTTTAATTTTATCGTGATTTTCCATTGAAGTGGCATTCTGACAGCCGATTAAATTAGGGGTTTAACTAAATCAAAATGACAATCAGAAACATCTGATGTAAATATATACTTTTTAAAAAATAATATGATACATATTCTTTTTTAAATGCTAAACTAAACCCCTTAAATTAATCTAAGGACAAATAATGTAAATTAGTGTGTGTGTATATAGCAAATTGTTTGCAAATTGTTTGTATTGCATTAGCTTGAATGTTTTGAGTTAGTTATTTAGGCGAAGAAAAACAAATATTAGTGACATGCTTTGAAATATTTTTTACTTTACTCATTAGAATGAATTTTATGTCAACTTTATTAATCAAAGGGTGTATGGAATACTCGCTAAATATCCAACTTAAAAAATAACAAAGAAGTAAAACCTCGAAATCGAAGTGCAGGTTTTCAACTTATCATTTGGCGATGTCACGTGGAATGCGTGCTCATACAGGTAAAGAAAAATGAGATTTATATATTGGGAAGTGCAACACGAGGGGAATGACAAAACCTCAACTTGCATTTCTGCCATAACAATTGGACACAAATTTAAGACTATCAAAACCCAACAAGTCACACCTAATAATTTCCCTTTCCAAAATAGCATACCTCAGAGTGGACACACATGATGCAAAATCAAATCAGTGCTTAACAGTTAAAAGCTTAAACCTAGTTTAGCCACTTTATTGCACGTAATAGTATTTAATAATTTGAACTTGACATATAATATTGTAGACTCCATTCCTCGTCCTCGTAGGGTGTGGAAAGGAACAATGTAAGGTCACGTGTCCGCATGCAGAAAAGAATACTACTCGTGACCTTGAGGTTCTGTCATTTGCAGGTAAGGCACTTGTTAAGATGAGTTGTCAAGCCCCAAATAGCATATTTGTATTAACGTTTACATTTTGATTAAATTATGTTTACTTTAATTTTATTTGTGGTAATTTTTACGTTCGATCCATATTTATATGTTAATAGGCTAGCCAGAGAAGGTTGGTATGATTCCGTGATGATGAAATAACTTATGAATTTGCAACAAAACAAACAGATAATCGAAATTCGAATATAAATATAAAAATAGAAACGAATTGAATAATTCCACTTTAATTTTTAGGTTTTTTAAGGCATATAAAAAAAATTTCATTTATACCCTTATTATGATATTACATATTCCAATTTGATTTGATACCCAAAAAAATCAATAAAGTGCGCGCTAATAAACAATGACTTCCTCAATTGATGGTATAGTGTAGAACTAGAGCACTGATATAATTTCCAGTACATTTACACAGTATTCTACCTCAAGATCTCTGACGATCGTAAGAGGATTGTGATAAAAATCACTGTACATCACATTCCATCTCAGATCATCGATGTACACCATGCGGCATCATTATGCAGAAATGAGAGAGAAAACCAATAGATGCTGTAACTACTCCTCGAGCCAACCAGCCGAATGCTGGCATGAATATGCAAGGTTAGGACCAGGTGCAAAACCGAGCAGCCCACCACCATATCCAGGTTGGAGTACACTACGTCCAAGAGTGCCACTTTTACTAAAAGAACGGGGTTCAGAGCCCAAAGAACTTATCCTGGCATGGTTTAATTCATCTAGGCTAGCTTCATCTTGTTCCATAGCTGGTGTATTCGTCTTACAAGATATCTGTGTTACTGAAACTAGTTGCGCACTACTACATCCAGTGTTGCCACAGGAAGGATCATGACCAGATAGACGATTAGAATCAGGATCCTCAATACCACAAAGGCCATCAGATTTGGGACCGGCAACATTTGACCCTTCTCTAATCTCAACATGGGGACAGGCCATCACAGATTTGGGCTGAAAAGCTTCACCTGAGGATCTCCCATTGATTGGATTGGGTTGACTATGATCAGGTACTCCCTCAAGTATTCTTTTTATGGCCTGCCTTCTGGCTGGTGAGACCAGGCCTACTCGTGTTCTATTATTTTCCTCAATATGTTTTCTCTTCTGAGGTGTCTTGCCAGACTTGCCCATCCTATACTTCTGTCCTTGATGCTCTTGGTCAACATTACCATGATGTTGGCTTCTTTTCTGACCATTTATACATGTTTGATATTCTTGATCATCAGCTGACTTCAAGTGATCATGATCACCACAGTTGTCAGCATAATTTTCCCCCGGGGTATGATCAACAGCCAACATGTCAGTATTACAACTTTCTATGAGTAATACTTCATGCTGGATGGACACATGACCATGCTCCTGGGCTATGACCTTGTGTTTAGTAGTCCAGTCAGGAAGGCTCCAAAGGGAGAGTAGAGGCAGCCTTACATTCCTTTGGTCTATTTGTCTGTCATTTACATCAGCTGATCCCGGCAGATAAAATGACTGCGAGAAGGGCCAGGAACAAGAAAAGGAAAGTACATCCATTAGGTTACCAAATAGCATGCATGATGCATTCATGAAAGAATTACCTGAATTCACAATAAAACTGCAATAAAACTACAAGATACAAGAGCGGGGATCCACTCACTCTTGGGGTTAATACTTGATAGTTGATACAGTTACACCATTAAATTGAATCACTATTATGAGCATTAAATTTTATAAATACCAAATAGTAGATTATGTACTTACAAATGTCTAGTTTGCCTTAAATTTGATATGCATGATCATCACAATATTATGACATGATTTAAAGGTTATATTGGTTAAATTTGCATTTTACAAAAGTAATCATTTACATAAGTGGACAAGTTTTTCTATTGAATAAGCAGATCCCCACCTTGTGTGTGTACATGTGGAGGCGGAGGGAGGGAGGGAGGGAGGGAGGGAGGGGGGGGGAGAGAGAGAGAGAGAGACTAACCATGTCTGATAGAAAATTCCCATCCTCCCATATAAGATCATATGGTGATCGCTTTTTATCAAGCCTGTAAAAACAAGCAAGAAAACAATAGTGAAAAGGCTAAAAAAAAAACAAAAGTGAAAAGGAAGAAACAAAAACTTTTTCAACAACACAGGTCTAGGGTAGTGTCATGAGGCTTGTATGAAGGGAGTGATTGTTTGATTCTCCATTCATAAAAAAAGGACAAGGAAAAGGACCATGCCTCTCAGTCTCTGGTGGTACTAAAAGAATCAAGAGCTTTGGTTTAAACTCAAGAGCCTTATCTATAAACTTGTTAGCCAAAGCTGCTTCAAGCCCAAAGGTGGAATTGAACCCCATGATCTGCTCAAGGAGAAAAAAGAAAGAAAAAAAAGTGCATTGGTTTTGTGGATATTCCTGCACATCTCAACCATGTAATTGAAAGATTCTTACCAACTGTGACCCTGTAGGCAACTCAGTTTGTTGGACAGTCATCCAATCCCTCCTTTCAAAACTAGCATCATTCTGTTATTGAAAAAAAAAATGCCACCAAACAAAAACAAGACAATCAAGAGCAAGTACATTTAGGTGAAACTATCATAAATCATGTTTCTCAGAACAGGAGTTCTTGCACGAAATATGTACCATGCATCTTAAGATATTCAATTCACACCAGAGTCCAGTTAGATATTTTACACAGGTTTTTATTATTATTTATGTTCATTAAACAACTAAATAGCATAAAGACCTTCAAACTTAAACAGCATAACATAAAAATAATATTCAATAAGTTCCCCATATAAGATGGCTTTTGATGTTTAGTATCATTGATCTGCCAGTCCTCAAAAGCAGCAACCATCTATATGGTGATGAACAGAGTCTCAGTGATGTCATGTCATGTAGCTGAAGCACTGAAACATCCCTGAAAAAAATATCAGATTTCTAGTAGAGCAGCCAAAATAGGTTACCTGTCACACATCGGCCCTCAAAATACAGGCCCAAACTTGCATTTTAGACTTAAATAGATGGGGCTTATAATTTCTAAATGCATACGCATGCGGTCAAATTTTTAATAGCTATATTAGACACCTGCCCATACATCAGATGCATAGAAATGGATGGGGAACTTTTCCCAAAAAGCCAAAGGACATTCTTTAAAAGAACCAATCAAAAGACATATCAGCTCCTTTTGCTGAATTGATGTAGTACATAAATTCTTCCCAAGCAATATCCTCCTTTAAACTAGCTTTTGAGAATGTTAGGTCCAGCCCAATTTTAATATAGATAATTTCTCATACATTATCAATGTAGATAGAAGAACCAAAAAAATTAAAAGAAAAAGGAAAACCAAAAGATCATACATGGAATGCGGTCAATTCATAAATAAATATGATTATTAAACAATGATAAACAGAGAAGACACCATTGATAAACAGAAATTTCAACAGGACAAATATTAAAAAACCCTCCCAATTTGTTAAAAATTCAGTAACAATAGAGATGTAACAGAAAAAATCCCGTACATTCAAGATTCAGTGTTTGAATATTAAAAATTTGTGAATTTAGAATCAACCACAGCATGATATAATGTCAGAAAGCAAAAATTAAATCACGAAAATTAGATCAATAAAAAGTACATTTACCTTTATTGGAAGTAAATCATAGTTTCTGTATGAGCATTTCTTTCCAGTCTCCTCAAGCTTTTTCTTCATAAGGGTGCTAAAATCATTAGCACCACAGGAAAAGTCAACAATCTGACCATCAATAACTATGCCAATCAGGTATTCAACATCAAGAATAAAAAATAGATTAACAATGTTGAGAATGGCAATCCATCAGACCGAAAATTTCACCAGGAAATTAATATATTTGTTGCATAGAAATGTCCTAGAACGAAAATTCAAGCAGATTTGTGGGAAATCTAATGTAAAAATAGTAAAAATTTTAAAACAGGCTTCAAGTGTATCATACAAAATTTGAGATAAGCTGGAAATCAACATGGAATTTAAGAAAGATCTTTGCAAAACTAGTCAGATCATTAAGAAAGGTTAGTGAGAGAACTACCAAAAGCCAGCAACATTTAGTTCCTTTCAATAATTGATTGGAAAATAAGTAAACACAGTTTTGTAATAAATTTCCCAAGAAGAAACTAGAAACTAAAGATTGGTAGAATGCAAATTTTGTTATTATCTTCACTCAGTTTCAGATAATATAAAGGATCAACTACTGACAAAATTTATGCAAATGGAGATGAAAGATTTGAAATAAATGCACAAGTGCAGGAGTGCTTACAGTATCACCATTCTGAACATACCAATGTAGCTTATCAACAAGCTGCAAATGCAAGAAACCATACCAATGTAGATTATTAAGAAGGATACATAGGTAACATGCTAAGTAATTGTAAATGGTATGAATACTTGAATATGTTGGTCAAGATGAAAATTCATTTGAATATTGCAAAAAGGTTTGGTCATATCTAAGCATGATCCTTTGGTACCCTTTGCTTTTTTAAGGAAAAATCAGTACATGTAGTAATTAATTAATGACCATAAGTGAAACACAATAAACCAACATACCAAGGGATACAACTATAAAGGCAATTCTTAGCACTTCCTTCATTTGTTAGGCTATGGTGTGAAGTGTTTACTTAACAACAACTATCCCCATCATAACAACATTGTGTAATTATTGATTACATTTCTGTCATTCAAACACAGAACCAATAAACCCAACTCAAAACTACCGGTCAGTATCAGGTCTAATGGGTGAACACAAAAATGTAAAATACCACTCGGCATTAGCACAGATTTAGTAAGGCTGCTTTCCTACATAACTGCATAGGCATACTATTTCTCCTATCCATGACATCTGTCTCACCTAGAAATCTTTACTGCATGCGTGCTCAAGGGCAGTCCTAAATAAAAAATATGCTGTAACGAAAAATGAGGACACAAAAGCTAACAATAGTTGAGGACATAAAAGTAGAAATATACAATACGAGAGTATCAAGGGTACAGAATCCAAAAAAGCTACTAAAAGAATAAAGTTGAGTGGAAATATAAGTAGGTACCCCTTCCAGCTTTTCCACATGGGTAAAATGGTGACCATAGCGATTACCATAAAGAAAGGGTGCAAGATATATTTTCAACTTGTCCTACAGGAAATTCACTCTGAAGTTGTGATAACTACATTGAATCATTTCTAGAAAAGACCTAAAAAAACCTTATAAACATTATCAATTTTGTACATCAGTTTTTAAGTGATTGCTTATCTTTTCATATCATCTATCATTTATGAAATTAAATGTAATGACTTCAGTTAGTTTTAATAACACAACTTTTCAATGGCCAAAAGAAAAGTAAAAAAAACCACAACTTTGCTGATTTCTGCATATCTCTAAATAATTAATGATAATATTCACCACCATCATGACAATGTAAAAGGAAAAATATATGAAAATTTTTTACTCTGGTAACAAATAAGAAGTTATCAACTCCTAATCATAGTCTACAGCAGTGAAAAGCCAAACATCAATGACCAGCTTCCATGCCTTATCAACTACATAGAATCGAACAATGCCATTACATTCTAGCAAAAACCAAATTCTCAAAATCTCATGTTTGATGACACACCCAGAGGCAATACATACTCAGATTCATACTTTACATCAATATGCAGTCAATGATCATTATGCATATAAACTAACCTGCTTTATTTTAATTAGAGTACCAAAATAAAAATTTTGGAAATGAATTAAAAATGTGCACCTTCCACTTCAAAATCTGTTTCAGAACATCAGGGTCACAAACAGCTTGTACATCCTGAATGCTGCATCCACTCTCCAGCTTCCTTAGAGCTATTCGAACAGCCTGTATATACACAAGAGATAGAATGCATAATCTTATAAGAACTTCCATAGTGAAGAACTATTATAATAAATATAGACAGTTATGTACGTCAACTGAGCCTTCCAGCTTCCCCATTGTAATGGTCTTCTCCAGAACATTTCTCAATGAGCGAGCACAAGTAGAAGAAATTGTGTGCTTTTTTAAGACACTCTCCAATGTAATTGATGATTTAGATTCTTTAAACAAAGCCAACAAACTACATGGTGGAAAACATTTGAGTTATTAACAATATCATAATGGCAGCTTCAGCTTTCATTTCAAACAAGAATCCATAAGAATTGTATCATAGTGTCAGACATAAAAGGCCACAAAATAAAATAAAATAAATAATAACAAGATAATGATTCAGAAGTTAGGTTAGAAAGATTTACCTCTTTTCTGAATCATCATCTAATGGAGGTAATGCAGTACTCAGCTTTCTAATAGGCTTGACAAACAGGGACTTATTAATCACATTATTGACCTGATTGTCAGGCTTGATTTGATCTGAACCCTCATTCTTGAGAGCATATAATTTCTCACCTGTTGGAGGCTGGTTATGGTTTTCCTCACAGTCAGGCATTTCACATTTCTTTGACATTGAACTCTTATTTTCATTCAAACAACTTGATGATTCATTTGATTTCGTATCAGCCTGCTTCTTTCTGCCAACTTCGCCAGAAGACAGCTTTGCAGTCAATTTGGATCCTTTAGCAATGCTTTCGCCAGATGAATCATCTAAGTCAACATTTTTCTTCTTCAATATAATTCTCTCTTTAGATCCAGGTTTCTTTCGCTCAATAGTAGGATAATTAGGATTAATTTCTTGAACAGTAGCTTTCTTGCTGGGGAATTTTATATGATCTCTTATAGGAGTCCCAAGTTTATCATCAATCTCGTGATTTCTGGTCCAAGTAAAGGTAAATAAACTTACATAGGGGATTATCAAGGAAAAATTGAAAAACAAAAGCATCCATTTAACACTTACAAGCAATATATAAGAATGCGATTGTTTGGTAAAAGTTCTTCCCAAGCTCTTGTTATAATATGTTCATCATCTTTGTCCTCAAAAGCGATTTCTCTGTTAAAAGCAATTTGAGAATCAACGATCTAGATATTATCAATTAGAATTATAAAATGACGACAAAAAACACAGAAAAAGAGAGAAATAACCTTGGCAAACATTTGCGATGATATGACTTTGGACATCTCCAGCAAACAGCAAATCGCAACTCAGGATCTATCTTATTTTCCAATTCCTTACAGACACAGCAATAATGAAGGGGACAAGTAAAAGGATCCCCATCAGCAATATTTCTCTCGAGTTCCTCTGCAACATGCTTAACTACCTGGGGAAGTAACTTAGCAACGCAATGTGGATGATAAAAACGGTCACAGGTTGCAGAAGCACATTTAATGACCTGAAAGATGAATTCCAAAAATAACTTTTAGTTCCATACATTACAAGGAAGTTACACCCTCTTGTTTCCAAAAATCATTAATATTTTAACTAATCAATAAAAATCAATGCTAGATAAAACAGACATTGAAGTGGGATATACTACATGGCATGTGCAAGTTAAGCTTTGAAACAAAACAAATTTTACAAGGTTCAAACCTCAAATGTTTTCATAAATTGTCAAAATTGTCTAAAGCATACAACATATTTCCCCCTAAATTTGTTCAATGGGCAGGTTTGGGCTGGCTAGAGGATGTGTGTCCCAGGGTCCTAGCAAGTCAAAAAGAAAAACAGCTCCAATCATTGCCATGGATCCTGAGCAAAATCATTTAAAATCTAGCCTGCCTGAATGGGAATATTATAAAGAAAATAAAACTCTGCAATTATATTCTCAAATTAAATAAAAAAGCATACCTATAAATACAGGAGTGTATCTTTCAAATGAGGAATAGTGACTTCCATCCAAAACTTTTGAGATCTATGATTAGTTATTCTAGTGAGGAAACAACTTGTCTACTGAATAATGCTTTGACTCAATAAATACTAAACTCGAAAGAAAAATGAAACCAAAATGAATCGTGATAATGAATTGCATAAGAGATCTAGAGCTGCCACATCAGTGATGTTTGCATTTACCATAAGGTAGCATAAACATTAGCAGACCCAAAATTCTAAAAGCTCTTTCTCCTCTATAAAGTTGTGAACAAGAAATAAGTATTAAAAAGGGCAACAAGGAGGAGCCGGCACATCATTTGACTACAGAAAAATGTGTTAATAAACTAAAACAAGAAGCAAAGAGAAATTATTTTTGGCATAGCCTATACCTCAGCACCCTTAACTTTATCAGAAGACCCCAGCTTGCCACATGCAAAGCATTGGTGCAGACAATATTTACAATTCTTACAATAAAAGCTCTGGATCTCCTGCAGATTTTTGCCACAACTCACAATCAAACAAATTTCTACATGATTATGTAAAGTGGAAAAGGACAAGTAAAATATAAAAGGAAAATGGAGAAACATCATCATACATCAACTTCCTTCTGGGTGAAACCAAGAGAATCACAACTAACTTCTTTACCATCCTCCTCAGTAGCATGAAATGACCTCATGCATGGTCCTTCACAACTGCATTTATCATTAAATAACTTAAAATTATGAAGAAAAACTCCAATACTATTCTACGATATGGAGACAAACAAAACTGTGTGTAATAATTTACCCTCAAGAAATTTCAGATTATCGTAAAATTATCTTTATAATATATTGCAGAATCAATTAGCCATCTAATTGTGGAAACAATCTTAGGAGATGTTTCCCAATTTTGTTATATTTTTTGGTTTGTCCCCTTTTTTATTAGGGTTATTGCTCTTAATATCTTGGTGGGCTTTGGATTACACTAGCTTTACTATACCAGTAGACTAATGCTTCATTACTGGTACAAATAAAACTATTGTGTTAGTATTTTGTATCACATTATTACACACCATTATCAATATAATGTATTATTATGCATAGCCTCCATTCAATAATTCTTAACATAATTATATGCAGTCACAGTCTCACAGAGATACACAGGACTAAATGAAATTAACCCATATGAAACAGTATTCATACCACAAAAGATTACCACCATTGTCACAAAGTGCACAAACAGAACAAAACAAATCATCCTCTTCTTCTGACTCTTCATTAGCTTCATCTACCCTATCACTGTCAATACCAACTGTAAGTCCAGGTTGTGCCAAATCTTTAACTCCCTGAAATCAAGTAGAAAAAATCTTATAAAAATACATATGACAATAATAAAATGAAGAAAATGTATCATAGAAATTCATCTTCAAGGATTGAAAAATAAATATGTAAGCAGACCTTATCAAGAAGTTTCTGACTCTCCAGCTTCTCCAAAACCATGAGCAAAAGCTGCTTAAGTCATCGTGTAATTGTCATTAAAATGAAGCAGGCATGTTGGGAACAATAACCAAGCCATATCCCACAAGGTTTTTATTGTTATTATAAGCAAAAATTTTGCAAAAGAACAAACAAAAGGATATTTATACACTTATTAAACAAATAAAAAAAGAGATTAAATTTAACATAACTAAAGGGAAAGCAAATTTACGAGCAAAAAGTAGACACATCATTCAATAATTAAACAATTTTGTTATGTGGGGGTACATATTTGTCGGAAGAAGAAAGGCAGCGAAAAGTAAAATATGGAGAAAATTAGAAGAAACAGAGTTCAATTGACCAACATTTCATTACAGCATGAAAACTGTTAAGGATAAAACAGTATCTGAGATAAAAAAACCTTATCAAGTTCAATGAACAAAGAAGGATCATATAGACTCCTTAAGACGACTTCAAAGGAGTCAGTATATTTGATACATGTTCAAAAAATAATTAATATACAGCATTTTTGAGGTTGCCTGCTACTATTTGAGATTGATAACTATGGTACAATGTTAAACTCAAACCATATTTTTAATTATTGATTTAAAAAAGGGAGTTGAGGAAGAAGAAGTGAAAATGCTAGTTTTCTAGGTAAGTGTTTAACACTACATTGTCTTTGGAAAGGGAAATACAAACCTTGGACTTAGCTAATACAGCATCTCTTTTGGCAGCTTCACCAATCAAAGGCACATGGTCCAATAAATCGCTTTCTGAAGCCTTAACCCGATAAGAGCTACAATAGTTTTTACAAGAAAAAAAATTCGCGAAATGAACTTTCACATAAATCAGCATTAAAAGGGGAAGTTTGAAAAGGAAGAAGAAAGAACACCTCAACTCCTTATCCTTACGCAAGCCTTTCCAGACAGATACCGCAGACAATCGTCGATTTTTTTTCACACGATGCAGGAAACGAAGGGTGATCCAAATGGTTCTCACAGTATCCTGAAAGCTCTTCCTAGGCCTCAGAAGCTTGATCCAGCTTCCATCCTTCGATAGCAAGGATATCTCGGGTTTTACATTGGAAAGATCAAATCTCCACGCGGTAACTTGCATGAAAATCTTCTGCAACCCATTATCAGCGAACCCGTGTAGGAACACATGGCCTTGGTTGGCATCAGAATTCTTAGAACCACTCCATTGAATTGGCAATACAGAAAAAGACACAGGAGTGTCATCTTCGTCTACAAGATGGTAATTCGACACAGAGAGAGGCTTCACCTCAGTCTCATCATCTGAAGACGATGCCTTACCCCTTTTCATCCCAAACCTTCTTCACTACACACCTAAACCCCCGCAAAAAATCAAAAAGTAAGTAACAGTTTCATCAAACGTATCTAACGAACAATCAAAATCGTTTAGGGTTAGAAAGTAAAAAAATATGAATCACAATGGCCATAAGTGAATTTAATTGGAACATGCAATGGTAGCAGAAATCAACGGAGAATGAAACAAGTAGAACCATAAACCCTAAAATCAAAAACAGGAAAACAGAGAGCGAGAGAGTGTGTGCGGTACCTTGTAACGCGAGAGAGGGAAACAATGGAAATCGAACGTAGAAAGAGAAGAGTGGTGGCGATGCGTTAGTAGCTAACAGTGTTGTCACGGTGCTTAGGCTGTGACGAATATTTTGGCGCTTCGTTCTTCACAAAACTGTCCACGTCACCAAACTTCGTCACTGCCCGTGCCACCTGTCTGCACTGCCACTTGCTACCATGATGCTGATGATGCACTGTTGTTTGACCATTATTAAATTAAAATATTATTTTAAATAAAAATTAAAGATATATTATATTATTTTAAAATTAAAATAAAGTTATTATTTAATAACATTTATCAAACAAGATAATAAAATGATAATTACCTCTTTAAAATATTTTTATTTAAGATATTTCTTAAAAAACTGTAGTTTAAGAATCAAAACTCATTTTAATATATAAAAGATGATATAGAGTATATAATTTATAATTATATGAATTTTTTTATATAATATTTAAATAAGTTATTAATCCTTGAAAATATTATGTCTTTGATTTTAATTTTTATAATATTTTATTAATGTTAGTTTATACAAAAAACAAAAAAGCATATAGTTTAATAAATAATGTGTTTCTTTTAAAATATAAAAACTAAAATTGAATAATTTAAAAAAAATAAAATCAAATATTTTTAGAAACGAATTGGTTATTTAAGCCAATATATTCAGACATATTTTTATCCATTTTTATTCGTATAAAAATATACTATTGTGTAACTTTTTGATACGTGACATATACTCTTGTTTAAACACATTAATGATGCATTGAAATTTACAGGGAAAAAAAAAACATTGTTAATATTTTTAATTTTAAAATTTCTTAAATGCGTTATAGCTTGATAGCTTCAGAGTTGAGATATTCACATCATTTCATCTTTTTGCTTTACTTTTATCAGGTTGAACCTTATATTTCTGTGTAAGCATGAATAATAGCTTATTAACTTCTGTGTTTTCTGACACAGCAAATGGTCATAATTGTGGGTTGCCATGGTAACATAATGAATGAGAAAATACAACTAGAGTTGCAATGGAACCTTCTTAAAAAGAATAATCCGGTAATAAGGGACAAGTTGTGTGAATCCCCCTTATTGATCTCTCTCATTTCTTTCTACCCCTCTTAAGCTTTTATTTTGTTCCCTCTCATTAAGCCAAAGAACAAGATATTTTTGTACAAACTATTCACATCTATTCTATAGGTTTACATTGGTAACTTTTTTGAAGGTTGAGATTTTGGTGGAGGTGATTCTTAAGCTTTGCTGTATTATATGCTCTAACAAAAACACTTGAGACTCATCTCATGCCATGAAAGCTTTGCAAAATGCAAATTACACTCACAACAGCTCATCTCCTGCAGGAATTCCATCAGACTCAAGTTGTGAAGAAGAGGCTGTTGTGTCAGAGGTAGCATCATCAACACTCAAGTTGGAGAATTCACCACCGAGGGAGGAACTTTCATCTTCGCCACAAACCGAAGGTGCTGGGGATGCTTCCGGCGTGGTGGTAGTAGCAGTGTCAGCAGGTGAAGGAAGTGAATCTGAATCTTCAGTCTGTTGTAGGCTCCAATACATTAAACTGGCTGCAAGAGTGAGAATCATCTTCTGATTTACCTGCCATGAGATCAACAAAGAATCAAGCACATCATAAACAAAGTCAATTTGGAAGGTGTTAGGTAATTTTTTTGGTATCTTTTCCTTATTACATGGTGTATATAAAGTTCTGTAGCAAACATGAATGAAACTAAGGTGACAAACATACCTCCATAATGTCCTCAGGTAACAAAAAGATGGAACAACCAAGCTTTCGCGCAACACTGATTATATAGGTGGCATTCAACTTCTTCTCATCATCTACAATAACAACAAATTAAGCCAATTTAGGAGGGATGAGAAAAATAGCTAAGCCATTACATGTTATACAAAGGACCGTTTTATCTATTATCTATTTATCCCTATGGAAATAGCCAAACGCAAAACGGTAACATTTGAAATAAATCATACCACTTTCACCCTTAGTGACAAGGTTCCAATTGACAACCCTTGGCTCAACAGCACTCAGAAGCTCAAGGAAAAAGAGTCCACTTGATAAGCTCTTGTCCTGTAGATAAAATTACATTAAAAAAAACGTGTCACTCGTAAAACATCATTTTAGTTTACTGTTATTAGGCACTGTTAGCAGGAAACAAAACAGAGAATTTCTTTCAGGAAAAACCTTGAAACTCTCTATGTGAGAAGTTCTGCCAGTGCTCTTCACTTTTCTGTTTGCCCATTTCAGGATATCAGCATCACTGATCTCCTTTCCTTGGGAATGATTTCTCAAATTTTTCAACAGTTGAAGAATTGTGAATCTCATCAGCTGCCACAGTAAAGCTGAAAAATAAAATTCTATGAAAAGTAAGTCTCTTTCAAGGAAGTCACAACTGCAATGCTTGCCAATATTTTTGGTTTGGCCAAAAATTTGGAATACTAACTTTTATCCGTAAAACTGCCACAGAAATAGAAAGATAAAACAGATAGGTGGGAATAGGGGCATAAAAAGCTAAATAAAAGCAAATATGTCCACAACATTCGTGTGGAAGCTATAGTGAGATGAAGAGTTTACCAAGAACAAGCTTCTTATTTCCTTGCACAATGTCATTGCCAGCAACATTGACTAGTGAGAATCTCAGCTCTTTACCAATTTTTATGACCTGATTGCAGTTCTCTACTTTTCTGAATGGCATTTTAATTGGAGGTCTAGTTGCCTGTTTCCAGTTAACTGATCCTGGAAAAATCTTGTCTAGCACTTCTAAAAGTATCCATCTACATGCAGAAAGTAAAAGGAATCAAACACATTAAGAACCTGGTAAATTTATAAATTAAATTTGGATATCGCATTCATTTCCTTTTCCCCAACATGGTGTAGCTGGAAAATTACCAGAAACTTGAAAAAGAAAAACCCAAAGACAAAGATGCACACAAACATATATATGTCTGTGTGTGTGTAAATGTATATGTATATATAAGAGCAATTGCAGGCCTACAGGATCAGTGGATAAATGTGTGCCAATGGCTCCTTTGGTCATTACATTTTGAGATCCAGAAAATTTACATTTTTACACATATATATAAGGCTTTAGATTTCAACAAAATGGTAAATGCAGTTTAAAGAAGGAACACATACCCATTTTTGACATCCTCAAACAGATTATTTACGTAAGTAGAAATTCCAAGGCTATTGATCCACAGCCGGAAGCATCTCTCTTCTCTAGATGTTTGCACATCATCCGTCATCATCTCAGCATATGATATTTTTTTAGTGTCTGTAGATAGACCACTCCTGCATTGTGTAGGGTCCTAATTAAATGACTACAGCAATTGAAAACAAAAGATCCAGAAATCAACATATGTAATGCTGCTAAACCAAAGTATGTTCAGAAAAGTAAGAAGATGATTATTGATTGTCTAGGTCGATTGTAAACTACCTACTCTACTTTTTAATCTCCAAATAATAAAATTATTTGATTTTTTGCCTCAAGGGAACTCAATATTGTTTGTCTTTCTTTGTGCCTCATGTATAAAAACACATACCATAAGATTATTCTAACGCATTGCAATTCCTACAGCTTACCCTACCTACTACCACTCAGATGCATGACAATAATGATTATGATAACAACATGCAGATTAAAAAAAAGGATCGTCCACTCATGAGAACTGCACATGCATATAGAAATTTATTTAAATTATCAAACCGTCTGCATAAAATTAACTATGCAATTCATTTCTTACCTGTGATGAAACAATTGTGCGACAAATGCAAGATTCAAATTTGAGGTACCCTCTGCAATGTCCCTTGAAGTCAGGTATCTTTTGCAACCCATTCTCTCTGCATGATCAAGAACCAGATTTGCCCTATCATTTACATCCTTAGTATCCAAGGTGGCTGGACTACAATGTTCAGGGGCAAGGACATTAAGCAGATAAGCATAAGCCTCTCCATCCTGTGAATATATGGGCATGAACACATAAGGATAATGGATTGATAATAGCTTGATTCAATTTCAAATTGTAGAGGCAAAACTCCCATGAGTTCATGACATTATTGGTATAGAAGTCATAAAGATGTAGGAATCATAATTTTGAAGGAACAAAAATTAGAAAAATTGGAATTTGATTTTTTTATTCCCAGTTGTTATTTAAATTTATGTACTTAAAGCAGCCATTACATAGTTAGAAATTTCACATGAGTGAACATCTTCCAGGTCAAGCCTTACGTACTTAGAAATTCACATTCCATGAAGCATGAAAAATTAAAGATAATTCAAGATTACGTACTTAGAGCAGCCATACATCAAAAGTATAGTGTGTGTGTGTGTACATATAGATGTGCTTATGCATATTCATAAATATGGATATATTCATGTTCGGAACTTCATGTTGCCCATTTATCCATCTTAAGAATAATAAATATGTAAGAGTTCCCACTTTATTTTAATCTAACATATATCTTCACCTTTTATGAATACATTTCACAATATTTTAATGTAACATATACATTTGAGCAATTTCATAAAAAATATTTCACTTAAAAAAACCTATTTTTAGAATATGGGGCTCAATAATACTCAATCTTGACATTGTACCAGGGCTTACCATCTCAAAAGTAAATTTTTTATTATTTTTAGATCATTTATTCTGTTAATAACCATATGCTTTAAACCTTTCTTTCACATAAAGACACAAGGTAAGAAACCTTGAAGAATAAACACAATTTCAAATTCTTCAAAACTCAAATTTATGATAGAGAAGATATAAAATGATACATACCAAAATAAAATGATTAAAAAAATATAGACATTGCACAGCTTTATAACTATCAATACTAAAATTAATTTTAAAAAAAATCCTCAAATTGCATTTATTTAGTTGAACACTTGTACTCATAAGTATACAAAAATAGTTAAAAACAAAATAAACTAATCATAAATTAGTTACTCTAACAAATTTTTTTGAAAAAGTGCTCATATATATACCTTAACATCAGAAGAAAAATTTTTGACAGTTTTCTGGTAACCTCCTCTTTGGAGATGAAAGTTCATCCATTTTAGTAGAACCTTTTCAGGAGACAAATTAAGAAGCTCTTCAATCTCCTGAGACAACAACAAAAAGCAAGATTAATTAGTTATCCTAAAATACATTGTGTAAAATGAAAAAATTAAATTAAATTTAATTGCAATTAAAACAAAAATTAAAGAAGAAATATGCACATGTCCTTACCTGGCTGTCATCAACCAATTCCACAAGTTGAGGTGTCTTCTTAAGGTTGAGATCTGCCAGCAGTTGAATCTGAAATCACCAAGAAAGTGGGAGATGACTAAGTAAACATTTCTAAAGTCAAAAGATCTATTAGGCCATTAAGAAAACAAATAATGTCAGCATACAAGCAAATTCAAGCAACTAAACCAATAAAGAAATAAATGAAATGTGACATTTGAATAGTTACCTTTATGATCTGGGAAATCAACCCTAGAACAAGATGAGGCTGCAACATAAACAACCAAACAATAATGTCATAAAGACTAAATATTAAGAACCTAAGTGAATATGGATAGAAGATTATGGGGAGCTCAGATTGCTAAAACTTACTCTTCCTTCAACTAAGTCTTGTGTACCAATGTTAACCACCGTGCAGCCAATAGCCTTGGCAGAATTGAGGCACAGAGTATGGTTCTCATTTCTCTCCCAAAGAGTAGGATTTCGTTTGGCATTGATGGCTCGGTCATCTATGGTCCCAGGCACAGCAACATTTATGAGCTTACTGCATTAGGCACAACATATATCAAAGCCGGAATATATTAAAGGGCTGTACAATCATACACACATAAGTAAAATGCAACAATCAGCAGACCCTGCTTATATACCACAGAAGAACGCCATCTTTTGCAAGATCAAATATATCGTTTGTAGCTGGGTCCAATGGAAGATATTGCTGCAAAAAGGGATCATCGCCAAGGTAGCTGTTTATGTGGGTGACATAGCAGGCTTTTTCGGATTCACTGATCGTATGAAGAAGGGTGGTTACAGTTTCCTTGAGGAATGATGATGAGTGCTTCCTGCCACCTTGTTTTGCTATAGCTTGGCTTTGCAAATTCAAATATGCCTGCATGAAAAAACGCAATAATTGAAAGTTACATACATTTAGTAACATCCATTATATTTGATGTTATATATAGCACATAAACTGTTCCATTAACAAAACTAATTTAAACGTAACATCCCATTTTTATAATTTCACAAAATGGAAAATGTCATCAAATTTAACAACATTGAAAAAAAGAAAAGTCAGAGAAATGATATTCCTAACCCTTAAGAAGCCTTCAAAATCAACATCATTGGTAAAGTCAGTGCCTGACTCACCCAAGATCCCCCTAATCTCATCCTCACCGTACATATCTCTGAATGCCTTTAGCTGCACCATTAAAGGTGGCAAATCTCCAAACGTAACATTTCCATTCTGATTCTTTAAAGAGACAAACTACAACACCAGAAAGAAGGGCCAAATATAGGTAAAAGAAAAAAAAAACAAGAAGTATGAAAGGCACCACATTTAAAAGAATAATAAAATAGGATCAAAATGTCCAAATGAGCTTACTTTTGATTTCAGGCTGCGAAGTTCAACCTGCGTAAACTGGCTTTGAAGCCATTGATCGGAGACAATAACACCCTCAAATTTTGACATCTTGGAGAATCAATAATACACAACAGATGGCCAACCAAAGCTACAAATTATGTCCCCAAACTACAAAAAGCCCCTAGAAAAGCTTTAAAATATTTGCGTAAACAAACAAGGTGCACTCCTCAACAACCTATTGCCAGATGCAATTTTACACGATCAAATTCTATAACAAAACCCCAAACAATAAGTGGATTAACTCCTAAAGTCACCGATCTGTCCAACGTTATCCTGACAGACTGCACAAACAAAAGATAAGCTTAAAAAAGGAAAACAGAGCAAATATAACACACGAAGGTTAAAAAACAAAAAAGGAGTTTGTTAGATTAGTTATTGAAAATCTCAAACCTCATCACTAAAAAATGGCCAGAAACTCAATTCCATCAAACACACGAAAAGCGTATGACACATTTCACATCTATCTAATTGTTTTTTCACGAACACGGTTAAAGTCTTAATGTTATTACAATCTACCCCTCCACCCCACAAAACAAAATAGAATTTTGACGGTTGAGATCAATGAAGAAGAGAACTTGAGTAAGCACCACGCGGAAACTGGTACATTGTAATTGTTATTTGCAGGGAACACGTTAATAAGTGAATCAGTGAAAGTAATAATGAGGACATACCCATACATAAAAATCAGGTATGGGTTGTTTGAATGTTTGAATGTTCAACTACCCCTCATTATTTCAGAAACAGCACATTGAATGAAGGAACATGATGCCGAGATGCAGAAGAGAAGAGTATGGGAGAGAAGAAAGGATCGATTTTTCTTAGTGGGTAGGCAAAGTGATAGAGAAGAGTAGAGACCCGCACCCCGAACCGTGTGACTCGTATGACTTTGTTTTCTCTTGTTTTTGTTTAGATTCACGTTCGTTTTGTTACGCGCGTGGCTTAACCGCGAGAGTATGGGAACTTATTTAAGTCGCTCTAGGCTTGGCACACGTCACTCTCTGGGTGTATAGTTTTTTTGGTGTTTTCTGCAACCGACTTTGATCTTATTTTGTGATCTCACCAAAACACACCAGTCATCATGCCCACGCTTCTCATCACAGCTGTGATTAGATTTGGGACCAAGTGACCAACACATTACGCAACATTATTATTATTATTATTATTATTATTATTATCATTTTCTAATTATATTCCATCAAATCTCGTGCCCAATTTTCTATTCAACCATGTTATTTTTCCATGGCAATCCAAATCAAGAGATTAATGTTGTTTATTTTAAAGTTTAGTAAAATTAATTTTGGAATATAACTATAGTATCTGTTTTAATCATTTTTAATCATAAAATTTTATTAAAATATGAATTTTTATTAAAATGTAAGAATTAACTTTTTAATGGCATGGACAGGTTTGTCGTAATAACTTTACTCTAGTTTAAATATAAAATTAATTTTACACTTAATTACATATGCTATGAAAACATTCGTTAAATAATTAAGGAATAAAAAAATTATATTAGAGGTATATTAAAGTTTATATCACCACAAGTTTTAATAAAAAATAATTTTCAATTTTCAATTTTCAATTAATAATCTTAAGTTATATTTCAAGGTTGAAAAAAAATTAAAGAGGTAATCTAATCATTCTTAAACTAGCAATTTGTTATATTGATTTCATTTGGCAATTGATTTCCTAATTTTTAGTTTTTTATCAACAATTTTACTTTATTGATTAGTGAAGTCCTTTTTAATCACAAAGTATTATGTAATACAAATGAACAATTAAAAAAGAAGATAAAGTTGACATTAATGTTTGATTCTAATTTATCCTCAGCACATTCCCTTACAACAAGGAAACATTTATAATTCACGCAACTCTCATTTTCCATTTTGTGAAATACATTATTCAATTTGTCATGCATGATTGAGGATTGGCAATGAGATAGAACAATTCAAAAGGTCCCATTAGCAATTAGAACATAAGAAATTACATAAAAAAGCAACTCATAAGAAAGAACAAATAAACAATACTAATTATCTTAAGAGAGAAAAATTTTTAAAAATAAAATTTGAGGGAATTAGTAAAAAGTATATATAACATAAGAGAAAAATAACAACAACTACCGTAGGAAAAATAATAGTCTTATTACTTCTAAAATTTCACATAAAATGAAAATTAAAAAAGGAATAGAATATTTTATTTTTAATAGTCAAACTAATGAACGCTGATTAAAAGACGACTTTTACTTTTCAACACAAAGCATAAACACATGAGTCATACATTTTGGTTTAACAAATACGTAATACATTATTAATATATTTAAAATGCAGGCTTACAAATTACTAGTTAATAATTATTATTTTATAAATAATTTCGTGAAAATTAAAAGAGAATTTTATACTTTCTCACGCGTAAAATAATCATTATTATTAATATTATATTAAATATGGATAATGTATAATAAATAGTAAGAGGTAATAAAATATACAGTAATAAGCACTTATTTTATTTGATAAAAAATGCATAATTTTTCTTTAAAACATACTCCTGTAACAAAATCTCTATGTCAGTTGATCTAATATGCATTATTCTTATAAAAAAAATTCAAATTCAACCTATCAAAAATAATGAGAAAATACAAACAGAAAGGGCTAATTGATTTTGATAATATGTCTTAAAGAAGGTGTAATGATTAGATTGTAAGGGCATAATTAATGAGATTGAGTTAGTGGTGTTCACGCCATAGCGTAGCTAACAGCCACCGCCAAACCGACCGAGAAGTGGTTGCTGTAACCATTGTCGATGACAAAGAGCATGTGCCACCACCACACCACATTCCAATTCTCTATCTTATTATTCTTAATTCTTAACATTAACTTCCATTATTCATTCATGGGGTGGGGTCAGATCAAACAACGATATCATCATAGATCAGCGTCAAACAAAGAAACTGTCAGAAAGGGTTTTGGAGTTTTGCTCAATAGCTTTAAGCCTCGTATAACGGGCCTGGGGTGTTGGAGGTTGAAGATATCAACTTAAATGTTGAAATTGGACCAGATTTGGTTGTACAATGGGCTATCCCTAATTGGGTATTTCTATTATGGATATTTGGGTTTACATATTGAAGAGTTGAAAACAATGAAAATCTAATTTTATAATTATATTTTGAAAGTTTGATTTACATATAGAATTTAGTTTCTAGAAACCTTCCGATAATTTTCAGAAAGTTTATTTTTAAAATTAAATTTTCAGTACTTGTCAATGGTGAATTTTCTTAGTAAAATTAAATTTCCACAACTGAGCCCAAATAACAATAGCAACATACCATTTCAATAATTAATTGTATGTTTTGTATTATTATAGATTATAGTTTGTGCATCAAGTGAGAGTTAATAGTAAAATACAAAAGTAAAAGCACTATTATTAAGTGAAAAAAAAAAAAAAAACTTTTAGTAGAGCTACTAAGAACAAGAAACCTTAGGGGTAGTCTCTCTTTGCATTGCTGGAACAATGGAAATTCAATCACAATAAATCATAGTGATGAATCTACAGTGAAAGACAACCTTGTAATCATTGACATATAATGTCTTCGTCAAAGGGTACATTTGCATTATAACCCTATTCAACATCTGACCAATAGTTATCTGAGATGAAACACAAGGAACTGAGAAGATGATGCCATGTTGATTTATGCAAGGAAGAACTCCAATGGTAAAAGGAGAAAGACAATCTCACAGAAGTCAATTTTCAGATTATTAATAACATTTATCTCATAAACTCAATGAAGCTAAGAATTTGATCCTATATATTGAAGATGAGTTCTCCATGGTGCTAAAAGTTATAATCATACCAATAGTCTCTATGTACATACAGTAAAGATGTAATAGCTTTCTTCACCTACAACGTTAATCTATTTTACTGTATAATTTATTTAAGCCGAGTACAATATTCACAACAACCCACAAACGTTTTGATTCTCATTTTTTTTTGGGGTGATGGTGATTTCAGGTAGTAGAATATTTCCATCACCTACACTTGATCTATTTAAATGTGTAATTTATTGTTAACAAGTGCGATATTCATCATAGCCCATTAGTGTTCTGATTCCAACTTTAGTTTTTGAGATCCTTACAAAGGTATTAGTCACATACCCTTTTAAGCACAAGACTAATTGCACCGAAAGTGTCTCAATGGAGGCGATCATTGCAAAGATCAATCCCTGTTATTATAGGCTCATGAATAGCTTATAAAAAATAATATATAACTTTCATAAATTAATTTTAATAATTTTTTATATAATTTATCAAAGTAAATTGTTTTTAACTTATTTTAATTAAATTTATAACATAAACTATTCCTAAACCCACCATTAGTGCAATATTCATCATATTCCACTAATGTGATATTATCTTTTGGCCATATTCCTCGTATTCCACCAATATTTCCTTATCAACTTTTATGACAATAATTTTTATAATTTATCAAAATGAATTATTTTTAACTTATTTCAATAAATTTTATTATTAAATAATGTTCCCACAAGCAATCTTTATGATTGTCCATGAGTGCAATATTCCTCCTGTCCCACCAATGTTTCATTATCAACTTAATTTTTATTTCATGAATTTAGTAATGCCTAAAGAACAATTTAGGATAGAGAATGAGAACCTCAATCCAGGGTCCCTGAAGTCAATGAAATTAATTCTTCCTCTACGCATAAAAAGTTTTTGTTAACAAAAGAAGGTGGATCAACTTTATAGTTTTTTATTATTCAATTTTTGGCAGTATTATTAAATATCAAACAAAACGCGTAATGAACAGAAACCAAAACAGAGAACTTGTGTGTCTGCATAGAGTCATTAATGATCAGATTCAAGGTAGGCCTTCAACATTATGAACCGTTTTTGTTTATTAGCGAGTAATGGGCCAGCGTAACTTTCGTTTTGTTATGATTACTATCACTATTACAGTGGAAATCTATCTCGTGAACTTCTACCAAAAGCACTCACATGCCACACCTAAGTGTGAGTGAAACTATAGAGGCTAAAAAAATGCAAATAATTATACCAACTATATTCTAAACATCACTATAAATTAACTTCATGAATGCAAAAGAGTATAGTATACTAGACCAAGCTAACTCAACACCTGGTTAATGAGAGAATGGCACAGTCTAGTGGCAACACTTTGGTTCAGTGGCTGGTAGCAGCACTTCTTATTTCCTTGTTGAGTGGTGCCAAACCTTTTCAGATATGTAACATAGACTCAAATCAGCTAAAATTATGTCGTGCAGCAGTTAGTGGTCAAAACCCGCCACCACCAGATGAAAAATGTTGTGCAGTTATTCGCCAGGCCAATTTGCCGTGCCTTTGCGGATACAAGTCCATCCTCCCTTCAATTGGAATAAACCCCAAAAATGCTTTGGCTTTGCCTGGTAAATGTGGTATGAAAAACCCTCCTAATTGTTGAGGTAATAATCTTTAGCCTCAATAGAGTTTGAACTTATAATTAGCTTATGCTTATTTTTGACGAGGTATAGCTTCATGACTCAATCATCTTTGTTATTGCAGCTTAGTGACATAAGTAATGAAGGTCACATCATTTCAAGATCCTATTAGTCTTCACTTGCTTTCATGTGTTTTGTGAACACTGAAGACGCTTTTAAGACAGAATTTGTTACCCCTCAAATAAAGGTGTAGTTTGTTTTAATCAGTGTGCTTTGCCCATAAGTTTTCTGGCAGATGTGTGGTGTGCCAGTATCTGATCTTGCAGATGCTGCAAAAGATTTGATGTATAACAATACAAGATATGATTACTCTTTTTCCTCCATGTCTACAAGAATATCAAGACATCTATTCTATCATTCCCTCTTCCTGAAACTTGTAACATGTTTAATAAAATGTTTGGTTTTTGGGTTCTGAATTAAAGGAGGAAAATCAATAAATGAAACTAGGAGACAGCCTGTATATACACGAGACAGAATACTTAATAAAATCCTTAACGAGACACCGTAGCAATAATTAATAAATATAGATAGTAATGGTCTTCTTCACAACACCTCTATGAGTATGAAAGTGCTTTTCTAAGACACTCTCCAACGTAATTGGTAATCTAGCTTCTTTAAACAAAGCCAACAAAAAACATGGGAGGAAAACATCGAGTAAATAAGTTCTTAGCAATATTAAAGAACCAAAAGAACAAAAAGAATCAACAGCCAATCAGAAGTCAGATTAGAGAGATTTACGTTCTCTATGAATCAGCGTCCAAGGCCATGCACTACTCAGCTTTCTAACAGCCTTGACAAATAGGATTTTATTAAGAACAATCTCGACCTGATTGTCATGCTAGATTTTCTCAGAAAGCCATTATTCACGACAGCATATAATTTCGCAGTTTTCCTCTCTGTCAGGCATTTTAAATTTCTGAGATTGATTTCTAATTTCCAGTCAAAGACCTTCTCAATGTTTCATTTGATTTTCGTTTATTTTAGATATTTGACCAAAAATGGAGTGCACTTCAAATATTTGATCAATGAAGAAAACATTTTCATTTATGTAAAAGTAGAAAAATGAATTACTTAAGGCGTGTGCTCGGCTGCCAAACAACGCTAGAAAGGGTTGAAATAAGGTGGTTAGATAGACAGACAGAAAATTGAATAGACTATATTTGAAGCTGATCCTGTGAATTAACATACTTAAACAAAATGAGACAAATGCATTCGTGAACAAAACATTCTTGCAATGACCGACATATAAACAATGTTTTAAAAATAAATAACTACCAACACTAACAATTGTATGAATTAAATGAAACAAAATTCCAGGGAAATAAAGTATATCATACTCTATTACCTCCTAAAACAAAAGTATAACACATTCATTTTACAAACTTTGAATCAGATCTCCCATGAAATGCAGTGTGATAAGGTTCTTGCCCTTAAGTTTTGTTTACCAAGATGGAAGAAGTGAAGTTGAACGGGAAGGTGTGCAACAAGACATTCTCCACTCATCACATATCCATTTATTCATCCTTTTCACCCTTTTGTTAGGTCTACCTCCAACCATCCTCACAAGCCATTCAGGCTTTCCTATTAAGAGCACGCAACACCCCATGCCCATCCCAAATACCATTCCACATCCATATCCTATAGCCACTGCTTTCCAACCAAATCCAAATTTTTGTTCATCCTGCAAGGCTGATAAAGGTGGAGAATGTTGTTCATGCTTGTTGCTGCATGTTATTGACAATGGGAGTCCACATAACCCCAAATTTCCTTCATAGGAATCATTTGAAAAAGTATTGAACTGTTTTCCTTGAGGTATCTCTCCAACAAGATGGTTTTGAGAAAGATTCAGGACCTCAAGAAAGTTCAAATTGATTAATTCCGTAGGAATCCTGCCGGTGAGCATATTGGAGGAGAGATCCAATGATTCCATGTTTGTCAAATTTCCCATGGATTGGGGAATAGAACCATTGAGTCTGTTATGCGAAAGGTTGAGCCCTTTGAGTGCATGAAGCTCTCCAATAACATCTGAAATCTCCCCTTCAAATTTGTTTTCCGATAAATCAATGTTTACAAAGTTTCTTGGAATTTTCAAGAGCGTCATACTGATCGCTTTTGTTGTTACAGTCACAGAATCAATGTATGTTTGATTCATTGAATTATTCTCCAAGTATGGCAAATTGTAGCCCATTTCCATTGGAAAAACATTCTTCATGGCTTTAAAATTTTTTATGTAGGCTTTTGGTACGGGGCCACTGAAGTTGTTGGATGAGATATCAAAAATAATTAAATTGGGAAATGGATGTTTGGTCTTTAAAAGGGCAAGGGGACCATGCAACTTATTGGCCCGCAAAACCAATACTTTCAAATTTGGTAAAGTTTGAAGCGATTGGGGAAATGTATCTTGTATTTGATTGTTGCCAAGATTTAAGACCTCTAGATTTGTGCAATTGGACAACGATTCTGGCAGAAGACCTTCTAATTGGTTGTCATTAAGATTCAGAGTTGTGAGCTCGTTGTTCTTTGAGAAGTTACTTGGTAAAATGCCATAAAGTTTGTTCATTTGTAGATCCAAAACAGACAGTGATGATAAATTTGCAAGGCATTGTGGAATTGTGCCTGTTAAGGTGTTGTGGGACAAGTTGAGAATCCGAAGTGAACTTGCATTGCAAATTGAGGAAGAGATGTCACCGGCCAATAAGTTGAAACTAAGATCAAGGCCTTTCAACTGGTAGTTCAACGGAAATTGGTCCAATGATGTCAACAGGTTTTGAGAGAAGTTCAAATAATACAATGAACTCATTTCATGTAACCAATTAGGTACTCTTCCAGCAAGTCCGTTATTGGACATGTCTAGATAACCCAAACATGGGAATTTTCCAAATAAATTAGGAAATTCAGTTAAACTTATAGAAGATAAGTCCATTTCTGTTAGGTTAGAAAAACTGTGATTGGAATCAAATGTGAAGTTTAGTGATAATTTACCGTTATGTGAAAGGGAAAGATATGTCAGATATTGAAGTCCGAGTGAAAAGTGGACAGAACCATTCAAGTTGTTTGACGACATATCTAAGTAAATAAGGTTTGCAAGGCTGAAAATTGATTGTGGAATATTTCCATGCAGCTTGTTGTTGGACAAATCTAGATACTGCAAGGAAGATGATGGGATTGCACTTATATCAGTTATATGCACTCTGAAGTGTGTGAAGTGATTAGTGGATAGATCTAAAGACACCAAAGATGGCAAAGACAAACACCAAGAGGGAATTGTCTCGTTTAGTAAGTTGTTATTTAAGCTTAAATCAGTTAGGTTGGAAAGGGCAGTTATTTTGGTAGGCAGAGGGCCCTCTAATTGATTATAAGAACAATCCAAAAGAGAAAGATGAGTTAAGTCAAACAATGAAGATGGGATTTGTCCTCCTAATTTGTTGTCATTGAGACGGACGGCTTCCAAATTGATTAGCCCACCAAACATATCTGGGATTGAACCATCGAGGTTGTTGGATGAGAGATACAAGGAAGTGAGACGGGTGAGGTTAGAGAAAGAGGATGGGATTGAACTGAGTTTGTTGAATGAGAGATCCAAGGAAGTGAGACGTGTGAGGTTAGAGAAAGAGGATGGGATTGAACTGAGCTTGTTGGACGAGAGGTCCAAGGAAGTAAGATGGGTGAGGTTAGAGAAAGAGGATGGGATTGAACTGAGTTTGTTGGACGAGAGATCCAAGGAAGTAAGATGGGTGAGGTTAGAGAAAGAGGATGGGATTGAACCACTGAGTTTGTTGGACGAGAGATCCAAGGAAGTAAGATGGGTGAGGTTAGAGAAAGAGGATGGGATTGAACCACTGAGTTCGTTCCGTGAGAGATCCAAGGAAGTAATATGGGTGAGGTTAGAGAAAGAGGGAGGAATTGATCCTTGGAACTGACATCGTGAAAGATGCAAGATATTGAGAGATGAAGCGAGATTGATTGGTTTGATTGAAGTTGAAGACATATCTGTATAATCCAAAACAAGGTCCCTTAAAAGTGTTGCGTTCTGGAGCAGCCTCTTCCAACTCCTTTCTTTCCATCTTAAATCATAATTGAAAGAGAGATCAAGTGAGGATAATTTTGAAAGGTGTGAGATTTGGATAGGAATTTCACCTTCAATGTTAGAATTAGACAAGTTGAGGTGAGTCAAACTCGTAAGCCCTCCAAAGAGAGATGACAATGGAGATTGAGAGAGATCATTGAAAGCAAGATTGAGAGATTGGAGATGAGAAAGACGGAAAAGGCTACTGTTTGCTTCGATTTTACCAGAAAGCCCACTGCAGGTGAGATCGAGTCCGATCACGTGACCGGATGTGGGATGGCACGTGACCCCAAGCCATGAGCAGCAGTCTGTCCCATTTTTCCATGTTTTTGTCTTGGGATAAACACGTTGACAATCATCAGCATAGTAAGTAGTATCAATGGTAAAAGATGTTTTGAATTGAAGCAAAGCAAAGCTATCATTTGGATTGCATGAGGAATGGGAGGATGACAAAGGGAAGAGTAACAAATGCAAACTCACATGTAAAAGTATAATAAGAAACCACCCCATCAATGATTTCATTCAAACTTTAATACAAAAGAAAAGAAACTAAGGAAAGGGAGAATGGAATGGGAATGTTTAGCAACGCAAATTGATCATACTTATAGCCAAATTTAAAAATTGATACATGCAGTCAAATTGAGCTTTGATTTAGGTACCAGCTTCAAGACCCCTAAAACCCCATTGCTAGTTGCATTGACTTGAAAGTCAATGTCTCTTTCCATGGTTGTCTTTATATATTTTTTTAACAATTTTTCTAATTTGAGTCACATTACATGTAACAAGAAATCATTAAATAATAAATCTTGTATTAATATATTGAATTTATAATTTTTAATAAAAGATTGTTATATATAACTTTTTAATCATATGTAATATTATACAAGTTAAAAATATAATTTTTTAAATTTATAAAATATACCCTATAATAGGTTTTTTACAATTTTTTTTAAAAAAAAGGTTATTAAATTTTCTTTGCCAACTCATTTAATTATGATATAATTACACATGTTATAAATATAATGCACCACATAAAAAAAGTATTGGTACCTCCTCAAAGATACCGTAAAATCACCTTTACTTTAAAATTGAAATAAACCTCAAAATTGCTTTGCCTTGCCCGGTAAATTATGTATTGTGGTCTGAATTCTGAAATGCCTCCTGAATATCAAGAAAACATCTCAAACCTTAATAAACCTTCAACATATAATTACTTCTGCTTGTACTTGACAAGATGATGTTTCATGACTCAATCTTTGTTTTTACGGCCAATTGAGTCATGAAACATGTGTAATTATATCGTTTCCTAGGAATTTGAGGATGAAAGTATTTGAAAATGGGTAGAATTTAGCTCTTCTAAAGTGTTTGAGAAATATAAAATGAGAAAGTGATAATATATTTATAATTAATTTAAAGTTAGTTATGTTTACAAAACTTGAATTTAAATGAGTAAACAAACCTGCATTCCCACTTTACATTTCTTAATACATGATAAATATTTTAATATTATGCTTTCGGACATGCTTATTTATTTGGTACATGATAAACGGATTTAACTCTAATAAAGAAAGTGATGGATAGAGTTTCAGTGCATAGAAATTTCCTAAGGAAATTACAATTTAGAGTGTCTATACCTATAAGTCAAATAACATTATCCATTTTCTACCCTATTTATGACGCGGTTATAGTGTGTGGTTCCAAATGTTGTCACTTGCATTGACTTGAAAAGTCATTGTCTTAAAGACCGGGCTTAGGTACACTAATTGTTTTATTTTTCGCCTATTGACGAAGTCTAATGTTTCTATATCTTCAATTATTATGTCTGAAACAAACATCCATTTTCTACCCCATCTATAACACTAGTTAGGTTGTTCACAACTACGCGGATACAAATCTATACTACCTTCAATCAGAATAAACCTCAAAATGTTTTGCCTTGCCTGGTAAGTTAATGTGGCTGAAAATACCTCCTAAATATCAACGTAAACATTTACCAAAAAATAAAAAATCACAAACCTGAATTAAACCTTGAACATATAATTCCCCAGTATGAAATCTGCATCCTTTTATAGCCCTCAATAGGTGTACTTTATTTTAATCCGTGTGGACCTTAATGTTTGCAAGTAAATGAATGATGTATCAGTATATCGTGTTGTAGATGTAGCAAATGTGGTTGGTGCACAAGAATATCAGTATATCATTACTCTTTTCCATCCATGTCTACAAGAATATCAAGACTTCTATCACTCCCTCTTCTTAAGAGATAAACAACTTAATGAGACACCATATATAGCAATAATTAATGAGTATAGATAGTAATGGTCTTCTTCACAACACTCCATCTATGAGTACGAGTACAAGCAAATGTGTGCGCTTTTCTGAGACACTCTCCAACGTAATTGGTGATCTAGCTTCTTCAAACAAAGCCAACAAAATACATGAGAGGAAAACATCTTAAGGAAATAATTCTTAGCAATATCATAATGACAGACTTAGCTTTCAAGTTAGTCCAAGGGAAATCCATCATAGAGTCAAACATTAAAGAAAGATCCCAAAAGAACAAAAGGAATCAACAGCAAGGCAACAAGTAATCCAGAAGTCAGATTATAGAGATTTACTTTCTCTCTGAATCAGCGTCCAAGGCCATGCACTACTCAGCTTTCTAACAGGCTTGACAAATGGATTTTATTCAGCACAATATCGACCTGATTGTCATGATTGATTTTCTCAGAAAACCATTATTCATGATAACATATGATTTCTCAGTTTTCCTCACTTTCTAATTTCCAGTCAAAGACATTCTCGTTGTTTCATTTGATTTTTGTTTCTTTTAGATATTTGACCATAAATCATCTTTTCAGACTTCTTAATGCCACCAACTTTCCCAGGAGATAGTTTTCCTTACACTTTAGATCCTTTAGCAGTGTTTTTGCCCGATGAATTATCTAAGCATTGTTCTTCTTCAGTGGAACTCCCTCTTTTTTTGCAGGATTCATACTTTCATTAGGAGTATTTATTTATTGAATAGTAGTTTTCACATTGGAGAATTTAAATAATCTCTCATGGGAGTCCCAAGCTCATCATCAATCTCAAGATTTCTGGTCCTAGTAATGGTAAATAAAATTCTGTTGGTAGTTAGAAAGAACAAATCGAAGCATGATATCAATTTATAATTGTAAACACCATCCTGCGAGTTGTACATTAGAACAAGTAATATGCATAGTCTTCAAGGATTTCTAAGAATTGAATGTTAAATGAAGCGCACTTAAAATATTTGATCAATGTAAAAAACGTGCTTTGCAGAGAGAGAGAGAGAGAACGAGAAAGAGATAGAGAATAAAAGTAATATCAGATTAATTTGGTGACTTCTAATGTATATATGCACATTGACCATTCTTATGCTCTTTTGTCCAAACACCTTTAGTACAATGTTTACTTTCTAACAGTTAATTCTGATAGTTAGATCACAACAATTTGTTGCTAAGATTTTTAATTAATTTTGCATTAATGGTTTCATTTATGTAAAAGTAGCAAAATGAATTACTTAAGGTGGGTACATAGATAAAGTACTTAAACTCAACGCCAGAAAGGGTTGAAATAAGGTGGTTAGATAGATAGAAAATTGAATAGACTATTTGAAACTGAACCTGTGAATTAACATACTTCAATAAACTAAGACAATTGCATACATGAACAAACTATTCTAGCAATGAGCAATACATAACAAATATTTTACAAACAGACAACTACCTACACAAACAATTATATGTATTAAATAAAAAAAAATTGCAAGCGCAAGGCAAATAAAGTATAACACACTAATATTACAAACTTTGAATCAGATCTCCATTGCAATGCAGAGTGATAAGACTCTTGTCCTTAAGTTTTGTTTACCAAGATGGAAGAAGTGAAGTTGAACGGGAGGGTGTGCAGCAAGACATTCTCCAGTCATACCAAATATCCACTAATTCCTCCTTTTCACCCTTTTATTAGGCCGACCTCCGACCATCCTCACAAGCCATTCAGGCTTTCCTATTAACAGCACACAATATCCTATGCCCATTCCAAATACCATTCCACATCCATATCCTATAGCCACTGGTTTCCAACCAAATCCAAATTTCTGTTCATGCTGCATGGTTGATAAAGGTGGAGATTGTTGTTCATGGGTGTTTCTGCATTTTTTTGACAATGGGAGTCCGCATAAACCCAAATTTCCTTCATAGGAATCATTTGAAAAAGTATTGAACTGTTTTCCTTGAGGTATCTCTCCAACAAGATGGTTTTGAGAAAGATTCAAGACCTCAAGAAAATTCAAATTGATTAATTCTTCAGGAATTCTGCCAATGAGCATGTTGGAGGAGAGATCCAATGATTCCAAGTTTGTCAAATTTCCCAGGGACTGGGGAATAGAACCATTGAGTCTGTTATGGGAAAGGTTGAGCCCCTTGAGTGCATAAAGCTCTCCAATAATATTTGGAATCTCTCCTTCAAATTTGTTCTTTGATAAATCAATATGTACAAAGTTTATTGGAATTTTCAAGAGATTCATGTTGATTGCTTTTGTTGTTATAGACACAGAATCAATGTATATTTTATCTATTAAATCAATTTCCATGTATTGCACTCTGCTACCCGTTTCTTCTGGAATCACAATCTTCATGGCCTTCAAATTTTTTATGTAGGCTTTTGGTATTGGACCGCTGAAGTTATTGGATGAGATATCAAAAATAATTAAACTGGGAAATGAATGATTGGTCTTTAAACTAGCAATGGGGCCGTGCAACCTATTGGCTCGCAAAACCAATACTTCCAAACTTGGTAGAGTTTGAAGCCAATGTGGAAATGTATCCTCTATTTGATTGTTGCCAAGATTTAAAACCTTCAGTTCTATGCAGTTGGACAATGATTGTGGAAAAAGACTTTCTAATTGGTTGTCATTGAGATTCAGAACTGCAAGATTGTCTGAAAAGGTATTTGGCAAAGTGCCATAAAGTTTGTTCATTTGCAGATCCAAAACAGAGAGGAATGATAAGTTTGTAAGGCATTGTGGAATGGTTCCTGTCAAGTTGTTGTGGGACAAGTTGAGAATGCGAAGTGAACTTGCATTGCAAATTGAGGAAGAGATGTCACCGGCCAATAAGTTGAAGCTGAGATCCAAGTGTTCGATCAGGTTGTTCCATGAAAATTGGTTCAATGAGGATGTTAATAAGTTTTGAGAGAGGTTCAAATAATTTAATGAACTCATTTCATGTAACCAATTGGGCATTTTTCCAGTAAGTCTACTGTTGGACATATCGAGATAAACCAAACTTGGGAATTTTCCAAATAAATTAGGAAATTCAGTCACTCTTGTAGAAGATAAGTCCATTATTATTAGGCGAGAAAAAGTATTATTGGCATCAGATGTGAAGTTGAGTGATAATTGAGTATTGTGTGAGAGGGAAAGAGATGTCAAATGTTGAAGCTTGGAGAAGAGTGGAAAGTGGACAGAACCACTCAAATTGTTTGATGATAGATCTAAGTCTGAAAGGTTTGCAAGGCTGAAAACTGATAGTGGAATATTTCCATGCAGCTTGTTGTTGGACAAATCTAGACTCTCCAAGGAATATGATGAGATTTCACTTATATGACCTGTGAAGTGATTAGTTGATAGATCTAAATCCATCAAAGATGGCAAAGACAAACACCAAGAGGGAATTGTCTCATTTAGCAAGTTGTTAAATAAATATAATGTAGTTAGGTTAGAAAGGCCAGTTATTTTGGTGGGCAGAGGGCCCTCTAATTTATTATGACTGACACTGAAGGTTTCCAAATTGAGTAGTCCACCAAACATGTCTGGGATTTGACCGCTAAATTCATTCTTTGAAATATCCAAATGAATGAGATGTTGAAGGTTTGAAAGTGATGATGGAAGGTCTCCTCCTATATGGTTCTCACTCAAATCTATTTCTTGAAATGTGTTTGAGTAATGAAAGACATTTGGGATTTGACCACTGAGATTATTACCGTTGAGATGCAAAAAAGTTAGTTGTGGTAGGGTAAAGAGTGAGGATGGTATAGAGCCAGTGAGGTTGTTTGATGAGAGATCCAAGGAAGTAAGATGTGTGAAGTGAGAGAAAGGAGGGATTGAACCAGTGAGATTGTTTTGTGAGAGATCCAAAGAAGTAAGATGATTGAGGTTAGAGAAAGAGGAAGGGATTGACCCTTCAAAATGACAGGTTTTAAGATCCAAAATACTCAAAGATGATGCAATGCTACAACTCAATTTTGGAAGCTTCCCTTTAAGGTTGACATTATTTGACAAATGCAATTGTTTAAGATTTGGTAAACAGAGAATGTCATTTGTCAACTTTCCCCTTATCTGAGTATCAACCAGACTAAGAGTAACCAAAGAGGAAGAGAGATTGAGTGGTTTGAGTGAAGTTGAAGACATATCTGTGTCATCCAAAACAAGCTCCCTTAAAACTGTTGCGTTTTGGAGCAGCCTCTTCCAACTCATTTCTTTCCATTTTAACTGATGAAAATTTGAAGAGAGATCGAGTGACGATAATTTTGAAAGGTGTGAGATTTGTATAGGAATTTCACCTTCAATGTCGCAATTAGACAAGTTGAGATGCGTGAGACTCGCAAACTCTCCAAAGTGAGATGACAATGGAGATTGAGAGAAATCATTGAAAGCGAGATTCAGTACTTGGAGATGAAAAAGGCGAAAAAGGGTACTATTTGGATGGATTTCACCGAAAAGCCCACTACAACTGAGATCGAGTCCGATCACGTGACCAGATATGGGATGGCACGTAACCCCAAGCCATGAGCAACAATCTGTTTCATTTTTCCATGTTGCTGTCTTTGGATTAGCATGACCATTACATATACTGACCTGATAATCCACAGTAAAGGAGGTCTTGAATTGAAGCAAGGCGTAGCTATCATGAGGATGACATAAGGAATGAAAGGATGCAAAATGAAAGAGTAACAAATGCAAACACACATGTAAAAGTACAAGCAACCAAATCATCAATGATTGCATTGTGCAACGTCCACGACTTACTTTACTACAACAGAAAGAAAATTAAGAAAGGGGCGCATGGAATGGAATGTGAATGTTTTGCAACGTAAATGGATCATACTTATAGCCAAATTCAAAACACCAGGTATATTCTTGTGTTTAAGTCTTGATTGCGGTCCCAGCTTCAAGACTTTTGATGGAGGTGAAGATCAGTTATTAATGAGAATTTTAATACATTTATATCATTATTTCAAATTACACGTTTCGTACATCTACAAAAAGCTGGTTCAGATCATCCACGGGAAATCAATTTTACTTTATGTGAAAATTTAACTCAAAAGTTACAACTTAAATATAATATTTTCATTATTCACGATAAGAAAGCAGACGGAGATTATAACATTTTGACGTATAACGTACAATGGGGGAACAAAGAATGGCCAAATTTTCCTACTCTTTTGACGCAACTTTTATCGTTATACAGAATCATTTTTTAAGGTCCCACCACTGAGACTAACACTCCAGATTTTCTACCCCATCTGCATCTATAATGCTATTGAAGTCCTACCAAATACTGTCATTTACACTGATTTGGAAAGTCATTGTCGGCAAAGATGGGATTTGGGTTCGTACATCAATTCTTTGATTTTTCATCTGTTTATGGAGTAATTATTATGCCAAACGAACATCCATTTTCTACCCCTTCTGTTACGTTGTCTAGGTTCTTTCCAATAATGCTTGGAAGTCAGTGTCTCTTTCCAAGCTTGTCTTTGTATTTTTAACAGTTTTTCAACTTGTGCTACATTATACATCATAAGAAATCAATAAAAATAAACCTTTTATCAATGTATTTTATTTTGTAACTTTTAAAAAATTATATATAACTTCTTACATATGTAATATTATATCATTAGAGTTTTTTAAAAATAATTATGAAATAAACCTTGTGAGGAGGTTTTTTACAATTTAAAAAGAAAGCTAGTAAATTTTCTTTGCCAACTCATTTATGATATAATCTCATTTTACATCATCTAGCAGTGTTTTTGCCAGATGAATTATCCAAGTAGTATTAATTTCTTGAACAGTAGCTTTCCAACTGGGGACTTTTATATGATATCTCAAAGTAGTCTCAGGTTCATCATCAATATCATGATTTCTGGTCCGAGCAATGCTAAATAAAAACTGTGTAGGCGGTTAACAACAAACTGAAAAACACAAACATCCATATAATATTTACAAGCAATATAAAAGAATGCAATTGTTGGTAAAAGACCAACCGAAACCCCGTTTGTATAATATCTTCATTATCTATGTCGTCCAAAGCAATTTCCCTGATAAAAGCAACTCGAGAATCCACTGTCAAGACAATATCCAATATAATCATAAAATTTAAAAGAGAAACACAAACAAAAGAGAGAAATAACCTTAGCAGTATGACTTCGGATAATGCCGACAAACAGCAAATTGCAACTCAGGATCCATCTTATTTCCAATTCTTTACCGAGGTAGCAATAATGAACAGGACAAATATAGGGATCCCATCAGCAATATTTCTCTGCCACGTGTTAAACTACCTGAGAAAGTAACTCCGCATTACAATCTGGTTGAAAAAAAGATTACAGGAGAACTAAGTTTTACGGGAATGTATGTTAGGAAAACAAGTATGGATGTGCTACTTAACTTGGCATGTGCAAGGAAAGGTTTTAAGCACAACTAATTTTACAAGGTTCAAAACCTCAATGTTTTCATAAAATTAACATTGTGAGCAAAATAACAAAACTGTTGAGAAAACTTCTATTAATCTGTTAACCAGATTGCCATATCCTTTTGGATAGGGGAACGGGTCTTTAATCAATAAAGGATCACAATTCAAAGGAATCGAACAATGCACTGCAGAATCAAAAACCACCTTTATGGCAACTTGGTCTCTTCTACTTCCCGCCAACCCTCTCTCTCCTCTCTGCTAGCTGATGCATGAGCTCCTATGAGTTACTGTATCAAAGCATCCATCAAGAGGGGTGATTTGGTGGTTATCAGCATAATGTGAACAGTATTTCATGATAATAACATGTTAGCTTCCTTTCCTCAATTTCTCAACAAGAAGATTGATGAGTCACTGAATCATCTAGAAAATTAAAAAATTTTAAGCATATTTTATTAAATTTAAATTATAAGTTAATATAATTAATTGAGAAATTCAATGGAATGTTGTAATTGTTGAAAAATTCATGAATCACTAATATTCTGATGGCTGACAGTTTTATTTTGAAGGGATTAGAAAGAAATTTGCAATTGGACTTAAAGAGTTAAGGTTGAGTGATGCAGGACTCATTTGTGGGGACACGGATTACTGATGGTAGGGACATGATGTTGACTGAGCATATAAAAGCAAAAAAATTCTGAAAAGGCAACATCTTTTATTCTTTTCTTTTTAGCATATTCAGAACACAGAAACCTAGGTTTTACATACAGCTTAGGTATAATATGATAGTTAAGGTATTTTTTTTACATCTTTGCTAAAAGATTTTTATAGGAACTTGGATTTCATCTTATTTTCTTTGGTTTATATAATAGAACAATAACTTTCTCATTTCATCTATTTGTTGTAAGTGTTTTTGTAAACATGAATTCTATTTTTGCAATATATTTCAATTTTATATTATTTACTTTTATTATGTCTAACTTAATATCTTTGGATTGAGTGAGGATGAACCTATACATTTGCCTTTTGCAATGAACTAACACTGAATATAGCTCAAGATACATATTTTAATCAACATAGTAATTTTTTTTTTGTTCTAAGTGAATGAGATTGATGAAAAGGAGTTTATTTGCTGGAAAGTAGTGAACTTTCTTGGAAAAGAATTAATTTGCTCATTATGAATTGTCTAGGAATAAAAAATTTTGACGATGTGGTCAATGGATTTAATTCTTTAATGTTAAATGTCTTTAGTTGTATCTAAAGAATTAGAACACTAATTTTATTTTAGAACCAATTACCAAGGAATTGGGATGGGGTACTTTAGAAAATCTGACAATTAGATGAAGTTATATTTTGAGTTATACATATATTTGCATGCAAAGGGAAAATGATAAGGGATTCCAAACTCAACTTGCTTTTAACTGTGTTTAGACCCATCTCTAGTAATTTAGACATTTATATTTTGCAATTATTTTAATTTTTACTTCATGTTTAGTCTCGCAAGTTCTATTCATTTATAAATATTAAATTCGGCACTTTTAATTTTGTTTTTACGATTCTGCACTGAGTTAAAATTCGTTCTATTCCTACTTTGTTTTTGGTGACTCAACTAGTGTCATTCTTGTGGTTTGTTATTTAGCATTCCTGTGGACGATAATCTTTTGTTACTTTAATGATTTAGTGCATTTGCCAAAAAGTTTATCAAAACTCATGAATAGCCTTTGAAAATATCAAACTTGAGAACATTAAATCTATTGGGACTTGGTAAAATTCATAAGTTTTCTTTTATCTTTTCAAAGTTTAGACTGGAGAGAGAGGAAATTTTAGCTCAGAGAATACTCCAACCAGTTTTCTTTCCCATTGAACACATCTCTTTCATTGTCTTCCTTACATTTTCTGCTTCTTCCCACCTCCCAATGGAGCTATACAAATTGGCCATCATTATATAGTAGCCATCATTTTCTGGTTCAGAGTCAATAGCATACATGGCAATTCTTATTCCCATCTCAACTTGATTGTAAGTTTTACAATGACCTAACAAAGCTCCCAACATGCCGCTGTCTGGAGATGTGGGCATGGATAGGACCAGAGCTTCTGCTTCTCGTAGATTACCTGATCTTCCTAAAAGATCTACCATACAAGTGTAGTGCTTCAAGTTGGGTTTCACAGTATAACTCTGCATTTTAGCGAACATGCATTTCCCTTCTTCAACAAGCCCTGCATGGGCACACGCGGAGAGAAGAGAGAGGAAGGTAATTTCATTGGGCTTAACATTTGATTCCTCCATATGTTGGAATATCTCCACAGCATATTCTGCATACCCATTCATTCCATAGCCTGAAATCATAGCATTCCAGCAAATTACATCCTTCTCCGTCATTGAGTCAAATACCTTCCTTGATTTTTCTAGCTGCCCACACTTAGCATACATATCAACCAATGCTGTTCCAAGAGGTAAATTGAGTTCAAGTCCACTTCCATTTATGTAGCGATGAACTCTTTCTCCTTTCTCTAGAGATGCAAGGTGAGAACACGCTGAAAGTACTACCACGAAAGTGGCTGTATTGGGCTTCTGACCTTCCTTTATCATTTTATTAAATAAATTTACAGCCTCTTCATGATGCTCAACATGAATATGAGATAAAATCAGGGTGTTCCATGATATAACATCCCTCTCCGACCTGTTAAATATTCTCGAAGCAAAGGTGATCTTGCCACATTTTCCATACATCTCTATGAGTGAGTTGGTGACTGAGACATTGTCATGCAGAAAACTTTTTATCACATTGCAATGAAGTGACCTTCCCAAATTGGTTGCTCCTAGCTGGGCACACGATGCAATTGCTGAAACTATGCCGATTGATTCAGAACGAATCTCTAAATATTGCATCTCCCTGAAGAGTTCAATACACTTCACGTTCTTGCCTATTCTGTTGTAGCCAAAAGCCATAAAGTTCCAGCACTCTTCGTTCTGTCGACAGCCATGGAAAAGCCTCTCCGCAAAACTTAACATCCCAAACTTGCAGTACATAAACAACAACGAATTATTAACCATCTCATCAGGCACAACATGTCTCCGTACAATTAACCCATGAAATGCTTTCCCTCCAGCCACATCCATGGAATTACCAAAACCCGAAAGGATGCAACCAATAACAACTCCATCAGGACGTACTTGGTTTTCCTGCATCTCCCAGAAGAACCTTACACATTCAATCATCATCCCAAACCTCGCATAAACCCCAATGATGGATGTCCAAGTCAGAAGATCCTTGTCAACCACTTCACAAAAGGATCGATAAGCTTCTCGAGTGACTCCACATTTAAAATACATAGACAAAAGTGAAGACCATATAACTTGTGAGCATCCAATCCCATTTTTCATGACCAACCCATGTAAACACATGCCTTCTCTCAAAGCACCCAGATTCCCACAAGCAAGAAACCCACCCTCAAAAGTTCTAGAGTTGGGCTTCTGATAGTCTTCCCCAACCCCATGCATCTCACGGAGACACCTCAAACCCTTCTCACCCTCCCCATTCTGCACATACCCAACAACAAGCGCAGTCCAAGCAACCACATCCCTAACAGGAATTTCATCAAACACCTTGCAAGCAAGGTTCATATGTCCACACCGCGAATACAACGAAACAAACGAAGACCCAACAGCGGAAGTAGAAGGGAAAAGGCCAATTTTGGAAGCCAAAGCGTGAAGGCACGCGCCGTGAGAGAGAAACATCAAGTTAGCAGAAGCGGAAGCTATAATGGGGATAGTGAAGTGATTGGGGAGAACATTGGAAGCACGCATGTGGGAGAAGAAGGAAAGAACTTGGGGGAAGAGGGAGCGAGAGAAGAGGGATTTGAGGAAGGAATTGAAGAGAAAGGTATCTTTGAAGGGAAGGGAATGAAAAAGGGTGGAAGATGAAGTGTGGTGGTGGAGAGAGTCGTAGAGTGAGATGATTTTGGATGCAATGAAAAGGTTGTTGGAATTTCCGGTGGTGACTGTGAGCGCGTGGAATTGAAGGAGGGATTCGAGGGTTGTAATGTGCTTCGAGAGAGAGATGAATTGCTCTGCATGCTGAAATTTCAACGCACATGATGTGCGCATCAGCATCACCATTGAAGCAGTGTCAAGACAACAACATTACATTACCATGAATTCATCACTGACATCGTTTGTCGGTGTCACTTTGTAAGAAACGTAAATTCAGATAGCATTTGACATTGTTGTCGTTAGTTGCATCAAACTAAAAACTAACTTGCAAACGGAGATACAGTGGATGAGAGGCTCGTTGTTGCAGAAACGGTTATTTCATATTCAAGAAACGCGCGCCGCCAAACAGTGATTGTTTTCATGCACCGATTTCTCTTTGACGGAAAAATGGCACTGCCTTTATTTTTTAACGATTTTTTTGGAGTTTGCATTGATAAATAATAATTTTTTGTTTAAAAGTATAGTATTTATTGTTGGACCCACTTATTTATTGGACTTTTTTTTAAATGTTTTTAAATTCTTTATCTTTATTTAAATAAATTTGGTGAGAATTTTATCTTTTAAAATCAAAATCAAAATCAAAATTTTAATAGTTATTTACTAGGTTTTTTAAAACGAAGTTTGTATTATATTCTAAGATTAAGATTTTAAGAAGAGTGTTTGGAATGTGTTTTAAAATTAAAGGCATTATATTTACAAGATTAAAATGTTTAATTTTAAGATGAATTTGTTGAATAAGACATAATTTAAAGTATTTAAATGTTTAAAATATAAATTTAATTAGTAAATTTTACAATTAATTATGTTAGCATCTTATTTGATAAAAGCTATATATATTTCAAAACCAGTCAGTGGAAGAAGGTTTAATTTGTGTGTAATATATATTTCAAGATCACGCAACACGTACATACAAAGTTAAATCACTGGGAAAATGACTATATGCAAGACTTGTCTTTATGAAGTTGACTTGAGTAAATGGTATACAGCTCCTATGGATATGCTTCATCCATGTTGATGTATGAGTCAAGGAAATGGGGTAAACTCCATCACTTCATAATGATTAACTTCTATATCAAAGTTAACCATGTTTATGTTTTCCATCTCGATCACTTGACCTACAGAAAAAATTAAAGCCAAGAAAGATTTTTAGGATGAAAACTATGTGCTACTTCAGACCTCTCTTTCCTTTATTGGCTCTACTTATTATTCATTCATTAGTAGCAGTGGTCTCTTCTAAGGGAGCTGGTACAAGAACTGTTTGGAAAACATTGCGAGGTGTGTTTTAGATTTTTCTTCCTGGATACTACTACTCTAAATGTGTGTAGTGGTTTTATTTGGAAAGGAAGTTGAGTATATGATGTTCTTTCTATATTTTAAGGTCTTGTTTTAATTTGATACATAGTATAAATTAGTCTAAAAATTCTTCAGACAGTCACAGCGGTGTAAAGTGATCAACTTCTTTTGTTTTTTTATTTTTATTTTTTTAGTCTTGAAAAGAACAAAATAGGTACACCATCAACATGCTTATAAAAAAAGTGTAACTGGTTTTACAATTTACAACTTTAATCAATAGATAAGATGAAAAATTTGCGTAAGTTTCAAGGTTGTATTTTTCTTCATATTCATGTTGCAGCCACAAAAATGAAGACAAAGTTGGTTTTAATTTGATGAACGTGGCCTTTTCAAATGTCTTCAAGTAGAACAAACGACAGAAATTCATGCATGATGTGTATATTTTTGTAATCTACTGCTATCTTTTACTACTTCTATTCACATGCTGCTGATTTTTGTGTGCAGGATCTCCTCCACTGGTCATTGCACGTGGTGGGTTTTCAGGGATATTTCCAGATTCAAGTTCAGATGCCTATAATTTGGCACTGAACACTAGTGTTCCAAATGTCATTCTATGGTGTGATTTGCAGTTGACAAAGGATGAAGCTGGGATTTGTTTTCCAGACCTGAAGCTAGACAATGCCACTGATATTTCCTTCATGTACCCAGCCAGAGCCAAGAGTTACTTAGTTAATGGGGTTCCAACCAAGGGATGGTTTTCCATTGATTACAACTTGACAGAACTAACAGGTGTCTCACGTGAGTAGAGTGTTTCTTCAACACTTCCAGCGAGGACATTCTTTCATAGATAAAGCCAAACCTAGTGGGACTTTGTTACTGTTAATTTTATAGGAATATTAGCAGTAACACACTCTTCAACACATTTCTTATAAAAAATTGATCAATTTATGAGATAAGTGTTTTTACATTTTACAAAATGAACTAATCTTGAGGAGTGTGTTAAAAAATGTGTTCAAAAGAGTGTTGCAAGCATGTCTCTTATATTTTTTAAATGCTAATAATATGTGTGTTTGTATTTTCTTTATCAACTAAATAAGAGATTCTCAAGAATAAGGTAAATTGGTGGATGAAATTGTATTCTCAAGAATTAAATTAGTTTTTGGAGCAGTTTCTTAGCAACTTCTTAGAAGTTGCAAACTTACTCCTGTACCCTTGTTTCCCCTTTTTGAACTGTAATTCTAGTCATTGATAATTTCCTTGCTACTGGACAGTTATGCAAGGAGTCTACACTCGAAGCTATAGCTTTGACGGAAATAAATATCACATTCTTACTGTTGAAGAAGTGATTAAATTGGTAAAATCACCATCAGTGGGCCTGTGGTTGAATGTTCAGGTAAATGGAAGAGTGTTTGTCCCTTCATGTTTCAAAGCCTAGAGAGCTAGGCATGTAGAATCTAGGTATGAATCTTTATTGTTGGTTTAATATACTTGTCAAATACAATGCAGAATGATGCATTCACCAAGGAAAGGAAATTGAGTACAGAAAGATATCTACTTTCTCTGCCTACCAAAGTCAGTTACATTTCATCTCCTGATGTGGCTTTCTTGAGCCGCATAAAATCAGTCGTCAGACCTAGAACAACCAAACTAGTCTTTAGGTTTCTAGAGAAGAATGAGACAGAACCTGCTACCCATCAGACTTATGGATCACTCTTGAAAAATCTCAAGTACATCAAGACATTTTCTTCTGGAATTCTTGTCCCCAAGGATTATATATGGCCAGTGGATCATCACCTTTATCTACAACCGCATACCTCTCTTGTCTCAGATGCTCATAGAGAAGGGCTGCAAGTTTTTGTGTCAGACCTTGTTAATGATGTTCCATTTAGCTACAATTTTAGTTATGATCCTCTTGCTGAATGTCTGTCTTATATTGACAATGATGAATTCTCAGTTGATGGTGTACTTTCTGACTTCCCAATAACTCCATCCGCAGCCATAAGTAAGTCTCCTTTCCCATCTTTAAAATGTGCCTTAAAGCTAAGTGTATCCTTGGTTATTTTATTAAACAAATGTCTATAATTGGCCCTTTTCCCAATGGTCACACACATGCTTATTATAGCCACTCTCACAATAACACATGCACGCACGCACATTCACCTCTTATATCAGCCAAAGAGTGAATATGTAATCAGTTGAAGAGTTGCACATTACTTCTTTCGACCTTATGAACAGTGATTAACAAATACTGTGTTATTATATATTTAGCTACTGCCATCATTGATTTACTGTATGTTTAAATTAGCATTTGGATTGATATTATGAATTCTCTTTTAATTCAGATTGCTTTCATGGCCTAGAGAAAAATGCCACAAAACAAGGTATACAGTTACCTTTGCTCTTTGTTCATATACTTTATTTTTTTCTTGTTGACAAGTAAATTATAGGATATGTAACTGAGATTTCTGAGTGATAATATGTTTTAGATCATTGTTGACCTATTCCTGTTTCTCTCACATTGTTCTTGATTCAGTGGAGACTCTGGTTATATCAAAATATGGAGCAAGTGGAGACTATCCTGCTTGTACTGACTTGGCTTATAAGCATGCTATATCTGATGGAGCAGATATACTCGACTGTCCAGTTCAGATGTCCAAGGATGCAATACCATTTTGCTTAAGCTCAATAGATCTTACGGAAAGCACAACCGTTGCTAAATCAAAATTCAGGAACCTTACAACAACTATTCCAGAGATTAAATCTGGCAGTGGCATTTATGCTTTCAACTTGACATGGAATGAGATAAAAACCTTGACTCGTAAGCAGAATGATGTTCTTGAGTTCTTCTATCAGGATATAACATTGTGTAGCCCTTCTCCTTCTTTGATTTCCTCTCTCTGGTGGATATCAGTAAGAATAATTGTTTAAATTTGTTCAGAAGATTATCCCAAAACTTTTTTAGTTAGCCGAAGTCCCATGTAGTGAGAATTACATACATAAAAGATGTAGCAACGAATTTATTAAATAAATTGCCATAACAGGAGATGGTAAAACATGTCAGATGTCACTGATTTACACTATAGGTTTAGATATTCATCTAAAAGAAATGCTTAGACTCTTTGTTTGCTAAAGTATTACACAGCTAAGAGCTTGTATCCACTGTTGAACAATATTGATGGATCTAGTTAAGATAATTTAGATGTTACTTTAGGCATGACATTTTTAAATGTTAATATTGATTTTAGGTTGCCGATTGGGGATTAAGTAAAATAGACTAAAATATGTTCTTAACAAATGCTAATTTCCCTCAATTTGCTGTTCTTTTTTTTTTCCTGCAGCCTCAATATTGAACCCCTATGAAAAATTTCGTTTGCTACGGAATCCAAAATTCAGAAATCAGGGAACATTTTTAAACTTGTCTGATTTTTTGTCCTTGACAAAAGGTCAGACAACTGGTCTCTTGATCAGCATAGAGGTTTGTTCTGCATCTATATTCTTTTAGGATTCATTCTTATGTGGGCTTTATATTGTCATAGATTGCTGCTATGCATCTTACAAATTAATTTGACAATCACATGCTTTATCTAACATGTTTCTTTGAAGAAGAGAAGTGGCTTGTTTAAAGGCAATCAAGGACGGTATTTGCTGAGAGTTTAAGGTCGTCTTGTTATCGCATGAATTAATGAAACTAATTTGTACATGTAACTTTATAGTTCTCAATCTTTATTTGCTACAAGGATCTTTAACTTTTAACGTAATGACGTATTTCATTAAAGTTAAGAATTAGTGAACCAGAGAGAAAGTACAGTATTACCACCTTGACTAATTTCTTTTGAGCTTTGTTAATGATATTCTCAAATGTATTTTTCCCTATCAGAATGCAGAGAAGCAGGGACTAAGCATGATCACCAATGTAGTCCTTGATGCTTTGCAAAAAGCAGATTATGACAAGCCAGGGCCCCAAAAAATTATGATCCAGTCTACTCATAGCTCCGTACTAAAGATATTCAAAGAGAGAACCAAATATGAAAGGGTGTACAAGGTTGATGAGAATATTGGTGATGCTCTTGATTCAGCTGTTGTGGACATCAAGGCATTTGCCGATTCTGTGGTGATTGGAAAGGAATCTGTTCTTCCTCTAACTTCAACCTTTCTAGTTAACTATACACACACTATAGCAAGGCTAAAATCATTTAACCTCTCAGTTTATGTAGAAACTTTCAGCAATGAGTTTGTATCTCAAGCGTGGGACTACTATGCAGATGCATTTGTTGAGATAAATTCATTTGTTATGGGAGCCAAAGTTAATGGCATTATCACAGACTTCCCTAAGACAGCTGATAGATACAGAAGTAAGTGGAAAACTAACACATAAACTTTGCACCTTCAACAAACTTTCTGAATAAGAGATTTGTTAGTAACACACTCTTTTAAACACACTCTGATACACTCTTTGTTATTGGTCTATTTTCTAAAATATCAAAGCGCTTGTCTCATAAATTGATCATATTTCAAAAAAATTTTGACTTCTCAAAAAATGGATCAATATGTGTTAAAGAGTGTTACTATTATTACTTTTCTGACTAATTAACATCACTCAATTAGTTTGTGCTGGAGAACATGAAAGGTGTCTTCTAAGAAGCCATTTATCCCTGATTGTTGTTCTACTTGTTGCAGAAAACAGGTGTTTAAAGCAAGGCAACAAAAATGCTTATATGAATCCTGTTGAACCTGGCAGGCTCTTAAAACAAATTTCCCAGGATTACTTACCACCACCTGCTCCTTCACTTCCAATCTTGACTGATAATAATGTGACAGAGCCACCTTTGCCTGCTGTTTCTCCAGCCCCCACCACAGCATAAACAAAGACAAACAAAGAGGAAACCAAATGTTAAGCTTCACGGTTGGAATTAAACTATCTTTTCAAAATGAACATTGTTAATGCTACGATAATCTTTTTGTATCAGTTACTTGCTTGAATAAGATGCACTAAGCTTTTGACTGTCACGTTTATAATCAACGTTGCTAAAAATAAATCTCATTTTTATTCAAAGTTCTACATCGAAGACTAAATAAAAGTTTATAAAGGTTAAAACAGTCTTGTGAGCTAGCTTTTGAATTTGAGTTAAGCCTTAACCCAGATTTAATATAATATCAAAGTCTGTCCTAGATCGAATATATTTTTCCAATGCAGTTAACCTTAATGAACTAACTTCTGATAGTGACAATTTTTTTATTGAATGTAATATTAGAAACTAAATGAAGTATGAGAACAATCAAGAATCAAGATGACACCTTTTTCTCTTCTCCTCACTTTTAAACCTGATGATTCATTGTTAACTTTGCATTCATTATATCTGTGTGATTTTGTGAAGAAAGACACATTGCATTTAAATGGTTTATCTCTATTGTTATTTTTTCTAGAGGAGTACAAGATTGACTTGGTAAGCATCATGCAAGTGCATATTCCTTAACAAATAACAATACAACGACATTTTCAGTGACGTAAAAGATAGGAAATCACGGTAGCTGTTGACTAGTCCCCATTTTCTTCACCTTAATTTAATTTCGTCCTTAACATCTTTTAAGGATTGATGTAATCAATTCCCTAAAATCATGTGACTCTCATACACTAATCTTTCATAAATGTATTTGAAGTTAATAATTTTTTTTCCCATTTATGGGTTAAAATAATGTTTTCTCAAAATTATTTTTGAAGACTCATTCTGCAGTAAATCTCACATTAATACACTGCCAAAGAATTCCAATACTGCACTTAAGGGGCCCATAACACCGATATAGCATTGTTGTTCTTCAATTATTGCTCACTTTTAATTTAATCAATGTCATGTCCAACACACTAAACAAGCAACTGAGATGTCACCGCAATCTCTGGAATCTGGGCATTATTAGAAGCTTTGCACTGATCAGAAATAAAAGGTTAAAATTCAAAATGCTATAACATCCAAAATTGAAGTTTGAACAAGGAATTGTTACTATCAAGATGCAGATACCTTGGATTAGTTAATGAAAAAAATATAAAATAATCATAATAAGATTCATTATTATCTAATAAAGTGCATTAGTTTAGATTAAAACTTAAATTCTCCATGTATGTCCCTTATATTGAAACTGGAATACCTTTTCTTGTGATATTTAAACATCATAATATTAATGTCTCATATGCTTTGTTTGAGTAGTTTTTGTTATTTCATGTGCTTTTAAATGGGTATCCTATTTTTTGTGGTCTCTGGACCACATGGTAATGGCTATCCTATTCTGTTACTATCTGATTGAAATGCAAACAAAAATATAAACAAATAATATCTATTAATAGTAGTTAAGCTGGTAAGTAGTACTGTTTGCAAAAATCACCTTATTGCTGCTTTCAGCTTGTATGCAATTTAGTCTCTTTTTCCATTTACATTCAAATATTTGGAAACGTAAGTTTAATACAAAAGTTATATCTTGTGCATATTTAAAAAATATGTTTACATCTCTAAATTTATATTGAATAATTTAATCATATTTTAATTATTATGTCAGCATATTTGGTAGGTCTAAATCAAAATTATTTTTTATTCTAAACTCATGTTTGAGTTTATAACTCTTGCATTCAATTAAAAAATTTATACCAAAATTTACTATAAACTTACTTTGAAGATAAACTAAAACAAGGATTACAATAAGTTAAACTCGTCTTTAAATAAAAAAAATTATGCAAAATTAATTTCATTCAAACCTGAATTTACAAATGCACTCAAACTCATACTGTTAATCCATTAAGTATATATTTAAAAATATGTTAGAATACTTACAAACATAGAACTAATATAAAAATTATAAATAATAATTTCGAAATAAACCTAAACTCATAATATTTAAATACGAGTTTAAAGATGCTTTAAAAAGACTAGATTAAGATTTTTAAGAAAATGGAATGATGGGTTTTTCCATTTTCTGAACTCGTTGTTTGCTTCTATTTAACTATGAAAAGATGGCCAAATAGGTTCTCATAATTAAGCTATTTTTGCAGAATAAACAACCCTTTAGTTTTTAATTTTACTTCAACATTTGATTGGAGAAGTAAAGTAGTTATTATCTTTATTTTCGGTTTTCATATTAAACTTCACGACACACGCTTAAGCGTGCAAAATCAATTTCAGAGTTTTAATAATAAGTAATGCCAATCAATCACTTTGTTTATAACATGTTTAACTTTTAGCCACCAAAAGGTTTAACCAAACCCTTTTCCACATTTAACAAAAGTTGATTAATTCCATTAATAGTAAATGTATTTTGAGACCACTTGGATGACAATTCAGAAATTGGTGCAACTGTGTCATGCTTTTCTTTATCTTCAGTTTAAGGAAAAAAAATCAAGGAACCTTTCTTCTTTCCATCACCACTTTCTATAAGAACAAGGAGGGCCCTTTCAGCCAACCACTAGCAATATAAAAAAAGGGTTCTTTTTAAGTTTTTATGAGGCAAACCTAAGATAATTAAGTCATAACTGGCCTTTTGAAATAGTCATGGCCTCAAAATCAGGTTTCAACATCAATATATAATGACACGATGTTGATCTCATTTATTAGTTTTTTTTCCGAAAAGATTGATTTCTTCTTCTATCAAACCTACGTCAAGAAAGTATATAAATCTTTCAATTTATGCAATTCAAATTGATGACCATAGACGCGTTATCGTAACACACGAGAAAGCGATGATTGGTTTTAATAATTATATTAGGCATGAACAAGTTTTGAACCATAATTACTTTACATTTGATCTTGAATATTAAATTTGAAAGGTTAACAAATTAAGTTATAGAAGAGTGGAAGCCCACTTTCATGCAAATTAGATATTCCAACATGCCACTAATTGACAAAATGGGAGAGTAAACCACACATATATATTGCTTAATGGATTCCCATTTGCCACAAAAATTTTGTTCTTGTATTTTGGATATTATGGGTAGCTGTAGTTATATATGAAAGAGAATAAGTGGCGAGGGTGAAATGGTTCTAGTGCCAAAACAGAGTGACCAAGCGTCAACTGCAAATGCAAATCACAGTCGCACGTTGTTCTTCTGCGGTGGAGCCCACCTCGCCGTTGTGCGCGTTGCTGACGTCACCCAACGCCCAATGATGAGCCGCCACGTTTCTCTTGCCAGAGTTTGACAACCATGTTGTGGACCCCGCTAACTCACTACCCGCATCAGTCAACACCGCGGCTTAGCTCAAGCCAGCTTGTCCACTTCGCCCTATATATATATATATATATTTTTTTATTTTATTTTTTTTTTTCATTTTTTCTTCATGATATAATAATAATGATTTTTTTAATGTGTTTAGAATATACTAATAGGGGCTGATTAAAAAATAAAAATTAATTATGCATTTGTTTTAATATAATTTTAAAAAAATTTATTGATTGTTTCTTTAATTGACTTCTTTAAAATATTCATTAATAAAATTTGTATTTCGATTGTAATTCAATTAAGATTGTCTTTAAATAAAAAATATATATTTTAAATTATAATAGAAATATGTATTAAATATTTTTTATGATATTTAGATAAATAAGTATCTAATTTTTAATGTTTTAACAATTATAAGTATTAAAAAAGTAGACAATGAATAATATATAAATGTAAACAGTACAATTATGAAATGGAAGAAAGAAATAGAGCAAAAGGCAAAGAACCACTCCGAAAAGGTGCTGCTTCTGAGTTAAGAGCCCATTGTTACTCTCTCTCTCTCTCTCTCTCTTTAAGGTTGAGGTGGTTGGTTTAGTTCTTCACTTCATCGTAATCTGCAAAGGTTGCCGGAATGTGGAAACCACGCGCTCTTTCTGGTCCACTCTTCTTGCTTCTTCTTCACTTGCTCTTGGCTCTGGTCTCTGCTCAGAGATCTGTCTGGAACACACTCAACGGTATGTTTCGCGCGTGTGTAACTGATTGTAATGTCTCGTTTTACTAGGATCTTTGGTTCTGCTTCTCTTCACCATCTGCTTGTTTACCTAGTAGAAACCAATCTCTGGTAGCTTATCAACTATCTAGTAGAGGATCTGTGAGTTAAACACTTAAACTTAGTTTGGTTAGTTTGAGCTGAATAGGGATTTGAACAAGTGGCTTAGCCTGGTTCATTTGCATGTTCTGCTATCACCGAGTTAGTTATTTTATGGATATTAGATATAGTGCTTTAAATGAGTTTGAAGTTTCTCGAGCTGAATCTGATGAAATAATATGTGAAAGTGAAACAAGCAATAGTTATTTGTTGTTAGGGAAAGTTTTAACTAGTTTGAATGATTGTTGATTCAACAATTTTTTTCATGTGATCTCAAGGTTAATCAATCACCAAGTGAATACAATTCTTGAATGACTTAGGCACTCTTTATTTATTTTTCTAAGAAGAAACTTTCTTTGTTTGTGAGGTGCCTTTGAACTTGCTGGATTACTTGTTTTGTAGGAGGTCCACCGTTGGTGGTAGCCCGAGGCGGGTTTTCAGGGATATTTCCTGATTCCAGTGATGGTGCCTATAATTTGGCGGTAATAACGTGTGGACCAGATGTGTTTCTATGGTGTGATGTGCAATTAACAAAAGATGGAGTTGGGATTTGCCTTCCAAATATGAACCTTGCAAATGCTACTACCTTTGGAGTCAATTTCCCTAATAAAACTTCAACTTACTTGGTTAATGGTGTAACCATGCGAGGCTATTTTTCTGTGGATTACACCTTGAAGGACCTGTCCAATGTCTTCTGTGAGTTTAAATTATCTTAAACATGTAGTTTTATTGCTATAGACTTTCGGTGTTTGATGTACTAAGCGATTCTTTTCTATTGCTAAGAGATTTGAAGTTGTTTCCTTATATAGTTGCTGATAATCTCTTGTTTCTGGACAGTGAGTCAGGGAGTATTCTCTCGATCCAACCTGTTTGATGGCAGCTATTTTCCAGTTCTTACTGTTGATGATTTTGTTACAGTAAAGCAACGACCAAAAGGCTTTTGGTTGAATGTTCAGGTAAATGGAATGCAGAACCCGTTCTCATGATTCAGTCTCATTTGTTTTAAAACTAATTCTTGTTTTGTCTGGTATTTTAAAGCACGATGCATTCTACACACAACACAATTTGAGTATGAGAAGCATCGTGCTTTCAGTTTCTAGAAGAATAGTTTTCAGTTATATCTCATCACCTGAGGTTGGTTTTCTGAGAAGTATCACAGCACGCTTCAACCCAAAAACAACTAAACTGGTCTTCAGGTTTTTGGGACAGAGTGATGTAGACCCATCAACCAATCAGACTTATGGATCACTCTTAAAAAATCTTACATTTATCAAGACGTTTGCTTCTGGAATTCTTGTTCCCAAGGGATACATTTGGCCTGTAGATGACAGACTTTATCTACAACCACATACATCTTTGGTCTCAGATGCACATAAAGTGGGGCTGGAAGTTTATGCATCAGATTTTGCGAATGATGTTCCATTTAGCTTTAACAACAGTTATGATCCTCTTGCTGAGTACCTCCAGTTCATCGACAATGGTGACTTCTCTGTTGATGGTGTACTGTCTGATTTCCCTGTAACTCCATTTGAAGCTGTAGGTAAGTTATTTATTTTCTTCCTCCATTTTGTCAGAATAGCCTGCCACAGATAGAATGCATTTTAGTTGATCAAAACCTCATTCACTTAGGGTTTGTTTAGATAGAGGAGTTTAGAGGGAGGGGAAGGAAAAATATTATAAGACATTCTAATTACTTGAGAATTTTTTATAATATGAGAATGTGAGGAACACATCAGAGATTATCATGCAACCTTCCAATTTTCACTTATTCATTTTTATAAACATTTTATAATTTTCTAAATTTAGAAATGAAAAATCCACTCTCATCCCTTCCCTTCCAAATTCTTTCATCCAAACATATATATATAGATTTTTTCACGATATAGTCTTTGTACTTGGAATGGAGCTGATGCGGCTGTAGCATTCCATTGAATGATATTTTCCTAATGTCTTTTTGATCTCATGCTCAAAGTGTTTGAGCCAATCACCTTAAGTATCTCTCCCTTTCTTTTGCATGCTTTTATAATTTTAGAGTGGCCATTGGCTGAATCCCCAAGTTTTGTCCTGTGAGTTAAATTGTTTTAATATCTAAAAGCAAGGATTCATTATGCAAATGTCCTGCCAAATGACACATAATCCTGGACTTTGGTGACCAATCTGCCTGAAATTGGTAATCTATAAGCTAATTGAATCTTACTATCCAATCTTGGTAAGGAGATACTTCCACTTCCCATCAGGATGCCACTAGGTTATCCAATCATTGATCAATGAAAGGGACATAATTTATGTTGAATTTGACTGTAGGATTTCATGGTGCAAATGTATGCATAATGTTATTAAAAATTTAAAAATAAAATCTTTTAGCCAATCACTCACCACCTTCTGCTTTTATGCTTCCCCCTTAAACTAAAATAACTTTAGAGTAGGCTCCTCCTTTAGGCAGGTAAGGTCTAGCTATATACTCTCTAAGCAACTATCATAAAAGATTTCATCATGGTGTTCGGTTTCCTTATTGCATTAAAGAGAATAACTATTATTTTCATCTAGGTATTGCATGCTTATTAGTTATCCTAACTAGAATTTTCTTCCTCAATTTTAAAATGCTTTTACATGATAAAAATATTGTCTTGAACCCAAATATTAAACCAAACATGAAAAAATTATGAGAATCCCTCCCTCCATTTTCCTCCAACCAAACCCTATGTTAAATATGTACTTGATACGGTTGTTTGTGGATTCTACATACTTATCTTTTTAAGATTTGTAACCTCAGAATATGTCTATATGTTAGTATTATTTTTTCTCTATTTAAGTAGATATTGAGTTGTCGTTTTATAATGCAGGTTGCTTTGCTCACCTAGGCACCAATGCTACTAAAAATGGTACACTAGTTTTCTTTTTGGAACATGTATTCTCATCCTGTTCTTAGTAATTTCTAGTTTTTTAATTGATGGTATCTATCAGCATAGCTTCATTGTTGACTTATTGCTCTCACTTTTTATCATGTTTTAGTTAATACTTTGGTTATCTCAAAATATGGGGCAAGTGGTGATTATCCTGCTTGTACCGACTTAGCATATAAAAAAGCCATATCAGATGGTGTGGATGTTCTTGACTGTCCTGTTCAAATGTCCAAGGATGGAACACCATTTTGCTTAAGCTCCGTTGATCTTATTGAGAGTACGACAGCTGCCCAATCAAGGTTCAGCACATATGCCATGACTATCCCTGAGATAAAATCTGGCAGTGGCATATACACATTCAACTTGACGTGGAATGATATCAAAAATAACTTGACCCGTAAGTTAAAGAAAGTTCTGCAGTTGTTAGTTATTCCTATGGTCTAATAATCTTCTGCATTTCTTTATTTTTGGAGGTAATGCTGTAGACTTGTCAAAGCATAATTGACTGATTTTTCAAATTAGCCAATATTCAGAATGAGTGAGATATGTATGCACACTAAAACAAGTTGTGTTTTAGGAATAGTGGAGAAAACTAGCTTACAACTTAACTGATAAATTGCGATGGCAAAATTTTCCCTCCCATATATTTCAGTGCTTTCACTTTGCTGCCTGCTGTTTTTATTGATTTGCATTGTGACGAAGAAATAAAATATATGAGAAGTATTACAACAAATATTTGACATACTTTTCTCTATTCTATTTTCTCTGCAGCTACAATATTGAGCCCTTTTGCAAAATACAGATTGTACCGGAATCCAAAATATAAGAATGCTGGGAATTTTTTGACGTTATCAGATTTCTTGTCCTTGACAAAAAATCAGACTTCTCTATCAGGTGTTGTCATCATTGTTGAGGTGCGTTCTTGCAGCCTATTATTTCTGTATTGTATTCATTCCATCAGCTGTTACTTGGACATATAAACTTGATAAGAATTTGGACAATTTTTTGTGAGAATGGTTTGGGGTCACGCCAGTTATTTAATAATTCATATGACTGATTTCGCCTTCAAATAATGGAGGAAATATCTAGACTATCATACAAATTACAAGAGTCACTTCACTTCTTTTTGTAAGCCATATAATTATTGTAAAGTTCTGTATAACTGTGTCAAGGATTATGAAATATTTTAATATTCTTTAGGGTTCTACTTGTACGTTGTGCTGGTGATTTCTTTCTCTTTTGAAACCAAAAACCAAATGACTGACCTGCCCAAAAATTATATCCCTGTGAATTTCACATTAAATATTTCCTCACTAACTCTTCTGTCCACTAATTTATTTTGTCCAAAGAAAGAGTTATTTGGTTTCTTCCTAGTCTATAAATGATTTCTTCTCCCTTTTCTTTCATATTCTATTGATTAACATTTATATTGTATTCTTCTTATCAGAATGCAGGCTATCTTGCACGGAAGCAAGGATTAAGTGTGACTGATGCAGTCATCGGCGCTTTGAACAAAACAGGTTATGATAAACAAGGACCCCAAAAAGTTTACATTCAATCCACAGACAGCTCTGTGCTGCAGGAGTTCAAGAAGAAAACCAATTACGAGCGTGTCTACAAGATTGATGAGACTGTTGGTGATGCTGTGAATGCAGCTGTAAAGGATATAAAAAGCTTCGCTAGTTCTGTGGTTGTCAGCAAGGACTCTGTATTTCCTAGCAATCAAAAATTCCTGACCGGCTCTACAAACACTCTGACAAAGCTAAAAGCTGCTAACCTCTCAGTTTTTGTAGAAACATTCAGCAATGAGTTTGTATCTCAGGCGTGGGATTTCTTCTCAGACGCAACTGTGGAGATCAACTCATATATTCTGGGAGCAGAAATTGATGGTGTCATCACCGACTTCCCTCAAACTGCTAACAGATACAGAAGTAAGTGCTTGCAAATTCTGCAATAGTGTACCATGGAGTCTCCTATAAGCATCTTAGTCACTGACATAGTTACTCTCCATTGCTGCAGGGAACAAATGCTTAAACATGGGTAACAACAAACCCACTTACATGGAAGCTGTTCATCCAGGTGATCTTTATGGACTCATTACCGAAAATTACTTGCCTCCAGCTATGGCTCCACTCCCACCCTTGACAGAATCTGAAGTGGCAGAGCCACCTTTGCCTCCTGTAACTAAAATAACCCCAGCTTCTGGCCCAAACGCCGGAAACACATCAGCTCCACCTGGAAATGCACAGCCCAAGGTCACTGTGTGCCTTTTCTTGTCCACTCTGGCTGTGTTTTTAGTTTCCCTTGTGCTTTGAGTAAAAACATCTCTACACTTATGCTGAAAACTGGAAACAAAAAAAAAAAAAAAATATGAAAAGGAGAAAAGGTTGCTTTTGGTGGTTTCAGCTCTCAATTTCCCCATCTCTTCCAGGATTAAGTGGTATGAAGCTTTTGGCTTCAGACTACATGAATAATCCACATTTTTTCTCTTCTTAAAAGGAGCAAATTCTTTTAATCTTATTTGTTGTAGCTATGTATGTTCATTCTTAGTGGGTTTATACTATATGAGCACAAAATCCTGAGGGGTATATATCTATGAATTCTTTTTAGAAGTGTATTTTGTATCTTTTGGTGTAAGATATATTTATTTACAGTTATACTTAGTGGTGTGCATTTGGCATGAGATTGACAAGTTGAGGTCCTGATCAAATTTTCCACGAATTATCCAGGGCATATGCATGGGTTGATAGTGACAATATAAGTAGTTCTTGCTCTATTTCTGATCCCACATGAAATTAACATAATTATGATAGCGTTATCGAACAGAAAATATAAGTATGGGTCTCCACGTCTTGTAACTCTACAAAATATGACTTAGATTTTATTCAATTCTACCCGAGTCAATTTGGGCTGCCTTAATTAATAATTGATTTTGAGAATTTCAAAATCAGTTGCTGGAACTACATGTCAATATATAAATAAGAATGAAATGTAAGTCAAATAATGATTTAGAGCTTGTTTAGTTATGTTTTATATTTCGATTTTTCTTAAATAACTTTTATAAAGCTGAAGATAATAATTGTTTCTCTCTAATTAAAGTTCCTCAGATATGCACTTAACCTCTCTTCTTTTGGGTCTAAGGTTTGTAGAAAAAATGTCCAGCCACACTTTTAAGTAAAAGATGCTTAAAAAAGAGTATGCACAACTAAACAAAAGATCAAGTTTGTGCATTCAAACTAAACGAATTTAACAGTCCAAAAATCTCAAAAACATAAGAGTTAATGCTAAGTTCTAAACTCACATGTTTCCTTGACAATGAACGAGCCATCAGAAAAAGGCTTTTTTTCCCTGAGTTATTACAAAGCTTAACATTAAGTTAAATCAACATAAATAAAAAACATCGGTTGAATCATTATTTTTCAACAATAAAGATATTATGGTTGATTGGTCCAAAATGGCAATAGATTTAACGGAGATACGGCAGAGCTTTGACAATAAGGGAGTGACTCTAATGGTTCTATTGCTGAAAAAATTGTGAAGTAAAAGAGAATGGTAAGAAAGAGATGAAGGTGAAGACTTTAAAAAAAAAGCGATGGTGAAATAGGAGATATTACAAAAAAAAAAAAAAAACTCGCAACATTTTCTTTGTTTGTTACCATAGTTATAATATTTTTTAGTTTTTTTAACATGTATGGAAGGACAAGCGATAAAAAAAATTCATAAATTGTAAGTTTTTATTGAAAATCATACCAGAAAATGCATTAAATTCATCGATATGTTATCATTTTTAATAAAAAATCATTACACATAAATTCTTATTATATGCATTACAAACAAAATAGCCATTGTTATCTTTATTATAAACCTTTCCACCGTGAACCATGATGAATTGGAGCATTTAGAAATGAGACGCAAAGTATTGGGGATGAAATGATGGTCATTTGTGGTGCGGATTATGTTAAACAAGTGGAAATTTTCAGTATAGCTTCTCCTTTTTCTATGATCTGTTGTGGATGTGAGAAACTTGTGACCATCCAAGAAGACGTAAAGTTTGTGAATTACTCCTTTATTGCACTTTGAATTTGAGTTGGGTATGATTTTGGAGGCACAAGGCTTCATAATTCGTATAGTCAACTGTCACCTTTAATTTCATATCCAAGCAGGGCAATCATGATAAATAATAATAGCTAATATTAAAATATAGTAAAATGTCACAGTGTCTAAGATTATTGACATGATCCATTTCTACTATTTTTCTCACTAGTTCTCCATTTTCCAATGTGAGGGATTCTTGTATTTTTTTGAACACACTATTTAGTGACATTACCAATATTTTCAATAAAAACTTAAGATAATATTAAAATAAATTTAATATGGATTTGTTTCTTTTTTTAAAATAAATTATCAATTAAATTATCAAAATTAGCATTTCCCCCTTAAAATTATAAAACAAAGTAACTTCATTCTTGACTTTAATGTCTAGTTGTGTAATATAGTCAATCCAATCTTATCCTATTTAAAATTAGTCACAATTATATTCATACATCTTTGGTTTTGAAAAATGAGTACGAATCTTAGATTTCCTTCAAAATTTAAAGTCAGATGAAGGTTGTACAACGTGTCTCAACCCAGAGCTACAAATACCCTTAGTCCCTTTATTGCAAACCCTTTATTGATTTAACAGATATTCTGGTGACAAATTCTCTAAAGTACAAAAAAAATGTCAAAGATTATGGATGATATTTTACTAACCGTTAATTTGATATGTATTTGAAAGAACATAATAAAAAAATAAACAATATTTATTAAAAATTATAGTATTAATGTAATTAACACATTAAATTTTATAAATTTTAATAAGAAAAAAGAATAGGGAGAAGGGGGAGCTCTCACTTTCACTGCCTTTTTCAAATAAGACTTCCAATCTGCATGCGTCATGCTTTTGTTCTAATGATGTCATTCATGTGAATTCAGAAGCCTTTATTTTCTTCCACCCAACTGATTGCTATAAAATTGCCACTGCTTACCAGTTTGTCACGGCTGAATAATAATAATAATAATAATTCATTAATTAATTATGTATTACTAAAGTTTGATTATCATGTACCCAACTTTTTAATTAATTATTTAATTAGTAAGCTTGGTTGTTTTAATAAAGTGTCAAAACATATCATTGAATGATGATATAGTTAGCAGTTTGGTATTAACAATGGTGAAGTTTAAAATTAAATTAAATGATTTACCCAAAAATGAAAAAGAAAAAGGAAAAAAGGTGTGTGTGTGAATAATAGTAGCTAATTAGGAAGGGATTCAAAGGGCACCCTGCTTCAGTGGGAACATACCTTCCATCTATTGACTCTGCAATTTGCATAGTTAATATTGGAATAAACGAATATTTGTGTAGTTACTAAGTACTTGCGTGTGTAGACTATGAACCAAGAGTCTAAGACCGTGTTTGTCATCATGAAAGATGCACGCACGCTGCGATCAAGTGAGATCACTTTATTCAACATTTTTTCTCTGTTTCTTATTTTTGTTGTACTTAACTTTGATGGAAGCATCATTGAAGGTGACACGGATTTTCCTACTCACTGATCTCCAATTGTGGTTTTCATTGAATTTCGTAGTTACCATATTTTTCATAAACCATTTTTCAACCCTTTGATTAATTTCTCCCACATGAGGTGCTGAGGGGTTGATGATGAAAGATGTGACTCAAATATTATTTGTTATCATGCAATAATGTTGTCTCTGCCAATATCACCTCCCAAACACCCCTCTATCAAGTGATAATTGCGTGTATAGAATCGGAATCATGTTAAAATCACACTAATTTAGTTTCACTTAGTACTTCAAAAGATCATAATTTGAACCAAAGTAGCATTTAAGACGTTTTTTAGCCAAAAAAAAAACCCAATTCGAGGTTTTCAAACAAAAAAGCAAAATAAAACCCTTGATGATGAATTTTTATGTTTTAGATAGAAAGTAGCAGCATTAACAATTTCATTTCTTTAATTACCTCTAAGTAATTTTAAAAACAAAATTTTTATAAATTAATCCCTATTCTTAATTGAGTTCGTCCCATTATAGATGTGCTAACAGGATAATATACGCATCCTACTTATTTAATGAAAAATGATGTTGCAATAAATGCATAAAAGATAAAGAAAAATCCATAAAACAATCTAAATCAAATAAAAAAGATAAGCCCGCCTAATTAATTATCTTAAATTAAAACAAAATCCTTAAACATAAAAGCAATATTAAAATTTTTAGTAACATATAATTATATATTAATCTAATCTCCATTAATAATAGTCTTAATACTTGACACCAATAAGACGACAATGAATGAAAAAAAAACAAAAAACTCTTTTGGTTAAAAAATATTTCTTTAAGATCACTTAAAACTAATTTTAAAACAAAAAAACTATAAGAAAAACATTAATAGACAAATAAAAGAGGCCATGGCCCCAAATCTTAAATTGAACAAAATGATGAAGTGCTTAGGTTGTTAAAACAAATGAAGACTTTAATCAAACCGATGGTGAAACGTGGGTGATGTCAAGTGATGCAGAGGACAAGTCCAGCTAGGCCAAGCCTAAGACCAAAGATATTTTTTTTTCCTTTTTACTTATGAGATTTAAATTTTGATTTGAATCGAAAACCACTGAATTCAATATGACATGTAACGAGGAAGATTCAAACAATTCCTATTCATTCCTATGACACATCATAATTGCGTTATGCTGACGTTCATAGGAATAAAGAGAGCCTTGAGCTCAAGCAAACCCTTCTATTCTATTTCTCTGTTATTTGCCATGTGGGTTTGAGTTTGACCTTAAAAGAGTGAAACTCTTAATTCTTCCTCTCTCTCACGCCACACCCCACACCCCACCTTCCTATATATACCTTAAAGCATCTTTGTCTTGCTCCTCACATTTCCATCATTCTACAACTTCGCACTTGTTTCATCAAAATGCCAGACCAAGATATTTGCAGTTACCTTAAAGAACCTCGTCTTGTAGCAAGGAAGTTTTTGGCCAGGCCTCAACGTGAAGGTGTTGGAGCTGTTGTTAGAAGAAGCATAGGACGGTAAGAGAAAAATGAAATCATACTTATATTACATGAGAAGTTAAGAATTATATTTAATTTAACTCAGATTAATTCTTTTCTTAAGATTAAATGGGGTATGTTGACTTCTCTGTATTTGCATTGCATGTTTTGGAACCCATTTAAAAAGTTGAGCCTTTTGAATTGATTTTTTTATCTGGGTATGTTCAGATTTGAGCTCAAGTACTTTGATCCTTTCCTTGTCTTGGATGAATTCTCAGGTGGGCACCTCTGTTTTTTGCTCTGTTTTCTAATTTGAATTAAGAAATCATATGAGGGTCAATTTTGTTCTGTTTTCTGAGAATGTGAAATTATTATATATTGCAGTCTCTGCTCCTGCTGGGTTTCCTGATCATCCACATAGAGGTTTGACAATTAGAATTTCTGTGTCGTCTATGTAATGTTTTGTTCTTCCCTGATCTTCTTTGTTCAGCTTCTGACTCCATGCTCCTTCCTTGTGGTGTTTTCTCACTTTTCTTATGACAGGCTTTGAGACAGTCACGTATATGTTACAGGTAGATCAAATTTATCCTTTCCGTTCATTGGCTTTCTCCTTTGCTCGTTGATTATAAAGCTGTTTTAAAACGTTTGAGAAACTTGGTTCTATTTTTCTATTGTAATCCGTGTCATAAAGTCAAAGGTATAATAATATATTGGTCATTACAGGGGTGAACCAACATAATTGCAAAATTATGTACCAAAAGAAAACATAATTGCAAAATGAAAATTAAAAGTAAGCTAAATATTTGGTTTTCTGATTTTAAATTTTTTATTCTATATTAGCTAAAATGTTTGTTAGTTGAGCTAAATATCAGCTCAATATGGTGTTAATCTGTGTGCTGGTGGTATGGTAACATATAAGTCACAAAATTAATAATTCATTAAGCAAATAAGCCATTTTGATTAGTGCCACTAAAACAAAGCCAGCAAAGATTGTGTCCTGATTGGCAATAGTATTTGGTTATAATCATTAAGCACGAAGACAAGAGTGACCCCACATGTTGATATCTAGTATAGTTTTCTAGAATGCCAACTACCAGCTTGAGTATAATGTACCTAAAGTTGTGTCCATGCAATATTGGCCACATATGCTTATGTAGTTGTGCTAACCTCACCTGAATGCAATTGCCTGTGCGATTCAGGGAGCTTTAATGCATGAAGATTTTGAAGGACATAAGGGAACAATAGAAGCTGGTGACTTGCAATGGATGACTGCAGGGAGAGGGATAGTTCATTCAGAAATGCCTGCATCTCAAGGAACCCAAAAGGGTTTGCAACTGTGGATCAACGTTGCTTCCCAACATAAAATGTAAGTGGACAATAAATTTCCGGCAATCTTATGGACTAATTGGAATAAACAATATAATTAAGTTTAAACTTTTGTTATAAAAATTTCATAAATTTGGCCGAATTTTTTTTAAAATAAGTTAAAAAGTGCCTATAAAAAAAAAGGTTACGAGTCATTTTTGTAAGTTACATAAGTTCATCATTATGCCTATAAAAATTGACCCTCATTTTTAATATAAAAATCTTTAAATAAAAGTAAACAACAGGGTTCTTTCTGATGAAATACTGAAATCACAATCTTAGCCTTATTAGATGACGTACATTTTGCGTCACTCAAGATCATCATTATTTGTTTGGAGTATCGTTTTGGATAATGCTCATTGGTATTGGCTACATATCAATGAGACAAAAAGGAACTCCACTCTTTACAAAGGAAAAAGTCAAATCTTTTTTATTTTAAATTTTCTGAATTAATTTATGTCATCCTCACTTTCACATGACTTTATTTCATGATTCCCCATCATGTACCATTTCCTAGAAGTGCTCTTATTAATACAGCATCAAAAGATGCTATTATGCAAAAGGGCCTAAAATGGTCACCATAAAAAATGTGCCTCTCACCCATATAGCCGGGGGTGATGATGGAAATTTCAATCATAAGGGCACACCATGTTACCGCTCCTAGTTTCAAAATTTGTCTGGTTCTGGGTGACCCATTTGCTCAACTTTTTCATCAGTGTCTTCTTGGAAATATATGTTACCCTTTAAGAAAGTAACTAATGTCTACCTTGAAGTTTACGTTAAATTGGAACAGTTGTTTCTTAATTTAGACGCTAATAAACTTTGGCTTAATCTTACTTTGTACTATTGTCTTGATTAGGATTGAACCAAGGTATCAAGAAATGTTGAGCAAGGACATAGCTGAAACTATGAAAGATGGTGTGAAGGTTAGAGTAGTAGCAGGTGAAGCTCTTGGAATAAAGTCTCCAATCTACACAAGGACACCAACCATGTACTTGGACTTTTCCCTTAAACCAGGGGCACACTTGCAACAACTTATACCAAAATCTTGGAATGCTTTTGTGTACATATTGGAAGGAGAGGGTGTCTTTGGAAACCAAAAATCTCAGCCTACAAATTCTCATCATATTCTTCTTCTAGGTCTTGGGGATGGCCTAGAAGCATGGAACAAATCTTCTAAGCAACTTAGGTTCATTTTGGTTGGAGGTGAACCATTGGGAGAACCTGTGGTGCAATTTGGACCCTTTGTGATGAATACTCAAGAAGAGATTGATCAAACCATTGATGATTTTGAGAACTATACCAACGGATTTGAGAAAGCAAGACACTGGAGATCTGAAAGTGCACTTAGTCTTGATTTTTGATTTTATTTAATGTCACATTTGTTGGTTGGTTTGGATAGAAGGCAGGGAAAATAAGTTGGAATATAAATTAGAATCTATGATTAGAAGAAGAATTTCTATCCTTTTCACCTTTCTAATATGTCGATATAATTTGTAATCGTAATTTGAAGTCCACTAGCAGTAAGTTAAAAGCAGAGAAAAAAAGTTCTCATTCATTGAACCTTTTTAGTCTTAGAACAATATCTATATTGTGAATACTCTTTATCAGTAGAGTTGCTGGGATATTTTATTGAATAATAAAAAGAGTGTCAAATAATAATAATAATAATAATAATAATTATTATTATTATGTATAGTCATGTTTAGAATATACACACACATATATATATATATATATATATATATATATATGTTATAAAAAAAAAAGGTGAACAAAAGCTTTTCTTATTTTATAGATAGAACTAATGAATAGAACAACCAAACCATCAACCTAATTTACATAACTTTCCGTGAATTTACAATTTGCCAACTGACGTATGACATAAAGTGACTTTATTTAATGGTAACAAAAAAGGTTTTATAATAACATTACCCTTTTATTGATATGATACTAGGTGATTCTTAACGAACAATTTTTTTCTATAAAATTAATATTTAATGCTTAATTATTTACATAATCTATAAAGTGAATACAAGCTCGTGGAATTAATTTCACAAGTGCTCTCTTGTTTTATTTTGTAAAATGTGCCATACTATCACGATTGAAGTATATTAATATTGTATTTATTTAACCTTTTTATATATGTTAAAGTTAAATAGGAAAATTTTCATATTAGAAAAAAAATGAGGGTCAATTTGCTTATTAATACGCCTATTTTCTGGAAGTGAAATTGATATTACATTAATATAGCTTATAATGTTACAATAAATTTGGTCAATTCTTTTAAATCCACTTGCCAAATGGAAAAATAGGTTTCTTAGGTGCGAGCTTGTAGGATTCATGCCAAAGACTAGCCTTTATTCATTAAATTATATCATCTACTAAAGTATTATTCTCTGTTAATATTTTAACATGCATTTTTTTCTTAATCTGTTAAATAATGTATTTTATCCGTTAACTACTTATAAAATAACTTATAATTCTGCATACTAGAAAAACTAGTGCTATTAACCTTTGACCAATAAGATAAAATCCTGAATACTATGAATGTAATAGTATCGAAGTTTAACTTCTACATGTGCAGACCAAAACAAATGATATTTACTCAAATTATTTAATTAAATGATATGTAAATTAGTTTAGTTACTCAAATTATTTGAACTAAACTCATTAAATATTTGATTAAATTCATTAATTTAATTAAATAAACATTAAAATTAATTGTTTATATGAGTCAAGGTTCAAATTGTAGAGGCTTGATGTTAATAGTTTGTGAATAACTCATATATTTGATATAACATTGACACCATGTTTATAAAGCTTAGAAAAGTATTTCGATGTCATATTCATTCAGATGTTCTACAGAATAGAACTAGAGTTGGGGAGGGGGCGCATGCAACAAGAAGAATATGATTGTTTGTGATCAGGAAAATATATAATACAGGCAAAATTTCCTCCATTGAAAGTACTAATTAAACCGCCCAACTAAACTTCTGTTGTCTCAAATACTTTTTCAACTTCTGCAATGGTGTTTCGAGCTTCATCAATTTCAGGGCCTTCCTTCTCACCTGACTCCTCCAACTCAACCTGAAAATGGGAAATAAAACACACAAAAAATCGAAATTACATATCCAACTTCAAGCAAATGCATTTTTAAAATCAGAGAAAACGCTTCAATAAAGATATAGACCAAATAATAAGGAGATAAAAAGATTTTTTTTTTTGGATAATTGAAATTAATGGATCAGTTCTAAAGACCCTGCTTTAGACGTACATAAATGCATTCATAAACAGGAGCAAAAAATTTAAATTATACCAAATAAAAAAATATTAAAATGTTACAGAAGTCTTTTTAGTTGCAAGTTTTTTTCTCTCTCTCTCTCTCTCTCCCCTCCCCTCCCCCTCCGTCTTGAGAAAGATCCTAGTTATCGTTTTATTTTTGCATCTGTTAACTCCTAATTAAATTAATATGCCATGATACCCAAACAGCAAAATAATTCTTTAATTTTTACATTAACTATAATTAGATAAACAAGAGAAAGTGAAATCTGTAGGACGCTCTACCGAACCTTGAACTAGGAGGGTCAGGATCAGTAATCTAACTATATTCCTACCTCAACCTCTTGCTTATATTACATTAGATAATTAAATGGTATCATTCTCCATTGAAACCAATTAAGAGTTAAGACAGCTGAGTGATTCTATGACAAGGCCAAGGCATCAAATGCTGTGAGCATGTCAAAATGGTTTAAAATGTTGATGACATGATAAAACCGAAGAAAACTGAGATATGCAGTACCAGTATTCCTTTTAAGTCTGCCAAAGAGGCCTCAAGGCGCTTGCGGCAGTCAGGAATCATCATCCTAGATTCACCCAACACATTTTCCTGTCCAAATCAGTTCCAACAAAATTTACAATCATTTCTTTTCTTACAGAGAAAAGTAAATAACAGACAATGTCAATGGTCAAAGTCATACACACCAAATCATCTCAGATCACAGTGACTTCCCAAATTAAACAATGCAATTGCAACAGTACAGCCAGCCTAACTAAAGTAGCAAAAGATACATATATATTTGCATGTTGGGATTAGATTAATTTTAGGAACAAAAAAAGTTACACTTATTTTTATCAGTAAGATTTTAATTATAAGTTTATAGGGAAATCCAAACACATAAAAAGGCTTTCTAATGTGTTTGGATTCGCATTTAAATATCTATAAATCCACGTTTACTTTATCACTACTGGTTGTAATTTTTGCGTCCTAAATCCACACACACAATTGAATGTACAAGTCCAGTAGGCACATAATTTGGAATACCTGCTGTTTGAGGTCATAAGGATCAGCTCCTTTTTCCTTCATGTCAGCAGTTTTGGCAGCTTCTCTCTCAACCTCCTTCTCATAAGAATGCATTTCCTTCACTATACGTTTGCACGTACTTGTCTTGATCTTCAGGCTTCTCAAAGTAGCCATTAATCCTACATCCATAAAAGCAATAAAAAAAAAAGCTTCATGTAAAATCTGCTTCCAAATCAAAATCAATAGAAGTCCTCAATGCAACGAAGATGCTCTCCATCCAGTATCAATCGCTTACTCAAAGCTAAAAGTGAAAGTCGTAAGCTGCATTCCGTATTCCGAAAGGCAACTAAAAATTGATCGAAAAGTAAGACATAAAAAAGCAGCAGAGATTCGGTCCAATAGTTCGTTGTGAATAAAAAATTAGGGTTATATGAAGGAAGAAGAAAATGGCGGTGATTATGTTTGATTTTACCTGCTGATAGTTTTGGTCACTATGATGGTGGTGCTTGCGGTGCCCTAGCCCAGACACGCGGTGAAACAAGACGATGATGATTGAAGAGGACCTTTGCTCTCCCTAAAACGCACCGTTTAATCCCTTTTTCTTTTCTTTTCTTTTCTTTTTTTGGTATTTTTGAAAAGTTTTGTTCCCCTCTCGTTTTTGGTCATTTGGAAGCCCAAGCCTAAGGCCTCAAACCCTTATTCCCAGTCCCGCTGGAATGGATTAGTTCTCCATTTTCGGCCCATTTTGAACACTAGTCAATTAACAACTTTTCATTTAAATATTGACTTTTGACCCGAAAATAATAATAATCTTGTTTGTACACAACTTTTCATTTAAAAGAAACAGGGGTCATGTGTTGTTCACATAGTTGCATTTGATTTTAATACCAAAAAGACATATGAACTATATAATGATGTAAAAGTTACCGAATAGATCCGAGAAATTACTGTTCTCGGACATGATGACACCTTTGTTATATCATTTTTATCATTAGCTTACGAAATGTACGAATTTGATGCTAATTATAGAGGGGCACCTGCTACACTAGACACGAGAGAAGCTGGGCGCATTTAGGTGGACACTCTAGAGAGATTTTACAGAGGAATAAACTTAGGCCATCTTCGTACCCTGGTTTTTTCTCTCATTGACAGCAGTATATTTAGTCTACATTTTAACGTAAAAACATTTCTATAAACAATTATATAACGCAGAGTAAATGGTTAGAAAACCGAGGAAAGAAACGAGTAAATAATACCCTTTAAACATGCTTCTAAGTAGATATTTAATTGCAGCCTAGATATTCCGTTGGATACTAGTAGTTGATAATATTAATTATATTTCAATTATCTACCTTTAAAGGGTGTTAACAGGTTGAATTCATACCAAATTTGATAGCTATGAGCTGTCACCTGTTTAAATGTATAATTCATCGGTACTTGAATGCTCTTAAGAGTACACTTCCAACCAAGATCAGAAAGATAATGTTCTAATTAAATGAATCGCTAATGGCAAGTCCGTAAATGTCACGGGGGTTTCAGAAACTTTCAGCAATGCAGGAATCGGGATTGGGATCTGATTACTATATACTAACAAAATAATTAATGTTTGGTTAATTATGCAGAGTTTAGCTCTCAAACTAAAATCGCTGCCACTTCATACTAACAGCGTTGATGGTAAGTACATGAGTCAAGCTAAAGCACTCATGATAGGCCGTCCAAGTTCAACAAACCACCAAGAAAGAACATGATAGAATTAAGATGCCATATTGGAACTCAGTAACTTGTAAACAGCCCATGTCCTCGGACAATTTGTTGTCACCCTCAAGTTCTTCCAAAAGAAATGTCGGCAAAAGCTACAAGAAACCTAAACAAATGCAAAGAAGGGTGCATTCTTATCTACATGATGCTAGCAAATCATGCTACTCCAATTTCTTATTGAGATGTAGGATAAGTCCCCTTCGTGCGCTTTTTCAAAGACTCAGAAAAAGAGGAAAAGGCTCCTTTTAGTTCATCTGGAAGAGGGAGTTGAAGGGGGAGTGCCAAGGGTGGACGTGCATTGTGTTGTACAGTTGCTTTCCAGGCCATGGGAAGTGCAAGTGCTGGCTGCTGCTTGTTTAGCCCTTCCATGATAAAAGAAAATGCCCCAAATGTGAGGCAGCTCTGAAGAAGTGCTTGTGGTGCACCTGGAAAACCCCAGAAAATGAAATTTTCAAGTGTATTTAGCTAAACAAGGTACTGAATTTTAACAATAGCAAATGGTTGGAAAGCATTCTGATGGATTGTACAGAATAATACACCTCAAAAGATTGTCTCACTTGCCAATTAGGAACAACATCACCACTGTATTTAGATCATATAATTATGTTCTTTAAAGAAATATCAAGAATAACAAGAAGGCTTATTCAGCAAAGCCAAATTGGCAAGCCCTTCATCCTTCTTTCTTAAAAGTTTCAAATATAGGGCAACTTAAAGAAAGAAAGAAAAGATACCTGGAAAACTTAGAGCAAGACCAGTGCAACATCCAGCTACCCCCGCATTAATGACTACAAATGTGAAAGAATTCACATCATCAGTGAAAGAACTCTTAAAAGCAAAAGTGGCACTTTATAGTTAGACATTTAATACCATCATCCTTTCCTCGAAGTCGTTTCAAGATGCAAACAACCAAGCTATGAACTCCAGACAAAACTGCAAATGTCTAATGACAAAAAAAACCGATTATTTATGAGCAAAATAAAATAAATAAATAACACACAGAGATATGGACCAGCTAGACACTGGAAACATGAGAAAAGGTAATGAGATTTTCAATGTACCTTGGCATATGACCCAGCTTCTACAAAGGATCCTTTAAAACCTTTCTTCTTAAACAATCCAGCACCTGAAACACACCAATTACAAGCATCCTTAAGCAAAATCAGAAAAAATAACCTAGTGACAGCTTTTATTTTACTTAAACATGCACTGAATACATCCAAATAACCAGAAAAAAAAAGCAATTAATTCAAAAGGCTACATATCAATATCACTGAACGTAACCTAACACCGAAAACTAGCTTCTATAAAACCGAGGCAGACACATTTACTTGTTCTCATTTACACCAAACTAAACCATCAATCGTGTATCCACACAACACACACACACTATAAAACAGAAACAGTAAATCCTGGATTAAAAGGTTGAACGAAGAAATTAGGCTTTAATAAACTCAAATTAATCGATAATCGCTCTGAAATGAAAGTGTGATAATATAATATGATAGAAGGAAGGCATAGAAGAGAGAGAAGGACCGTATCCAAAAACAGAGCCCATGAAAGCGCCGCCAGCGGAGTCAGTGGCGAAGCGGAGTAGGCAAACGGCGGGGGCGGCAGGGACGAGAGAGTTGGGAGGATTGGAAACGGAGTCAGCATCTTGAGGTTGAGGCTGAGGCTGCGAGTTAGCGTCGGATTCCGGCGTGGCCATAGATGTGTTGTGCTGTGCTGTGTGTTGTGTTGTTGGGTCTCTCTTCGTCCTTCTCAATTCTGATGTGATGTTATCTCTTTCTAAGTTCCCAAATGACGTCGTTTCGTACCCAGCTTTTTGCTCTTTTAACCATAAGCGCGGTTCAATTACATAAAAAAAATGAATAATAATAAAAAGATCAAATGTTATAGTATATACATTTTTTTTTTTCATTTACTCTATAAACTCTTAGTAAAATTTAAACAATGCTATGATATTTTTAAATTTATTTTCAATTAAAATATTCAAATGTTCCAAATTAAAATTTATTTTTAAAAACTCTTTCAATTAAATCATGTAGGTTAAAGATAAGTTTCAATGCATAATTTAATTAAATATTTATTTAATAAGCTATTTTTACATAAAATTATGTTAAAAACTTGATCATAAAAATTATTAGAATAAATTTAAAAGTATTATTAAAATAAGTAAAAAAAATTATGAGTCGGAAAATATTTTTATAAAGTGTTTATTATCTCTTTCAAGCACTCCCCTAAGAAAAGTTGTTAAAAATAATTAATGCATTATTTTTATAAAAAATTATCACTTCCAAATTTATTCAAAGTTACTATATTATGTAGGTACTTAAAAAAGGGTTAACATTCATAAAAGAAAACATGAGAATTTTCTAAAGTTTTGTAAAGAATTCATATAAAAAATCATTAAAAAAAAATTAAAAGAATCTTATAAATAAGTTTGGCAAAAATAATATATTCGATAACTTTTATTTCTCTCTATATTTTTTCTACCTTTGTATCCTAACCAATGCTTTGAGAGAACAGTCCATGTCGTAGTCATTCATGTGCCGATCTCATTTCATATTTTGAGTTGTGTCTGTATTCTCAAAAATATTTCCTCAAACAGAACATAAAATCATTCTGTAGCTATGATTACTGGCAAAATTCAAGTTTAAGAACAAATAATTCAATGTTATTACTATTACCAACGGTCGATACAATTAGACGAAAGAATTTAAGTTCCACAAACCAAGTGCTCCACAGAGCTTAAAAAATACAAAGAATCTAAAACAATAAAAAGAATATAAATGGGTACAATGAATACTTAACGATCCGAGAAGGATCTGATGCTAGACAAACCGTTGGAAGTTGATTTATAATCAATCCAACAATTAATAATGCTCCTGATAGATTGCTCCAAACTCTACTCTCCATGCCTGATCATCGTCTGGATGGGAATTAGCATTGTTGTGTATCACATCAGAATCCTCTCTAAATAGTGGCTGCAGTGCAGACTCTGGTAATTTGCTCTCTGCAAGATACTGCTTCATCGTAATCATCTCCATCTTGTGTTTTCTTTTGAGCTTATCCATTTGCTTTTTTAGCTTTTCATTATCTTGTTGCACTTTTGTATTATTCTCCTGTATAGGAAATATGAAAATCAAGAAAAAAAAGAATAGGAATATCTTATATGGATTATCACATAAATGTTTTCCTTAAGTCCTATTCTATGCTTCTGAGTTCTTGGTATTTATATACCTATTGATATTTCATATTTGATATCAGAAAGGTCGGAGAAAATAGCAGAATAAATTCCAATATTAAACATTCTAATGCAACGCTATCCCTCCAACAAATAGGCACCAAAGTGTACAGAGGAGGAGCAAGAGCACCAAAATGTACCAAGTACGAACCAGAATGCGCCAAGAGGCACCAATAGAGCAGTAAGGTGCACCAAAATGCACCAAAACGCAATAAGTGTAATCAAAATGGCACCAAAACGCAACAAAAGGATATCAAAAGGGCACCAAGTAAAATTAGAATGAAAAGACACAAGCATAATTCTGTTTGTTACTGTTTCACATATATTTTATTTTATTTTTTACTAATATAAAACAGAACAATAATTCTATATTAGTTCTTTGTTTATTTTGTAATATTTTATGGAAGTCCTTTCTCTCCACAATATACTGTGTAACCCCATTCCAACTTAACAAACTTTCTGTCCCTCAAGTTGATTTAAGCACAAGGTAAAGCACCTAATTGGCAACCTTCATAATCTGAAGCATTCAAGAGAATTGATGGTGGGATTATTTTACTTACCTCTGCAATAGATGCTGCATGCTCAGCTTCCCTGAGTCTAACAAGAAGTTCTCCAGCTGCATGAACAGCCTCTGCAGTGTCTCTAAGTTGAATCTTGAGATTCGTGTTCTCCTTTTTCAAGAATTTTGTTTCCCTCTCTCTCTCCACCCTCAATGCAGAAAGCTCAGCAGCAAGAGATTTGGCAAAGCGAGCATGACCCTTTCTTCCAGCCTTTGCCGCTGCCTTCTTCACCTGTGCTATGCCTTCCATTATAGCATTGTGCTTTGCAACCAAATCATTATATTTTTCTTGGAGGTCAGCGTAATGTTCCACCATTCTAGCATGTCCAAGAACAGCTCTTTTTAGTGCATCATCTAACTCTTCAGTGCATTTCTTCTCTAAAATTAGTTCCATCTCCACCCTCTCTGCCCGCTGGCGATTGGACTCAAGATCAACTCTTAGTTCATCAGTAAGACATATCCACTCACTTTCCATTTCTGTCCATCTCTGTCTCTCTTTCTCTAGTTCATCACCACCATTATCAGGAGAAAATACACTACTTTTTCGCAGTTGAATGGATCTTGACATTAATGATAAGGAAGATCTCAGTTTGTCAGTGGACTTCTTAACTGGTGCATCGCCATATAATTGCAGCTTGCTTCTTAGATTTTGAATTTCCTTAAGAAGTTCTTTCTTCTCAGCTGCATCAAAAGAGCTGTCCCTTTGAGTTACTTCTTCCTGGACTTCTTTAATTTCACATTTTTCCTCTATAATATCTGGTAAATGACTGTCTAAGGAAGTGCCCCTCAGAAGCTGCAAACAACATACAAAGTAAATGGGAAGGGTGAGTTCCAAACCTTCCAACTGGATAGAACTTCATATTGTAAATTAAAAAACCAACAATAGACCTTGTCTTCATCTTTCAATGAGTTATACTCTTCTTCTTGTCTACTCTGTTTGTTGCTTTCTTGATCATACACAATGATGGATGATTTTAGTTCTTTCTCTCCTTTTAATTTTTCCACCTGGACAAATTGAAATAATTTGTCAGCAATGCAAAATTCAAACCACAGATATAATTCATAAGGGTCTCGACTCATACCAATTGATTTAGTTCTTCAATTTTAGCAGCTTGCTCCTTGCAAACATTCTCAAGCTCCTTTTCTCTTACGGTTGCTTTTTCTATTACATTTTGTAAATCCTAGGAGAAAACAAAATTGAATAAATGAATTTAGCAAGAAAATTAATCACAGAAAATTCTGGAAATCAAGTCTCATGAGTGACATACTTTTGGAACCTCATCTGTCAGTTCATCTGGATTTCCTGCTTCTGCTGTGTCAATTGGTGAGTTTAAGCTATCCTTAAACTCTGTGGAATCCTGATCATATATTTTTTTACGGCATGATTCACAAAGCAGAGTAGCAGTTCTTTCATCAACATAATATTTCTTCTGTCGCATTGCCTGATCACAAGAATCACCACTGTCTATTTCTGGACAAGGTGTCAAGGTTAAGTGCTCAAAAGAGAAAGAAGCTGAAGATTTGTTTAATGCTGAGTTCCGCTGATGATAATCAATTATCTGTAATCCCCTCTGAAGGCTTGCTGCCAAGGACTCGGTAGGACCTGGAAAAACCTTGCTTGACCGTAGTGATGATTTCATCTGCTCACCCTGTTTAAGAGATTGTCCTAATATATCTTGACTGGAACTCAAATTCTCCTCTGCCACAGTATTCCAACTTCCCAGACAACTTGATGAATAAGCCACACTTTTCCTCTGGGTATTCCTGATTTTTGGAGACTCAGACAACTGTGGTTCCTCAAGTATTGGGGATCGGCTGCATGAACTAACTGAAATGCTATCTCTGAATGAAGATCTAATTGCCCTTGAAGACTTAGCAGTGCATACAAAGTCATCTGCTGATGCATACAAGGTGTTAGCTGATCCCTCACTTTCCTCGTGACAAAGCTTACTGAGTGTTTCCCTAGAACACACTTCCTCTCTTTCAGTTTCATCGCCACTGATCACATCTGCTTCACAATTTTCCGCAACAGAATAATACTGTATACAATCTTCACTTACAGATATGTCTTTAAGATTCCCTTCACATGAACTATACAATTCATCAATCTGCTGGCGTAATTGCTTTATGTCCTCCTCATCCACATTTACCTCCTCAGTAGTGTCATTGTCAACATGAGGCAGGATTAGAGAACGGTTTAAGCTGACTCTCAACTGATTAAGGCTTTCCCGTACATTACATACTTGGAAGAATCCATTTTTACTCCCATCTGAGCTGTGAACCTCAGCCTTTGCTCTAATAAGTTCTTCCTGCACCAAAGAACAAACATGTGATTCTTAGATGTCAGACCAGCATCAATCCTTTAAAAATATTTTCCACTGAAGTCTTAGAAACAATACCTTGAGCTTCCGGATTTGATCACTCAAATCATTAACATCATCCTCCTTTATTTCATTGATAACAGGTTCATTTCTAATGGACCTTACTCTCTGTCCAAACCTTAGTGTGCGCAGTGTTTCACCATTATTCCTACAATCAACAAGAACAATCTTTACTAATAGAAATAAAATAATCAATGTTATTGTTATTAGGCGTACACATGAATAAACAATGGTCTTAGTTCAGGTGAATACTTGTTATCAGGGAAGATGGAACAGATTACTGAGAGTTTGGAATTTCCACCAAGTGATTCCTGTAGTAATCGTGTTAAACAGGATTTCCTGCTTGGAATTGCTTGTCCTTTTCTGGAGTGAGTTTCTTTAGTCAAAGCATCTACTAAGTGCCTACAGCAAATAAAACAGAGGTTACAAAGAAGTAAAATAAGAGCAAGATGATTTCACCCAAAATATAAATACACAAGACCAAGATAGTACTTTCAACCAACAAGGAAAATTTAATTCAGATGTAATCTAGTCATGGCATGGCATCATACCCTAGCTGAGACAAGGACTTCTTTACATTTTTGCTTTCCCTCATACATTTTTTGCCTGCATCATCAACTTTGTTCCTGTCTTGTCCAGCAAGATCTATAAGGCTAATTCTGCTAGTTTTTGAACTACTGAAAACATTTGATGAGATTCCCTGCATCACCGGTCAATGAAAATAAGAGGTATCAATTAACAATTAACTAGCAGAGAAAATTGATAATATGAGTCTGTCTTCAATTTAAGATAATGAAAAAAAAAAAAGATAGCTTTGGCAATACCTTACACCATGACTCAATCACAAAAGTGAAAATGATATGTGATCTAGAGCTCTTAGAATTTAAGCTTGTTGCCCCAACTTTTCTACTCGAAAGGCCCTGTAGCATATAAAGATCAAATTAACTAAGCTGGTGATAGAGTATAAATAGAATGTAGACGTCTAATTTTCAACAATATTTGCTATGATGCTCCCCAGTCCATACCTTGATCAGAATTTGTGTCACATAATCATAGCTAGTGACGTATTCCTCAGTCAAATTCTCTATGTACAATGCATTTTTGGAATCATCTTTCATCTGCAATAACAAGTGTATTAGAAAATAGTGATTTTATAATAAATTTTAGCACAAGAGTGGCATATGCTTACCTGAAGATTCCGCTGGGTTGGATCAAGTAAATCCCCAACTTGCTCATTGTATATCTGTTTCAAACAACAACAAAAAAAAAGAAACAAGATCATTATTATATAAGTAAGGAAGCAACAATGAGAAAGTTTACGAAGAATTACCTCAAGGAAAGAACATCGGCACTGATAGTTGAACTGTTTGCCCTCAAACATTTGCTGCTCCTAATACAGTAACTCAAACTCAATATAGTCAAAACTCAAAAAACATTATAGAAAATTATAAATTAGGTAGTTAATGTAGGAAGTAGAACATACTTTCTCAAGCTCAGAAAATAACATCTGGAAGATCCGAGGAACAATTCCCTTGTGACTTTGGGGTGAGGGCTCCTCAAACATAGCACTTGGGGGACCCCACATTGTATAAGTCTTTCCACTTCCAGACTAGCAAAGAATTAAAAAATGTTTTTTAAAAATTTCTCACTAGTTCATCAAGAATGCTATACATTCTTTCCACTAATTATTAAAACAATATCACTTTGGTTAATATCAGTCTAACTGATTTTATGTAGATTAAAAATTTACACTGAAAATACGAAAGTGTAATTAATAATTTTTTTCTTAATAAAAATTTACCATTTTTAGCTGATTTAGCATTTCCAAATAATATAGCAAAAGTCAATAAGTACCTGGCCATATGACAGAATTGAAGTGTTGTAACCAGCTAAAGCATTTCTAACCAAGGGCACACCCACTGACTGAAAAATATCCTCCTGAACAAACAGCAGCTTATATAAATCACACTCATATTTCTTAAGAGCATGAAGCCACTAAGTTGTAGGAAAGAAAGTGAACTCATGGTTGTTTCATTCTTAAAGCAAGTCTACTAAGTAGTAAGTACTTTAATCTTATCATGGAAAATCATTGGAAGATAAACACACGCGCGTGCATACACACACTTATATATATAAACACAGTGACTTCACTCTTTACCTGATTGGTGTTGGAATCAAAAACCGAGTCAAATGTAAATTGCCTATCCCCAACATACAAGGTATCAGAAGAAACCTTCTTAACGGTTCGATCTCCCTCTATTCCATTGTTATTGGCAGGTCTAATTCGTACTGCAACCTGTTTCAAAACTATATCATGAGCAAAAAAAGAAATTTTTGCACATACCCATATTCGGCCTCACAGATTACAACTTCAATGTCAAATAATAAGCCCAAAAAGGAGCAAAATTTGCACTTACCTTGACTGATGGATCCGGTTGAAGAGCGGGTTTCGATTGGTTAAGGTTGTTCGGGGAAATTGAGGTTTGGGAGTATGATTGCTTGGCTGTGGAAGGCAACGATTGGTCATGGTCGATCTGGACGTTGGGGTGGGTGGGTGGAGTGTTCTCTGCATCTGATTTTGGGATTTTAGGGTTTGAAGTGGGTTTGTGCTTGGAAGAGATTGATCTGTGAAGAAGGTTTCTGAGAGAAGAGGAGGAAATGGTGGCCGAGAAACGAGCCTCCGTAGTTTCTGCGTTACTGCTTTGCCTCATGGTTATGGTTTTGCTGAGCAACCAAACAAAGTAGCAATGGAGTTATACCCAGTGAGAGGGAGAGAGACAGAGAGAGAAGGATTGAGAGAGTTTGGATTCAAATGTTGATAGAGGGAAAATGGAGAAGCATGCTTTTGTGTTAAGGCTTACGGTGATTTAGATGACCGTTAGATAAGTACAATAGTGAATGAAATGCCTAAATTGTCCTTCTCTTCTTTCTTAACAAAAAAACAACTGCTTCAAAAATTAAATGGACCAATTACTGTTAAGCAAAAATAGTAAACTAATTTTTTAACTCTCAATTTTATTTTACCTTAATATTTTCATTTTTAAAAATATTTTAAATATTTTTTATTAAATATGTTATCTTTCTTAAAAATAATTTATTATCATCTCCTTTCTTCCCACAAACACAATACATTTTAATAAGTTTTTTTGGCCTAAGTCTTGAGATCATAGTAGAAGAAACGAGAGCAAGGAAAAACAGTGACAATATCAAGGCTTTGTTTTTATATATTTTTAAATACTAAAAATATACTTAAACTTAAATAAGTATCTACTTTTTTAAAATTATAAAATTCTTTTAAAAAGTTATGAATTTTAAATATTTTTTTAAGAGTTTTGTATCAAAGTGAGCAAGTATTATGGTAACCAATCCAAATACGTTTAGATTTTGGTTTTTGGAATTCACATGTTACTTTTCAATATACAACATTATTTATAATTATTTGGACAGTCAAAATGAAAAGATTTCAGAAGTCACATAACTATTTAAATGATTATTTGATTTATATATTTTAATTTTGATATGATAATATTTAATGATTGAAGTTTGTTTTCTTATTCTCCTCTCACTTTAAATGTTGTCTGTATATGAAAAGAGAGATTAAATTCGTAATAGTGTAATTTTAACGCAAAACAATTTAATGACTTACTAAATTTATTAAATATAGCTTATTTCATTAAATATTTGAGTAAATTTGTTTATTCGATTAAATAAATAAGTTTAAACATAATATTAAAATCAATTATTTAAATGAGTCAAAGTTTAATATTACATGAATTGATATTTCACTTTCGAAGTGTGTGTTTATCTATGAATTTGCATGAGAGAGCAGATGTAGAATTGATATTACAAGCTTGACATTATTAATTGGTGCGCGCAGGTTTATATATACTTAAATTTTATAATTCGATGACCATTTGCTTAATTTTAATTTTTAAAAATTGTATTTTAAACAAACACTTTTATAATTTATGAAATTTACTTAAATTTTATAATTAGATAATAATTTACTTAATTTTGATGATCAAAATTTATATTATAGACAAGTGATCTTAAGTTTTTTAATATATACTATTTTTATAATAAAATTTTTATTTTTAACTTTAACATAAAAAATACAATAAGTGTTAAATTAATTAAAAAAATTCAAAACTTACAAAATCAAAATAAACAAATTACAAATAAGCTAATAAATCAAGTTCAAACTTTAATAAAAAAAACAAACAAAACCCTGAATCTACTAAACTAAAATTTCAAGTACTATATACTCTAAAGGAGTAATTTTCAACGAACGCTAGTATCTTTCATCCTCAGAATCAAGCTTAACTTCAACTTGTTGAAGTTTAGGACACAGTTTAGGATTAATCTTTGAAAACAAGGATGAAGGGTGTCTAAGATGAAGCTGCAGATGAACAAGATTTGGAAACTGTGGAACCTGAGGGGTGCTGCTGTCCATCGTCCATTCCGTAAAATCACGCAGGGACAGAGACTCAACACAGCGTAGCCTATAGAGAAACGAGACCGCACAAGGGTAGAAACAATGACACCTAATATCAGGCACGGTCATATGAACATTGGCTTTCACTATATTTTCCCAATGATTCTCGAAATAGTCTTTGATGAAATCATAATCACTCTGTATAACAAGATCAATACACGCATTTTTTCGGGCAAGTAGGGTGCCTCGAGGGTTTCTCACAATCTTCCACAGCTCATACCTACTATCCGACATCTCATACGGATGACGAATTTCTTTAAGGTAAAACTCTTTAAGAATTGGAGACCCAGAGAGAATAATCTTCTTGAAATTGGGGTAGCATTTCACCACGTCGAGATGCAAATTCCTGAGAGAGGGGAGATTAATATCAGAAGGAACAGAGAGACGAAAGTAACCCTTTAGCTTCATGGTGACAATTGTGGTGCAAGTGAACAATGGGTTGCATGAAAGAGTGAAAACTACTTGTTCAGGGGCTAGGGAGATATTCAGATGCTCAACTTTTCCATCTACGGCTGAAGAAATCCATTTTTGTATAAGAGGTGAGCAACATCGATGGTTTTTGCATTTGAGACGAAACCTTGTGATCCTTTGTGTTTTGCGTAGACTCAAGAACTTGTCTTGTGGCTTGGTTTTGACGATTGATGAGGAGCACACAAGTCCAAAGGTCGGAGGGATTGATGAGGAGCACACAAAGTCAAAGGTCGGAACCATAGTCCATAGGAATCTCCACCTCTTAGACAACAAGCACGTGGCTATGGATTCTTTGCTTTGAAGGAATGAAAGGATGTGACATAGAACTTCGTCCGGTAACTGGCTAATCATATCCACTCCTGCAGCTTCTCTCATCGTCGCCATCGTCAAGGATAGCATAGCAACTGTTAGTTTTCTCTCTCTCTCTCTCTGTAATTTATCCTTATTTATAGAATTCATTCAAAATCATGCAGTTAAATCAATTAATTTATATTTTTTTAATAAAAGATATGAGTCGTTATTCTAAGTTAGATTATTTTTAAGAGTTTGTTGTGATTGATTTAGTTAATTCCACTGATATTGGATTATATCTGCAATTAAATCACATTTGAATTTTGAACTTAATCTGGGTAAGGCTTTAAACTGTGAGAATCTATCTATCTATATATCTCAAAACAAATTATTAAAAACATTTAAATCTTTTTTTAAACTCATGTCAACCGTGGGGAGATAATCACGCAATTAGTAAATCAATTTATTTATTTATTTTATAAAAAATATGAGCACTCATTCTTAAGTTACGAATTATTTTCTTATGTATGTACTTCTGTTGCATTAGTGTGTAACTTTTAAATTTAAATTATCATTTATTTTTAATTTAAAAATTATCTTTTTATTCTAATTTTATTTGATATACGATAATAGTTATTGTTAATAATTAAAGTATTAATTTTTTAACATTTCTAAAATTTTAAAAAATGTGTGTAGTATAATTAAATTTTTATTTCAATATAATATTTTAATTTTGATCTAATTAAGTTTCAACAAACAATTCTATTTTCTATCAAATTAATTTAAATAAAATCCAATTTATTGTAATTTTAAATTAATTTTTTGGTTACTTTATTTTTTTTTATACACTTTAAGTTAATTTGATATGATATATACAATGAGATTAAAAAAAATATTTATCAAGTAAAAATCTATCATAATTAATTATAAGATCTACTAATTAAACATGATAAATTTATTTATTTTAACATGACCATACTAACGTTATTCAACAGAAAATTGATCAAAGAGTGAAGTGACCAAATTCGCATATCATTGACACACTGATTTTGTCAAGTGTTCCTTTTATTTTTAAATCAATAACAAGCAAATATGTGTTTTGTTGAAAGAAAAATTGCTCTGAAACCTTTCATACGATATAACAGCTCTCTATTTAATAAAATGCGAGAATTAAAATGTCTTTTAAACATATACTATTTATAATTAATCTATCTTTAAAAAATTAAAATATGAATCTTATAATCATGTTAAATATATGTGAAGTTGAAATATATACAGCTGAAGTGTTTGTCTAGCATAAACACTGTTTATTACGTGAAGTTATATATATATAAAGAGAGCCTAAAAATATATTAAAAATATAAAAAAATAGTTAAAGCCATGCCTAATTATTTAGAAATAGTAGTTGAAATTTATTAGTGTAAATGCGTGAAGTATTTTAGCTTGATTTATTAAATATTTGAGTAAATTTATTAAATTCAATATTAAAATTAATTATTTAAATGAGTCAAATTTAAGTATTATCCAGATTAACAATTTCTTCGTAATCGTAAATTATAACTATGAAACTGCGATTCATAGTGTATTTAAAGGGTTTACTGCTGTGGTTAATAGGTTCACATAACAACTGTTAGTTTTTTTTTTGTGTTAAAAGTACTTGATTGTTTTCAAAATACACATATTACTGTTTTATACAGTCAGTTTTCAAATTCCAAACTAATAAAACCTTACTTAAAACTAATATTATCTTAACTAAAATTAATTAAATCAATTTTATTATCAATTAGAAATGATAATTTAATAAATAATTTTATATTTATACAATTAACTAATATTTACTTTAACCTTTATATTTATAATTTTGTTGTTGTTTCACACTACAACACTATTATTATTTATTATTTTCAGTGTAGACTTAAAATTTGGTAGAACATAAAATTCGTAGGCTCAAATTAATTTTGTTATAAAATTGTGATGAGCAAATGAAAAAATAGAGATAACATTATTAAAGAGAAAGAGATAATCTTAATTTTATTTTACACATTCTTAATATAAAAACAAATGAATTTATTTATAGATTTAAATATACAACTGGAAAATCTCATTATTTTAAACGTGAATTAATTAGAATGATTACAATTTCTTAAATTAAAAAAATATATAAATAGTTATGAATGTAGAAAATTTATAAAAAGTTTGACCCTTATTGACAGGGTCATTGTTCCACAAGATAAGTAAATATTTTGATAGAAAAATAAGTTAGTTTGATGAAATATTAACTTCCAAACAGGTATGAATTTCATAAGAGCATAATTTCCAAATCTTCCATTTCATGACCCAAGATCAAAACCATCTAGTGTAGGTGTCCTAGTGTGATTTTGTGAGTCCATCCAATTTGATCAGATTATGAATTGTTTGTAGAAAGTATAACTCAAACACACCTTTCAAGGCCTAGCTCCTTGACAGTGGTCTCCACTCTTGCATATTTTTGTTGCTTGCTCATATTGGATGGCAGTCTTAGGAATGCAGAGAAGATTAACGTTTCTTCTACTGTAAGTTGTCGAAAAAGCAAATCCTCTTGTGTCACAAATCCAATCCTACAAGGCAAATGAAAAATGACAATGAAAAGTACAATATTAGCATATATTTATGCTCAATGAAAAAATCGAGTACATGTTATGAAATGGATGTTAATGTCTAATGAAGGTTGCCAACCTCCTCTTGACAGCTGGATTAAATCGAACATCATTATAAGTTATTTTCCCCTTTGCATTCTCAAGTAATCTTCCTCCCACAACTCTCAACAAGGTTGTCTTCCCACTACCAGAAGGACCCATCAAAGCAAGAATTTCACCAGGGCCAATGCTTCCTGTGATAACCTTCAATATTTTCTTGTATTTATCTTCATCCACTTGCTGTTGTGTGGCCACTTTTGACATCATTGTCTTCACAGGGTTCTTGGAAGCTGTTTGACTATTTCTCACCTTAAACTCTACATCTTCAAACTGCACATTAATGAGAAGCTTGAGAGCAAGTGAAAGAAATCAAAACTACTAATTAAGAACAAAATATTGTTGATAACACTATTCTGACTGATTGAAATCAGCTTTCATTCTCAAGTGATGAATCATCAAGACTCTAGATTGCATTGCTTGAAAAACACAGATTTTAATAAAAAGTAAAGAATTGCTCTAAAGTGAAAAAACCAAATGTTGTAGAATTGAGTCATTTCTCTCCACCTTGAGATATATGGGGAGGGGTGGATCTTGGTTGAAACTAGAATCCTCAACTTTTATGTCAATCTCTGAGTACCTATTCGGAAGGTATGCCTGAGACATGAACTCCATGCTATGACCAAAGCCATTGCTCCCTGCAATCTGTATGGAGCCCATGGATGGGGGTGACATTGGCATATCTTTAATCTCATCTTCTCTTCCGTTCTCCATGATCTTGGATGCCAATGAAAACAATGATGAACCCAAGTCTAATAATAGAGTTTAGATGTCACGAGTCAACTGTATTAGACCAAGAGCTTGCCTATATATGGAGACTGAATTTTGGTTGGTGTCGCACATACTTTTCATGGCAAGTAAAGTTCTTGGTCCATGAAAGGCATGAATGTTTGCAGATATCCTCCTTTCAATTCAACCATTTTCATTTGTCAAAAGAACATGTCAAGAGCATGAATAAAAGTGGCTTGGTAAGTAACTGAACATTTATGAAATGCACTTTCGCATTCTATCATTTAGATGCGACTACTCTCATTCAAATAGGAACAATATTTTACAAAGCAAAAAATGAGAAAATTATGTGACTGAAATTAAACAGTTGCGTCATAGCAGGATTGCCATTTTGTAGGTTGGGGGAAGTCTACAATTAGGACTAGTCCCTCTTGAATATAATTTTCCCCTTTAATGCTAATTTTTCCACTAGTCTAGTAGTTTATGGATTGAAATCAAACTCCAGAGCATGGCCTTGCACTTGTTTGGACTTCTGTTCTGTAATAAACAATATAAATATATCCTAACAATTTGAAATCATCAAACGTTCTTTTATTTGTACCTTAAATTACTAAAAAATTGCAGAAGTTGGGTTACTGCAATAGGTTATCCTTTTGTATCAATTCTGAGAACAAGATCAAAACCATCAAGTGTAGGTGTACTAGTGTGATTTTGTGAATCCATCCAATTTGATCAGATTATGAATTGTTTGTAGAAAGTATTACTCAAACACACATTAGATACTTAAAATAGCTTTTTGTCATGCAACCTTTGTTGCTATTATTTCCATTGCTTGGAGCAATATTCTGCAGTTTTTGTTGTTTTAAACATCAGTTGCATATTTATATCCATGGTTTGGATTGGACATGTTACCCATTATCACATATGCTTCTTTTTTTCACATCTTGGCTAACTTGACTACTAGTTCTCCATGAGTACTTCGTGATTCGTATTACACAATCAGTAGCCATATTTCACTCCATTGTAACTAAGTAGAATACACATTTTCTTTCCTACTTTGCTTTTGTTTTTGTTGAGGCATGTTGGGTTTGATATGATACCCCTTTCATAATCTAAACACATAGCAAGGCCTGTTAGCTACCAAATTATGTTTTTCCAATGCGGAAAACAAAATTATGTGATTACAAAAATTACTTCAGAAAACACCTGCATTCCAAGTGAAATATATTACATCAATGTAACTCTTATTTTTTCTTCATGTATGATTTTATTTTTTCAAATATCTGTACACAAAACAAATAAGCATTATCTATGACGTAAGCTATCTCACGACGCCATTATGCTGGGCCAAAAGAACTCAACATTCGGCAGCAAAGACCAATAACATGGTCATACTTCTGCTGAAGGTGATGCACTTGCTTCCTATTCCTAATTCAATTATATCTCTTGACCACACCCAAGTGCTAATTCTGCTCCAATTATCCACCAAAAAACAAAAAGTATTGTATATAATAGCTTTCTATGTTGCAAACAGTGATCATTATTTTTATGACCCTAATAACCATTGCAAGCAAAATAAGACAAATTTCCTTGATTCCTTGCATTGTTTTGCATCAAAAATTGATTGGGTTGATTTTGGATCCTTCAACTTGTTTGTCTGGCATAGCTATATATATGTTATATCGACGAAGCCTAGAAATTAGGTTTTGTTACAATGTTTTATAGAATGTAGTACTTCTATCTATGGTTCATAAGTCAGGCAGAGTCAATAGGAATAGCAAACTCGTTCAACCGTTTGTCCTAACATCACAATAAATTAAGGATACGTTTAAATACTAACTAATTCAGGTCTCATTTATAAAAAAATAAAAATAAAAATAAGTATCTTTTAGTTCTAATTATAAAAGACAGATTTTTTTAAAATGCATTAATTGTTGAGTGCTTTTTATATCCTTATTTGTTGTAAGATTTATACTAACAAGAAAGGTAATCCCGTACGATGCACGGATAAATTATTATGTTATATTATAATACTATAATTAATAATTATAAAATAAAAAATATTTGTATAAAATAATTATGATAATATTTAAATTATTTTAAAATTAATTAGTATATATTAATATTATTGCTAATAAAATGATTTCATATGTTATATAAAGATTTATAATATACTTTTAAATATTTATAAATTAATTTTAAAAGTAAAAGGTTTAAATTCAAATATAATTTGAATTTATAAATTATAAATTTAATTTTATAAAGTTTAAAAATACTCTTATAATTAATTTATAATAATTTCACATGCATATATACATACCACAATATAAGGATTCTTAATAAAAGAATAAATTTTAATATATTTAAAATATTTTAAGGTAAAAATTATTAAAGAAATAAAATTATATATCTTATTTTATATTATAAAATTATATATAGCACACAATTTAAGAATAAAAATAATTAATTTTTTTATTAAATAAGGCTATTTTGTGTTTCTGAAACCATTGTCATGTATCAAGTATTATAATTTAATCTTTTATTATTGAATCATATATTTATTAATTAAATATATATAATTTAATTTTAAAATAATTATAATTTATATATTAAATTAATTATTTTTAATATAACAGAAAGATAAAAAAATTTAAATGAAAATTTTGATTATTTTTAAAATAAATTATCTATAAAAAATAAATATAACAGTTAAAAATAATTTATATGTGACTTTAAATCTTATAAATATTATTATAAATAATTTAATTATAGATTAGTAAATATATTTATATGTCACAGAAATTTGTTTATATTGTAATTAGTATATATTAATATTATAAATTATAATTTAAATATAAAAATATAATAATAAAATTATATTATATTGAATAATATTAAATATAAATAGATTAAAAAATAAGATAAATAAATTTTCATATGCAAATTTTATATACTTTATATATTTTAAAATTTCAATTAAGATTTAAATAGAAAATAAAAGAGAAGAATAATTTTATTGAAAACAAAAATGAATCTTTATATTAATTAAAATTACACATGTTGATATAATATAAAAATTATGTGTCATATATAAAATATAGATAAATATTATGATAAAAATAACTTTATAATAATATTTAAACTATTTGAAAGTTTAAAATTAATTAGTATATGTTAATATTATTATTAATAAAAATATTAGTTATTTGAAAGAAAGAAATATAATATATAACTTTATAAAATATTTTTCTTTCATATTGACATTAATTAAAAATAAAAGTTATAATTTTTATGTTTTGAAAGATTTCCTTATATACCAACTTTTTAACAGTTTTTGTACTTTTTTCATATAATATTTAAATTATAAATACTAAATTAATATTAATTCTTATTATTCTATTGTTGTATGACCTTTCAAATATATTAATTAATTAATTATAATTTATTCATTCTACTATTCTTCATGAATAATCTTATATTAATATTAAGGTTAAAAAGAAAGTACAAATATGTTAATATATATATATATACACTAAATAAAATATATTTTTTTTATCTTTATTAAATATTTTATATTTGTCCATATAGCTCTCATTTGATTATTTATAACAAATTCAAATGTAACATAAACGACCCTTAGAATATATATATATATATATATATATATATATATATATATATATATATATATACTCATCAATTCTTATTCATTTATTCCATTATTCTTCATTAATCATATACAAATTATCAATTTTGAAGAATATAATTTAAAGTAAATTACTTATATTAAAATTTAAAATTGTATTTAACTGCTAATTATATGCATTTCACTTCATTATTTCAATACTTTCATACATAATTTGTCTCAATTATTTCATGTATATATGGTCATGCTTTGAGCTAAGACCAAATCATCTTCCATTGAAACAGAAGAGTACTCAAACATCGAACTTAATACTTGACTTATAACTGCATCATTTATATTCATCATATACCACAAATTGGATAGCTTGTAAGTTAACAAAAATAGGAAACATCATGCAAAACATAATGATGCCTCTATAAATAAAAAATAATTAAAATACTTACTTATTCTTGTAATCAATAGCCTTTTTTATGTTAGGATTGATATACAACATTGTCTCATTATAAGTATTTGATATGCCTAAAGTTTCTGAAACAGCTATAAAATATAATTTGTTGATAATAATAACTATCACACAATTTAAAAGAGTTCAATATAGATAAAGAATCATACCACCAAATGTTTTCACTTTATATAATTGAATAATCATAATAGGTAAAACATTAGAATTTTAATTCTTTAAAAAATAACCATTTGATCATCAAACTCCTCTCATAAAGTGCAAACAATTCTCTGATTCTTACGAAACAAATTCAATATAATATAATCTTAATTAGTATAAAGTAATGAAAGAGAAAAAATATTAAACAAATATTTTAGCCATTAAAATATGTTATAAAATAATACTCACTCCAAGTAATCGAAAATCAAATCAATATGTTTGCTTTTCTTTTCATTTTTTTCTACATATTTGAGATTATCTTTCTGAACTACATAACCAATGACATCTAATTGAACATGTATCAAACATTATTTTAAAATAATAAAGTAGCATACATGGATAAATAATTATAATTTAAATATTAAATTAATTATTTTTAATATAATAGAAAGATAAAAAATATTAAATGAAAATTTTGATTATTTTTAAAATAAATTATCTATAAAAAATAAATATAACAGTTAAAAATAATTTATATGTAACTTTAAATTTTATAAATATTATTATAAATAATTTAATTATAGATTAGTAAATATATTTATATGTCACAAAAATTTGTTTATATTGTAATTAGTACATATTAATATTATAAATTATAATTTAAATATAAAAAATATAATAATAAAATTATATTATATTGAATAATATTAAATATAAATAGATTGAAAAATAAGATAAATAAATTTTCATAAGCAAATTTTATATACTTTATATATTTTAAAATTTTAATTAAGATTTAAATAGAAAGTAAAAGAGAAGAATAATTTTATTGAAAATAAAAATGAATCTTTATATTAATTAAAATTACACATGTTGATATAATAATTTTATAATTTTTATTTTATAATAAACTTAATTTAAAGTTCAAGAGTATTATATAATTTTATCAGTTATTAATTTCTAATAATAAAATTTAAAATAAACATTAATATTAAGGTTCAAATCTGGTACAAAAGATACACCTTTTGAATATATAAAAAATCTTAATTAAAAATAAATACATTTAACTGATTTGAATTAAACCATTCAAGACGGCCTTAAAGATAAAGATATATCAAAATTACTAATTAAAAATAAATAGATTTAATTAATTTAAATTAAAGCATTTAAGATGGCCTTAAATAATAATTATTAATTATTAAACACATCTACTTTTATATATATAAAAATTAGATATTTATATTTTAACCTTAAGAGTAGATGCATTTATTTATTTAATATATAATACACGAATTTAATTATTTAATAGATGAATATTTCAGAAATAGAGTATAAATTTATAATATATAAATATTTTTTATTGGTCTTAATAAATTAAGTAATTACTTTTTATAAATAAGACCAAAATATTTAATATATAAGTTTATATGATATAAATTTAATAATAGAATTTATTAAAATTAAAAAATGATAATAATCGTAAATTATTTTATTAAATTTCTGATAAACTCTTCCAAAAATCCTTAAAGTGAATGAATAAATAAAAAGAGAGAGATGAAAAGTCAAAGGAAGGATAAGCCGTAACGGAAGTGGCGAAGTCCCGTCTTTGCAGACAACGACCTCCAAGTGAACGTAACTGGCAGTGTTGGAAACGGCCTTAATAGCGTTATAGAGAGGGTGGAAAAAATGAACTATATGAGGTTGATACTACTGAATAGAAATTTTATATAGGAAATTTCTCTACACCCTTCACCTTCACCTTTATCTCTCTCAATTCTCTATAGACATTATGTGTACTTTCAATTGGCTATAAATAGTGTGTGTTTGCATTTGTTCCTTAACCAAAACCATCCATGGGGCGATTCCTTGTACTGTGTTTGCACTTGTTCCTCTTCCTTTTTGCATCCTTCCATTCCCATTCCTATTCCTTAGCTCATTCCCACGATAGCTTTACCTTGCTTCAATTCAAGAACTCCTTCACTGTTGATATCACTCATTATTATAATTCTTCCTATTTTTATTATCGATCTCCTTGCCCACGTCCGTATCCGAGGACAAAAACATGGAAAAATGGAACAGACTGCTGCTCATGGCTTGGGGTCACGTGCCATCCGACATCGGGTCACGTGATCGCACTCGATCTCACCTGCAGTGGGCTTTCTGGTAAAATCGAAGCAAACAGTAGCCTTTTCCGTCTCTCTCATCTCCAATCACTCAATCTCGCTTTCAATAATCTCTCTCAATCTCCATTGTCGTCTCTCTTTGGAGGGCTTACGAGTATGAGTATCACACATCTCAACTTGTCTGGCTCTCTCATTGAAGGTGAAATTCCTATCCAAATCTCACACCTTTCAAAATTATCCTCACTTGATCTCTCTTTCAATTATGATTTAAGATGGAAAGAAAGGAGTTGGAAGAGGCTGCTCCAGAACGCAACACTTTTAAGGGACCTTGTTTTGGATTATACAGATATGTCTTCAACTTCAATCAAACCAATCAATCTCGCTTCATCTCTCAATATCTTGCATCTTTCACGATGTCAGTTCCAAGGATCAATTCCTCCCTCTTTCTCTAACCTCACCCATATTACTTCCTTGGATCTCTCACGGAACGAACTCAGTGGTTCAATCCCATCCTCTTTCTCTAACCTCACCCGTCTCACTTCCTTGGATCTCTCAGGAAACAACATTGGTTCAATCCCATCCTCTTTCTCGAACCTCACCCGTCTCACTTCCTTGTATCTCTCATCCAACAAACTCAGTTCAATCCCATCCTCTTTCTCTAACCTCACCCGTCTCACTTCCTTGGATCTCTCAGGAAACAACCTCAATGGTTCAATCCCATCCTCTCTCTCTAACCTCACACATCTTACTTCCTTGGATCTCTCATCCAACCACCTCAACGGTTCAATCCCATCCTCTTTCTCTAACCTCACCCATCTCACTTCCTTGGATCTCTCATACAACAACCTCGATGGTTCAATCCCAGATATGTTTGGTGGGCTAATCAATTTGGAAGCCGTCCGTCTCAATGACAACAAATTAGGAGGACAAATCCCATCTTCATTGTTTGACTTAACTCATCTTTCTCTTTTGGATTGTTCTTATAATCAATTAGAGGGCCCTCTGCTTACCAAAATAACTGGCCTTTCTAACCTAACTTATTTAAGCTTAAATAACAACTTACTAAACGAGACAATTCCCTCTTGGTGTCTGTCTTTGCCATCCTTAGAGTATCTAGATTTGTCCAGCAACAAGCTGCATGGCAATATTCCACAGTCAATTTTCAGTCTTGCAAACCTTACTCTCTTAGATTTGTCATTTAACAACTTGAGTGGTCTTGTCTACTTTCCACTCTTCTCCAAGCTTCAAAATCTGAAAACTATTTCCCTTTCTCAAAATACTCAATTGTCATTAAACTTTGAATCCAATGTAAATTACAGTTTCCCTAACCTATATGAATTGAAGTTATCTTCTTTAGGTTTAACCGAATTTCCTAAACTTCAAAGAAAATTGTCGACTTTGGGGCTTCTCGATTTATCAAACAATAAACTTAATGGAAGAGTGCCCAACTATTTATGTGAAATGGATTCATTACGAAATTTGAACCTCTCTCACAACTTTTTGACATCCACGTGCCAATTCTTAGAGAATCAAGAGCTCGAATGCCTTGATCTCAGTTTCAACTTGCTGGCTAATGACATTTCCTTGTCAAAATGCAATGCAAGTTCACTTCAGATTCTCAACTTGTCCCACAACAATTTCACAGGCACCATTCCACAATGCCTTGCAAACTTGTCATCTCTGTCCGTTTTGGATCTACAGATGAACAAACTTTATGGAACATTCCCAAGTAACTTTTCAAAAAACAATAATTTCGCAGTTCTGAATCTCAATGACAACCAATTAGAAGGTCTTTTGCCAAAATCTTTGTCTAACTGCAAAAATCTGGAGGTTTTAAATGTTGGGAACAATCAAATAGAAGACACATTTCCACATTGGCTTCAAACTCTACCACTTTTGAAAGTATTAATTTTGCGAGCCAATAAATTGCACGGTCCCCTTGCTAGTTTAAAGACCAAACATCCATTTTCCGGTTTAATTATTTTGGATATCTCATCCAATAATTTCAGCGGCCTAATACCAAAAGCCTATCTAAAAAGTTTTAAAGCCATGAAGAATGTCATTCAAAAGGCCGAAATGGGTAACAGATTGCAATACTTGGAAAGTGATTCAGGAGATCTAATATACATTGATTCTGTGACTGTAACAACAAAAGCGATCAGAATGACGCTCTTGAAAATTCCAATGAACTTTGTAAACGTTGATTTATCGAGAAACAAATTTGAAGGAGAGATTCCAGATGTTATTGGAGAGCTTCATGCACTCAGAGGGCTCAACCTTTCGCATAACAGACTCAATGGTTCTATTCCCCAGTACCTGGGAAATTTGACAAACTTGGAATCATTGGATCTCTCCTCCAATATGCTCACTGGCAGAATTCCTGAAGAATTAATGAATTTGAATTTTCTTGAGGTCTTGAATCTTTCTCAAAACCATCTTGTTGGAGAGATACCTCAAGGAAAACAGTTCAATACTTTTTCAAATGATTCCTATGAAGGAAATTTGGGGTTATGCGGACTCCCATTGTCAAAAAAATGCAGAAACAACCATGAACAACAATCTCCACCTTTATCAACCATGCAGCATGAACAGAAATTTGGATTTGGTTGGAAACCGGTGGCTATAGGATATGGATGTGGAATGGTATGTGGAATGGGCATAGGATATTGTGTGCTGTTAATAGGAAAGCCTGAATGGCTTGCGAGGATGGTTGGTGGTGGGCCTAATAAAAGGGTGAAAAGGATGACAAGGATGAATTAATGGATACGTGACATTGCTTGAGAATGTCTTGTAATATGAATTTGTTTTACTCTTTTTTGAGGGGAGGGTGGTGTACTAGACTAGGATATATTTTATTTGCCTTGATCTTGTATTTTTATTTTATTTAACTCATATAATTGTTCATATTGGTCACATATCAACAGGTGATGTCCTATATTTAAAAAATTGTTATGGCTTGGATTTAGTGATCCAACCCTATGAAGTTGATTGTTAGAAAAACACATATCTTGTGGTGGTAGCAGCTTATGGTACCAGGTAGTTTGTAGAACATGTTTAGATGCAACCTTCGTTCCTTCAAAAGCTACTAGCTTTACCCAATATTATAATGTGTGGATGTATGGATAACTCACTAGTTTAATTTAACTTAAAACTTTTCAAATTTCAATCTAATTAAATTTTATAAACTCATTAATGATCAATTTGACATATTTAATCAATTAATTTCACTTTTAATATGATTAAATAAATTAATATAATTTCATTTAAAAACTAATTTTAATATGATGATTAAATTTCATCAATCCCTTCTATTTTCAATGTGATTAGATATATCAAATTAATATTTTTAAAAAAAATCTAGTTTATGGCAATTTGGAATCTTATTATGTTGTTAACCAAAATTATATATTAAATTAAAAAAATAATTCACATAATAATCTATCATAACTAATTATAAGATCTACTAACTGAATACAACAAAATTTATTATTATATTTTAACATGATCATATACACCTTATTCAATAGGAATTTGCTCAAAGAGTGACACACGAAAAGTAATTGACATGCAGTGATTTGTCAACTCTTTCTTTCATTTGATTTTTAAAAAATAACAAGCAAAAGATGTGTTTTGTAAAAATATTGCACACCGAAACCTTTTATTAGTTTCATACCACATAGCATCCCTTAGTGTGAATATTTTTTATATCTTGAAAAGAAGACAAAAAGTAGAAAGAGAGAATTAAATTCAGAATGTAAAAAGATATTTTGTATTCAAAATTATAAACTAAGAATTTATAACATTGAGAAATAACTATTAATTGTCATTAGTTTTTTTAATATATATATATATATATATATATATATATATTAAACTTGTATATATTAATAAATTATTCTACTTAATTTTCTATTTAAACTTATATATATTTAAAGCCATCATTTTTTGATTTTGGTTGTTTCACACCATAACACCCTTACATAGGCTTCAAACTTGGTCAGAACGTAAAAAAGTGTACGTTCAAATTAATCTGGCCCTTACTGACATTTAATTAATTGTTAAGCAAGATTCATAAATATTTTGACAGAAAAATGAGATAGTTTTGTGAAATATTCAACTTCGTAGAATACTTGAATTTGAATTTCATGAGAGCATAAATATACAAGAGCTTAAACCAGTGTAACTGCAAGCTCAAAAGAATAGTGTTATTTTTTTCAATATAAGATTCAATAACATTTTCATAAACAAAATGTAATTGCTATAAATATTTCCTGATTAATTTTTCTAAACTTAAATATTTTATATAATAAAATGCATTTTGTAAATATATTCTACTGCTACTATTCTAACCACCCAAATGCTAATTCTTTTCCAAGTCTTCATTTCATGCATGACCCAAAAAGAAAATGTTGTGTGCACACGGTTCATGTTCCATGCCACCACCATGAAGCTAAATTAAACATTCTTCTTTGATTACGAGTAAGTTCTTTTGCTTTAACATTTGACCTTTGAAGATATCATGTTTTTCCTCTTTTTCATAAAGATGTTTCTGTGTGTTTTTTAAAAATAGGAACTAATAACTATATCTAGAAATTAGTTTTTGACAATGCTTTGTATTGGAAGATACAGAAAGAAAACAATCGATGAAATGAATGAATGTCATAAATAATCAATAAAACCAAACAAAAACAACGAAAACAATATAAAAGTGATAGGATTGAAGAGACCTCTAGAGTTAAAAAAATTATAAAATGAGAAAGTGAACATAAATAGAGATACTGTAACTGTTATATTTGATTGGTCGCTGATGCATTCAGTGGAATGATGAATTGGCGCATAAACATAAAATGGTCCACAATCAAAATTTTGCTATACATAAATATGACTATTATGTTGTAATGATCTTTAAAAATTAAATTCACTAACTACAACATTATTCTTTATGGAAAGGTTGCAAAGTCTGATAATATTTGTTTCTGTGTGGATTGCGGAAACCAAAATTCTTTATGCGTTTAGTTTCCGTGTGGATCATTTCAGCTTGATTTGGACACCAAATGAAAACTGCATGTATCTCGTGTTTTCATTTTTTGGCTATAAGTATGATCAATTTTTCGTTGCTTAGCATTCTCATTCCATTCCTTAATCTCTTTTCTAATGTTGTAAAGTTTGAATGCAATCATCGATGGGGTTGTTGCTTGTAGTTTTACACACGTGTTTGCATTTGTTACTCACTCATTTTTCACCCTCCCATTCCTTATGCCATCCCCATGATAGTTTTGCCTTGCTTCAATTCAAGAACTCCTTCAATGTCAATACTACTTTTTATGGTGATCCTCTTTTTTTTGAGTCACCACCTCAGTGTCTTCCTTATCCTAAGACCAAAACATGGGAAAATGAGACAGATTGCTGCTCATGGCTTGGAGTCACGTGCCATCCCCAATCGGGTCACGTGATTGGGCTTGATCTCAGCTGCGGTGGGCTTGTGGGTAGAATGAATCCAAACAGTACCCTTTTTCATCTCTCTCATCTGCAATCACTGAGCCTGGCTCACAACGATTTGCATGGGTCCCAATTCTCATCAAATTTTGGAGGCTTTGGGAGCCTTACTTACCTAAACTTGTCTAATTCCAACGTTAAAGGTGAAATTCCTTCTCAAATCTCGCGCATGTCTAAATTAACCTCACTTGATCTCTCTTTGAATTATCAATTAAAATGGAAACAAAGCACGTGGGAGAGGTTTCTTCAAAACACAACAGTTTTAAGAGAGCTTGTTTTGGATCAAACGGACATGTCTTTGATTTCAATTAGGTCACTCAATTTGTCTTCCTCTTTGGTTACACTTGGTTTTGGATTTTCTAGATTAAGGGAAAACTTGACAAATGACATTCTTCTCTGTTTACCAAGTCTTCAAGAGCTAGATTTATCAGGAAATTTTGACCTTCGTGGCCAAATTCCGAACTTGAGTTGTAGTGCTGCTTCTGTGAATGTCTTGGATTTTTCTGCATGTCAATTTGAAGGGTCAATCCCTTTTTCTTTCTCTAACTTCACACATCTTACTTTCTTGGATCTCTCAGATAACAACCTCCGTGGTTCAATTCCTCCCTCTTTCTCTAACCTCACATATCTTACTTACTTGGAACTCTCATCCAACAAACTCAGTGGTTCAATCCCCTCTTCACTTTTTACCCTTCCATGTCTATCAATTTTGTCTCTTTTTGCTAATAATCTTGGTGGTCAAATCCCAAATGTCTTTCATCACTCAAACAGATTTCAAGAAATATTTTTGGGTGAAAACAATATAGGAGGTGGGTTGCCATCATCACTTTCAAACCTTCAACATCTTATTCACTTGGATCTTTCAGGCAATGAATTTAGTAATCAAATCCCTGATGTGTTTGGTGGACTCGCCAAATTGGAAACTCTTGGTCTTAGTAATAACAAATTGCAAGGACAAATCCCATTTTCATTGTTTGACTTAACTCATCTTTCTCTTTTGGATTGTTCTTATAATAAATTAGAAGGTCCTCTGCCCAACAAAATAACAAGATTTTCTAATCTAACTACATTACACTTACATCACAACTTACTAAACGGGACAATTCCTTCTTGGTGTTTATCTTTTCCATCCATGGTAGATTTAGATATGTCATACAATCAGTTTACGGGGCACTTAAGTGCAATCTCATCTTATTCTGTAGAGTTTCTATTTTTGTGCAACAACAAGCTACAAGGAAATATTCCAAAATCAATTTTCAGCCTTGTAAAACTTGTTGGCTTGTGTTTATCATCAAACAAGTTGAGTGGTTCTGTCTACTTTCCACTTTTCTCAAAGCTTCAAAATCTAGAAAGTCTTTCCCTTTCGTACAATGATCACAAACTTCAAATCCAATGTCCATTATACTTTCTCCCATCTTTATACATTGGAGTTATCTTCTGTAAGTTTAATTGACTTGCCCATCTTATCTGAAAATTTACCGAGTTTGGCATATTTTGATCTATCCAATAACAAACTTATAGGAAAAGTGCCTAATTGGTTATTAGAAATGCATACATTGTATTTTTTAAATCTCTCTCACAACCTGTTGACATCTTTAATGGACCAATTCTCCAACAACTACGACCTTTGGTTCCTTGATCTTAGTTTCAACTTATTGACCAGTGACATCTCTTCCTCAATTTGCAATGCAAGTTCACTTCAGCTTCTTAACCTGTCCTACAACAACTTGACAGGCATCATTCCACAATGCCTTACAAACTTGTCATCCCTCTCTTTGTTGGATTTACAAATGAATAAACTTCATGGCACCTTGCCAAGTAACTTCTCAAAGGAGATTGAAATTCTGAATCTCAATGACAACCGATTGGAAGGGTTTTTGCCTCAATCTTTGTCCAATTGCACGCATTTACAGGTTTTAAATCTTGGCAACAACCAAATAGAGGATACATTTCCCTATTGGCTTCAAAGTCTACCATATTTGAAAGTACTTATTTTGCGAGCCAACAAGCTGCATGGTCCTATTGTCAGCTTAAAGACCAAGCATCAATTTCCCAGTTTAACTATTTTTGATATCTCTTCCAATAATTTTAGCAGCTCAATACCAAAAGCCTATATAAAAAATTTTAAAGCCATGAAGAATCAAAAGGAAGAGAATAACGATATGCAATACATGGGTATATATTTAGTCGGTGGAAGATATATTGTTTCTATAGATTTAACAATAAAAGCAAACAGTCTGAAATTCGTGAAAATTCCGAAGAATTTTGTAAACATTGATTTATCACAAAAAAAATTCGAAGGAATGATTCCAGATGTTATTGGAGAGCTTCATGCACTCAAAGGGCTCAACCTTTCTCATAATAGACTCAGTGGTTCTATTCCCCAGTCCCTTGGAAATTTGACAAACTTGGAATCATTGGATCTTTCCTCCAATATGCTCACTGACAGAATTCCAACAGAATTAATCAATTTGAACTTTCTTGAGGTCCTGAATCTCTCTCAAAACCATCTTGTTGGAGAAATACCTCAAGGAAAGCAGTTCAATACTTTTTTAAATGATTCCTATGAAGGAAATTTGGGATTATGTGGACTTCCATTGTCAATAACATGTAGCAACAACCATGAACAACATTCTTCACCTTTATCAATCTTGCAACATCAACAAAAATTTGGATTTGGTTGGAAACCAGTGGCTATAGGATATGGATGTGGAATGGTCTTTGGGATGGGCGTAGGATGTTGTGTGCTATTAATAGGAAAGCCTGAATGGCTTGTGAGGATGGTTGGGGGTCGGCCTAATAAAAGGGTGAAAAGGATGACAAGGATGAATTAGTGGAAAGACTGGAGAATGTCTGGTTGCACACCATATTACTCTGCATTGTATGGAGATTTGATTCAAAGTTTTGTTGTAATATGAATGTGTTATACATTTTGGTTTTTGGGAAAAGGAGTATGATGTACTTCCTTTGCCTTGAGATTGCAATTTTCTTTTATTTAATACGTATAGAGATACAATTGTTTGCATTGGTCATATATCAATAGGCGTTGTCGTATACTTTTAAAACTATTATGTATTTGTTATTGTGATCTAACACTGAAGTTAATTGTTAGAAAACATGTATCTAGTCTGTTTGTATCTTCATTCAAAATGGAGTTCACTCACTTTGATTTTTTTCTCCTCTCACAGAACCTGATTTCCAACGTAGATTTATGCATTAAAATTTGTGTAAACTCTGTTCTTACTTCTAAACATGGGAATTCAATATTGCCTTAGTATTGTTGTCTTGCTTAGATTGATAGGTATACAATTTTACTATAGGTATATCGTATTCAATATCCATTGATACTGTACAGCAATAGAAAATTTTTAGATGTCAACCCAAACTATACACCACTATTATAATGGAATGGCTATGCTTCCAATTGGTTTGTGTCTTTACATCTTTCCAAAATCAATTACCGTTCCTAGTTAGTCATTTGTTCATATTCTATACATGCACTTTTCATACTTTCACTCATCGTGGAACACAAGTTTAATTGAAAACAAGTGAAAGCTGCATTAATGTGTATTTTTGCATAGTGAAGAACACAATTAGATCAATGGAAATAAATACTTCCCTCCCAAATACAACAAATGAAATTGTTGTTGGCCATCATTTGGAGAGTTTTTTTTTTACCAATTTGGAGATTAAGTATTGAAGAAATTAACCCTGACTTCTTATGTTAAACTTCTCAAAACGTTGAATATACATAGAATATGTTACAATTATTTGTATAAATGTTTTGTAATTTCATATACAGCAAGATCTTCGTCTCTCCATGTGACTCAACAAAGAAATTTTGAGCTCAATTTAAATCCTAATTATCGTTTTCCTTTTAACGATCAATATGTAACATTACTTAGGCAGATACATAAATTGAAAAGAAGTGCATAATATGAATTTCTCTGCAAAATCACGTTAAATAAAAATGATTGAAAAACACATACACAAACAGTGGGGCATGGAGCTGGGGACAAATTAACCTATTTTGAGGACTATAGTTTTTTCTGGTCAAGACGACTACATTCAATTGGAATCGAAAACTTATTTTAAAAAATCGTGTATGTCTCACTGAAACTATTCAAATTTAATAACCATATAATATTTTTATAACAAACATAGTACCTTTGTATTATAATTACACCAGCAGAGATGACTCATCTTTCAATTTTAACATAAGTAATGATCTTTATGAATGATTTTTCCATTAAAAATAGTTTATTGTGTATATACATGCTTTTCGTACTTGGTATGATAAATTGTATATTCTTCCACTAACACATAATTAATGCATTTGGAGATAACATGACTTGGCAGCAACACTATGATCCCTTTGAGTCTTGACGCACTCAACCTTAAGTGAATAATATTGTATAAGATGTCTTGAGCTGAAGTTGCCACATTCAGACCAGCATCAAGTGCATAAATGTAAAGGCAAGTTACGCTTTCTAGCATATCCACTCACTCAATTAATAATTTATTCACTCTTTTCTAATTAGCCACCAAACAACCGCACTAACCCTTTTGGTCCTCAAGCAGTATTTGGATCAAAAGAATGGAGGAAAGGTAAAGATAAGTTTATAGAAAATTTTGATAATGATAAACTCTTCTGTAATTTGTTTACTTAAAAAACAAATCATCGTCCAAATACATGTTAAAGTAAAATTAACTTATTTTTAATGGCAATTTTTTAGTCTTATATTTCTGTAATTTTCTCTAAAATTATATATTTCGGTATGTAATATTTTCAAATCTCATATTTGAATTAATTTTCACTAATTAATGATATTCTTTCTCTTAAAGTGAAAAAACATGCAGATAAAAATACTTGAGTAAACGATTGCATGGACCTTTCCTCCCTTCACTTAAAACTGGTACAACTTTTTACTGGCAAAAGATTGTGTGCTAGCTCAAGTAACCAAAGACAGGTAGGTATTTCCAGAAAAGGATATGTTCTCTTCCTGCAATTCTGCTCAAATACATCCACCTAGTGAATGTGTTATATACCAAATCAGGGCACAAAATTTAAGAAAATATTTCTTTTACATCTAAAATGGGACATCTTTTTTTTTTAATATTTTTAAAACTATATATATAATTATACAATATCGTTTATGATACATTAGTCTGCAGGTTTTTAAATAATATGACTCCAAGATCTGTGGTTCTATCCAAGGCACACCAATATTATAGGAAAAAGTAATAACATCACTCTTCTTAATTGTAACATAAATTTTATTTTATTTTTTTGTTGAATTTTTAGAAACTTGCATATATAAGCATAATATTAACAAATGTGCAATTACTACCGATTGATTGCTGCGTTTTGCTGGCTAAGGGTCATTGTTTAGGAAGTAAAATTCTTAAACGGAACGAGTTAGTGAAAGGTACAAGTAAATTCAAATTTAGTAGAATGGATCTGGACGCAATTAACTTGTAAGGACTAAGGAGACAAGAATTAATTATTAATTAACGTTTTTGAAAGGATGTTTTATCTAAAAAAGATGGGATATAGGATTGGATGTATGTCTATTTTTTTAATATAGATTGTGGGAGTAGTTAAGTACCCGATGAGGCATGGGTATATGCAAGTCAAAGAACGTTGTTTAATATAGAAAAACCAATAACAGTGAAAACGATCATGTGAGTGACAATTTTTCAATGCTTCCTGATTTAATATGATTTCAATTATAGTACCAAGATTTGCCAACACTTCTTCAGCGTTAGCCTTTATTGAGTTTAGGCATTTTAATTACCTAAATTAACTTTTAAATTGATATTAATCCACCTAGGCAATTATTCAAAATTAAGCAACTAAATGAACGAGGCGTTACTAAATTTTCAACCCATAAACCAACATGTTTAGTTTGTAATGATTGAAATTAAAAAGTTTTAAGTTTTGTTTCCATCATCAACAGTTTCCTTAGCACACATACTCCTGCCTTCAAAATGAGTGAGTTCTCCTTCAACTCTTTTTGTCACCTTCACTATATTCTCTCACGAGTTAATAGTAACTGTGGTTTAATATAACTAGCTTTTCATAAGCTTAATTATGTCTTTTTCTCTAAAGGGATCAACTCACTGTTAATATGTTGATGATGCCATTTGTTTTTATACAAATTAAAAAGTCTCACATGGTACCCACATGTCCTTCCAAACTTCAAATATTCAAAGTAGAGCATTGAAATCTATTAGTAATTTTGTGTTTATACAAACTTTATTGGTCAACAATTTTCATTTAGGCATCTAATGCTGAAAGCTTCATACGCAAATTACGGCATCCTTATAACTATTGTGTGAAATATGAAAAGGCACATGAAAGCACTCCAATTCACGCACCTTGTGCACAAGAAGGTCTCATTCATACTTGTCAAAATCCAATAAGAGAAAGAGAAAGGGCAAGAAGACAAGACAAAGAGGGAGACCATAATAGGGATTTCCATTGGTATCTCTATTATAGTGTAGTCTTTCAAGCCACGCGTCACATGTAGCTAGAAAGGGAAAATAATCAAATTGATGAAGTGCAAGAGTGCAAGACTTATTAATAGTGGGTCATATATATGATTCTTGAACCGAAAAAAAGGCTATAAATGGTTGGAATTTAATACATTTCGAGGGATTTAGGTATTCTCCAATAATATGGTCCCTAGAGAATGAAAAACATAAATATAATGAATAAAACCTACCACCAATTACAGTGTGGTTTGACAAAAAATTGAGTTTAATTCTCATAACAATTAATAGAATTATATGATCTGTTACTCAACATCAAATTAAATTGTTAGTTTTACTCGACATTTGATAGAAAAGATTCAAACATCATGGTTTCTACTGCAATACTATTTAGATATTTTGTATACAGATAGCTCATGATGAATTATGGTAGGAGATAAGAACTATTTTATATAACATAATTTCTTTTAAGATTGTTTTACAAAAACATATTCGTACCATTTAATTTTTCTTTCAAAGACACAATTTAGGGTTGTTGAATTGTGGATTAGTGACGCCCTTCTACTTCCATGTTTTTTATTCCCCTTTAATATTGCGATACCTCCAAGTCATTTTGAGTTGATGAATAAAGCAGAAGACCCCACCATGATTAATCTTTTATTTTATGTACAACTTTGGTGAAAAAGAGTTGCACAAAACATTAACGAAGCATATGCCATGGGACCCACAATGCAGAAAAAGGGCAAATTTCTAGAACTAAAGTGCAAAAGCTCTTGCCATTAGTGGGCGATTGTTGATAGTATGCAAGGAAATCTCTCATGTTCTAGACTGCTTAGATAATCATCAATGCAATTCTTGCACAGGATTTTGGTGATCAAATTTGACTCACCCAAAAACAATGAAAGAGAGAGAAACAACCAACAATGCTAATTGTCGCTTTATGTGATCATACATGAAAATAATCAAAAGGGATTGATTACTTGATATGTATAGTTGTAGCTCTTCAAGCCCAAGTCTCAAGTAAGATCCTTCAGGAAAAAATTAACATGAACCTAGTATTGGCTGAGCAACAATGAGAATCTTGTGATATGAGATGATGAATATTACTAGGGTGCACCTTACAAGAACATAAGATAAATTTAAACAAAAAAACACATTTATTTCATGCAAAATTTAGATAATGGAGTTCTAGGGAAGGGATGTAACATGATAAGGGAGAGAGAACATCACACAGAGCAAAACATAAAGGAACTTCAAAGTCCAGCATGATTGTTTGGTTTCAATTCCCATGTTACGTGACATGTTGGGTAAGATTCAATAACACATTAATTACATGCAAAAGGATTAAATGACTGAGGAGTGAATTATAATATGAAAAAGCTTTACAATGAATGAAAATTAAACTCCATTTCTTTGTAAAATATATTTGGTAAAACTAGAATAGAAAAAGAAGAAGAGGACAGAATTGCAGTGAGTGAAAGTCGTAGGTGGGGACTGTGTATGTGAAGAAAGAGAAGTGTGGAGCAGAAAAAGAACAAAGAAAAGTCATATACAACATGTCCCACCTGCAACTGCAAAATCCACACAAATCCACTCTCATTGGTCTGTCTGAGGTAGTCGCGCCAGGCTGCTGTATTCCTTATTCCCTTCCATACCTTATCCTCTCTCTCTTTATTTTTTACAATAAGATAAGCTTAATATTTTAATATAACACATGACAAGACCAATAATATACTTTTTATTATATTTTTAATTATTAGTTAAAATTTATTAAAATGTATAAAAGAAGTATGAGAGAAAAATATTAATTATGAGTGAAAAAATAAAAGTAACTTACTAACTTTCATGGTATAACACTAAAGTTTATATAATTTCAACTAGTTAGTTTACTCATCACATAATAAGTTTTGAAGATAATAAAAGTGTGTTGAAATATTTTACTTCTATTAAAAATATTATCAAAATATTTCTTTTATAAACGTTAGAAAATATTCATCATATAAGATAATTTTTAAAATTGAGTTAAGAAAAAGTTTTGATACTCTTTCTCCCATAAAATATTCAACAATAATGAATTAGTGCTCTCTGTCTGAGTATGTAGCCTGCCATAACTATTATATAACATATACTCATACATACTCCTAATACACATAACAAAAACAAAAGCAAACACGGATTCACAGAACACAAGCTCCCGACACTACAGCGCCTCAAGATTTTTTTAGTATTCAGATTATTCCTTTTCTTTCCTTTCACATTATTATCCTTCCATCTAACAAACGAAGCTGTGTTCAGCTTTTGTTCCCTCGATTCACGAACCGAAGTGTACTTGATTGCTCATTAGAGCACAAACATAACACGTTCTGCTTTCAATTTTGAGGCTAACAGGCTCAGGGCCTAAGGCAGGTATGTAAAACAGCAGCAACATCACCATCATATTAGTGTTTTTCATCTAAGTCTCTCCTTTTTCTTATGTGTTCTGTGTCTCTCTGAATTCGCGCGTCTTTTGTTTTGTTTTTCTAGTGTGTTGTTGTGTTGAGTGGTTTAGGGGAGAATTTAGGTGGGTTTGTTTTGGGATTCTGTGACAGGACTTGGGTCATAGTACCTTTTTGCTTTGATTTTCCTTGTTTTCTTCTCTTGGATTTCGGTGGTAGTGTTCCTCTCTGTGTAGAACAACAGAAAAAAGTTGGTAGCTTTATTGGAATATAGTCAAATCTGACATTACCCTTTATTCTTCTTGATAGTTTTCAAGTTTTGGCCGGTTCTGGGTATCGTAGCATGTCACTAGAAAATGGAAAGTTTCAATTTTGAGGCTGGGGTTCTGGTTCTTGGAATTTCATTTTACTGTAGTTTTTTGGTGGACCTTGATTCTCAGTTCTGTGTTTGTCTGTTCTTTGCCTTAAAGTTTAAGGTTTGAACTGGGGTTGTTGTGTCTAATTGCCTTCTCTCCTGTGAGCTAACAACGCTGTGGAGGAATTCAAATTGAAGCTTCCTACTTCTTTTTCACATTTGGGGGTTGAGTGTTGCCTTTCCTTCCTTCTTTTTTTCTTTATTTATTTTATTTTATTTCACATACTATAAGTTTTTTGTCTATTTTGGATCTGCTTAAGCCTGCCTAGGTTGTAAGGAAGTTTATTCAAGCTGAGTTTAGCTGTTTTGATCATGGAATAGTGAATTTTGAGTTATTAGTTTTTCAAATTCAATTTGATTCCTGTTTGATTATCGGGTTTAAGTGCTAATAATCATTTGTAGAGTTAGTTTGAAGCTTTGCTTACAAAGGGTAACTTCATTTTGTTGAAGCTTTTGTGCTTTGTCAGGTTCCCAGTCACTTTGATATCATGGAATCCCCACAATCTGTTGTGTCACCATTCAAGAGCACTGTCTTTGGTGAAGGCGAGAAGTATAAGTCTGATGTTTTCACACGAAGCTCGGGTTCCTTGTCTAAAGACATTGAAGCCAATGGAAATAAAGCTGCGGTGTCCAATCCAGAGGAATTCATTGGTGCTGTTGATGTTTACATACATCAGGCCAGGGACATTCATAACATCTGCATATACCACAAGCAAGATGTTTATGCTAAAATTTGCTTGACTAATAATCCTGACAATACTGTCTCTACCAAGATTATCAATGGAGGAGGAAGGAACCCTGTCTTTAATGAGAATCTTCGTCTAAGTGTTAAGACCGTTGAATCTTCTGTTAAATGTGAGATTTGGATGCTTAGCAGGGTGAAGAATTATCTTGAAGATCAGTTGCTTGGTTTTGCTTTGGTGCCTTTGTCTGAAGTACTGGTGAAGGATGGCAAACTAGAGAAAGAGTTCTCTCTTTCTTCAACTGATCTATTCCATTCCCCAGCAGGTTTTGTTCACTTGTCTCTTTCTTACACCGGTGCTTCTCCCGATGTTATGGCAATTTCTGCAATGCCTACTGAGTTGGCTACCAATGGCACCGAGAAGGACTCTGAATCATGCGAGTCACTGGTCAGAGATTTAGACAAAATTGAATTCCCGGATCCAAAAATTGTAAATGAAGACCACTTGATGGTTTCAGAATATTTTGGCATTCCATGTGATGAGAGCGATAGCTTGGCCACTACTGATACTGAAAATCTTAGTTCTGAAGCTGGTGTTCAACTTGTGGAAAGCTTCTCAGCATGCAGTGTTGAATCTGTCCAACCTCCTAAGGCTGATTCTCCACCCAGCAGTGTGTCAACAAATGGAGTTTCATCTCCTTCAGTGGCTGCAAGCTCAGAGTCACCTGATGCTACTGCTTCCAAGTCTACCAATCAGGAACAAGTTTCAGGCACCAAAGCGAAAAGTGGTGATGTCAAAGATGGTGAGAGTGATTCCTCAAATGGGGTGCTGAATGATTCATTTCCAAAGCCAGTTGTGACTGTGAACATTGAGTCTGAGCCAAATGTGGTGCAACAGGATATAGTAGACATGTACATGAAAAGCATGCAGCAATTCACTGAGTCATTAGCAAAAATGAAGCTTCCTATGGATTTTGAAAGCGGACCAACTAGTTCAGGAAACTCAAGCTCTGAACAGAAACTACAGACATCAAAGAGCACTAACTCCCGTGTGTTCTATGGGAGCAGAGCTTTCTTCTGAGCTTTCGGTTCCACAGGTCAAGGCAGTACCTTCAAGTGACTTAGATTTTAGAGTGAAAACTGATATCAGTAGTGAAATGAAATAATGTACTATCCAGTGTGATTCTCTTGTGTACTTCTTGATCCCTTAGAGGCAAACAGGGAATCTTAACTTTGTACTCTCACAGGCTTGGTCCTATGTTAACTGCTACATGAACTTTTTCTGTCTTAATCTTATTTCCTTGTGTTTCTTTTTGTTCTGAATGTCAATATTTGTGAAATTGGATTTCATCTTGCAAAGGTTCATGTTGTGTATAATCACGAGTGGTAGTATGGTCCCACATTCACATGCCTAATACTAAAGTTGATGGGTCCAAATCATCTATTCTTTTGCTTTCTTCTATTTCACATGAATTAGAAGGCCCATGCAACATCATGGGTTTCTTCTGTTCTTTTTTCATCATACATATATCCTTGAATTGGGCCTCAAGGTGTTCAACAACTTGGGATTTTTGGAATGATCATGTTTATGGACCCAAATGAAAATAGAATGATTATGCTTATTCTTAACGAAATTGAAATTAAGGTTGATGAAATTATCATCTACAGCTGAAGTCTCTGATCAATATCTGAACTACCTTTTAATGTGTTGAGGAACTTCAAATTTATTTCAAATTCTTGTTGGAAATTGAAGCTTAGAGCTCTATAAAGTTTTATATCATTCTTGAAGGCCATTTTTCTGTTATGAAGCGCCCCACCAACCATGAGTAAAAAAAATTGAAAAATGGAAACCAGGCAAAATTATAAAAATCAAACATTGTAGATTTCAATAATTGAGGATTATAATATAATATTTGAGTTTCCTTTAATAAAATATTTGTATTTAATTGTATTGCAAATTTAATAACATCAATCAATTCTTATTTCATTAAGTGAGATTTATTATATGGATCACAATGTTATTGAACCCAATTAAAAATTAAATTTTTAAAAATTTTATTAATTAAAAAGTTTTTTTAATAATTTCATCTAAGATTATCTTAGTCTTTTTTAAGCCCTCTTTATTAGATTAATTTAGTGCAAATTATAGTAATAAAATTCAAATATTAATTAATAAACCACAATAACTTATTAACAAAACCATTTTTTTGTCCAGAGGCGTGATGACATTTAAATTTATAAATTGACGAAGGACACCACAATTTAAAATTAGAAACCTCAACTCAGCAGAATAAATCACCTCACCAATATGATGTAGACAAGCAGCGATTGTTCACCATTTTTTTCCCTCCTTCTAGTTTTTATTATGTCTGGGTCAAAAATCGAAATAAAAAATTGATTTTTTTATTATAAATAGTATTAATACATTCTTATTTATTTATCCTTTTTAACGTGATTTTTAGCTAAAAATTATATTTTTTATTCCTTAACTTGTTATTTTAAAACACTGATAATACTTGTTGGTAAAATCCTCTTTTGTTATCCTATACAAACCTTTTCAAATTTATATAACAACGTAAAACTATGTACTCTTTTTGTTAATATTAATCTCTTCTATTTTTTTTATATTATTACAGCAACAAAAATAGTTAATAATATTTTATAAACTTTGCAAGAATTGAGAAAAGAATATCCTTTTTTATATAAAATGTAATATTTTGAATGATGTTTTGATTTCCGTATTTATAATACCATTTAAAATTGAATGTTTTTAGAAAATGTTCTAAACTAATTTTTCAGGTGTATGTATATATAATTGTATAAGTATAAGTGAGAGGTTATTTGAAAATAGTGTTGAAAATATAATAAAATAAAGTATTTATCATATTTTAACTGGATTGAAAATATATAAAAATCAAATCATTCAACCTAATTTAATGTAAAAATGGCACTACCATTTTATTATCGATTCCAATAACTTTTTATATCTAAAAATAAATTCAATCTGCAAACATTCTTTACAGAGTGACTCATGACTGAATACTGATAGTACCCTTCATAAGTTATGAACTCTTGCAAGAGTTTTGATTAGTCAAGAATTCAAATTATACAAAGTAAATGCAGAAAGGTGCTATTTAATGTGCAATACATTTTCCTCACTTTTTTATTATTGGAATTAACATGTAATTTTCTTCTTTCATTTTAAAATATTTTCTACTTTAGAAAATTAGTTTATACTTGGCTTCAAAAATTTAAAATGTAGGATTTATTTTTCAAATTATTCTAATCTCTTATTATCTTGGGTAAACAAAATAAGAGAGTACTAACGAGAAGATAATATTTTAGATATTTTACAAGGAATAGTTGATTATAGTTCAGTAAATTGCACTTACTTTTTAAAATTAAAACTAGTTAATAAATTTCCTAATCTATGAGCATGATGTTAAACAATAAAAAATTTCTTGACAGATGAAATATTAATTTGATTGGTAAATCATAATTTCTACTGGTGAAGAAAATTTGGCAATTTATAACTACTGCATACTCTCATTATTACCTTTTTTAGGTTTAGAAAACATTTTCAAGATTTTGACCATAGTAATTAGCCCTTATCACATTAAACATGAATACTTAATTTGTAGGCGATGGCCTGATGGGACAAATTGTTACTATCACAACTTTATGGAGAAAGTCGCATGTCAAGATATAGTTGAATGAACTTTTATTATAACTTTCCTTTTTTTATTAAATATTTGCTTTTTGTTTATCTTATAATAATATAGAATGGAGGATTTGATTTGAACATAGTGCTTGAACAATTATGGGGTGGGAAGGGGACCATATGAAGATGACCAATTGGCAAAACAAGGGTAGCAAAAGTTGTAAACTTGATGTCCTTTTGGGCATAAAAAAAGTTGAAAACTTAATGTAACAATTCATTTGAGGCATCAACTATGAAATTTGATTCACTTGCAATTTTAAGGTCCCACCACAAAGCTTCAACCAGCCTAAGCCTGTGGGCTGTGATGTGAACATTGATATGATCACAACTCTCAAACAAACAAACAAAGGGCCCCAATACCATTAGAAAAAGCATTAGCTGTCAAATATAGACACAAACTCAAAAGCTTACTACAATGCATCTCCAAACCAACGTGGAATATATAAATAGTGCTTGTTTCACTGCGGACACTTTAAGGTTATGCTCTTATGTCAATGCTATAGCTAGGCAAATTTAATAGATATAAGTTAGAACAATGAAATATAAATCAAACATATCATTTTCATTCTTGAAAAAAAAAGCTAAATTATTCGATATTTTTATATTTAAATAATGAAAATAATTATTTATAGTTTTTTAGGGAGGATTGGATCTTTACTTTTCTATATTTTGGCTTGGTGACATCAATCTATTCTTTGTCTTTTCAATATGTTGGGATCGTATTAATACCAACAGAGGCACGCCTCTCCCATCATTATGTTATGATTCTTATCAAGAACTACAGGATAGTGTTTCGCTTGTAAAAGGATTGGTTGAACATACTTCTAATTTTATTTGAAACTAATTATGAACACTTTACATGTTTGGATTGCAGTGTCTTTAATGCATGTTTGGGTTAAAGAAATGTAATTTATGCATAAAATTCACCTTGGATTGATACCCACTGAAAATTAAATTTTACTCTTAGTAACAGGTTTGACTAAAAGTAAAAGAAAAAATGTAAACATTGTATCTGTAACCTTGTAAATATATTTTTACCTTTTAACTTTGATTTAATCATCAATGCTTCATTATATGTTTGCCTCTTATCCATGTGGAAACATTAATTTAATAACGACTTGCAACTATCTCATGCATTGCATTGCATGAGTATTTGTGGGCAAAATATAAAAATACAAGTATTTTATACTATCTCAAAACTTGATTTAATTGATACGATATTTTTAAATAATAATATTCAAATATCTTATTGCGTCTAATATTGATTGAAAAAATTTGGCCACTTATTAAAGAAATTAGGAAAATTAAAAATATACCTTAATTGAATATATAATTAAAGAGGAAAAAAATATTAATTTTGATTTAAAATAAAAGTTTAAAAAATAGGTGATGTAGAATAAATATACAGATAGAAAATCACATGAGAAGAAAAATTTGTCCTGATTTTAACCTGAGGCATAATTGCATTTGAAAGTAGTTATGGTATCAGCTATTTAAATATCTAGATTTTTGTCCATGGAGTCTCAAATTCATGCATGTTTTGTTTACCAATTCAAACATCCAAGGAATGACAAAACCCAACATTGTTATTCATGACTTTGTCATTGCCAGACGTTATTGTCTTCGAATTCAAAAGATACCACGATATGTCCACAACCTTCAACATAATTGAGGCATGCACAAAAATAATAATAAATAATAATAATAATAATAATTGAGGCATGTGCATTTGTAAGGATTTGCATGTGAGACAACCCTCTAATGTCCCCAACACAAACTTGCCATGGCCTAAATAATGTTGTTCTAGTAAAGTATTATACATATTATTATGCATATCTGATTTTAACAAGAAAACTAGCTACTACAACTATGTATATAGGCAATTGTGTTTGTGTGTGGAGAAAGAGAGGACCACATTGTAAAAGGGTGTTTTCAGGGGAAAACTGAAGGTGATAAAAGACAAATCCTGATCCGTATAAGGATAAGAGTTAGCATGACCACACAGAAATTTGATCCAAGATCCAAATCCAAATGTTATTAGGATGAACATGCTGAAAAGAAATAACCAGAAATCTAAAATAGTTACTATTCACAAACATAAGTTAAAAATAGTCCCTATCTTGAACAATGCTCCCTTGTTTTAACCAATCAATTTTGGTCCATAGATGCAATAAAATGCTCTATATTTTCGCTACAAAGTTACTAAAACCAAACAGAAGAAGAAAGAAAATATTTATGAATAGAGTTGTATAATTAGTAAGAATCAGATTTTGATTGTAAAAATAGACCAAATGTAAAGTTTCATAACAAAAGTCTAGTAAAAAATAATAACTGTCCAGTAACTAATTATTTGATGGGGATCCAAGATATGGGGATACCCCTCATGTTCCAAACCTGATAAATCAAACTGAACCTCACTTACAATTTGATCAGAAACATGTCCCATAAAAAAGATGGTGACAAGAACAAACAACTTTGCCAAGCATTACAGTGGCAAAAAAAAATTCAAAAATTATAAACTATCATTAAGCATACTAACAACGGTGCATCTCGCCAGAGATGATGCACTATTAAACTATCAGAACCAATATTCCTGAGTATATCCCGCAATCTGATTTTACACCTCAATCAAATTCCAAGAAAGGAACCTAAGTCTTGAAAAATCAAAGAAAGGACAAAACAAAAAATCCAAAACCTTACACAAAAACCCTTGTAACTGATTTAGCTTATGTATTCTTCAAATGAAAGAACACCGTTAGCTATATATTATGAATTTCCTTATGAGCTGATATCTCTCAAGTGATGGAGATGTATGAATTCACAAAACCTCATTTTCTTTTACCAGTTTCCCTTGATCTACTGTTACCATAACATATCCAATTAACATATCTCCTAAGCAGCAATTCCTGAAGCAAGTAGAGATACAACAAAAGAAAATGAGTATACAAATGGACTTAGATTAGAACAGCTAAAAAATGTAATGGTAATACTCAAATGTCAACAATGAAACAAAGGGGTGTAATCTTCATCTACATTTCATTACCGTTTGAAACTCTCATATCTTGATTCAAGAGAAAATAATGATGCACATTTAACAAAAAAGAGTAATATACGTCTACATCTTGATCATTTTGCTAGTTAATCTAACTTCACATGGAACACCAAATTCCAGTATCTTAAAATGGAACTAATGAAGAAACTCAAGCATAAATACAGAAAGCTAAGAGCCTACTTGGTTTGAGAAAACATTTAATATTTTCACTAATAATTACAAAATATCATGTTATTTTCACTTTGTTTTGTAGTTTCAAATATTTGTACAAGAAATGGTGAAAACAGTTCTTTTACAGAAAATATAACTTTACAGTTGTTTTCAACATTTACTGCATTAATTCTTTGAGAACAAGTAAAGTTTTTGTAATTATAATTAATTAATGAAAATAGAAAATAAAAGCATAAAATATCTTCTCAAACCAAATAGGCCCTAATATTTTTTAAGACAGTAGTAAGAATATACAAGAACATTTCATGAATTTAGGAAATAAGAAAGAAAAGAAAGAGACATAATGTGAAAGTTGGGAACATAGTGCTTCATATAATTAAAAGAAGGCACAAAAAAGATTCCATGATATCTTAATCTATATACAGTTACAGACACGAAGATCTTAAGGTTAAAGACAACTGTAAACAGCATCACAGAAAATAAACTATATCGATACAGTTTTCAACTTCCTTCAGAATAATTCATATTCTGAAAAATAGAAAGTTAAAAACACAAACTTGGTTTCATTGAAAAAATGAAAACAAACATAAAATAATTTATAAGCCATTCTAATTTTCTTCAGGAGGCAAGAAAGTGGTAAAAAATCTTACCTCTATTTGATTGTCTACTTGTTACATTGTAGTTTCCAATAAAACCCTCAGAATTCTTTACTGGATCATCTGAACCTATACCACCAAGTCCGTAACCAAATGAAGCAGAAGCATCTATCTCAGAAGCAGCAGACCGCCAAGTTGAGTCACTGTATACTGAGCCACTGCGGTACAAGTCCCCATAGGATCCTTCATAACCAACAGTTGGTGCAGTGAATGTTGAGGACTGAGTCACACTCGGGCTGCTGTTCCTTCCATATCCTCCACTTCCTAATCCAATGCTGTTATCCCCACCTTCATAAGCATTACCCCAAGTACTATACCCAGAAGCAGCCCCTCCTCCACCCTGGTTTGGAACAGATGCACCCCAATTGGTGCCACTATTTCCAATTGAAACACCAAAAGCCCCACTTCCAGATCCCAAGTAAGTACCAGGGCTGATTGGATTATTGGCAGCATTGTTCAGGCCCCCATTTCCCCAAACATTCCTAGAAGTTGAGTTCACAAGCAAATCACTTCTCCCATTGCTCCCACTATAGCCAATTGGAGTGGTATATCTGCTGGAGTTGCCATTGTAGAAAGGACTAATCCGACCATATCCTAGACTGCTACCATAATTGGAAGCCCCTCCATAGCTTGGGTTCAATCCTGAATCCAAATTCATTCCCATTCCATAACCACTGGAGCCAAATGAGGTAAACCCGCTTCTACCACTAGTAAGTGGACTAAACCTACCATCCATCCTGACTCCGTAACCTCCAATTGGATTCATATTGAAACCTTGAGCATAACTATTTAGGAAGCTACTGGTCCTATTCAAACCATATCCAATCAATGGGCTCCGGCTAGGTCCAGGGGAAAGCTCTTTAGGAACTGCCCTCTTGACCTCAACCATCTTTCCATTGAGTTCATGAAAAGTCTTATAAAGAACTTTGTCCACAGCTTCTTCTGAATCATAAGTGATGAAGCCAAAACCTCTTGGCCTCTGGGTATTGTGATCATACATCACTACAACATCAGTAATTGAACCAAACTGATCAAAGTACTTCTTAAAATCACTTTCAGTGATTGTTGATGGTAAACCTCCAACGAAAATCTTTTTGGTTCGTCCAGGACCAGGAGATCCGTGGACGCCACCAGACTGTCTATTTATAGTTTGCTGATCATCCCTAGGAACAGCTTTCTTAGCTTCAACCTGAAAATTTAGAGCACAACACATGCATCAAAATCTGCAAGTCACTTTTGGCTTTCCTATTAGCAAAAAAAGTTCAAGCTTGATACAATGCAGCCATACAAATCCAAACACCAAAGTTGCTAAACTTCAGCTCAATGGAGCAAAAAGTGAACATGATCTATATCAGACCAACAAAGAAAAAAACTACAAAAATAGGGACTTAATGATCTCTATCAGAAACATAAATTTAGCTAGGTACCACTACTGCGCAGCCAAATAACACGTGTTGACATAATGAATTGTACATCTATAATGAAAAACTCACCGTGCGGCCATCAATTATGTGCTTATCCATAATGACTCTTTCGGCAACAGCAGGATCAGCAAAGACAACAAATCCGAAACCGCGAGCTCGACCTGTCGTGCGATCTCTCATGATCACAGCCTCTATCACCTCTCCATATTTCCCAAAATATTCTTTGAGTCGTTCCTCATCAGTGTCCCAGGAAATTCCCCCAATGAAGAGCTTGCCAAGATCCGATTCCATCTGTTCTGACACCATTAATCATCAATCACTCATTTCATTGGACAGATTCAAATAAACCATTCATATTGAATCAAAATTGTCATGCCAAACCAAAATCAAAACACAAAAAAACACAAATTTCAATACAAACAATCCAAATTATTCAGTGATGGCCAAAGTTACAGTCCCAGAACCAATCCAAATGCATCGTTCACCTAATAATGCATAATTGAGCTCAACCTCCATAAAGATTCAATTTTTCATATTCAACAACAAAGCAAAGCGATCAGAAATGCAGATTAGATAAATCTGTGAAGAAGGTGTCACCTTATCTTCAAACTCAAACAGAACCCAGTTGTTGCTTCAATCAGGTACGAAGTGGGTTTTGTCAAATTCGATCTTAGAGAATCGGATCTTTGGAGCATCAATCAAAAACTGAACCAAAATATCTAATCCAGCAAAGAGAGAAAGCAAGCAGGTATATTTTGATTTTGATTTTAAATTTTTATTTTTTTAATTTTTTTTTCTGGGATCAGAGAAGAATTTGAGAGAAGGTGAAGAGATCAAGGGGAAAAGGGAACAACCCAGATGGAAAATTGAGCATTAAAGGATGAATGGTTGGTGATGGAAACAAAAAAAATAAAAATAAAAAATAAAAATGAGAGGCTATGTGAAAATTTGAATGGCAGGGAAAACTGAGAATGAGAATGGAAACAGAGGATGTGGTGTCATCCTCTCTCTTCTCTTGCTTTTTTATCTTGTTGCCTGCTTCCACTACCCTTAATTAAATTAAAAGAAATGGAATTTGAAGCAAAGATGGGCAAAGACAATATATATAAATAGATAGAGAGAGACACACACAGTGCAAATCCTCTGGTGCAAGAATATTTGGAGGAGCCAACAGATGACAACAGATCATGGTCTTTTAACAAAATTAATTAAATACATACATACATACATATATATATATATATATATATATATATATATATATAATGAAAACTGTATATCACCTAATTATTTTTTTGAAAAATATATAGTATCGATTTTTATAAATTAAATGAATACATATAGGTTAAGAGTGGAGTTGTTGAATAAATTGATTATTTAAATGGTTATTGGAATAAAGCATTTTATGTAGCTTATATTAGGAACTATTCGTGTGTTACAAGTATATTTTAATTTCGAAAATAGTTAAGAAAAGATTAATTGAATTAATAAAGATTATTTTTATAATAAAATATAAATTAAAAAAATATTTTATTGATCATTTTCAAATTTCTCACCATATTTAATGCTGATTGGAAAAATTTAGGTATTGATTAAATGATTAAGGAATGTAAAAAATTCATTGAATATTGATTTGACATGTGTGCAAAATGAGAAAAATGAGCAATTTGAGGAGAAAAAAAAAGTTATGTAAAGAAACTAGCTCATTTAAAAAAAGTGGAATTTAAATTTATAAATAATGTTGAATTCGATTTTATTTACACTTAAGAAAATTATTTTATACTTTACATTATTTGTCAAAAGTGAAAAAACATTTGACAAAAAGAATGGAATGATAATATTTCATCCAAAGAACTTGAATTAAGATTTGCCCCAATGTGAATAAGAAATTTTCAGCTTGAATTAACTAATTCGATTCCTAAAATATAATTATTTCAACTTTTATTACCTTCAGTTTAATATCCTGATTACCCATGATTGATGTTAATATAAATAATCAGATTTTACTGTTACAATTTGAACAGAAGGCGAAAAATTTTCAGAATTTGAATTGACATGGGTTGGATTCAAAAAATGAGCTTTAAATGTTGCATATTACCAAGAAATTTAAAGAGAAAGTAACTAAATAGTTAAAATGTTGTGTTAGTGTGGGAATAGATGGAGCATCAACTTAATTGTTTATTTAATTTCAAAGCTTGAATGAAAGTTTTGATGGGGGAACAACTGAAAGTGCAATGCAATCCGACGGGTAATTCCTGTAAATAAAAGGAAAAATCAATAGCAAATGCCTTATAACTTTTGTGCCAATATACAGTAACATCCAATATCAGCATGAGCCATGAAAATCTAATTTGCACCAAAACCTTTTTGCCCATTAAGTGGATTTTTTTTAATCCAATTCAATGCAAAAGTTATAATTAGCATCACTAAAAATGTTAAAATTTTAACATAATCTTTCCTATTATCTCATTAAATTAGGAAAAACATTCATACAATTTGTAATAAACTTGTTACCATTTTTCTTTAAAACTACCATCAGAATAACACTAAGCTCCAAGCTAATCTGAAAAGGCAAAGCTTAATTAGAGGCGGCAGTGATAAATGCTGCTCCATTTTCATGCTGGAACACTAAATCCATTATAACTCCATATATATACACTTTCAATGTCTAATGCTACGTCAACATTGAGGTGGATAAAGTTGACATATGAAGAAACTAGAATTTGTGAAGAGTGGTTTGAGACATTTTGCTCACTATTATGATCAGTTGGTTCCATACATGGTCATCTTGAAAGCTACTTCAAAAGGCCTAGGCTGAAGTCACAATATTTGAAGCCGAATCCATTACCTTCAATTTTTTCCAAAAGAAACCATCATTACGTACTATGTAATCATCACACACATTGACCTTTATTTATTTATTTTTGGGGCATGTTAGTGTTGATGTATGTTTGAATAGAGATTAAAATTTGGAAGAAAAGAAAATCTTTCTAAATCTCTTAAGAAATAACAAAAAAAAAAGTATTTTCATCAAACAAACTAGCCAATCAAGTATTAATCAAATTTGTAAAATCTACTAAGCAAAAGCAATTTAAACCCAGTAATAATAACTAAACTTTATCAGATTAGGTGAAGTTAATTGCATGTAATGTCATTGAATTCGATTACAAAGCAACTCAAACCCGAACTGAGAAAATCTTAAGCCCTTTAAACCAATTTTGAATTGGATTTTTTTCACTGCAATTTGAGCCCACCACTTGTGACTACACAGATAACAGAGAATAGCAGCAAATTACAAATAGCAGAAGGTGAAACCCAAGTCGTGGGTCAGGATGAGGCACGTGCGAGTCAATAATTTTATGAAGTTATTTATTTCACTGTTTAACCCGATTTAATTAATTTAATAACATCAATCATAGATCAAACTTACGCAAATGAGATTGATTATATATCTAATCCTAATAAATGTATCACTCTTATAAAATTGCCACGTAATGACCCGTTTCCAATCACAAGCTCATTAGATGGATAAAGGTCTTTTTTGTTACAAGTAAATTATATGGACCTTATTTATATTAATAAAAATATTTTATATCTTTTTTATAAGTTCTTTCTTAAATTATTCCAATTAATTTTGGAGCGAAGCTTCAAAATGAGATTATTATTATTATTATTTTATTATTTAAGCAAGATCTATAATCAAGTTTACGAATTAACATTTCTATATTAAATAGGTAATCAGTCAGCGAAACATATATCTAAAGTTATCTATTATGTTCACATAACAGTACTAATAGTTAAATCTTTTTTCAAAACTATTTCGTATTATAACTAAGACTCAGTTTAAATAAAATTTTCAATAAACACTTATAAAATAAGAGAATTAAAAAAATAATATATAGATTAAAATTTATATATGAGCATCTTATTTTTTAAAAATTTTCTCATTTAACTTTTTAATATACATTTATAAACTTAACTATAAAGTTTTTTTTTTTATAATTTGAGAATTAAGTACTTGTCTCAATTGAAAACTCTTATACACTAAAAGTTAATCCAAATTAGTGGTATAACTTTTTATTTTATATAAAATATAGTTAATACATTTTTTAGATTTTTTTTATTTCTTAAAACTTTTTCATTTCATATATATAATTGTTTCTTTTTCTTATAACTTCTTACATCGTTGATTAAAAAAATTATAAAATAGCTAGCATTATGACTATTTTCTTTCTATGATTGTTGATAAAAAATTAATTTATTATTTCTCAATTAATATCCTTCAAAAGAATAAAACTTGCAATGAAATTATTAATATTTTATTTGAAAATTAGGTAATACATCATTGCATTATAAAATGAAAAATAATGAAATTTCGATGGAAGGGATTATTCGTTTGTCTGTCCTTCCATGAGAAATAAACTCAATTTTATGTATACACTTATCTTAACTGATTCTCTCAGAAAGACTTTGTCTCCTTTTGTACTTTATATATTAGATTGCAATTTTGTATGTATCTCTTTTTGCAAAAAGAAAATAAAAAATAAATACAACTTATCTATTTAATAGTAATTTCTGTGTAAGGAATTTGGCCCTCTATTGCACCCAAAAAACAAAAAATCTGTGTAAAATTCCATTGTAAAAAATTGTGATTTACCAACAACTTATAGTATTGAATTAGTTTTTGTTATTATAATTTTTTAATAAAAATTAAATTATTAATACAAATTTTTTGAGTTTATGCAAACAGTATGATGTATGATATTAATAAATAACTTTATTAGTATTAAATATGAATTTTCGTAAGATAAAAATTATGCTATCAAAGCAAATTTGTTAAGATACTTGATAGTTTTTTGTCTGTAGATGATATTTTTCAAATTCTGTAATGGTTGAGGCTGAGCTGCATTTACATAGCAAATGTAGTTACACAAATTTTTATGATTAAGAAACAAGAGATTACAATAATATGTATCAAAGATGAAAAGCATGCTATAGTCATAATATAGTATTAATTCCTAGATGACAAACAGATAATTAACTGACTAAAAATTAAGTATCGCAGGTTCATTAACTAGATGATGCCCGTGGTTCTCACATAGGAACATTTATGGTATACATTCAGGCTCAAATGATGTAGGTGAACACATCTTATATATATGTGGAGCATGAAAATCAATAATTTGATCCTGGAGAATCCCAACTTTCAGGTATGATCTTGTGAAGTGAACAACATTCATCACGGTTGGATCCATTAGAACAACATCTTGAAGCAAAACGTTCTTGATGTTGATCATGTTCATCCATCACTTCTGCTATCTTCTCCAAAATCTCTCCAGTGGTAGGCCTATTTTCTTGGAAACGTGACACACATACAAGGGCTATATTTAGCAGTGGAAATGCCCATTGATGTTCTTTTTCCTTAACCTCTTTGTCAAATACTTCTCCTGTCCATTCCTCCTTCACCATGGACGTGACCCATCTTGCAAGGTCTATTCTACTAATCTCTATGCTTTTTCCTGTTAGTAGTTCCAAGAGGATCACTCCAAAGCTATACACATCACCCTTTTCTGTTAAGCTCTTTTCAGGAGCTGTATACCCTTGTGAGGAAAAGAGGAAACCTGTATTTGTGTCCAAGAATTTTGATAAACCATGCTCACTTATTAATGGTTCATTGTTGTCATCAAGAAGGATATTTGATAGCTTAAGATTTCCATGTGGAATGGCCTCTTCTCCTTCCAACTTTCGGTATATGAAGGCCAAACCCCGTGCAATGCCACATGCTATATTGAGACGTAGCTTCCATGGGAAATCTTTTCTACCTGCTATATAATCTGCATAAAAAATAAAACAAACCTACTTGTTAAAGAGTGCTAGATACAGTGTTTCTAATTATTTGAAATGATTGTGTTATTATCTTAAAGCCATGGTTAAAGAATCAGCAAATGTTCGAATCATTTAAAATTATTTTGTTATTAATGTGAATTTTATATTTCTTTTGTAGGAAATACTCTCTTTTCTAATATGCAGTGTTTCAGCTAGTATTGTGCAAATGATCGAGGTAAAAGCATATATACACATGCAATATATGATTTAGGAACACAGAGAGAAGGTTACGTGGAGAATTGCAACTGCTGAAAGTTTGTAATTGTTGAAAGAGAAAAGAGAGTGAGAAAACGTGGATGAATCCATATGTTTCAACTATACAATAAAATATTTAGTTACTTAATTGGAATTACAAAATAATTTTCTCTATTACTGTAAGTACATATATTTAATAGTAATATTAACATACCGTTTAATAGATTAAGCAGGCTTCCATTGCTTTGATATTTGTAAATGATGAGTTTTTCCTCAGTGGTAGAACGGTAACCAACAAGGGGGAGGATATTTGGGTGCTTCAAATTACTTATCTTCCTTAACGTTTCACCAAATTCTTCAGAGGATACCTGCAAATTCTTCAATCTTTTGACTGCATAGTTCACATTATTCTCCAGTTTCACCTTGTAAAGGCTGCTGGAAAAGCTTTCACTTCTTAAGTCAGCTGTGGCTCGAAGAAGGTCCTCTAGTGTGAACCTTTCTCGATCTTCAACAAAGAACACAAGTTCTGAATCTCCTTCCTTTTGCTTCACTTCTTGAATCTCATGAGTTGTAGCCTCTTTTATTGGAGACACACGATGATGATGGCCTTTCTCTACCTGTTTCTCTTCATTGAACTGTGATGATTTCCTGATCATAAAGTAAAGGGATGACAAAAGCAATCCAGTGCCCAAAACTAAGGCCAACAAGGTTTCATCTTTCATATACCATGGTTTCTTCCCACTTGGACGATTTGTGTTGTCGCTTGAAGGATCTGAAGTTGGTGGCTCTATTGCACTTGTATCACTTTCCTTTAGCCACTCTTTTGTAGTGTTGCGTTCTGACTTTCTTGGAGTAACATAATAAGTAATAAGGCGCCTATATTCTTGTTTACTTGGGATCTTAATAGAAAAATTATTGTTAGAGATGTCTAAGTTCTTATGATGTTTTAACTTTGTTAAGGCTTTTGGCAACCTCCCACTCAATTGATTGCTACTTACATTTAAATGTGTCAACCTTGTACAGTGTAAAATTGAGTGTGGAATGGTTCCTCTAATGTTATTCTTAGCTAAGCTCACCACTCTAAGTTCTTTTAGCCTGCATAGGGAATCTGCATGGATTATGCCACTAAGGTTCAAGTTTTCAAGCCTTATCTGCACAATATTGGTAGCATTTGAGTTACATCTTATACCATTGAACTTGACCAAGCATGGATGCGATGGTGACTCATTCCATGTAATGTTAAGCACGTTTTGGGGATCAACAGCTCTAATGAAATTGAAGAAAGACTCAGATTCTGATAACTCACCTTTTGTACATACCATGATAAAGAAAAAAGGGATAGCATAGCAAACCAGCCTCCTTAGAAACACAGCAAAATATCTTATGATATGCATTTTTTTTTTGTGATCACACCCTTCCTTGACTTCCTCCCTAATTTGTTGTTAAGGGTACCTCGAATTCATCATGCTAGTCCTGCTAGCTTCTTTATTTGTGCATTGGATAATGACATGTGTCTTCTAGTCTTCTTAGATGTTTTCGTCATGCATAATTGTATTACTTGTTTTAATCGGTGTATTGTGTCTCCATGCAACATAAAAATACGTGTTGTTCCAAAATTGATGAGTCATGTGCTTATCGGGATTAACATCATATATAATTAATCCATGGTATCAGTATAATTATGAACTTGTCATAAAGTTTCTATATATCCTAAAACTGAGTTTTCGGATGAAATCATTTTGCACTTCTAAGAGTGTACACAGTAAAAAGAAGCTAACTCTAGATGGTCATGTAACGAATTAAATATGCCAAAATTTTAATTTATTAGGTGAAAATACATAAATAATTTAAATTTAAAAAATATTTATGAGCATATTAAATGCTGAGAGTCAAAACTCATTTGACACTTTAATTGCCTCTAAATGAGTCTTTAAATGTAGTTTCTAAACTTTTAACTCTAGACAAATACATAAAGAATAAAGTTAGAGTTACAAATTTTACTCCACATTTAGAAAATTTAAGAAGACTGAGTACATTAAACCACATTTTGAACTCTTGTATTTGTTTTGAGGGCTGTGGTCATGAGTATGCGGCTGTGTAATTATATTCAAAAAAGTTAATCATACTTAAAATTTAACATTCTTTCTCTTAATATTTTTCTTCATTTTTTTTTGTTTTACATTACCTAAAAGCCTCTTGCAACAATAATTGTGTATCACTCAATTTTCCCAAATTAAAAAAAAAATTCCTTGAGCTATGTACTTTGAAACCAAAATTTTAAGACTTGAGTTCTTTCTTTATGGTCTGAGTTGTTTGCATGAAGAAATTCATTTCAATTGTTAGATTTAAATAAATTTTATGTAATTTTGATTTGAATTATTTGAATTGACAATTTACTCCATTAATTTAAACATTTTTTCTGTAGTAAGTAAGGATAATGAAATAAAATAAAGTCATTAAAAAAATATCCGTTTTTAACGTGATCCAAATAGAAAAGTTAATATACGCGTCAATTCAAACCAGATTTTCCTCTATAAGTTTTTAATATAATGATTTCTAAATCGAATGGAATAAATACAAACGAAAGTTAATTTAATTAATTCCACATTTTAATATTATCGCACTCTTCAAGTTGAATTTGTAAATCGTAAAAGATACCAAAATCACATTCGCAATAAATTAGTCTTTATAGAAATCAATTTTAATCATTAATAATATAAAAATTTAATTAGTGAATAATATAACGTAATATATCTTTTTAAAATAATAAAATTATATTAATTAGTGTACCTTTTCATCCATCACAGCCTAAATTTTTAAATTGAAAATAAAAATAAAACATTTTATTAATATTTTGGCAAATAGCTGTCACACACCTGATTATATAGAAGAATAGTTGTAGCATTACCATCAGCCATGGCATTAATAGGTAGAAATGAACATATCCAATAATTGAGGATAAACTTTCATTGACTTTCCAAATCCACCCCTCAAACAAATTAATCTTTATTCTAACATGACCTTTACCTACACGATATGAACCACAAATATACTAATATATACTCTTATATATAAAGTTAAAATTGAATATTTTGCCATGCCATAATGCAATTGGAGACCCTCCTTTGAAATTACCCAAAACGTTGTTTAAAGAGCTTGTTTGTCTTGATCTCAAATTTGCTGAAGAAGAAAATGATTCTATGGAGTTTTCTTTGGCATCCATGGGGCATTTCCAAAGTACAAGTTTTGATTCGTCCCATACAAAGAAGAGAATATTGAAAACCAACCAACCAAGCATGATTAAAAAACTTTATAATAAAGTTAATGTCAAAATGGGATATTGCTTTAAGGGGAAAAAAGAGGTGGCACAACCAACGGGTCACCATAATAATTTGCCAACAAAAATGAGTGGGTTTGCACGATGCAAGTTTACATGCCCCTTTATAGTTCTCACCCACTTCTCTTCATCATTAAGCTTAGCTTTATTCCAATAGTCATTGGTCAAATTTTTAAAATATGAACAACTCATCTTTGCTTCTTGTAGTTATCACATGTAGCCTGCCCTCCAAACATGTACTATTTTATAAAATTGCGTTCAAACTTCAAACCCTTTTCTTCATTCTTTCTTTGACCCCAAATCAAATGATATAACCCTTTTCACTCTCACATTGCTTGTCATTGATTCAAGATTTCATTTCCATGATTGAAGGTGCCAATCAAACAGAGGGTTCAATATCACAGATACCCTTCTGATTTTCAAATCAATTCTTATCATTTCAATTTTCAGGATAGTAAATTTAGAGTTTATTTTAACCAATTAATACATATATTATACGTTAAATATAAACGTAGTTATTAAAATCGGATCAAATTGATCGATTCAATCAAATCGGTCAAAATTAGGTATGAATCGATGCTGAAAACTTGTTTGAACCGGTCAGTGCATAAAAATATATCATTTTTATTTATCTGTTTTTTTAATTTTTAAAAAAATATTCTAAAATATTTTTTCGATAAACATAGATTCACAAATGATATTTATATATAAGTATTTAACTGTTTATTTATAATTTTTCATCTTATAAATTATGTAATAAGATCATTTTATGCTATTTTAAAATCTTATTCAAAGTACTCTTTATGATTTAATATTAATTTATAATTTAATATAGTATATAATGTTAACATGTATATAAATATATTATTATTATTATTATTACTAATTCGACTCTAGTTCAATCATAATAAATGTAATAAACCATGAACTGAGTAACTTAATGGATTCATTAACTAATTCAATTTTAAGTAGAATCATGAAATTCTAAAATGTGATAATTACACATTTTGAAAATAAATTTTCCTTTCTATGATTACATTCAAGACATTTTACTCTCTTTATTTTCAAAATATTGTATCTATATTCTATCAAGCATCTCTTGACAGCTAATTGATTGTATTTAATATATAATTATTAAACATTTATTGTCAAATGATCATTCAATAAATGTTTCACAACTCGTCTGGAAAAATTCCTATGTACAGAATGACACCATCCCCACTCAAGCCCTCCCCAGGGCCAGGCTACCCCATCTTTACCATATTATTCAACCCTTATCCAATTTCACAGCTAGCCAAAGGGGAAAAATCAAAACAAGAACATGCTGTAACCTGCCCCAAATTGACATATAAACTTTAACAAGTATATAAATCAAATTAAAAAACCAACACATCAACATATTATGTCACAGTAAGGACAATATTAGTATGAACAAGAACAGTCATCATTTTCGTCATCATCATCAACAATCTCATCAAAAAAAGGATCTTTGAGAAGCTCAGAAGCAGAAGGTCTAGCCCTTGGCTGAGCAAGGCACTTCTCAATGAAGGCCTTCACCTCTGAATCTTTGACCTTGTTCAATGCAGCAGGTCTAACTCCAGAAGACACTTTCTTGTATATCTTTGCAACGTTGTCACATTCACTATAAGGAATCTCTAGTGTCACCATCTCTAACACACACATCCCAAATGAGTATATATCCACCAATTCTGTGTAGTCTTCATCGTATAACTCTGGAGCCATAAATTCTGGTGTACCAAGAATTGAGTGTGCGCAATGATTCTTGCCCACAATTGCCGCCAGACCCAAGTCACCAATCTTAACCTGCAAATCATTGAAAATAAAAGATTACTAATAACACCTTTTTGGTTATTACATAACAGAAAAAATAAGATTACACTGGGTTTTAATTTTAACAGTTGACTAAAACAAAGTTATTGCAGCTCTTGTCTTGATACAAACACCAACAGCTGATAAACACAGTGATAATGATGAGCATGACTAATTTGCCCTATCATTGTTCTTCATGGTAGTAAATTAGTGGTGTAACAAACAGAACAAGAGGAAAAAATAGTCATCAAGCTGTAGTTTGATTCTTTTGCCTAGCTAACCGGAGACACCTTCCATGACTTGCTCAAGTTGGATACTTAGATCTCACACAGAAGGTATCGAGTCAAATGAAATTTAATAAAAAGCATAAGGATTTAAAAAAAAAAAATCAATTTCTTCTTACTCTTTTTTGTAGTTGACTTTCAACTTGTTAATCAAGCAAACATGTAATTGAAAATAAAAATAAAGTTTGAATAAACTGTTTACCTGGCCAATATTCCCATTGACAAACACATTGCTACAATTGAGATCTCTGTGAATGATGCATGGCTCATGAGTATGCAAATAATTCAACCCTTTCAAAATCTGCTTAGACCACTTCTTGAGGGCCTTCATGGAAACATGCTTGTGCTTTTTTCTGTACTCCCTCAAATTCCCACTTGTACAAACCTCTGTGATGAAATTGAGAGTGTTACGTTGCTCATCCCTCCACACACTGTAAAGGGCAATGATGTTTCTGTTGGTCAAGCTTCTGAGCAACCTTACTTCAGAGTAAAGCCTATCCACCATGGCAGGATCATCACAGAAGTTTCTGAGCTTCACTTGGTTCCAAGCCACCTCTATTCCTTCCTCTTGGTCAAATGCACGGTACACTTTTTTCACAGCACCACATCCAAGTAACTCGCTGTATCTACCATATCTCCCAGTTGGGTCGGTTTCGACAAATGGCTCAGAATCTTTGTCAGATGGGTCAGGGTTAACACTCGGCATCTATCACCACACAAACATGAAACACAAATCAGAGGCAGAGCAAAATCAAAATCAAATCATATAAAACCAAATCACAGTGAAAAACTGATTATAGTTTTTTTTATTTGGCTTTTCTGGAAGAACAAATTCAGCATTTCACTAATTTTTTTTTTCTGTGGGAGAAAAAGGAAAAGCACAGTAGCACACAAAAACAACCACCCTTTAAAGTTCAGATGATAAAAATTCAGCTTTCAGATAAAAAAAAAAAAAACAAAAACAAATTGCTATGTGTTGTTGAGGGATATACAGTGTGTGAATGAGAACTTGTATCAAAATCGAAGAGCCAAAGAATGAGAAAAAACGAAAAGCAAAAGGCTTAAAATTTGTGAGTTTTTGACACATTTAATAGGAGAATTGTGATTGAACATAATGCAAAGAGAGCAAGATTAAGATTGAATACCATGAAGAACACCGATTGCTTGACCCTTAAGGACAGAAAACACAAGTTTGCAACTTTCGGCAGAAGAGAGAAGCTGACGAAACTCCTAACTGAAAAAGAAATAAAATGGGACACAGAAAAAGGGGAGGGAGACGTGTTGTTTCTGTCTATTTATACAAATATCATGGAGCAATTTAATTTGGACTATAAAATATCAGCAGTTTTTCTTTTTTTAATCTTTTGCTTTTTCCTTTCTTTTTTCAAATTCAACTTGATCTTAAAATAATAGATAAAAAATTATCAAAGATTATAATATTAATGTATAAATAATATCAAAATTTTAATTTTTTAAAATGGATGTTTTAAGAATATCAGTTAGCAACTTTCCTATTTATTTTATAGTAGTAACATCAATCTATCAATCTATTTACAGTATTTTTACCTTTTTTTTTCTATCTCAAATTTCTTCCCATTAAATTATTCATTGTGGATTTTGTTATTTTTATCTATTTAAGATTGTACCTCAACATTATTATTGTTTTCTTAATTTTAATCATGCGTGTGGCATTGTTGAATTTTGGTTGTCATGGGTGATGCATACACGTTTAGTCAAAATGTCAATGTTTTTTCCAAAGGAGTGGGTAACTGGGTTTGCATCATTATTTGTTACGAACAAAGTCAAATCCTGGAACCTAGGAATTAATCAACGGTAAACAAAGCCGTTATAAACATAGTTTAGTCTCTTTTCCTTTTCTGGGTCAACGCGTGTAGCCGTTGATGGCAGCGCGTCTGCGCGTGAGGGCACTTCCAAACATCGTGTTAAGATGCTTATACCTTTCCAAGTAATAGGGGTTCAGCTTCTTAGTGTTTGCCTTCTAAGAAAACAATAGAAAATGAAAGAAAGAGGGAAAAAGGGCTATGAACGATTTGATCTAGTGACTTGAGAATCACATTCTGTTGTTGTTGACACTGACAGGAATCCAATAAAGAGAATTGCAAAATACTTTTTAGTTCAACGTTAGTTTGATTTCTGAAAATTTTTTAGTCAATTGCATTCATGTTGAAAAATTAAATAAAATAAAGTTATTTTTGTCTTAAAACATAAAACTGAAATCCAATCTAGTAAAATGACTAAATTGATATAAAAAATTAAATTTATCGATTCTTTTTTTTTTCACTAAAATAGTGTTTTATTTAAAAAAATTATTGTTACCTTTGGTTTTTTTTAAAAGTATATAAAAATAATATGTATTAAATATTTTTAATCATATATATATGTATAAAATCACCATGACTCTTCAAATGATTTTTAATTATAATAGAAAAATACAAAAATAGCATTCTTTATTTACACTAATCCTAAATCATAATCTTAATTGAATGTAGAATTAATTAATGAGATAACAATAAAATATAAAAATCAATCTTTAGAGATAATATGGAAAAATGAAATCATAAGAGATGATTTAAATTTTTTTAAGAATTTAGTTTTAGTGTATTATCAATATAAAATCTTTTACCCTATTAACCAATTAGAACAAAAAATACATGTTTGTGACGTTTTCACATTTATTTTTGTGTTAGGTACTTACTTAGCACTTGCATTCATATTGCAAATGTCACATGGTTCGCAGTGTTTCAACAAAATATTATATTGGTGAAGAAGGAAAGCATTCATCTACTATTCTTCTATTTCATTTCTTGCCAACAAATAAACCCAATAATTGTGGCATATATTTTGGGTTCACTCATGTGAAATCATTGCTAACTCAATATATACACATTTCCTTATATTCTAATCATCAATTTAATCCAATATCTTGAAAATAATTATAGTAATTAATTGGTTGCTGACTTTACAACATCCCTAGAACCACCCAAGTGGTAAAATATACTTGATTTTATTGATTTCAAACCTTTAAACTGAATATTAATATTAATATTCTCAAAATAATAAATAATTTATTTCTCAATAAAAGTTTACCAATTTGAGTTTTTGATTCTCAACTTTTAAGGTTTCTCTTTAATTAGTGATACACATTAAATTAACAGTAAAGTTTTTATTAAATTTTAGTTAATAATTAAAAATATATTTAAAAAATTGTGTTGTTAGTACTTCTCTTTCTAAATATATATAATTTACCTTTTATTGTTGCTACTATTTATAAAAAAAAAATATTTAAAGAGAAAATTATGATATACTTCGTAAGAGATGAAAGTTTATATGTTGCTATATATATAGGAGTTGATCTTTTTATACTAGTATAAGTTTAAAAATTCTTATATTCAATTTTAAATTTTTTTATTTAACTTAAATATTATATATATATATATATATATTGATAACTTTCACTTCCATAAATGGATAAATGGACCTTACGGTATCACAATGTAAGAATAATGTGATTATTTCCATTGGCAACTGACCTCATCCATGGGGAATGCCAATTTTGGTTGAGAGTGATTGAGTCACGTATAGCTCTCTCATGCATGCTCATGCGAGTTACTAGCTTGTATCATATGCCCACCCATTTCAACTTGGAAAGCCATGAATCATTTAGATACCATTTACCAAGGAATCAGAAGGAAAATGGATCATTACTTTGAGTTCAGGACTTGGTTTTCAATAATGATTAATGATATTATGTGTACCATTAATTTTAAAGTTTATTCAATTTGTTCTAATATAATATTTATTTATGTTTAATTTGGTGAGGGAATTATTATAAAATCGACACTTATTATTTCTTAAAATTTAAAGTAAAATAAATATAGACCGAATCAATCCTTCTAAAAGACAATAACATAATATTCTATACACATGAACAAAGTTATTTTTTTTAATTCATAAACATCAAGAATTAAATCGTAATATATATTAATTTAGTAAGTAGAATGATTTATATATAAAAAATTAGATTATAAAAAGATTTAGAATTGTTTTATTTTTAATGAGTAAAAAAATTCGAATTTAATACAGAGGAGGAGTTGTTTTTGGTATCCTTTGAGTTTTAAAGTAAATATCTTTATAAATAGAGGAATATATTATATTTTACAAGTAATCTTATTTACAATTTGAGATTTTATCTTTTCCTGAATCTGACTTTGATTATATCTTAATTTTTTGTATAACTATTTTTTTAAATCATACTATATTACATGTAATAAGGAATTATATATAATAAATTTTATTAAAAAATTAATAATTCAATGGATTAATAATGTTAAATATTATAATTTTTAATAAAAAAATATTATTTATTAATTTTCAGTTGTGTGTAATGTTAACATGTTAGAAAAATTACTTTTTTTTTTCCTATTTCTCAAAAGAAAAACCTAAGCATAGTCGCCACTGCCCCTTGGAGGCTCCTCTTCTTCTCTTGTGGAGCTTATCTTATTCTACTCATATTAGTATGGATTATTTTATCATTTAGATGAGATTTTTTTTATCTCTATAATTAATTTGAGTTTATGAGCAATTAGATTCAAATAGCATCTTTAATAAGTGAGAGAAGCCCAAATCTCATAAGAGTTGGGAACCTGTGGCCCAACCCAATATCCCTCTTTTTTATTAATTGGTGGTCCATCTCAAACTTCTTGATCAACTTCTTCTCTTTACCCAAAAAAACAAAAAAGAGTCTGAAGTCTCAATTCCTTGTTCGTTGCAGCCTAATCACAGCACGATTACTATTCATTCTCATTCAATTCAATTCAATTCAATTCTAATTAAGTGTTTAAACACATATTTTCTGAAATACTTAGAAAAAACAGAACAATGGCTACATTGAAGGCTATCTCTGCAGCTCTGAAACTAGTGGAAGCAAAGAAACAGAATCTGAAGGAAGCCTACGATGATATTCAATCTCACTCCTCTCTTCTCTCCTCTTTCTCTCTTTCATGGTCCCACATCGATTCCCACTTCACCTCCATTCAAAATTCCCTCACTCAACGCTTCATCTTCCTTCAATCCCTTGAATCTCAACAACAACCACCCCACAACAACCCATCACCCTCTACCTCCAAATTATCCCATTCAAATCCCAAAGATCCCAACTTTTTTCCATTCCCTAACGACCCACCTTCTTCTTCCGACCCAAATGGAACCTCTACATTGCCCAAAAACCATGCAGAGCAGTTGTGTGCGCTGTGCAAGAACATGGACGGAAAGGGGTTGAGGGATTACGTTGGGGAGCACTTGAGAGACAAGGTTGTGATCAAGGTTGAGCTTAGGAGTGCCTTAAAGTTTGCCTCTGATGCTGCATCCATGGTTCTTGATTCCTTGGATGGTGTTGTGGGTGCAAATGCAGTGAAGGATGATAAGGTACTGCGCAGAATGAAGAAGTGTTGCAGTGTGTTGTTCCAGCAGATGAGGGCTGTGTCTACGTTTGTGAGTTCTAATGTGAGGAAGAAAGCCAAGAGGTTGGGTGCAGAATGGAAGGTAAGCTTGGTGAATGATAATGCTGATGCAGTGGGTGCTATGGCTTTCTTGCATTTTGTGGCGGCTTATGGTTTGCTTTCTGAGTTGACCATGAATGAGCTCGCCACCTTTTCTGCAATGGCTGCTGCTAACGATGAGCTTCCTGAGCTTTACCAGATTATCGGTTTGACAGATAAAGTTCCAGGTTGGAGTGTCCTAGTTGAATTTGATTTGTGGTTTCATTTGAGCTGTTAGGAGGTGGCATTGTGTGACTGTGTTTGTGTTTTTGTTTTATTGCTGTAGCATGTTAATGCTTAAATAGTTTCTGTGACACTACTTTGTTTATGTTACTGTGTTCTTGAAGTTGGTTTTTTTCAAAAAAGTGGTATTAAGGTTGTAATTTGAAATGATGAACGTGTTAGTGGATTTCTAGTGTGAACCTTTTTGGTGGTTTAATTTGCAAGGCATTTTTTTTTTTATGTGTTTTACAGGTCTTATTCAGAAACTTCTTGATAAGGGAAAACATATTCTGGCTGTCTAGTATGTTTTTGAGTTCAATCTTGCTGATAAGATCCCACCGGTTCCAATTTTGAAAGCTCATGTAAATGAATCTCAGAAACTTGCTAGGAGACTTTCCCAGGAAGGAAAGTCACTTGTAAGTATGCTTCCCTTGATTGATTGGCAAGGTACATGGTGTCATTGCCTATGTTTATTTACATATTTTTGCAGAATGAGATCACAGCTAGAGAAATTCATGCACTGAAATCGGTGATTAAGGTTATTGAGAGTCATAATCTTGAATCTGAATATCCACGTGCCAGCCTAGAACAGCGTATAGAGCAATTGATGAAGCAAAAGACAAATGTAAAACAGGCTGTGCCGTCTTTTGCTGCAAAGCCTCCTCAGCATCAGCAGCTACAAAGTGGGATCAAGCGTCCTCGAATATCTGCTCCAGTTGGTCCCGCAGATGTCCTGAATAATGTCACTAGTGCCAGTTCATCCGTACACCACTACCAACAACCTACTTTCCAGTCTCCTGGTTTGTTGCTGGAACATCCAAATCCGTGCATGAACTTGCCACCCATGCCGTATGGCATGATGGCTTCAACCTCAACCATCTTGCCTTATACAGGCCCTTCAACTGGGCCTTATGATCTTGATGGTGTCCCAATGGGTCCCAATGGCAACCTTGGTCAAGGTTGTTCTCTTCCAAATTCATCAGCATTGGGTTATCATGATTGTGTCTCTGCTTATAGTGGTTATGGTTTGCAACATTGTTACCAAACATCTTATCCACAATAGATCAAGAACTTGCACTTTGTTTTCAATTCTGAACTACTGGGTTGGTAACTTGGTATTTTAGTTTCTCCATTACTTTGTTCTTCTGGCTTTGGATTATTAAAAGCATAGCTTGTTTTGTTGATCTCCATGATTATAGGACAAGATTTAGATTTAGTAATGAAGAATTGTCAGAGAATGATTAGTTTCACAATGTTAGTTACTTGAATCATTTTGCATCTACAAGATTCCTTTTAGGCTAATCACGGTCTTCTTTAATTTCTCTGTTTTTGCTCTTCCTGGCCACCTACCTCTGATTGTCTTTGTAGGCATTGAGGCTTAGACAGGTTTCAACGTAAACCATCTCAACTAGAAAATTTCCAGATTTGTATTAGGTGTAGTTTTGCTTGAGAATTATAGAGAATTATTTATTAAACCAAGTCTACATTTGTTTCAGGGGTGATGTTTTAAGGCAATTATGAGTTAATCCTATCAAAATTTATTAATGGGATGGAAAGTATTTAGTGTTATGGCATACCCCAACATCTCTCTCTGGATTTTAATCTTTGTTTGGTTCCCTCTCACTGTAGATAGAAACTCACTTTTCTCATCCATTGATTTCAAGGATTTTAATCCTAAAACATAGGGTAATCTTTCCATTTCTGAAGCTTTGTGTTGATTGTTCTCTTCCATGCGACCATGCACCATCCACATGGTTGGAAAAGTACAAGATATATTCTCTTTTGTTATTCCCCTCTATGAGTTGTCTTTGTTCTCAGATCTTTACTTTTGATCTTGTCATTGGTCAAATATCTTAGGATGTCTCTTACAAATGGGACTGGCATTCAGTACAGTTTCTCATCTCTGGTTTCTCTGTTTTCCTTTGTGTTTTGGCCCATTCATGACTGTAGTGTATGAAATACCAAAAAAGAAAAATGTTGGCTTTATTTACTTCTTTAGCTCATATCCTTTGTGCAGAAAAGAACAGAGAAAAAAATTATTTTTCATTCTTTGAATTTGAAGTTAAATACGTTATTCTTCTGTATATTGAACTAATTCATATCTTGTGATGGTGAAAGGTGTTATTAGGGATTATGGTTGCCACTGTTCTATAATAATCATCTGTAAATGTGAAATATGTCTCATTGTCTATTCCACAATTGATTTGTTGACAATTTGACATCTTTCTGATTATTTTGTATTAATTGTGTGACTAGCAGAACTGGTTCTAATTGGGTAACTTATACCTTAAGTAGATGTAGATGAATTGATGTTAACTATCATCATGTGGTAGTGATATTTGTTCGAGTCATGGTATGTATATCTTGGTCTATAATAGTTGAGGTCTCGTTTTTCTAGAAAGCAGCCCAAATTGCAGTATATTTGGGTTCCCATCAATCACAAACTGTTGAATTACTAAACCTTGGGGAGTTGGGCTAGCCCCCTTGATTTTCAATCCAAGGTGATACAGTGAAAATGTGGGAAAATAAACTCTTGGGCTGTCTATGACTTGGTCTATAGATTTTGTATCATTTAATCACAAAAAAAGAAGTAATTATCCCATTGTGGCTGGTAAGGTGAAGATTAGCTTAATAAATTAGTCTTGTATATGCACACACTGCCACACACACATACTACTAGGGATGTTCTCTTAATAATCATAGCACTAGTTGATTTTGTGTCGTCCAATGATGAAGCTATGATGATGACTACTGACATTTCTCTATGCATGTTTCTGTACGGCATTTTGATCTACAAGTTTCCAATCTGACTATTGGGAAGATATTAGCTCGAGTTTTACTTGTAAACAGTTAATACTTAAAGAAAGATAAGTGTATGAGAGGAATTTGAACTGTTCTACCTATGAAGTGATCTATTACCTATGAAATGATGCGTGTTTGTATTATTATTTGCTGTTGTATAGATTGTTCCTCTCACCTTTTCAGAACACTGCTTATCTTTTTGTATTGATGGTTTGGTAATGTAACATGTAAGAGACCTCTTTTTCTATATGTTTACTCCACTGATGGTTGAGACGTATTCTCAGTGTGTTCTATGAAAATGGATAGTACATGACTTGCCAGCTTTCTTCTTTTGAGTAGTGAGAATTTCATTCAGACTTTTAATTTGGCAGAGAATAGTGGTGAATATATTATAGTTTTTGTTAATAAGACTCTAGTTGTTTTACGAGATTTGTGCAACACCTTTACTTTCATATTTGTTATTTTTATATATATTGGAACAATTGAATACAAAATGATTATATATACTTAACTTCACTGTTTAATTGAGCACACTGTTCAATGTTATTTTGTGAAATAGAAGTTGTTTATTATTTGTGTTCTTGTAAATTTTATGTAAATAATAATGTATTTTGTAAGAAACTCCTTTTCTATCTCGCTACACATTATTGTTTTTATACTTTTCATTGCTGAAAAGGTACGAAAAGTAAAGAATAGAGGCAATTTATTTGTCAACACAAGAACAGACAACAAATATAAGCAATTTATGATTTATCGATTGAAAGATGGGTATCTAATTTTTCACTTTTTGCTTTTAACATCTGATTCTTTGGTTTCTACCAATATTTTATTATTTACCTTTGGTTTTGAATGATGCCAATAAAAGCTTTTCATATATTAAAATTTAATGGAATAAACTATACTATATACAAAGAATGTATTTAAAAATATAAAGCTGGGGTGGACGCGCCTTCACGTCCCTCCTTTGCCTCCGCATCTATGCAACAATTATACTTTCAACTTTCAAGTAGCCTTGTCATTTTCTATCACATTAAGTGTTGATTATGCTGTTGATTATTCATTAGTAACAATTAAGAAAATCGAAAAATACATAGTGCATGGATGACGACAGCTTTATTTTCAACGGCAATATTATATAAATGATATATATTATTAGTTTTATCTTTAGATTTTACACAAGTTCTTTTATAATTTATTAGACTTGGTTGTTTTTTCACCGTCTTCTTAAAATATTATTTATTTACTATGTTCCGTTTCGAGTTAATGAACTATTATTCTTAATTTCTTCTCAAATATTTATATCGTATATTTTAAGATCATCATACTGTCAAAATAACCTCTGAAATTTGAAAATTATATTAAAAATAAATGAATATTTCCTTATTTATAATTTTAAAGAGAGAGATACACTTTTTGCTTACCTAATTTCAGAGTTAGATAAAAATGAGACAACTAAAGCATATATTATCTTAACAGTAGGTTTACTTATTTATTTTCATTTTAACAGTTTTTATAATGAGCTCCCATCCCCTTAAAATCACTGTCAATAAAGAAACACACTTCAATTTATAAGGAGCAATTCAAATAGTAAATTTAAGTTTATCTTCGGGAATTTATAATTATAGAAGTTCAAATGAGAATGGTTTTTCTTATTCATATTTCAAAGACATTGAGAAATAAATATAAAAACATTAAATTGATAAGATGGTGTTTAATATATTTAGGCCTGTTTGGGTCAATTTTAAGAAAAGTATTACAGGAGAAAAAAAAATTAGTATAAAAAATTAATAAAACAAAATTTCTCTCATAAGTTAAAAATCATTTATTCATAATTTTTTTTTTTTGTAATGTTTTATAAACAATGGAGATTCATACTTTAGTTGTATCTAGAAATTTGTCACCAAATAAGCAAAAATGTTAAGAGATAGATAGATAAGGTAGGCGATTTTGGATAGAATGCTTTGATATGCAATTGTATTGGATGTGACATGCTTTAGCATTTTAATATAGTAAAGTTCAATTGGGAGGAAAGAGATTACTGAATAAAAAAATTGTAAAGAAATAGAAAACTAGTCAGAATTTTGCTTTAACTGCATCTCAAGCCGTTAAATGCTTAGATTTGCCGTTGTTTTCCTTTATCTTCACCAAATCATAGGCATAGGTACAACCTTCTTTTTCTTGTGTCTCCACACTTGTAAAAAGTAAAAACACACATCGTATAGAGAAGACAAACTCTAATGAAATGTTTCTATAACTTGTGCTTTTCTAGTCCATATTTCATTTATAACACACCCTATAAATTATAGCAGTGGACCAAAAATTAAGCCTCTACTTATTTTTTAACCCCTTTTAACAAATTGATATGAGATTAGTAAAGAAGATATTTATTAGTGTGAGACTAACATGTTAACTTACTCTTTCGTAGATCTTTACAGCATATCCATGAAAAATTGACAACATTCTCATCATTTATTGTGACTGAAAGTTGAATTAATACCCAAATCAAATTAAGAGGTCAGGTCAACAATTGCCATATTTAGATGCTCTAAGCAACGTAGACAGTGCCCAAAAACCTCAAGCACAACATGATTATGAGAACTAATTCAGGTTTAATCCATCTCCACTTGCTACTTCACTCACTTCTACTTGTTTGATACACAAAAATCCCACATAGGAATTGCCGACGGTGCCTTCCTTGATTTGAAATAGTGATCAAAGTTCAAATAACATAGACAAAACTACACACTGAGGTCATTGCTTGAGACTGACTCTGCTATCCATGGAGTTAAATTATTTGAATCTAACCCTTTGCGGAACCAATTCTGGTTTGGCTTTGGCTTTCAACTTGTAGAAAGTGATTTGCAGTTTTGCACCAATCACTCATATTGATTGTGTATGGTAAAGAGTAACATAGAGTTGGTACTTGGCACACCACTTTTCACTTTCAAATCTTACCTAGCTAAAAAAACACATCATAATTCTTTTTAAAAAATAATTCTTTTAACAAATAGTAAAATAATCATTTTGTTACAAGATCTTTGTCCAATAGTGAATCATTCATTGACAAAATCATCCACCTCTCAGCTTTAAAAAGTCTAAAAGTTAAATCCATACAACCAATTATCTTCTCTCTCCATCCCATCCTCTCATTCCTCTCAAATTTTAAAATTTCTTTTTGTGCCAACAATTCAACTTCAATTATTACCATGAAGATTTTTTTTTAAAATCATGGGATGAGTTATTAAGAAGAAACAAAAAATAAAATAAAATTAAAAAAAAGCTGAGAAAGAGGGGTTTAAAATGACAAGGCAATGACACAGAAGAGAGAGTCACACATGAATGAGTTGTGAGAGAAACAGATCCAACGTTGCAAGTCAACTGAGTCCCACTCTCTCAGCATCTCTGACAGAACCTTCAAAGACACAGAAAAAACACAACACAAAACCAAAGACCCAGAAAACAAAATGCCACTTTGAAATGACCCTTTTGCCCTTCCCTCCTTCCCTACTTCTGCTTTGACTCTCGGCAACGCCACCACCCCACAATGGACGCTGCCGCCAGTAACTCCGGCGAACCCTACTTGAATTCGGAGCTCCGAATCAACGATGATCCCAATCGAACCGGGTCGGGTCAGAATTCGTCTGCTAGGTACAAGCTCATGTCGCCGGCGAAACTTCCGATCTCGAGGTCGCCGTGTATCACGATTCCTCCGGGGCTGAGTCCGACTTCGTTTTTGGAATCCCCTGTTCTTCTTTCAAACATGAAGGTGACTCTTCTCTTCAATTTATTCTTCTTCTTCTCCTTCTTCTTCGTTGGTTCCAATTGAAGTGTTAGGTATAAAATGGGGGTGTTGAGAGGGAGAATTTTTAAATGGGTTTTAATTTTTCTGAGGGAAGATGTAAAATAAGAAGGAAAGTTAAATGCTTTAGTGAATCCATTAGCAGAATGTTGTTGCTTTTTATTTTATGGTTTTTTGGGTCAAAGTTTGTGTTTTTACTTGACCCATCTAAGGTAAAGGTCACTTATTGTGAGTGGCATATCAAAAATTGGTTCTTTTCATTATGATTTTGTTGCAATTTCTCAGCTGCCAAACAGCGCGTATCAGGGTTTGCCTCAAATCTTATCAATTGGGTGATGGAATAATTTGATGACTTAAAATGACTTGATTTGAATGCTGATGAGTGATAAGCTGAAGATGCTGTTTTTGTTTGTGAAAAGAAAAAAAATTCGAAATTCTTATATGCTTATTTAGTCTCGTGGCAAATTGTTTCTGTAAAGCTGGCTCTTTCCTTGTTGGATCCTTCACTTATTAGTAGATTTTGTGTATGGGTCCGTTAGGTTCTGATGCTTGCTCTTATAGAATTGTGTATTGGCTGCTTTATGCTCAATACGGTATTCTGTTGGAATATGACTTTAGCTGAGGATCACTCGACATTCTCCTTTTATTTATTTTAATCTCAGTGTTGTTTTTTCACATAATGAATCTTCTTTTTTGTTGGTGCTTGACCTTTTTGTTTGTTTTTGTTTCAACGGTGCAGCAGTGTGCACGGAAAAGTCTTCTTCTTTTCCTTTACTATTTATATATTTGGAACAAACGAATCAATGCATTGCCAACGATTAGTGGATTGATTTTAGTTGTGTTGCTGTGAGAATAGTATAAGGAATGTCAGAAAGATTGTGGGTCTAGATTTTTTTGGAAGGACTTGATTTTCTAGACGTTAATCGTCTAGATGGTCCTAATTCGTGTAGAATTATGTGCTACTTTCATGTGGGAATGGCTTTTCTAAACTATGACTGATTGTTTATATAACTAACTTCCGCATATTGTAATGTACTCTGCTATCTTTGTCATAAGGAGAAGGACTCCAAATAATCATCTTGCAATATTATCAAGAGGAGGAAATAGAGTACTTTGTTTATGGTCAACAAGAGTGGGCCGTTTGCATTGTTGGGTGATAACTTTTTGCTGCTGTTTGGTTTATTCAGATGATTATGTATATGCTCTCTTTCCATTGTTATTTACTGATTTCATAGGTTGATTGGTTGCTGTTTGGGGCCTTGGGGTTTGCAGGTATTCAGAAACTTGTGGTCATTTTGCCCTTGCCCCCCTCTCTTTTTATTGTTTCTCTGAGAAATTAAAGTTATTTTCTTTATCTTGTGGTGCATTTGAATTCATAATTATTCATTTGATTGAGCAATTGTTGCAAATAGAACGTTGTAGTTTAAATATTATTTGTTCCATGCTTTGCAGGTGGAGCCTTCACCGACTACAGGGTCCCTTCCTAAGCTTCTACAAACAGTACATGGTTCTATGGCTTCTGCTGCATCTGCTACATTTCCTGCAACTACTGCTCGCTTCAATACCAGTAATGTTGATGACAGAAAACCAAGCTTCTTTGAGTTTAAACCATACAATAGATCAAATATGGTAATGAAACTTGATTGATGTTAGTAACACTTCAATAAATGTAACTTTTGGATCACATGGATAGAGCTTGGATTTTTTCTTTCTTTCTCCTGTGATTTTGCATGATTCAAACCTATATTTAATCAGATGTATCATGGGTACTGATCACTTTGTCACAAAAGACAAAATAAATTCCTGAAGTCTTATAATCTTTTAAATAGTTTTATTTTTTGGGTTTTAAAGTGTTAGTCAGGAACAAATTGGGTTGTCATGTTTCATGTTCTGATTAAATATTGTGTGGAGGATCATTATTTGCTTAGCACTTATTCAATGCTATTCACTCATGTTAAGGTTCCTGAAGACTTCAACAGCCATGTAAGTAAACAATCTACTCAAGGTCCAGGAAAATCTCACTCATTTACTTCCTCGCCATTAGTTGAAAGTGAGATAGCAGTTCCCTCTAATGAATTAAGCTTATCATCACCTGTTCAAGTGGTTAGTTCTGGGGCTACTGCTCCTGTTGATGTTGATTTGGATGACATTAACCACAAAGGCAACACAGCTAATGGGCTTCAAGTCTCCTATGTTGAGGTTAGAGGCAGTGGACTTTCAGTTGCAGCTGAGAAAACATCTGATGATGGATACAATTGGCGAAAATATGGGCAAAAACATGTTAAAGGAAGTGAATTTCCACGCAGTTATTACAAATGTACACATCCTAACTGTGAAGTGAAAAAACTTTTTGAACGCTCTCATGATGGTCAAATTACTGAGATAATTTACAAGGGAAAACATGATCATCCTAAACCTCAACCAAGCTGCCGATACTCTGCTGGTAGTGCTATGTCTATTCAAGGAGAGAGATCTGATAGGGCTTCTTCTTTGGCTGGCCGAGATGGTAATACCAGCCAGATGCTTCTCATTGCTTTCATTTTATTATTACTTATTGCAAAGAAATTAAGCTTGCTTTCTTTTTCTTCTAATTCTTGAATTGTAGACAAAGCATCCAATATGCATGGTCAGGTATCTCACCCTGCTGAGCCCAACGGTACTCCAGAGCTGTCACCTGTAGCAACAAATGATGATAGTCCAGAGGGTGCTGGGTTTGTGTCAAACAGGACAAATGATGAGGTTGATGATGACGATCCCTTCTTGAAGCGAAGGTGTGACAATTTAGTTCAAAGCTCTAAATTTTTGCCAGCATGTGTGCTTACTTGCTGATGATGACTTTTCCTTTTTGTTGAGCAGAAAAATGGAACTTGGAAGTGCTGACATTGCTCCAGTAGTTAAACCTATCCGGGAACCACGAGTTGTTGTACAAACTTTAAGCGAGGTTGATATATTGGATGATGGGTACCGCTGGCGTAAGTATGGGCAGAAGGTAGTAAGGGGAAATCCTAACCCAAGGTATGTCCTCACATTGATGAAACTAAGAAACTAAGAAGTTAACATTTTTCCAATTTAACATGTCCTTTTTCAAAGGATTTTTTTGTAGTATTTTTAGAGTGTTTACTCTGGTACGTGCTGTCTAATTGAATTATGGAATAAATTTGATATGATAGTTTATTGAAGCCTATATAATCACTTCTCAGTCATTTTTCTCTACGATCTGCTTTGTTTTATTATGATTTAGCATTGGTGTTAGCTTCATATGAGGTTTTGAGTCTCCAGTTGTAGCTATGTAGCTAACATAGTCCATAAAAAAGAGTCTGTATCTTGCACTTGAGTATATTCAGATATGTACATGCGAAGGATATATATAGTTGCAAAAGAAGGGAGGGAATTTTGCTTATATGCATTGTATTGGTATAAGGCTGTCCTCAATAACAGTAAGCTAGACAAATGAATCTACAAAACACCAACTTTTTGAAGGATTTAACTAAGAAATACAAGGAATACCTACCGATAGATTTGTTTTTCCAGGAACACTAAGATGGGCATGCGAGTGTGGTAGATGGTGTTTCATGGTGCTAAGAGTAGTAATGGAAAGTAGTACGCTAGATGCTGATTGCTAAGCTCATGAAACAATTGCGTAGTAGAATTTCACTTGGATGACTTTGGAAGTTGTTTTAGTTCCGAGGTTTTATCATGTTTGTGGGTATCAAATGTGTGATATTTGCAAAGTTCTACTTGGCAGTAGAAAGTTGATGAGAGAACATGTGGGGATGGAGGATCTTAAAAAAGAACTAGAATGACTAAATTCAAAATAGTTTGGATATAAGTTGAAAATTAAGACAATGATTGATGAAAATTTGCAAAGACATACAGTGGTGAATTAAATTGGCTGTAGGCTGAGATATAGGAAAATATTAATAGATGTTTCTCTAGAAGGAAAGGAGTGAATATTAATTTTGCAAGCCAATACTATGTTGTAAGGAATTTAGGGTAGGGGGATAGGAAAGCAAGTAGATATTCACGCTGACACATGATTACAGGCTTTATGCCCAATTGTCAAAATTGTAGGCCATATGGATGGTGTACTTTTTTTATTTTATTTCCAAGGAAAATAGTACTACTATCATGCTGGTTTTAATGAATGACTGCTGTAGTTGAGCACGGTGTTATAACTAAAGCCTGATATTGATGTCATTTTATGAAGTCATTAAGCACTTAAGCAAGTACTTATAAATTGGGCTATATTTATTTACCTGAGTTAATTTTGTTGTTATAGTTGTCCTAGGAAGTCTCTTACTAAACATTTATATTTTATGGAGGAAATCATTGATGTGGCTGTTACTATTACACTCAAAAAGTTTACTTCTTCTGTTTCCTCTGTAATATTAGTGGATCAGTGCTTTAGGAAGAGCTTGAAAGCATGGAATGAATTCAAATCACATGTATACTTAGACCTTGGTGGATGAGGCTCGTTACATGTTAATGACTTACTGCAGTTAACTAAATACGATACTTAACTGCATATTTCTTGTAAAACTCATTTCTTAATATGCTTATCTTGCAGGAGTTATTATAAATGCACAAATGCTGGTTGCCCCGTTAGAAAGCATGTGGAGAGGGCATCGCATGATCCAAAAGCAGTAATAACGACATACGAAGGTAAACACAACCACGATGTGCCAGCTGCAAGGAATAGCAGCCATGACATGGCAGGACCAGCAGCTGCAGCTGGACAAACACGAATTAAGTTAGAAGAAAGCGATACAATTAGCCTTGACCTCGGCATGGGCATTAGCCCAGCCGCCGAAAACAGATCACACGGGCAAGGGAAAACACTGCACTCTGAATTTGTGAACACTCAAACTCACACCAGCAATTCCAATTTCAAGTTTGTTCATACCACCGCAGCTCCTGTATACTTTGGTGTTCTAAATAACAGCACCAATCCATATGGTTCTAGAGACAATAGGAGTGATGGTTCATCTTTGAACCATTCCTCGTATCCTTGCCCACAGAACATGGGAAGAATACTAATGGGTCCATGAAATTGTTCACATAACATACTAAAATAAAAATTATTAGTAGCATTTTGCTTTCTTTCTTTTTCTTGGCGGGTATAGCTTCAAAGGTAAAAACGTCTCATTTTCTTTTAGAAAATGCAGATAGTTCTTTCATGTTTATATCACTATTTGAGAGCTGCTGTTTAGTAGAATTGGTAGCAGCTCCATGTTGACTTTTTCAGTCTAATTGTTGTTTGTAATTGTATAATTATAATTATATCCAAATTTTTCTGTATAAATATGAAGCTGATATTAAAGCTGCTTCCACAAAACCTTGTAGAAGTGCTTGAATGAAACTAATTACGTAGCATTTAGCCTTTTACCAAAATTTTGCATGTGGAAAACCTGTCTCTAGACCCCACTACTCTCATTGGTAACGTACACATACCCCGTGATTGATGACCTGTTTTGATATAGTGAAATTGGATGGAATGCACGTGATGATACCATCAATTTGTGCTTGTTAAATTTTCTCACACTATTTTGTGCAGATTAGACTTCTACTGCCAGTTTTTTTCACGATTGACACGGGTGTATGGGACGAGAGATAAACATCATATTCTATAAATGATGTAAACTTCAGTTTTTAATAGTTTTAAGTACTGATAACAGTAAAAAGTTGTTACAAGAAACACATTTGTCACATTTCTATAATGTTAATATGATAAAAATATTATTTTTGAATAAAAGTTAATTACTTTTAAATATTTAAGTTTAGTTCTAAGAATTGAAGTTGTCAAATTTCATATTTCATATAGGAAGGCTCACTATTTAATATAGAACTTGAGTATCAGAGATTTTTCTGTGATTCGTGATCATATGGTCTCCACTACTCACATCGTGATATGCATGTATTTTTTTTTTAATAAATTGTAAAATTTTGACACATAATATAATATAAATATTTGGGACCACGTAGTCTCAGGCTACCCAATTATTTTTTCGTGGATACAGAGGATTATGTTTTTATTTCCGTGAATTATCATAAATTTATTTGAATAATCTTTTTATTATTTTATAAACAGTTTTTTTAATGTGTACTTGAAGCACTGTATAAATTTTTATAATTAATAATAATACTAATAAAATATTATTTATTGATTTCTTAACGTGTTCTCAAAACATACATTAAAAAATAGTTTTATAAAAAATAAATTAAATAAAAGTGTATATATTTATTATTTTAAAATCATAATTAATAATTATAAATAAAATTATTTATTATTTAATAATTTTCTTTAATAATTAAAAAAATCATAAATTTAAAAGGGGTAAATGGTAAGAGGATTTACAGTTATTCATGTCTATTTTTGTATGAAAAACTGGGTGAAGCCTTATCCTCACTTTAACAACTGGTAGACTGAAATCCCTCCATTCCTTGTTCTGGGAAGCAAAAAGGACAAGGTCCCTTTCAACCTGTAATTTGGGAAGTGAAGGGGGACCGCTGCATCGGTAATTGTGCTGTGCTCGCTGTGTTCTAGAAAACTGAACAAAAACTAATTACTTTTTTATGTTCTTAGTACATTACACTAACAATTATAATTTTGCCGCTGTGATCCTTTGTTGTCACTTGTCAGGCTGTATTAGTATAGCTTAATGTTTGGAGTGGATTATTTGGACATGCAATTGCATTAAATATCAAGAGTTATAGAACTTTATTGCATATAATCATTTCACTTCATTCAAGTATAATTTACTTTTTAGTAAAAGATATTTGTAATTTAGATTTAAATGCTAACTAAACTAAGTAATTAAATATAACCGGAGTACACTTTTTATACATTAAAACGGGCAAGATAAATGTATATAATATATACATATCCTCACGGGAAGAGAAATTATGAAAAATGAATGGATTGCATCAAACTGTGAGTTTCTGTTATGCGAAATCAACAGAGAATATATTGAAATGCTCTCTCATCGATGGTAAGTGGTAAATTTTTCTTATAGCAACCTTTCCTTAACATGCTGTTAGCACCACCACCATACCCTTTGTTGATTAGCAAAACAAATTGCAGTAAAGTTTAATGAATCCTGCAAGCATAATAGATTTTGATGAAACAATATGTACAACTGAATGTGCTAGCTTGATGGACGAGTACAAATAATTTTAGCACCATTTTGCAATAAATATACACATCTTGCATTTTCTGCATGAAGTTTCTTAGATTTAGGATGAAAACCTTTTATTATAATCCATCAACAATTTCTATACTTGGAATATTGATGGAATTAAATCTAGGATTCCTTTGGCTTTATCTTTGAACCATTATGACATGTTCACGTTGGTGTAGTGCAAGTAAAGTACAACATTCTTAAATTCATAAAATTGTCTTAGCTTAACCAGGACTGAAGAATCATGCAGCCATCGTGCCCCATTTATCCAATGGAGAAGTTTGGATTCTGGGTTGATCCTTCTCCCTAGAGTCAAATGAGCCACCCTTGAGCACAATTTCTTTTATGCTTTATTTATCATGTGAATGAAAAAAGTAATGCTAGTGACATGACACTTTAGACCACGAAAAAGCCACAACAATATTTTCGGTATGATTGTATCTTTTTTTATGTGTGAAGCGACTTTTCAGAACCAATATACAAACAGTTGATATTCTCTTTGTCTTTAGTCTGGTGAATATGGCTTTTTCTTTTTCATTATATGTAAATGTAAGGTTGGTAAAATGGTATATGTAAGGTACATATTTTATGACTGAAGAGGTGTAATTAATCTTGCTTTTGTAAATTTTGATTAGCTATGCATATGATATTGACATTGTAAATAAAGTTAAAATCAAAGAATTGCTGGCCCCAAGCTGACAAATGAGCAATAAATGACCAAGGACAGTCCACCTTTCTCAAGCATTCCAGAGTAGAGATTTCACTCATTTCACGAATAGATCTATCATTTCTAAACTGTGTCACATAATGACAGAAGGAAAACGAAAAAGGTTAAAATATATTGTTGTCCTAATTCACTATATTTAATTCAGAACATGTACAAAAAAAATATTTTAATTTCATTTCATGTTATTCTCCTTGTTTCTTACCATTATAATACATTAAAATTAACACACGACCATAAAATATAAGAACTAAATTGAAAATGATTGTATGTAAAAACAAAATATAAATTTCTTATCCTTTTCCAGAATTTTCAATTTTGTCAAGTTACAGCAAGATTAAAAACATTATATCAATAATGACTATTTTTTCATCGAGCAAGTATAAAATTGGAATGAATTTAGTGAGCGCGCACACACACGTATATATCAAAATATGTGATCTATCCACTTTATTTTTGTCACTCAAATTTGTGTATGTTGCTGGAACACCAAACTGGGTCAAAAAGAAGCCATTCATTTTGTGCTCATATATTTCAATCCGCACACAGAGGAAGAGGAGCAAGAAAGAGATGCATGCCTTGTGGGTCTCCTTGAAGGATAATGTCAAATGTGGAAACAAGCTCACTGATGTAGTAAGGCAGCAACCAAAATGCAACAAAGGAAGTAACTATGTTTCAGAAAAGGAGAAAATGAACAGATATAATAGTCCTCCAATGGAAACTACAACTAGACTGTTAGTTTCAAGACCAAGCAACACACTGGTACGGCTTCATGGTAAGTTCCTTGTTGCTACTATTTGCATGAACACAACATGCTTTTGTGTATTCAAAACTCACAGTATACCATGATGTTTCAAGATAGAGTTTTAAATGTTAGAAGAAAATAGTTAGAGAAGTTAATGCATAATTGCCTAGTTTTAAACTTCCTTTATTCTTTCATTCATTATCTATGCCAGGTATATACTAACTAGTTCATGTCATCATAAAATTTTGGCAGAGCTAAGTGTGGCAGACCCATCAAGGAAAATTGTTGAGATGATCTTTCAGAAAGCCTGGTTGAACAACTCAAAGCCACTAAGGAAGGTTAGAACAGTGCTTAGGGTAAGCTACTCAGCAGAAGTCCTTGAAAGGTTTGAAGAGTACAGGGAAAATGTGAAGAAAAATGCTTGTGAGCAATATCCAAGGCATCCGAGGAGCACAGTAGATGGTAATGAATTGTTGCGGTTCTATGGAACTACAATGAGATGTTTCCAAAGGAAATCTACGAAGAAAGTTTATGATCCCTGTAAAGATCCATCTTGTTGTCTTTGCCAAATAATTCAATTTAATTTACACACACAATATCCCAAGGTTCATTTGAATACAAGTGACAGAGAGTTGAGCAACAGGAGAACTGCCACTGCAAGAGTACATAATGTGAAAAGATCTGCAATAATTTGCCGGATAATTGCTGGAACTGCGGTAAATGAAGTCTATGGTGAAGGGTCTGACTCAAGCGGGTTAGGAGAAATGCAGTTTAGTTTAGAAGAATTTGTTGTAAAAAATCCCAGTTCTATTCTTCCTTGTTTTGTAATAATATTCAGCTGACATGTTTTGTAGGTGTAAATTATCACTATTCTTTTAACATTGTAAGGGGTATCAGTAAATTATAGAATATATAGTCCTGCTTGATTGTACTGGCATTATTGACATAAAATCAAGTGTATTTTTTTAACAATTTATAGAGTAATTTGACTATGAAATGAGTAACTGGGAAAGAAGATAAGGATGATACATAAACTAAAAGCCTGCAGTCACAAAAATGAACTAGTTGTCATTGGATTATCACCTCCAAGCACAAGAGGAAACAAGAGCTTGGTTCATCCAACCAAGACATAGAGCACCATCTCTCTCTTCTAGAGTGTATTGTCCTTGGTAGCTTTGCTGAAGATTTTTTATTGAACCATTAATAAAGGAGCTCAATGGATATGGTGTGAATCCGGCCATTGTGAAACGTGATCTCCACTTCAGCAGAAGCTCATGACGTTCCACTCTTTCTGCCCCTTCACATGCTACTAAGTTAACAACTTCTGTAGCCAAACAATGCTGTTCCACATTAATCCTTTCTTTGTGCTCCCTTGGCAAAGCAACATCAATAGACTCAAAAACGGCCAAGTAGTAATTCATTGTCTCAACAAAACGGGGCAAGAACGGAAGGTGGTTGGTATTTGATTCTTGCTCAACCAGTGTCACCACCTTAGGAGACAAGCACTTTGCCAATCTCACCAACCGGTCACGATGATTCTGACAGTCCACACTTTCATCTGGTACATGGTGCAGCATCATGGCAAAATTCACAGCAATAGCTTCACTAGGTCGAAGTTCAAGGTCTTCAAGTCTCACCTCAGAAGGAGCAACTCCTATAGCATGGAACTCAAAGGGTACATTACATGAATGTGCAAGCCTTGATAACCTTTTTCCAACAATTTCAAGGCCCCCTCCCCTGTAATAAGCTGAATTGGAGTCATCAACACCTGTTATTCTGATCTTTGGCGGTCCTCCAGCTCGGCTAGCAAGGGCTTGGATCAGGCTTACCCACTGGATTCCCTGGTTAATCTGAAAATCAATTATGTGGACTTCACTTTCCTCCTTCACAGCTTCAGCAATTGCTCCATTTGCTGACATGTACCCAAATTTGAGATATGGACAAACTTCATAAAGCAAATGCATGTATGAAAGGAGTTCTTTTCCAGTTGGCTCTTTACATTTTGAGGCTTTGTAGATTGTGCTTCCTGAAGAGGACAGCCTTGCAACAAGAGCTTCCAACATGTAGGCTCCTAATCGTTCAGTTGGGTTGCCTGAAATGGAGACCATTTTACGCAACTCGGACATCAACCATTCAGCTGTCTCCATATCATTTCCAGCCACTGCTTTCGCACATGTAAAAAGCATCTCTTTCAAATCCCCTCTTGATATCACTTCCATCATTTTCTTCCACCTCTCTGCCTCTAACAAAAATGAATCAGATTCTTCTGGAATAACAGTATCATATGTATCCAGAATGTCTGAATCATGTCCCAACATAGCACTTTCAAGCTCTCTTATCTTGTGCCTCAGATCATCCTGGTTATGTGTCAAACAAGATTCATTTTCTAGTGAATCATTAATAATTTCAAGAGAATGCTGCGAACTCAACACGTATGATTTTGACTGTAGCTTTGAGACTGGGCTATTGTTAGGTGAGAAACTGACAGTAGATGGAGAATTTAAGTAAGGGAAACTGTTGTTTGCAGAGGATTCAAGGGTGCAATATTGTTCTAAATTATGAAAAGAAGGGTAGGTTGCATGGCTACTGTTATCAGAGGATGAGTAGTTGTCTGTGTTCTCATTTTGCAAGAAGCAATATGACCCCAGATTTTGCACAGGCTCAATGCTGAAGCTGCCAGAGCCAAAGGACATTTTATGTTTCTGAGACATTTACATTGAAAAGCAGCTGGTTCTTGTTCTTTCTTTTGAGGCAAGCAACCAATTCTTTGAATATGCTCAAACAACACCAGTGTGTTTCTGCTACAAACTCAGTTTTTCTGGTTTCTCTTTTTGTTGAAACTTGGAATTGAAATAACTAATGTTAGTAACTTCTAATTTTAAGCTCTGTGATCGTTCTCCACATTTTAATCTAATTTCTGATGGACACGAGCTGTCTACTCAAAATCTGAGATATTCTGCAGAAAGGGTAACACAACAATTAAAGCAAAAAAAAATAAAAATAAAAATAAAAAAATAACATAAAATAACCAGAGCTATAAAACGAAAAATGCAGTCTATGTCCTGATGGAATAAGAGGCCGTTTCCTCAAATTGATCTTTTTTTTTAGGTTTATGGAATATATTACTCAAATAAAGGCTAGAAACCAATAAGAATAGAGTTGGATAATTTATTGAAGCCATGAGCAGGCATTTTAAAACTTGAAGATACAGCATACTATAGTTTCCAGATTTAGATTAGTATATGCTATTCCAAATAGCTGCACACCAAAGTGTTTGATTTTATCCACACAGGCAGTTGTGTTATTAACCTCTAAACACAACTGCAATTTTATCATTTTACTTGAATTTTTTTTATCACTAATCAATATATGCTTTAGTTTTCAATTTCTACCACTTGATATTGTTTGTGCTTTCCAATTGGATGCAATCAGGAAATGGACATCGGCTAAAACAAATCTAACTAAATGAATTTTGGAACACCTGCTGCTACTAAAGTGAGATCTTTTCTTTTTGTTTTTCTCTTATTCACTAAAGAAGTGTAAAGATTGAGTCGTTCAGAAATGCCTCCCACATGCTATTCTTGGTCTTCAATTCCTTAAAGGTAGACTCGAAAGATCCATTAGTATTCTCTGGAACGCAAAATTATTGAAGCATGTTCTGAAGTTCACCTCAATTACATTTGACCACCACTTTCCTTGCAATAGTGATTTCCAATAAAAAAAAATATTGGAAGTTCAAATATAAAATTATTGATTAAAAAAATGGTAATTTTTCCTGAAAAAAATGACTTCCTATTTCTGATATAATGAACTTTTTCTAATAAAACTTTTCTACTTTTGTATCCTTAACTTCACCTCTCAAGGCTATATTAACAAAATTGTAAAATCATTCAAAGTTCAAACATAGTGAAACACCAAGACACAGAGAGAAATTCTGATCAATCACCATGCTGACTCAATAATACCTAAAGTGATCCACTAAGTTTGCCCCCTAAAAGCTGAAAAAAATAACAAAGAAAGCGAAGACTCATTAAACTAGAAACCAGAAAGAGATGAAACCTGGAAACCATTTCTGCAGTTAAACATGCCATCATTAAAAGTTTCATTAGCAACCCGTTTTCACAAACACAATAACTGCCACTAAAATAAATTATGCTATGATGATAAGTTAAACAAGATGCAACATCTCCTTCAACTTCAACCTAACAAGCAAAGACACTTATATGGTAAAATCACTTCCCTCCCACAACATCCCTACAAACCAAGAAAACAAAAATCAGTGCTATAATTTCAGAAACTCTCACCTCAAATGAAAAGGAAAGTATGATTTGGAACTTTGAAGCCAAAACAATACAAAAGTAATGCACTGACCCACCTTTATTGCAGCTAAAAGTAGAGAGGACTTGGCATGTATATGTATATGCTTATGCTATAGAGACTTTTTGTTTTTGTGGTTTTATTCAAAGTAGGAGGTAAGACCAAATACAAGGTTGTTGATTGCTATATTTTATAGCAAAGCTTACTTAAGCAACCAAAAAGTCTTGTTTTTCTTCTTTTTTGTAATTACTTTGAAGCCACTAAACGCATTCAATCATGTTTAAAATTTATCTCCCAAACTTGTCGTTTTTAAGTTGTTAATCAACTTATTTTTTAAGTTAAATCGTGTCATTTATGCTAATCCCCTTTTAATTTTTTTTCTTTTTTCTAAACTCATCGTTCTTTTCATGCTCTTCTAACATAAAAGATAAACAACATTTAAATATTAATGCGCAACAACTCTAAAGCCGCTATGTTCTATTTGTGTTCCATTGCTCCGAATGCAAACGCACGTGCATGACACGTAAACATTAATTAGAGGATAGAAAATGTTTTTTAACACTAATTTGGGATAAAAAAAAGATATACCTTTAATTTTTTATGTGTATTTTTATATCTACACGTATATATAAAAAAAAAGTAAGAAAAAATGTGCATAATGCTAATTTCTTATATCCAAATAATACTAATATTAAACGGTAGAGAGTAAAATGCAAGCAACGATCCCAATTATAATTCATACATCATTTTTTAAAAAAGTGTTATGATTTAACTTTTAATAAATTAACCTTTTAAACTAAGCTAATGTACTTGTAAAATTAACCTCACGTGTATGTGCAGAACAAAAAATCATGTAGAGATAAATTTTCACCATCGACATCAAGATTTTAATTTAGTTTGGTCATTTACGTCTCTTAAATGGTAAATGCCGTAATGATTCGTTTATTGTTGTTATTTGAAAAGAAAAAAAAAAGGTAATAAAGGGAAAAGGAGTATGTCGGTACAACAATTGTTGTCTTGTTCCTGTTCTAACGTTCCCACACGGTTTCCAACATTTCAAAATACTAACACATGTTTTCTTCTTCTGGAAAAGTGCTTTTAAACACAATTTTGGAATAACAAAATGTTGTAACTTTAATTTTGAAGTATAAATTTGAAATAAGTGTATATATCTATATAAAATTGAATACCATGTCATATATAGTATTAATTTTAAAATGTTCAAATAACAAAACTATTAATTATCGCACAGCTCTTAGATTTTGCATGTGTGCATGATTACAACTGCAACAGTGTGCATGAGCCTAAAAAATTGTGTTATTGACTAAGATTTACTGTAAAGTTCTTTGAATTATATATTTTGTTATATGTGGGAATAGATTTGAAAAAGAAAGTATATGAAAGTATAGAAGTTATATATTGGTCTTTTTTATTGTGAGCACAAATTTGATATATGGTTGTTATTAAATTACTTTTTATCCATACAGTTTATAGGTTAAACAAAGTATAATTTCTTTTATGCTGTTTTGACCCTTATTTTCTTTTTAGCAAATCCAGTGATTGTACAAATTCCACCCAACCCAACCTATGTCTAAATTGGACTTAACCCCTCATGTGTCTCTTTTGGCCTCAACCACTTTTATGTGCAATAACACCTACATGCATAAATGTGTCTTTATACACTTAGAACTACAAACGCAAGTGTTTGTGTTGTCCTTTGAGCGTTGAAAAACCAATTTTTGTAGAAGCTATCTAATTCTGAAAGTTGAGTTAAAAAAAACTCATGTTTTCACTTTTGTTGTTGTGTTTGTTTTCAACCCCAACATGCCGCCCACCTTAATTATTCATGTCATAAATCGAAATATAGGATGACATGAATTTCATGTCAGCCATGCGTCATAGATTTGTAATGCTTACCATTTTTATTTTCCATTTCTTGATAGACAAGAAGTAATTAATGAGGAGAGGAATAAACAGCTTAATGAGTGACTTTGCAACACTAATTCAGAAAAAAATTATATTTATTATATTAAAAATACAACTCATTTTATATTTATTTTTTAAATTATTAGAAGCAATTAATTAAAGTATATTAAATACTCAACAACTTGTTCAGCATCACATTACTCGTGCCCAGGAAATATTAATTGTTCTTTTCCTAAGTTCTGACTTCTGTAACATTTTAAGAAATCTTCAATTTAACTGTTTATCAACTTTCTAGCTGAAGTTTCGGTAGGATGAATTAAGATTCACTGGTTAGAATTTTATGTAAGATATACCAACAAATGAATTGAATCATTTGCAAGGTGATATATAAAGATCCAGCTAAATGTATAGATCAATATAGTAAAAAATTACAGAAAGTAACACTACTACAATACAGTAACAAAAATAGTAGTTGAACTTCACCAAATACCAATAACAATTTAGTTTAACAGATAGAAAATGGGAGGTCTAAAATTGTGGCCGTGTCACCAATTCAAACACCAAGCCAAGGAAACTATTATCTTTATTTGTATTTATCTGTTCACAGAGAAAAGGAAACTATTTTTATTCATCTGTTTTGACAAAAATCAAAAATAATATTAATTATCTTCATATTATTAGAATAGTTTAAGACTAAAAAAAATCAGTAAAGAACAATTAACTTTTATAAAATAAATTTATAAATCTATACAATTTCTTCTCTCTAATAAATAAGTCACCATAGGTACAACAACGTTATGAACACTTTTTGGTGGGTATAGTCTTAACTTGCTGCAAGATGCACGCATAAAGAAGATGGTCATTGGCCATACACACATTCATCATAGTCAATATAAGAAAGTCTTAAAAGCAGGGAAAGTAAACAAAGGATAAGGTTCTCAGATTTGGTTGTAGATTTGTGTAAACTACGTTAGCTAGAGTAGAGTCAAGCAGTAACAATTAATTATAGCAAGAGTCATTACCCGTCTCTCACATCATTAATGACATGACAAAGATATAAAGAATAATATATATACATATATATATATATATATATATATATATATAATTAATTTTTGTTCTAAAGAAAAATCTTGTTACGGCGTTGGTCATACTAAGATTTTATATAATGTCAAAGTCCTTTAATGCACTGGGTTTCTGATAAGAGAAATACTGAAAAAAACTGGTGTTGACTATATTAATTAAAGGTATTAAAAGAGTCAAGTTCAAAATCATAATCTGCTTCCAGAGGCAACGGTTTTTCAACTCTGGATTGGTTTGTAGCTTCAAATAGACGGTGAAACTTGGAGAATTGGGCATGATTGGTGTCAATAATTTTTATACTATCAATGCATTATTACACTACAAATGCAATTTGGGCTTAGTTTTGGATGCTACAAATGCAATTTGGACAGATATTTTATTTTTAAATTTAATATTTATAAAGTAAATAAAAGATTAACATTTTATATTTATGTTAATTTATCATTTATTTCTTTTGTTTCAAAAAACTTATTAAATTAGAGAATAATAAATAAAAATAAAAAACTTAAGTTTCTAATATATTCTAGCAAAAACCAAACATTCAGCAAAATGTTAAATAGTAAAGCATCTATAGATCTATTTGGGTTCTTGGAGCATTGGTTATTAAAAAGAGACACTGGACGATCTTTAACAATGATTATTCGTTATTATGGAAAAAGTGAATTTGGATTCTAAACAGTCGTCTGTGTCTTCTGCAGAAATCTTTACTAATAATTTTGCATCTTACAGTCATAAAAGATTATAATATTTTTAGTTTAATTTTATATTTTTTTATATACTACTTCTTTTGTGGGACACGTTGGACGGCCGCAGAGGATCCAAAACCGAAGAAAGCATGCAAAATTTTATTGATTTCACTTGCATTCATAGGAAATGGATTAAAATTTCTTTTATTCATCTCAACCAATGGATCGATAGTCTTAAAATGGAAAATTGGGGAAGCTACCCTTTTGCTAAATTTCCAAGTATTGGCATTAAATATTTGCTCTGTATATCTTAAATGTATTTATTGGGTAGCTAGCATTACATCCTATAATAATAAAAATTAAAGTCAATTCAATTAGAATCTTAGATAAAGGAATAATTAATAATAATAAAAAAAATAGCTAGAATTCTAATGCGTTCAGAATAAATAAATCAATTTTCTATTCTACCACTTACACAAAACAGCCCAAATATTATTTAAAACAAAATCCAATATTGATATCAAGCTAGATTTTGTTTGATTTTAGTAAAACAGAGTTCTCATTCTTTTCATTCATCATTAGTGTATACAATTTTTCTAGGTGTGTTTTAATAAGGTAACAAATACTATCTCTCTCAAGAAATAACATTGATCTTTCCAATAAATTTTATAGTTGGTGATAATTGCTAATAAAGTTGTGTATAATGGAGAATGTTCCCACAAACATAGAATCTGTGCTATTATAAAGTTGTCATCGTTGAAGTATGTTTGTTTTGTACAATGCTGTAGAAATTAACCGGAAAAGAATCTTTTCCAGGACTGCCAAGGAAGAAACCCACCTGCAATAGATAGCATTTGAAGGACTATAAGGTAATCAACTTTACATAATAAAAAATTACATCAAGAAAACATAAATGAGAAGAACAATAGAGAAACAACAAAGCAATGAGAAGCAACAAGTCATTGATACTTTCAGAATAATTACTGCAGTAATAGAATTACTAAAGAAATGCAAGAATTGACCATCATATCATTTGTCACAGTTCACAGCCCAAATGACAGGAACTATGAAGAGGATGATCTATGAAAAATATCTCCATTTTAACATCAAAAGACTCAAGAGGTTGACAATAGATATTTGAACTAGCTTGGGAATGCAGGGATTTCTACAACTCCTAGGTATTCAATTTACATCCAAATAATTTCTTAATTTCATACCAAACATTAGATTTTAAATTTACATACATTCAAGTTGCTGAGTTTGATGTTAATCACTGACACATCTAAATTCCTCAAAAATCCTATAAATCAGGAATATTTCAGAGGCATACAATGACATTCACCCGGCTGCATACTTAATTGCTTAAATATAGTACCTAATGACATGAGAAACATACAAGAGACACTTACATACATAATACGTTTGAAGTTTTAACAATAAAGGGTGAACAAAGGTATGAAAATGATTAGAAGCAATCATACCACATTCTGGGCAACGGAAATACTCCTTTTCCCTTAAAACAAGCCCTGACCCTCCACACTTCTCACACCTTCTTTGAGCTATCTGTACCAACATGCAACAGCGAAGCATAAGATTCATAATTTATGCACAAGCACCTCCAAGCCTAACTGAACCAACTAAAATAATTACTTACAATTCTCTTGTTAAATTCAATTCCTGCCACCACAAAAGGTGTAACCCCAGCTACAAAATTCAAAACAACAAACACACACAAAATCAAACACAACACACCTTTCTCTTTGTGAACAAATAAACCTTGAATTAACCACCAAAGGGTGTGAGAGTTAAGAAGGTACCTATAGCACCAACCACAATTTGCCAGGTAACTTCCACTGGAACCGGATCAAGCACCGAGGTTACATCATCAACATTCACAGCACCCACCCTTGTTCTTCTGCTTGCATTCTTTACCCAAAGATCACAACTTTTTCTGTGAATTATTGGACAATTTCGTGTAACTGTGCTCCTAGTTTTCACACTCGTAAATGAAAGCATAGACAAAGCAGACATTGCTGTTTCCATGATCGTAACTGCCAAAACCGTTTCAGTTTCCACACCCAAATAACAGTTATAAATAATGCCACGTGGGCTATTTTAGCCCTCGGGCTCGCGCCACCCACACATTACTTTGTGTGACTCATGTTCCAGATATGGTTGTAAAAGAAAACGACACCGTTTCAATGGTGGGAATTGGGCCCCACGGGCTTACTCGTAGAAAAAAGGAAGATAAACCTCAGTGTGCTAACATAACAGTGCTTAGATTCTGGTTTAGGGTTTTGGAGTATATTCTTTTCTGTTTCTCTCTCTTCAGCAATGGCTGCTATTATATCTCTCTATCCTTATAATCCTATGTTACACATTACAATTCCTTCGTGTTCTACTTCTCCAATTCGAAACTTGGAGAGATTTCAATTGGGTTCCAGAAGGTGGAAGAATTTGGTGGAGCTTGCAGCACATTCCAATCCGAAGATTCTCAAGACTAACCGAAGGTCAAGGTATGGACAAGCCTTCTCACTGTATGACAGTGATGAAGACGATGAAGAAATGGACGATGATGATGACGAAGACGATGATGTTTGCCTTTCTGATGTGAGTTTTGTTTTGTGATTCAATTGTGCGTTAATTCATCTGGTGAATTTCTAAGTTATTGAAAAAGTGAAGTGGGTCATTGATTATGCATTTTAAAGGTTTGAACTTTTTTATTTTCCCCAAATATATTTGCATTGACGAAAAAAGGGATGTAGTAGTGTTCAGCGTTGCTGGAATTTTGGGAAGAAAGTGTTAAATTTCAATCATGTGCATAATGCATTTCCTGTTTGAAAATTCGGTTGTGTTTATTTTCTGCTTGGATTGTTGATGGTTAAGCTCTGCACTTTGGACAGCATAATTGAACAACATGATGTTTAAATTTTAATTATATGTTGATATTTGATTTTTTTTTTTTATTGTTTATTATTGATTGTTTTTTCCATTGTGGAACATGTGCCCAGGATGAATTTGCTGAGCCTGCTGACTTTGATGTTAATAACAAGAGATTTAAGTCACAGACAATTAAAGGTGTGCTTGAAAGAGTTCTGTTGATTTGTTTTAAGAGAAAAGATAAAATATTCATGATCTTGTTTGTGCTTGTGCAGGAAAAGATACACAACAGGAAAGGGATTGGGGTGTGAGATCTTATAACAATGAACAAAGAACTGCAATGACCAAAAGTGAGCGAGTGGCATCGTTACAACGAAATGACAGTAGAAAGGTACCAAATGGTGATAACGTAAGCTGTTAAGTGTCAAATTGAGCCATTGGATGTACCTGTGGTGTCCAGGAACCTTACTTTCTTTGTCTTTCTTTTTTTTGAATTGCAGTTTAGTAGAAATTTAAAGGAGGAAAAGTATCCACAGTTGTCCGAAGAGATTGATTTGGATGATAAATGGTTACCGCTTCTTGATTATTTAAGCACCTTTGGAATTAAGGAATCACACTTTATCCAAATGTATGAGAGGCACATGCAATCACTTCAAATTAATGTTTGTTCTGCACAGGAAAGATTGGAATACTTATTGAGTGTTGGTGTTAAACATAGAGATGTAAGAAGAATTCTTTTGAGGCAGCCACATATTCTTGAGTATACAGTGGAGAACAATTTGAAGTCTCATGTTGCGTTCTTGAGGGGCCTGGGCATACCTAATTCCAGAATAGGGCAAATCATTACAACTACTCCATCCCTATTTTCTTATAGTGTCGAGAATTCATTAAAACCAACTGTAAGATATTTAGTTGAGGAAGTCGGCATCAAGGAAAAAGATTTGGGTAAAGTCATTCAGCTTAGTCCCCAAATTCTTGTGCAGCGAATTGACATTTCATGGAATACTCGATATATGTTTCTTACGAAAGAGTTGGGTGCACCCAGAGATAGCATTGTGAAGATGGTGACAAAACATCCCCAGCTTCTCCATTACAGCATAGATGATGGATTACTTCCAAGAATAAAATTCCTAAGGAGCATAGGAATGAAAAATTCAGACATCGTGAAAGTCTTGACTAGCCTTACACAGGTCATTTTGCATGTATTTTCCTCATTATTAATTTATGGTGATTATCCTGTTTTACTGTTCCAAATTTCCATTTTATGCTGTTTTGTAGGATACCCTAAAATTGCACACATAGAACAGGGAAAATAACATGTTATATGATATTATCATTGTTACAATCTTTTGAATCGATCCTTCAAATAATGTGAAGAATAGTATGTATCTCTTGTTAATGTTTTCTACTGTACCTGCAGGTGCTATCTCTGTCCTTGGAGGAGAATCTAAAACCCAAGTATTTGTACTTGGTAAATGAACTTAACAATGAGGTGCAATCCTTGACCAAATACCCAATGTATCTTAGCTTGTCTTTGGACCAGAGAATTCGTCCTCGTCATAGGTTCTTGGTTTCCCTAAAGAAAGCTCCAAAAGGGCCATTTCCACTTGGATCTCTCGTTCCAACTGATGAATCTTTTTGTCAACAGTGGGCTGGAACTAGTTTAGATGCGTATTTGGCATTCCGCCAGAGATTATTACTTAAAAAGTTTGCTGAGAAATATGAAAGAAAAATGTGACAGATCAGAATCAAGTTTGTATCAGTCAACCTGCATGAGTACCAGAAGATGAAAATCTGTTGTAATATTATTGCCATGCAACATGTTGCTAAAAAATGTTCTTGGTCAGCATTGTGGCTAAAGCACAATCACTAGAGTTTAATCAGCGACTCGGCATACTATTTGTACATGATGTCACGACACACTCAAGTATTGGGTCTTATCCCCGCAGAAGTTGCTCAACTACTTTTGCAAAATTTAGTATTGCTGTTTGTTTTGTAGTCAAATAGTAGTTTACCAAGTGCTTGTGACCTGAAAGGAAGAACATATCACAGTGCGGTTTGTCACCATAAGGTGAGTTTATTTGATAATTAAGAATTAATGCATTCGATATTTTGTTTTTAATCCTAAGTCCTTAACTTTATGCAGGTTGAGGGCAATTTTGCAAACTTATATTGGTATAAATTGAAGAATGAAGCTGTATCAAATCTAAGATCCAGCTTATAGATTCTGTCAATACTACTTTGTTGTTTCCATTTTACCTTCAATGATGTGTGTGTATGTGTATTTATTTTTCTGCTTTCATTCCTTTGTATATCTGAAATCAATAGGACTTATTTTGTTACCCTTGTCACCATCCCGACAAGTATATGCGATTCTTTTGTTACCCTGCGGCCATTTGTATCACATGTATGAGTTGAAATGACATTTTGATTCTCGTCAAGCACTATTGAATTCTAACTTCTGGATATGATTCTTCATTTGGTGGGGGAGGAGTTATTTGCTTAGTTTATGAGATGTAATACAGTTTTAGTTGGTGTAATATATCACTTTCATCTTTCACTCATGTATTCTCAGAAAAAAAAAAATTTCCCTCAAGTATTGGTAGATTCACCTGAGAAAAAGATAATTTTTTTTATTGTGATAAAGACAAAGATGCAAGAGACGGGTTAAAATCAATGTTCTTGTATAAAACATGGAATTAGTCAGTCATTCTTTATTTGTAGGTACTCATTCAAATAGATTTTTATCCAATAATTAATAAATCAAAAGTTGTTGCTGGCTCTAAAAACTTTTTTGTCGTGTTGATTTGCAATGGAATAGACGAGTGAACTTACTATATTTAGGGTGTGTTTGAATTGAGTAAAATCTACTGAAACCTGTATTAACAATTTCAATACTACAATATAACTTCCATGTTGAAACATGGTTTAACATGGTTTTAGTGAATTTTCAAATATACATTTAACGGTTGTTTCCTCCTCAATCACATAAGTGTTTTTTGTGTTATTTTTATATTTTGTGCTTGTGATATTTTTGCATCCTTTGACCATCTTGTTTCAAAGACATTTGGACACAGTATCTTCTCTAACATGATGGGTTCCTAGTGTGTGATATTTGTGGTTATCATAAAGCAAATGACATTTATTGAATGACAAAATTTCTAGAATGAAATGAGTATAACCATTAGAAAGGTTGAGCTCTTTCACCTCAAAGAAAGATCAACGCGTCCAATCCTTTTCCAAAAACAGATATTGAAATGGCTAAGAAGATTTCCTTTCAAGATAATGAAACATTATCTTGGAAAATCTCTTTCATAACATCTTCACTTTCACTATCATTCGGATTTCCGTTCATAGATTTTATTAGCCTTTTTATATTTTATTTTCTCGTGGTGACTCATTTCATTTGTTTTTCTTAAGTGTACTCAGTACTCAGCAACTTGTTCATTAGCCTGTAGTCATGTCATATATTTTGACAAGATTGAGACTAGATTATGAGTCTCTCTTTTGCCTCCACTATAAAAAGAGTTTATCAGCTGGAAAAAGATAGTCTTAAATAACAATTCTTACTATCATTTCTTTGTTGTTTTTTTCATCAAAATTAATAATATTAATTATTATTATTATTATTATTTCTTTCTTTCTCTCTTTTTTTCCGTCAAAATCAGTGATGCATATTGGCCTTTGTGAAATTACATTCACGAAACTCACGTGCAGCAAACTTTTCCTTGAGTTGAGTAGTTTTGTTTGTGACTAACATTATCCTTGTCATATATCATCCACTCACAATTTGATAAGGTTGAGTCTCATGGGCTATATTTCATGGTATCTTTGTGCAAGCAGACGAAGGTTTGAAGTCCTGTTGAAAAAATCGTTGAAATCTGTGGTAGTGAAGTCCACCACATGCAGAAAAGAATAATGGTACTTGTACAAACTTACATAAATACTCATATTCTCACTAAAGCTATCTTGGTCTTCTTGTAACATGTTTCCAGTAGCCTAAATTATGTAAACTTCAAAATTATTTGATAAAAAATTGAACTGAGAAATTGATGGAGCCATAGGCAAGTTAAAACAATCAATCATTATCGTTAACAACTGATAATCTATTTGTTTTTAGTTTAGAAGGGAAGTGATATGTGAAAAGAAAGTGGTTTAAAGTGCAAAACATGATGAAAATTCAACCTGGAAAACGATAATTGAATCAAGAATTTTTGAATTTTTTGGCACAACTTAAACAAATACATTTATTTTTAATTTATTAACTTTACTTGTTCTAAGTTGGCTCTTCTTTTCTTATCAAGATTAAATTAACTACAATATTAAGTTTATAATAACCAATATTTATTCATTTTAACTGGAAACTTTTTTTTTACTATTATTACTTTGTGGGTAGAGTCAAGTCTCCATTATCATCTTGCATGGATGTCACTTTCCAATAATGAATGCATTGACATATGTCTTTGTCAATTTTGGCCCGCCTCATTCAATTTCCATTGGAACTATTTGATCCAAACAACGTTGTTTGGGACAATTTTTCCTCAATATCATATATGCTATACATGCAAAACATATCTACCAAAAATGTAATAAAGTAGATGAACGAAACAAAAATTAAGCAAAATAAAGAGAAACAAAACAACATTTGACTCGGCAAAAACAATAATAGTAAGGAGTTTGGTTTCAAATTGCATTTTTTGTTTTTATTTTATATTTTCACTTTTAGTTATAAAATTACTATTTTATTTTCATTCTATTGTCTATTTTCAAATGTGTACAAGAAACAATAAAAAAAATAGAAAAAAGCTAGGCCTTGTTTGTTTCCATTTTATGTTTTTATTTTCAAAAACTATATTTTAAAACAATTTTAGAAAACCATTTTTAAAAAGAAAATGAAAATAAAATTTATGTTAACAAACAAATTTTATTTTATTTCATTTTACTTTACTTTTAAAAAGAAAAAAATATTTTTAAAAATAGAAAACAAACAAATGTACATGTTTTTCTTCTTGGGTAAAGAAGAAAAGAAAAAAAAAACATAAAAGACAATTTACAAAAGATATAAACTGTCTAAAACTAGAAATCTAAATATTGTATCTAGAAGGTTTTTGTATACATCTTTGAAAACAACAACAAAATTAAAATAAAATAATTTTATAATTAAAAATAAAAACAAAAATGAGAACAAAAAACATTTTTTTAAAATTGAACATCTCCTAATTTTACCCTTTTGGGTAGCACTGAAGCATTTCCAAATAAAATATTTTGATTTCTAACCTCAAACAACTTCATGCATGTTAAGGACAATGACAAACATAAACCATTATTGAAGTTGTTCATAGGGTGTGAATTAGTTCCTCGGTCCATAGCCACATATTCTAAGGGGTTCTTCAATACTGAAAACTGTGGACTATATACCTAATTCTTTTCATCCACTAAGGACTTGATAAAACTCAGAAAACTATATGATCTAAAAATAAAACCTTTTGCACCTTTGTGTAATTAAAAACTATAACCTTCTTACATGTATCATTAAACTTATGTTAATGCCACCAATTCCAATTTTGAAGAGGAAATTCTTCCTATGTCTCTTCTTCAGCATGTATGTACTTGCCGGAATTGACTCATGTGCCGAAACTAGTTGAGAAATAGTTCAATAGTACTGTATAATGTATCAAAAGAAAGCTTCTATCTCTGGCCTGGATCTGTTTGAACTCTATATTTCTTCTATGTGTAGTATCTGAAACTATGTCTGTCTACGTCCCGCTTTATATTGGAAATGCAAATGGACTGTCTGGGAGATTGAGTGCTTGATTGCTGGATAAAATTAAAATAAATAAGTAACATCATCATCCATAGTAAATCAAATATTTTAGGATATGTGTAGCAGCCAAACTGCATGTTTGGAAACAAATAATGTCATCAACAAAGAACTTGTAATGGTATGATTGCTGAGATCATCAAAGAAAATTATGTTTTACAAATCCTTTAGCAGATAACATGGAATTATTGTTTATGGACCACGGTATAGTTGATATATCAAAAAGGTAGAAAATAGAAAATCCATACCAAGAGAATATAATGTATAGACTTAATTGCATTTTTTTGTCAATCTGTTACATCCAATGTGTGATTTCAGTCTCAATATTTTTTTTATTCGAATTAGTCCCTCAAATTTTGAATTATTACAATCAAATCCTTCTGCCAATTCTATTCACATTAAACCATCAAATCCTTATTTACTAACAACTAGAGATTTAAGGTGAATTTAGGGTACCAAATGATTCAAAAGATACAAAAGTAAAAAAAATAATTATGAAATTTGAAAGAGATTTTATATTGTGCAACGTTAAGGTTCGGTTCATAGAGGGGAACTTGTTTAAAAAAGGTTTCAAAGAGGGGGAAATTTGGGATCTATTAATTTTGGGTGAAATTGATATTTTAATTGGTGGGTTTTCAAATAAAAAGATGTAAAATGGTTTAACGGGTTTAGTTCACAGAGATTTGGAGAGAAAATATAAGAATCTGAGAGTTTTAGATAGGAAAAAAAAATACTAATAGAAAGAGTTTATTGCAAAAATTAAAATATTGAGGGACTAAGTTCAAGCATAAAATTATTAGGAGACCAGAATCGCACGTCAATCATAGTTGAGACACCAAAAATACAACTAAGCCTAACTGTACACAAGACAGGTGAGCAGTAGATTGGGGTAGGGAAGAGAAATCTATTAGAAATTGATGCATACCTGTTCTCATCAGAGAAATTGGTGTCTAATAGTCTAGGTTTGTCATCCTGTAGATAACTGAAAGATTCTTCTGCTTGCTGGAAATTGAAATGATCTGCAAGAAAAATTCTTTCAATCAATATAACATAGAAGGAGAGATCGAAAACATTGAAACTTAAAAAGAAAAAATGTAATATATATGCATACACACCATCTAAAACTCTTGGCTCATCCACAGAGAAGCCAAAACGAGGTGAACTGGTGAAAGGTTTTTGAGCAAACTGAAGCTGTGCAAGCTGTCTTCTCTGAATTCGCAGGGCTTGATCCTGCTCTTCAATCAGCTGTCTCCTTATGGATCTATGGTTCCCACAACTTCTCAGAACTACATAAATTTCACATTAGATTGTACAAATGCATCTCTCACAATAGGAAACAGAAATAATGCAGAACATAAGCATATCACAAAAATAATTAAAAACAGCTAAATAAATTGGATGAGAAAATCAATCACAGAGGCGAGCTATATGTGTTCTAAATTGTTAACCATGAGCAATAATTTAGGTTCCAAACTTGATAGATAACATCATACTTGAGTTATGTTCAAAGTCCGTATCTAAATAGTGCGGTGAACAAATATGGAGCTCAGTTCTATCGGTGCACTTCCTGCATCCAAATTAAAATGTACATGAAAATTATTATGGGAAAAAAATTAAAGGCATTAACAAAATATAATAGAATCTTACTAAAAGGTATATGAGTAGCATCATAGCATGCAAGATTTCTTAAGATGAAAATACTGATTCAAATTACTGCACCTGTCCATCTTACCTTTGCATTTAAAGAATATAGAGAGAGAACAGACTAGTTTTGAAACTTCAAATAGTGTATTTGGCTTCTTTAAAGTGAGGAGGTGTGTAAAGTAAGAAATCAAGGTTGTATCCACCCTTGATTTGAAATAGGTAAAGTTTATGAGGTACTTTAATTCAAATCAAGGTGGATACACCCTTACCTTCTCAATTTAGAGGAAATAAATCCCAAAGAACTTTACACTAACCATAACTTGACACATTTTGGAATTAAATTTTGCATCTTGCATAGAGGACTCGGATGCTAAGCCCTAAAATTTGTATATCAGATCAGTATTAGTATAATTAGGAGCAATGGCTGGACAGGAAGGAAGAGCCAAGAACCAGAGAATCAAACACCAAGGAATAATTTTTCTTCAATTGTCAATGTTGATGACAATTTTGCAGTCATTTCAAACTTAAGTATAAGCTTTCATTTTGCAACATGAACTAAAACTAAAAGCAATAACGCATACATAATAAATGAGAACTTGAAGCCATAAAACTAAAAGAACTTCCAATCAGAAAAATAAATCAAAATAAATGGACAAGGAATTCACCTTTCATTAACCTTTCCTTTCTCCCGGTATGGTTTCACAAGCACCCGAGACCCATGAACATAATGGGGATTCCCCTTGCCCAAAATAGTTTTGACAGTTTCTGGATCAACAAATGTCACAAATCCAAACATCCTTTTGGACTGGTTTGGAATCCTAACATCTTCAACTTCCCCAAATGTGCTACAAAGGAAATATGTAAAAGCAATTCATTAACACCAACAATTAACTGTGAAGAAGAGTATACATGCAGTTTAACACTAAAAAAAAGTAATATACTTGAAGTAATCTGACACATCATCCTCTGTGAAAGTGCTTTCAGCAGGAAATGTCAAATATATTTGTCGTGATGCACTTATATGTCGAGCAAACTCTCCCCTTTGCAGATATGTGGGAGCCGCTGCATCTTCGGCCAGCACCACAGCATGCTGCCCATGAGGTCTGTAAATTAACCATGAGAAAAGTCAAATTAGAGTAAGAAACATCAAACATTCAATACATAAGAATGCATGCAAAGTGATCATAAGACTTCACCTGTCTATTAGCCGAATACTATTTTTCAGTCGAGCAAGAAGCTTTGTCAAACTATAGCCAGACTTACCATGTCTCTGACTCTCAGTTAAATAACCATCTGCTTGCAGGACCTTTTTATATTTATCATAGTATGCCATTGGCAGGGAAGCAATTGACATTGGAGTGCTTCTTGATTTTAGGAGCTCAATAATTTCCAACTCTAACTGTGCTAGTGAACCTGGAGAAACCACCTGGTCCTCACTAATAGCATCATTTCCATACATCTGAGATAAGCACTCAGGAACTTGCCCATGATAGAATTTACAGTTTGCTCCATGCTTACAGAATCCTTTGTTGAAATAGTGACAGACCTTGAATGGAAATTCAGAAAACCTTCTACCAGATTTTCCACTCAAATTGGCTGCAGAAGCATCTAAGCCATAGAAATCATTGACAATCCCTCCAGTTCCAGTATTAACAGGATCCATATGATTCTCCAAACCGAACAACTGTGTCTGCTTCTGAAGTTCTGCTATAGAATCCAAGTAATTAATTCCCATAAAGTCTGGATTGGTATTGGTAGCAGAGTGAGGATCCCAATAGGGAGAGGGAACCTGGAAGCTTGGTGGTGAAGTAGGAGTCCTAGGGGAGATTACTGATAAATGGCTTAAACCTTGTGGAGGGTTGACAGTGGGTGAAATTGAGAGCATAGCTGGTGTAGCAGCCAACCTTTGAAGATCATTTTTGGCCTTAAATGCCACTTCACGGATGAAATGATCGGGGCATGAAGCCAATTTAGCCATTTCTTGCTCCCCATTGTCTTGCAAAAGGAGGTAGCCAATTATCTTTGTAGCATGCTCCGGCTCAATTTTCTGAATTTTATCAAAGACAATCCTTGTGTAGTCTGAAATATCCATAGCTCTTATCTTGTCACTGCAAGAAAATCCCAACGCTATAAACAAAACTTAGTGAATACTGCTCAGAAAACAAGCATAAAGAAACTCGAAGCCGCGTCACAAAGATTCAGCACAAAACATTTAGGGTGAAAGAAACCAAATTCCTAATCTTAAAATCAAATTGCACACCTAATATACCATAACAATTGAATAGTAAAACAAAATAAAACAAAAAACTACTAGTTCTGAGCAAGGGATTCAACAAACCCAAAGAGAAACAAAAGAAAGCGATGTTGTTGAACAAAAGACACCCTATTCCATGAATTGAGTTATAAAAAACCTAACAAGACACAACGAGTGAAAGATTGTTGGAAGAGAAAAACACTCCAGTGTAAACTATATTTCCCTCAATTTTCTCTGTCATCACCCAAAAAGGAAACATTTTTAATGCATAGCATAAATGGGCCTCGCTCCTCATGTGGAAATGAGCACGAAACACGCTCAGAAATACCAACATTCGCTAATCACATGCACCAAAAATTCAAAAAACATCAACAGAAAACAAACCAGCATTTGCAAACTATAAACCAGCACTGACATTTCAAAATTTGAGTCTAAAAAAGCTTCTCTTTTTTTTTCTTTTTTTTTTCTTGCAAAATAGAGAAAAGTTGGCTAGAAACACCCCCTCTCCAAATAAACAATTCAAACCTGAGAAAGAAACCAGTAAATAAGCAAAAACTTCAGAAGCTGCATACCCATCAAAGAGCAGAATGAGAAACAGTGCTGCAAGTGTTTCAAGAACCAAACTTTTTCTAACATTAGCTCATTCCACCATTCTTTTTCTCTCTCTCTCTACAAAGACCTTCACATACATTCAGATAGCTATCATCTTAATCCAAAAAGCAAAGAAAGAAATGCTTTTAAAAGGGTTCAGAATCAAGAGAGTAACAAAGACACCATTGATGGCTCTCTCTCTTCTGTAAAATCAAATCCAGTAACCTCTACACTCACTCTAGAAGCAGTACACTAATAAATGACTCTGCAGTGTTGTATATTTTTAGTTTCCTTACAAATTTTAGACTTTATAGAAAATCACATACAGCTGTTGAATAGTCACAATTTTGAGGCAGAATATTTTGCTTGTTCTTCGAAGACTATAACTGCTTGGAAACTGCCCCAATTACTAAAAACACCCTTTTAACTCTCTTTTTTTTTTTAATAAATAATAACAATTAATAATTATTCGGAAAAACCAATGTGCTAAATTTAGTACTTCAACTCTTCAACTGCACTGTGAGGTCGGCAATGTCATGTGTATATCTCTCGAGTTGAGTGACACAAAAATGAAGTTTCTTACTTTCTTTTATCTGTATTTAGAGTTAAGTTTGATTTGATATTTCTTTTAAAATTGTGACATAGATGTTTAAGGTAAGTTGAACAAGAAATTTTATCATAAAATTAATCTATACATTCCTTGTTTAAAAAAAAAATCCTCAACTTAAAAGCTATGTATGAAAATAATCATTAAGTGGGAAAAAAAAAATTAGATAAAGAGATGGGCCCTGGTTGAATCTGCACCATTGGATAAGATCCTTGAGATTCAGAAACTCAAATCTTATATAGCGGGGACCATGATGAGAGGGAAAATATACACCTTGGAAAGAGGCTAAGGTTAAAGGCTTAGTTGTGGTGGAACATTTCAATTTATTTGGGAGGGAACACAACCACAGAATAGGACAATGCCACATCTTTAAATATAAAAGTTGTTGCAAAAATCAGTGTCACATAGCCAACTTGATTAAAGGTCCACCCTTTGCATTCTTTGAGTTGTTTGTCATGGTAAATGGGGCCTTTGCATTTCTGTGAGGGGGCCACAACATCCAACAGTTTTATTATGTTCTTGTTATTAGTGATACAGCTTAGGCATTTCATTGTTATATTTGGCTATATAATTATAGTTATACCCTACATTGGGTATAAAATGAATGCCAACAAATCCTCAAATCTTATCTTCTTGGGACAAAGCTTAATTTGTGGCCTATATATTCAATGGAACTGGTTTATGTTTTTGTTCTCAGATTGAATATTTTATTAGTCAAATATAATCCTGAGTTTGATCTTATGAGTCCCTTCAATATTCTTTTATTTATAACACGTTTATTTTGTTTACCTTAACACAGGGCAGGTTTGTTTTGATAATATTTTGTTTAACTATGTCGTTCATTTCTCTCTCTCTCTCTCTCCCCTTGCTTGGTCCCAAGAACTTTGGGAGTTGTTCTAAACTAAAAGTAAATTTAGGGAAAAAGGAAATTTTAAAAAAATAATTAAATTTTAAATCAAATAAAAAATACATAGTAAATAATGATGGTATCACCTGTCACAAAAATTAAACTATAAAATAACAAAACATAGGCTTATATTTATGAATGAAAATTTAACTGTATAGTGTATCAGTTGATTAAATCATGTAAACAAAACTAGTAAATAAGTTAACTTGAAAAATCAAGATTAAATTAATTGATTGAATTAATCAAATAACTTAGTTTATAAGTGTAAAAGGCATATTAAATAACTTGAAATTTGTAAACTATTTATTTTTAAAAAGTCACTATTTTTCATTTTTTTAATTCATTTTAAATGATATATCATCTTTAAGATTATGCTTATGTTTTTTATTCTCATTTTGAAATATTTTTAGATAGGTTTGTAAATTTTTAATGACTTTATTTTATAAAAAATATTTTTAATAATTTTGTTAAATCTTCTTCATAGCGTATGGATTTATTCCTTTAAAAGCAATGAATATGATAATATTTATTTATTTATTTTATATTTTATAATGTATTTTCAAACATTTCAAAAAAAAAAACACACATTATAATCATTTGATTTTATCTCTTCTGTATAATACATCTTGAATACCAAATTAAGAGACTTTATAAGATCTATAAAAACATTTGTTTATTAACAGACTAATAAAAAAAATGACAAATACATGTCGTTAGTGTTTTATTTTTAAAATAAACCATAAGCAATGAACGAGTTAAATAACAATAATAAAGTTGATATCAATTAGTCACTCTTCAAATAGATTAAAAAAATAATAAATAAATAAATAAAATGATTACATAGACATTTTTATGGATATATACTTAAAAAAATGTGCAAAATATGTATCGATTGAATACCTTGTTTTATGTGAAAAAAGACAAGCACAGAAACCATTCATATATATATATGCTTCAGAACCTTTTCCCTGCCCCATTGTTTCAAACAAAAACATGCAACCCTTCAGAGAGAAGCTACCTCACCAATTTGAAAAATTGTCCTAATAATCATGTGTTGATGCCAGTGAAATGCATGTTCTTGCAGTGAATATTTTAAGATTAAAAATACATGAACACTCCTTAAAACGTTGGATGATCTAATCAATTTTTTTCTTTTTCAGTCAGAGATCACAAAATGTTTTTCAAATTAAAAGATACTAAATTAACTTTTACTCACAGGACCTTTCAACCCATATATACGAATACCATAGAGTTTTATACCATTTTGCCAGCCTTTTAAATTTGATCCAATCAAGTTTGTGGGTTATAGGATTTTCATAAGTTTGGTTGTTTTTGCTTTAGAAAAAGTTCACAGAATTTCTTGAAGCATACTTTTGGCCTTTAACATAAAACTTTTTCAGCACTATCATTGTCATATTTTACACTGCTTGATAGCACACCGAATAGGTGACTATTTTGTTGTGTAACTAATGAGCAAGTATGTCAACCAAAAGAGGTAAGTTAAGAAGAAAAATGCATGTACTCTCTTCCCTATTTTGTCACCATGTGTCATCAAGGTTACAGTTCAATTGCACCCAGTTTTTGGAACAAATCCCAAGATCCGCAAATGGAGCAGCTAATTGGGAATTGGGATTCTACTTATTGTAGCTTAGAGGACCACAACCACAAGAAGGATTGTGATTGTCTATTCATTTTGTTTTTGTTGCGTGTTTTTCTTCTTGGATTACAGCTAATCTTGCAAAGTTTAGCCCAAAACTTATTTAAGAAAAACCCATTATACAATTTTGAATTTAGATGCTCTCCTTTTATTGACTAACATGATGTGGTTATATTGTAGGATTTATTAATTGAATTGATGTAAAAAAATTCTTTCTTTTTCTAACATGACCATATCTCAGAGAATACAAATCTTACAATTTTCTTTTACTTTTGATCTAAATGTTGAAATATCCACTTTTCAGGGCTGGTTTTGGGCTGCATGATGAACAGATGAGAATTAGTCTTAAAACCCAATCATTTTGCAAAATGAATGGGCTAGTCTTTGGGATTGTAGTGAAATTTGATTATTTGTAGCATGTCGTGACTAGCCCAAGCCTTCAGCACTTTGGGATCTTTATATTTGATTAGTTTACCCAATATTGTAAAAACCAAAAGATAACCCATAAACATGATTATGAATTAATAAGTTGGTTAGTCTTACTATGTTCAATATGTATCACTTGTGAATTGAAAAGCTCATCAATATAAATCATAAATTATACAACATACAATAGATAGTGTTTTTTATAAAATCCTTTTCTCCTTCATAAAACAGAAATATGATGTTAGATTTGGATAATTTTTACATATGAGATTTAATATATATATATATATATATATATATATATATATATATATAGTATTTATAAAAGAATTACAAAAATATGAGATTTAAAAATCAGTGACAATTTTTAGTATAGGTATAATAGAACAACGAAAAGTTACTATGTTTTAAAAATGGCTACCGGGATTTTTTTAAAAAATTTATAATAATTTTTTTTTAAATACCATATTTTAGTAATTTTTTATTTTCTTCCATATAAAAAAAAAAAGAAGAAGCACCCATTAGATTCTCAAGAGTTCATTAAAACATTCATGCACGTATATTTTTGCACATCCAAAATATACAACTCATCCTGAAAATTTTGAGATTGTGTTTAGGGGTTAGTTACAATAATTTGATACCATATATTGAAAACTAAAGAGAATTTCAGTGCTTTGAAGCGTTAGTATATGTTTCCCTTATTCTATGTTTGAATACATTTCCGACCTAAAAAGTGTGAAGATGAGTGAAACTAAAACAATATATCTTGAAAAGGAGGAAGATGACAAACAACTCAGACAGATAATCTTTGTCATTGATTTCATGTCATTTTTTGTCATTTATTTTTCCCCATGTGGTGTGAACAAATACTAAATTTGTTTCAAAAGTCAACATCGTACATTCAAAGATACAAGGTTTAAACCCTAATTTGTTCATCACAGATACTTTCTATATTTCGAATTTTGAATGATTAATTTGTGAGATATATATGATTATGAAGGATAGGTGGATGGGCATGCATGGTTGTGAGAGGATCACAACATCAAGATGGCATCATCCATTGATAAAATGATGAGTTTGGTCATCATATAAAAAACGCAATAACATCGCATGTTCTGTTTATGATCAATGTTATGGGCCGTGCCCTTATTATTATGTTGTCTGAATTTTTTTTCAGATTTATTGTTTTAATGTTTTTACGAAAGCTTTTCTTAAAAGTTAGAAAAATAAATGATAATGAATAAATTTTATAGCTTATTTGATTCAATTGAAAAATACAGAGAAACTAAACAAATATTTGTTTAGTTTAATTGAAAAAGAAGGTAAAAAGAAAAAACAAAATTCAAATGCAATTACTATTTTACCTTTAATTTAATATTTGGTGTAAAATAAAGGATAATCTATTTTAGCCATTTTGACAATGTATAACTCTCTCCTGATGAGAGAGAAAGTTTCGTAGGAAATTTCCACTTTTTTTTTTTGCTTTTCCTTTTTTATGTTACTTTATTTCTTTTAAAAAAATACATTATGGCAAAGTCTTATTTTATTGAAGACAAATAAAAAATTAATAAAAAGTATATCTATTACTAAACTTCAAAAGACAAAAGAAGAAAATAAACAGAGACTCATGCAAAATGAAAAATAAATAACAAGAAGAAATTTTTTTTACTGAAATGACACATTGATCTATTTACTTATGAATCAAACATCTTATGATATAAAAATTATTTAATATTTTAATTTTTAAACAAATAAGAAGAAACAATTAATTATTTTCTCTCTCTTTCAATTACTTTATTTTTTCATTTTTATTTTAATATGTAATAAAAGAATGATTTGAGGAGTAAAAATGAACGATGAATAATTAGATTTTGTAGTTTCATTATTTTGGCGACATGATTTAATTTGAAAATTAGTCTGGCGAAATAACATGTTCCATTTAAATTAGATGTAATCAAATAAATAAAAAAATTAAACTTCATTGCCATCTACATATATTTTTTTGAAAAATTACGTTTAATTTCATTCTTATAAGAGATTAATATATACTTTATTTTAATATAATCATGTCTTCTTAACTCTCAAAGTTGGTAGTATGAATTTAATATTAATTATTAATAATAATGAGAGTAATAAAAATAGAAAATTAATCTCTTAAAGCTCCTTAATTTTTCATATAGAATAAGGGATTTATTTATATTACAATAAATTAAAATGTAATTATATTTTAATATTTCAAGAAAAGAGAGAAAGTATAACTTATTATATATATATATATATATATATATATATATATATATATATCTTCTAAATTACTTTCATACACAGCATGATTAGCAAATTTTTTACTTTGAGGCTGACTTATTTTTCGTTTGACATACAATACGAAATGGCAACCGCGTTGAATCCATAAAAAGTGGATCGCTCCAAAATATAGAGTTTTTAAAATCAAATGTACAATCATTAGTTGAACCTAACTACAATTTTTAAGCGTGTGTGTATATATATATGTGATGATGGGTCATTAACTTTTTGATTAAGAAGAGTCTCGACTCAAGCTGGTTTCACGAATTTGAGGGGGAGAATATGAGGGTAAGCAAATTGCTTCATAGTTTTGAGTTTCTTTTTCTTTTCTTTGTCAAGAAAACTTAAACTTGACTCATTTACAGTTCCAGAACGATTTTCTTAAATATGTTTCAGCAAATTGTGGATATAAGTGTATTGTGTATTTGGTTAATCATGAAATGTTATACTTATAAATACATGATGCAGCAAAAGATCGTAATTGAGGTGCCACTTCACTGTGAGGAGTGCAGGAGGGAGATCATGGCCATATGCATGACAGCAGATGGTACTGATCGATGTTCATGCATGCTTAGTTAATTACATGTTTCACAAAAACATTTTTATTTTGTGATAAATACTGATGTAATAAAAAAAATAAAAAAATATAAAAATTAAAGAGAATAAGTGTAAAAATATAATACTTATTTATTAATTATTTGTATATATGCATACAGGTGTTACATCCTTTGCTTTTCAAAGAGAAGGCAAAGATCAAGTGGTGATTAAAGGAGAAGGAATTGATGCATATGGGGTGACATCACGTTTGAGGAAGAAGGTTAACAAGTATGCTAAGCTAGTTAGTGTGGCCAAAGATGAATAGAGTTAACATATGCTAAGTCAATTACCAACCTCAGCCTCAGTTACTAGCCATGTTTTTTCTTCTGAATTCATCTTCTAATTTGTATTATTGTAAACTTAGAATCTGAATTTCGTGTCTTCATCACCTTATAGCCTCGTAAATTATTTGTAGTATTCATATACGTATGTTCTAGGAAGTGATTTTATTAATATGTTATTGTTGTTCTATATAATTAAAGAAAACTGTATCCATTTGTTTGTAGTACCCCAGATTTGAGAAAGTCTATATATTGTCGTCATATGTAATAAACATGTTTCTTTAATTTGTATAATAAGTTATGTTAATTTGAATTTTTAGAAATCATATATATTTACCTGATCTATTATATCCATTGCACTTTTCTTTTTTAACTTAAGTATTATCGTAATATTATTATTATTCCATAATCAATATTAATTATTTTGACGTGCACATACTATTAATAATGTTTATTTTTTGGTAAAATTCAGTGCCTAAACGAAAAAAACATCTACACGAGAAACTTTCACATCCCAACTTTGTGTTGAACATTAATTAAATTTTATACCTCACACATCATTGGCAAGGAAATTAAATTATGTTTCTTTTAAATTTAAACACAAGTATATTTAAAGGTAAAAAAAAAAAAAACCTAGAATTCACGATGCATGAATACAATAATTTAAATGTCGAAGTAATGTAAAAAAAAACCTGAAATATTTGTTTCAAAAATCAACACCTGTCATTCATTCTCTTTATATTTAAAGAGTTAATTTGTCATCAAAGATACGTTTCAAAAATCATAATGTAAAATGAATTTCAAGTGAAGATATCATCCCCCTCTAAGCACTTTGGTATGAAATTTATTAGATTCGTTATCAAATATCAATTGATATAATGTGTTCTGTCATAAATTTTTTTAATATATTTTTTATAATTGATTTCTTTATTAGATTGGCTTAAAATTTTTTATTTTTTATATACATATAATTTTATTTTAAAAAAACCATTTATATAGTCGGATATTTAACTTAGTATCTAGATATCTATAATTCTAATATATATATATTGACTTTTGAATTATATATATGAAGGATGGGTGCATGTGCATGCATGGTTGTGAGAGGGTCATAACATGGTATACAGGTCAAACTCTCTGTAATGACATCATCAACTGATCAAATGATGAGTTTGGCAATGGCGTCATCATATGAAAAACAACGCAATAACATGTCATGTGCTGTTTACGATCAATGTTATGGACCGTGCCTTTATTAGAGCAACAATGATATTTTTATTTTTTATTTTGATAAATTTTATCACATTATTTATTATATTTTTTATTTTTTAAAAAATATTTACACCTGTTTCGCGCCGCTTTAAAAAATGTGAAAAATTCATTATTATATTGTCTGAATTTTTTTCAGATTTATTGTTTTAATGTTTTTATGAAAGCTTTTATTAAAAATTAGAAAAAATAAATGAAAAATGAATTAATTTTATATCTTAGTTGATTCAATTGAAAAATAGAGAGAAAGTAAACAAATATTTTTTCTCTTCATTCGTTTAGTTTAATAAAATAAAGGAGAATTTATTTTAGACATTTTGACAATGTATAACTTTCTGCTGACGAGGAAAATACATTATGGCAAATTCTTGATTGAAGAAAAATAAAAAAAATTAATAAAAAATATATTTCTTACTACTTAAGAAAAAAATTATAAAAGAATGCAAATAAACACATGACAAAACTTGAAAAATTAAAAAAAAAAAAATACGAGAAGAAGATTTTGCTTTATTGAAATGACACATTGATCTATTTACTTATGAATCAAACGTCGTATTTAAATAATATAAAAAGTATTTAACTTGTTTATTTTTTAAACAAATAAGAAACAATTAATCATTTTTTTCTCTCTTTCATTTACTTTATTTTCTCATATTTATTTTAATATGTAAAAAAAGAATGATTTGAGGTGTAAAAATGAACGATAACTAATTAGATTTTGTAGTTTCATTATTATGGCCACATGATTTTAATTTGAAAATTATATAGTTTTCCGAAATAACATGTTCCATTTAAACTAGAAGTAATCAAATAAAAAAAATTACCTTTAATTTCAGTCTAATAAGATATTAATATATACTTTTTTTTAATTCATTTTAATATAAGCATGTCTTTTTAACTCTCAAAGTTTATAGTATGAATTTAATATTAATTATTAATAATAATGAGAATAATAAAAATAGAAAATTTATCATAAAGCTCCTTTGAAAATTTTCTTATAGAACAGGAGATTTCTTTATATTACAATAAATTAAAACGTAATTATATTTTCATATTTCAAAAAAAGAGAAAAAGTATAACTTACTTTTTTTAAAAGAACTTAAAATTGAATAGCATCTATATATATAATATTATGATAAGAGATTCAGATACATCTCCATTCAAATTACTTTCATAGACAACATGATTAACAAAATTTGACTTTTAAGGCTGACTTATTTTTCGTTTGACATATACTCCAAAATGGCAACCGCGTTGAATCCATAAAAAGTGGATCGCTCCAAAAATGTGCAATATTTAAGCGAATGTTTACATACCAAGTTATATTATTTAGTTGAAATTAACTAAAATATTTAAGCCTATATTCTTATATATATGTGTGTGTGATGATGGATCTTTAACTCTTCCAATTGAGAAGAGTCTCAACTCAAGCTGGTTTCACCAATTTGAGGGGAAAAAATATGAGGGTAAGCAATTTGCTTCATTGAATTTGAGTTTCTTTTTCTTTCCTTTGTCAAGAAAACTTCAACTTATAAATTAATAAATGATGCAGCAAAAGATCGTAATTGAGGTGCCACTTCACTGTGCGAAATGCAAGAAGAAGATCATGGCCATATGCACGACGGCAGATGGTACTGATGATCATGCATGCTTAGTTAATTACATGTTTCACAAAAACATTTTTATTTCAATGCTGATGATATTCTTTATTTTGGACATAATTATTTGTATATATGCATGCAGGTGTTACATCCTTTACTTTTCAAAGAGAAGGCAAAGATCAAGTGGTGATTAAAGGAGAAGGAATTGATGCAGCTGGGGTGACATCACGTTTGAGGGAGAAGGTTAACAAGTATGCTAAGCTAGTTAGTGTGGCCAAAGATGAATAGAGTTAACATATTAACATATGCCAAGTCAATTTACCAACCTCAGCCTCAGCTAGCTACGTACCCATGTTTTTTCTTTTGAATCCATCTTCTAATTCGTATTATTGTAAACTTAGAATCTGAATTTCGTATCTTCATCACCTTATAGCCTGGTAACTTATTTGTAGTATTCATATACGTAGGTTTTAGGAAGTGATTTTATGAATTTGTTAATGTTGTCCTATTCTATTAAACAAAACTGTATCCATTTGTTTGTACACCAGATTTGTAGAAAGTCTATATATTGTCGTCATATGTAATGAGCATGTTTCTTTAATTCGTATAATAAGTTATGTTAATATAAAACATTTAGAAATCATATATATTTACCTGATCTATTATATCCATTGCACTTTTCCTTTTTAACTTAAGTAAAATTTATTATTATTATTATTATCCCATAATAATATTAATTATTTTGACGTGGAGATGCTATTAATAATGTTTAATTTTTGGTAAAATTCAGTGCCTAAGCCCAAAAGAAAAGAACATCCGCACGAGGAACCTTCACATCCCAACTTTGTATCGAACACATAATCTTTAGTAACAAAAAGCGACCTTGATGGCTACCCTCCTTCAATACAAGTCATTACTTCATCTTTAAGCTTGATGATGTGTATGCTGCATTAATTAAATTTTATACCTCACACATCATTGGCTAGGAAATTAAATTATGTTTCTTTTAAATTTAAATATGCGTATATTTAAAGGTAAAGAAAAATAACTAGAATTCACGATGCATGGACACAGTAATTTAAATGTCGTGGTAAATATAGAAACTCAACTCATGGTACGTCTACAAATTCAATTAGTAAGGAATATTCAGTTTCCAATCTTGCTTTTGAAAGGGTCAAAATAATTTTTTGAAAAAAAAATCATGTTCGGTTGTTGTTTCCCATAACTATAATCAATTTCCCCCCCTAAAAGAGCACATTTGAATTAAGTAAAACAAGTAACTTTTGCATTGGATTTAGCAATCTTATATAATCTATTTTTTCATTTAATAAAGAGAGTTTCATTTCCACACCCCCCCCCCCCCAAGTTTTCCTTTTTAAGAAAGAATTATTGAAAGGATTATTCTCTATCCTCTGATGATACACAATCTTTCTAATAATTAGCATCTATCCTGTGCATTACAGGTTGAAAAAGTTTAGGGAGAACAGATCAATTTTTCAAAAATGAGGACAATTAATGAGTTTTGGTGATTATTTGAGATGAGAAGGAAAATTTTTAAGACAATTAAACTTGAGATTTGAGAATATTAAAATCTTAACATGGAAATAAATGTTACTATAAAAGGAAATCTTAAGGAGAAGAAAAATATGAAAATAATTAATAATTTAATAATTCTTTTAAAAATATGAAAATAAGTACAAAATAGAATCTCCTCATATTTAAGAATGAAGAGTTGAATTTATAGTATACAAATTGATTTATAATGAAAGTATTGAATAAAAAAAAGTAAAATAACATGTTTCTTAGCTTACACTGCCAAAACATGGATTATTGCTAACACCTCACTTCTGGGGAGGGTGTGGTTAGAGGATTGATCAAACAAATTTGACATCTTTATTACACCAAAGCCTTCAAAGACTTTTGTTGGCATAGAATAGATTCTTCGAATTTGCCTTTGCAAAGTTCTAAATGTTTCAACTCATTGCTTCTCATTTGTACATGTATCTCAAATTTCCCATTTTATACGTTGCAAAAATGGCACAAAAGCATGCCAAGTGTAAAGAAAGGAGAAAAAGATGAATAAAGAAAGGACTTAATCTCTGTTAGAATTTTCTTGATCAACTAAATATTCACCGGAAATGTCATCCTGTGGTCTCTTTGCAAATGTATCTCCATCATATTCTGCATCATCCGCCGAGTTCTCATCACTGCTCCATTTTCTTTTCATTATTTTGGGGACCAAGCGTGTTACCTCTTTAGTCTCCAACATTTCTTCAGTGTTGTTCATCCTTTCAAATCGAACAGCACTCACCTTTCTGGCATTTCCTGCTAGTATCTGCACCAAAAATAACAAAGCTGCATGTTTTCCACTCTAAAGACAAAAGGGAAATGGAGCGGGAAGGCCAAGGAGAGGTTCTAGATTCAGTGTTGCTTGAGTAACAGTAACCATATTGTAAAGAAGGTATATGAAAGTATATTGTAGTTGTGTTATGCTATCATTCCACTTTCTGATATTAGTTATGTAGTTATGCTCATCATCTATTCTCTCCAACTTTGGATGGCATAGTGAAAATCATTAAGACTACCTTAAGTGACCATTTTGAGAAAGCAACAAACGGATTACCTCGAGTTTGAAAATCTGGTTCTTCTCCTTCTGATCCTGCTGATCAGCATTGGATTCGTTATTTTCATCTTCATCTTCCCTTTCGAGAACTACTTTGATGCACTCACCTGTCCTTGGAATGTATCCAAATGCTTCACAGACAAAGCCGGATACTGTCTCATATTGGTGACCCTGAAATAGTAGAAGTAACCTATGTATCAAGAGGCCTGAAATTCTTAGCCAGACTTGGCAACATGGAATAGTAAGCATAGTTAATTTCAATGAGGTCACTGTCTCAACTCTAAACCCAAGGATTCATTACACCAAAGTATTAAGATAAGCTGATTGAAATCCAGTGGAGCAGATGCCTATTTGAGATGCAAAGATAGGCCTATAACGCTACAATGATTCTGAAGTGCAGAACTAGACACAAGTTGTAATCTTGGATTTTTTTTCCCTATAAAAGAAAACCTGTCTGGGTACTACTACTACTGCAGCGATGAAAGTCACACTAAATCTAGGTAACAAATAGAAGATTATTAACTACAATAATATCTAAAGCACAGCCATCAGAAGACAAATATGTCAATAGCCAATATAAAGTGTTAAACCTCTGGCATCTTGATGTTCAAATCTTCAGATAGCTGATCAATGGATGTATTCGCATCCACGTCAAATACACCCTCAGCTCGCATTACTATGTAGCCAGTTTTTTTCTGTATCTCCTCCTGTAGAATCACCAGGAAAGAATATAATGAGGTTCCTTAATGACAAATCAGCTAGTCAATCAATATAGCAACAAATAATTGTAACCAACAATGTAAAAAGCATAATTAGCCACTAACAGCTAAATTTAAAGTGCATTAATGCCCTACTGCTGTTAGACAATGACTTGAACAATTAAACAATATGAGTAAGCCATGTATTGATGTATTTTAAACTTGTAGGAATGACAGAATAGAACAAAATGGATCATTTTTCTTTTTTTCGGCTGAGCAGAACCTGAACGAAGATTAGTATCATTCCAGATAACGTAGCCACCATAAAATGAATTACATACTAAACAAAATTATTTAACACAGTTAAGCCTAGAGTTCTCACTTATGACTCCCAAAAGTATATTCTTTTGCTAACCCTTTGTTTACCAGAAAGGTTAAGATGTTTATAAAACTGTACTATGCTCGACTATGATTCATACGGAAAATGGGGAGTGGGGGACCAAAGAAATGTGATAAGCATGAGGTGGGTTCACATAGGAACAACTTGCCCATGGGCAGGAAGTTAGGGGAGCAGATTCAGTAGGGAGGGGTAGGATAACAGGGAAAGAATAAGGCAGGATCGGGTAAGAAAGAATAAGATAGGTAGAGGGAGATACCAAGCCCTCTTAAATGCCTTTGAACTATCTGTATTTCTTTCTGTAATTTGTGTTCAACATTTCCTCTTTAAATGATGTTATGGGTATTGATTTTAATTTAATTTAAATTTATCAAACAAGACTGCCACTAACTATGAAATAACATCAAGCCTATCCTTCCTCAAACACTGATCCTTCTCAATAGTCCTCTTTCTTTCCTTCAGGAGATTCTGTTGCTTAACATTATAAACTTCGGCTCATGTTGCAGGGCCTCCAAAAACTTAGACCTTTTCAGCCACTTTGAATTATATCAATCTGAAGCCATGCAAATAGAGCCTAAAAACTGGATTTTCAGCAAAGAACTATTAGCCGTTAGTGGTATAGTTGTCGGCTTCTAAATTGTTAATAATATAAATAACTAAGAAAGGTATACAAAGTTCGAGCAGTCAGGACAAACAAATATTCTACACAAAACTGTTGTTGAACAAAGAATACAGAGAAAAAAGATTTTAAATTTCTTTTTATGGGGGGTGAAAGAGAGTACAGAGTCAATATATGCTTCATTTTCAGTTAATTGAAACGCAAAGTAAGAACTAAGCAGAAGAACATACCTTCGAGTCATTTTCATCAAAGATTTCACCAACAATCTCCTCAACAACATCTTCAAGAGTTACAATCTGTTAGATTGGCAATATCAATAAGACATATCTAGATTCAATAAATTGTGAAAATTGTCAGAACTTTTAGGCAGATGACACAGAATGGTTTCAGAAGACTTGCGAGAGTTTAGTTAAATCTATTAAACTGTATAAAGAAGTAAACCTCTATCTCATTTTAGCTATTAATAAAGAAGATTTACTACACCCACTCTTGAAACAGCCATTTTTAAACCCAACAGGCATGTGGAAGGATGAAACATAAAATCATTATGAAAAAATGAACTCAAAGGATCATAGGAACATTGCCACTAGAAATTCATAATTAATTGTAAGCAGAACTAGTTAAGACACAGTCAAGAGAATGACAAGAATAGTGCGTGAATAAGGGCATTCAGTAAATCAGAATTCCCTTATAAAAGACTTTTGGTTTTATTACAATGTTTTTGAATCCATAAAGTGAGAGAAATATATTTTAGATTATATTAGAGCACAACATATTACAATACAGCTTTTAAAATACTTAGACATGATTCTACAATAATAAAAACTAATATTTCTACAGGAATTTTTTATGAATATTCCTGCAATAGTTCATGATGACTGGTATTATCTCAATGTTGATTACATTAGTTTTTATTTCAAATTAACATAAAAAAGAGGTTGATATATAATAGCAAAAGATTTTGAAAAAAACAAAACCTATGTGATAACACATTCTCTTTGGGTCAATGGTTGTAATTAGTATGGTATATATATCATCAGCAAATAAGAAATTTATACATTCATATTTATGTCAAAGAAACAGATATGAGTGGGTAGTATTCGGGTATGCTGCGCACATACCCCCACAGTTCCACCATACTCATTAAGAACAACAGCCATGTGAACCTTCCTGATTCTGAACTCTCTAAGAAGATTCCAAACAGACATTGAATCTGCAAAATCAGTAATAAGAATTTATCCATCCAATATTCTGCACCAAGTAAAACAGATATAGATGCATTCCTATCCCAAACAATTCAACCAGTTTAATAATTCAATTTCAAAATGAGGAGAAAAATCATAATCAATAAATTTAGCAGTTAAGACATAGTAAGTCAACTTCTGCTCAAGTCTTTATCCATACATCAATGAATATTTTTATAAAAACTAGCACCTGACAAAAGCCAAATTGGTTTGCATGTTTAAGCTTATAACAGGGCATAAAAAGATATTGCAAAAATTATCAAAGAACAAACGATGTATTGATGAAACACTGATGCCATAGCATATTTAGGACAGACACTGACAGGGTCAGAAAGACAATTTAGAGCCTCCAAAACCGATTCTGAAAATGCACTGAATATGGAGTAACACAATCAACACAGCAGAGATGACAATGTAATCAGTAAATAAGATACTTGCTTTAATGCACCTGCAATTTAGATTAACAAAATGCTAAATGTAAAAAAAGTCTAACAGAACCGACTTTTTTATTGTCCTCACCAAGTCTATCTGGCTTAGTTATAGTCATTGGGTAAAATGAATAATAGTTTATATATGTAAACAATTTTATTCATAATCATCTTTGCATTTGTTATCAACAGCAGATAATTGTCATTTATCTACTTTCCATCTCTTCATTTTATTTGTGCAAAAAAGAATAATCCTATGTTATTGATGAGCATGACCAACCTAACAATACAACCCCAGCCATGGTAAGAAATAATACCAACATCAGTGAACTCAGGGTGGAAAAGATTTACCAGGTACAAAATATGCAGGCTTGTGAGCCATATCTCCAACTGTAGTACTTTCTAGTGACTCGCCCTTCAAAATCAAACAGATCAGAATTCTGCAAACTATGAGATTGGGGGAAACAATTAATAGGTAAAGCACTTGTAACTAAAATAAATAGATGAGGCATAAAATCTTCCAACCTTCTGAACATAATCCAGCAGATCCATTGCATATGCTATACCCATTATATTATCAACACGTTGCTCAAAAACAGGTACCCTAGGAAACATGTTGTGATCCAGTCAGCACATTGGGAAAATAAAATCACTGTAAATTTGAAGCCAGCAAATCTTCCAATACCTTGAGTATTGATGTGTGACCCACAAGTGATGAAAATCTACAAGGCTTGAACTTGCATCAATTGCAACAACATCAACAAGAGGTGTCATAACCTCTCTGACATGTGTGTCTTTTATCTCCAACACATTTTCAATCATATCCTGTAATATATAACAATCCGTGAAGATAAGGCTTTTGTAAGTGTTGTGAATCATAACAACAAGCATGTCATTATTAGAAGGAAAAAAAAAGGAAGGGCACATTGTCATATGGAAAATTGGAAATTTATTTATGCTTTTTAGATGGAATTTCAGTGACCATTTCTTCAAATGATAAAGCACTTTGAGAGAAGCAAATCTTGTATACAAACATGTTTATGAAGTTTTATTCCCTATAAATGAGAGAAAAAGCTGAAACTTTTGAAGACAAATATATAATGATATTATTAGAATATTAAACCCAACATTCAGTACCTGTTCTTCCTCCTCTATTGCCCCACTTAATTCTGCTCCCCTTAGCATTAATTTTAGCTCGTCCTCAGTTACATATGGCTCACTGGTAAAGTAAACAATGACTTTAGTGTTGAATTTCAAAATAATCAACAAGCATGTCCCACAGACGCGACTTTAACAAACCAATGCCACTTTCCATATGATTTGTATAATAAGTAGGCAAACTATGGCTGCTCTTTCAAACCAGGGTTCAAAAATATAAAAAATAAATAAATTATTGTTTTGTGCCATATGATTCAACCAAATTACTAATCCAAAAACAGCAACTGTTACCAAACCATCTTCCACAAATAAGCCCCTTGTAGTAATCAATAAAATAATTTCATTTCTCCATTTGGTCTCTTCGTCAATTAAATACTTAACCTTGGGAAAATGAACAATTAATGCGGAGGATGGATAAAAATAATTGCATTATCCTTGAGATGAAGGAACTATAATTTAGCATCAGATTAGAATTACATTTCACAAAACATCCATAAAGAAGCAAAAACAATAGATACTATATGACAACAGAAGATTAATCTCAGGCTATCTTTTCAGCGGACCTTCTTCCTTTCAAGCCAAGCAATTTCAGCATCCCCATTGAAAGATAAGTAACAATTCTTCCAACAGGATACAACACCAGGGAAAGCCATGCCACTGGCCTGACCTAGAGGCATTAGAATCAACATCAATGTTTGATACAAAAAGAAGTTGAAGCAGAAATATCATGTAAATATGAATGACATGTGAAAAATAAACACAAATGCTTAATCAATATCATTTCTGTTCCCAAATATTACAAAAGAAAAGGCAAGAAATTTAAAACTTACCACAAACCGAGCCACCTCTGTGGCGTTATGAACCGCTATACTTTTTGGAGTGATTTCAGTGAGAAGCAAAATGGCAACCTTGTTTGATTACAGAGAGAATAGAGAAATCAGATAATATGAAAAGAAAAGGCAGTATATGAATATATATGTACAAACTTGCACGACATATATTATACTTGAAGAAGTGAGAGGAAACACAAAGTTATGAAACTATATAAAATGTTGCATCCCATTTTCTCTCTCAGAAACATCAAATAAAAGGTTATCCAAGCATGCATGAGAATTAAGAGGATATGTATATCCTACATTTGATATTATTGTCTAAGCTGCTGACCTTTTTTAAATTTATAAATTCACATAACATATCATGTGACCCCTTCTTTTCTATTTTACGCAAATTGGTGATAAAGCTAGAAAGCTTTACATGTCAAATACTTGTTCCCACCACAGCAGGAGTTTGCAAGTTTAATGGGCAGCATGTTGATATACTGAAAGATTCAATGTTCCAAATGAATAATAATCAAGTTGCCTAGTGAATCAGAATTTTGGATAATCAAACTAATGCATAAAGCCTCTGAAGCATGTTTTGATGTCCTAGAACTCATATTTTTTGACATTCAATCAAGAAAATTGAAACATACAGTCATCACTCCTGTTGCTGCACTAACACCAGCTTCACCAAATATTGCAGTTGCTGCTTCAGTGACCAGAGCAGTTGCCCCAATATTGACCACCCTGCGTACAACAAAATGTGAACACATGAAACATTCTATAATGTAGTTGAAAAAAAGATATATTATAAGACCAATAAAAGGTGAGTACGTTGTGCCAATAAGTATAGTTGTAAGGAATCGAGTAACATCACTTCGAAGTAGTCTGAAGACGCCATTTTCAGACTCCTTTTCAGCCAACTCACGGACCTTGCACATTATTATCAGCAGTTGTTAGACTTCAAACTGTAATCAGCTAGATTAATCATATGGGAAATTACAAATGTAGTACACAGAAAATGCAAGCATATCAAAGGAACCAAAAACATTTTTGAAAGAAAAAGGAAATATTGTAATTGATGCTTAGATCAGAAACGGTTAATTCCTTACTAACATATAGGTGAGTTATGAAATCCCTAGCTTTTAGTCATTCATGTATTCTGCACTGAAAGTGTGAAACCAATATTCCAATCAAATGGTGATGTTTTGTTAGATTTTAGACATTGGCACAAAACACGATAAAATAAAGCAATATATTCTGACATGTGCTGTTACATCAAATCTTGATGAATTTATATCTTAATAACTTGAGATACAAGGATTGAATAAATGAACCAATGAAATCTTCTTGTTACACACAGTTATATAGCAGATGAATTTCTAGTCAGTATAATCTAATCCAAAATACAAACTTCATTTCTTCGAAGTCGAGAAACTTTCAGGTTCAGCAATTGGATACCAAAATAAATTTCATTGTCAATAATGTTACCATATGATAAGGAATAATAAGCCTCTCTCCACAAAGTTCACCACCAAAACCCAATTCAACCCTGGCAACAATCCTTTGATCAACTTGACTACATCCTATAGTAGGTCTATACTTTCATAGAACATATAGATAAAAAGCATCATTCAGAAAAACAAGGACAAAATAAATCAGGTACCTTCCAAGGCCAAAGTGTGGTAATTGAAGTCTCTGCCATAGAGAAAAAAGCTGAAAGACCCAAAAGCAGAGCCAGCACCAAACCTTGCTCCTTAAATAGACGAAGAACTTGCAAAACTTTAGGCCATGTATTCCTAAGCAAGAGAATGCTCTGTCCAATAACACCATATCCTGCATTCACTACACCTTCAGTTGCAAAAACTCTTGGACATCCAAACACCAACACCCCACAAACAGTTGCAGCCAAGATGATTCCCCTCTTCAACAACTCCAGTATAAAGTTCATATTGGCTCTGGAAACAGCATTTATTTCGCTCAAACAATCACTGCTACTACCTAAACACCTCAAGCGAGCTCTATCTAGTAACTTGGGATTTGCTCCATAACTTGAAACCTTAAAGCTTGTAAAAGTGGATAGGCCATCACAATTGGACACAAAGGGAAATGGGTATTTATTGTTTCTACCCAAAACTTTGATCGGCATGCTCTTTCGCCGATTCCCATGCACAGGGTAAAGCAATCTGGAACTGGACATGAACACTTGGTGACTGAGAACCCAAGATTCGAGTGCCATCACTCATAACAGAACAAAAACACCCACCAACTCAAAATCAAAACTGGATGCAAAGTAACTATAAAAAGGCCCAAGTAAGCAAATAAAGTTATTCTATTTTGCTAAATAATCAAATGGGTATCACGGTCTTAAAAGAATTGGTTGTGTTAGGCAACATAGGAAGGAGAAAAAAAAACCGTATATACGTAAAAAATTTAATATTTTTTGGGTGCCTTGGCATAATCAATTGCAATTGAAAACGGAGAATTGGAGCAAAATTAGGGTTTGAAAGGGAACTGTGGAAACGGGAAGAGGTGGCGCGTGCATTCGCAGACCTTGCTACTAAGCTTTCTTGTCAGATGCCAGGTTCGGCTTAACAAGTGGGATGTAATTACAATTTTTTCAGTTCAACTTTTTTTTCTCAACCTTCTATCGACAATTTCAGTCCATTTTTTTTTTCTTATAAAAGTGAACTTAAATTACTTGTGTTAAAATATGTAAAAGAGTTTATTAATACGTTCATTATGTCTTAAAATTTAATAATTTATTGGAACTTAGAAAAAATAAAATGAAATTTCTTAAGATTAATTGTATTTTTCTTATTAGTTTATGATATTAATGTTAAAAATACTCTGAACTGATTTAAAGTATTGTCAAAATATCATTGAATTTTTTCATGCTGTAACAACTTAAATGTTAGCATATTAATTCTACAGTTTAGTTGTCAAAATTAAAAATTTTAACAAGTAAAACTAATTTTCATGTACCCAAATTAAATCACAAATTTATTCTCTGTTTCTTAATTTACTATTGCTGTGTTGAGAGTGACGACACAGGTAATACTAAATTATTAGTGATAATTTTAGTTGATAATATTAATGGGAATGAGGGTCATATATTATAAATTTAAAAATGCTTTTAAAATGAATGTTTTTATTATAAATTATTAAGACATGTATTTTTAAAATGAGTGTTTTTTATTTATTTTAAATTTTCTTTAATTTTAGAAATATTCATGTCATGCATCAACAACTTATTTAACTTTTAACACTTGATACATTTTATTAATATCTTTCTTTATTAGATAAACTAAATTATAGAATTATTAAAATCTTATTTAATGATAATTAGAATTTGATTTTTAAATTTTATATATTAACACACTTTATTAACAAACACAATACTTTCAGTTGAATGATAATTTTCGTATATATTTTTAATTGATATTATAAAAATAATTATAAAATAATATAGTCTTGAATTATTTTTATTTATAATTTTTAAAAAATTAAAATTCATGGAATTTATTTTTTCACGGTCAAATACATTTTTATCAGTGAGGAGTAAAATTATTGCAAATAAAACTTATTAAATATAGAATGTATATAAGGTAAAAAAAAAATATAAAAATAACTTCAAATAGACAGAGTGGAGTTACAATTTTATTGAATACTACATATTGCAATCACACCCCAAATAAAGTACAACTCTTGCAACTCAAAACTCCAACAAGATGAACAGTAATATATTTTTCTCTTCCAAGAAAGACAACCTAAATTAAATTGAAAAGAACTACAATAAGACACATGTATCAATTATGAGATCTGCACATTCATTCTTGCATGAGACATAATCCTTGTCCTTCTTTTCACCCTTTTATCAGGTTGACTTCCAAGCATCCTCACAAGCCATTGAGGCTTCCCTGTTAACACTACACAACATCCCAAGGCCACCCCAAATACCATTCCACATCCATATCCTATTGCCACTGGTTTCCAACCAAAACCAAATTTTTGTTCATTCCACAAGGTTGATGAAGGTGAAGAAGGATGTTCAGAGTTTGTGTCACATTTTATTGACAAAGGGACCCCGCATAACCCCAAGTTTCCCTCATAGGAATCATTTGAAAATGTATTGAATTGCTTTCCTTGAGGTATTTCTCCCACAAGATGGTTGTGGGAAAGATTCAAGAATTCAAGAAAGTTTAGATTGCTTAACTCTGAAGGAATCCTACCAGTGAGCATATTTGAGGAAAAATCCAATGATTCAAGACCTTTCAAATTTCCAATGGATTGAGGAATAGGACCTACGAGTTTGTTATGGGAAAGGTTGAGCGCTATGACTGCATGAAGCTCTCCAATTTCATTTGGAATCTCTCCGTCAAAATTGTTTGCTGACAGATCAATAACTGCAAAGATGGTAGGAATTCTTGCGAACATCATATTGATCCCTTTAACTGTTGCAACCATGGAATCATATAATTGAAAGTGATACCATAAATACTGGTCGTACCTACGAGATATCCTGTTCTCAAATTGCATATAGCTTTCCATTCCAATAGAATTCTTCATTGCTTTAGAATTTTGTATGTAGGCTATTGGTAATGAGCCACTGAAATTATTGCCCGAGATATCAAAAATAGTTAAATTTGGCAAGATGTGCTTGGTCTTCAAACTAGTGATATCACCGTGGAACTTATTGGCTCTTAAAATCAGTACTTTCAAATTTGACAGTGTGTGAAGCCAATAAGGAAATGTATCTTCAATTTGATTGTTGCCGAGATTTAAAACCTGCAACTGTGTGCATTTGGAGAAAGATGTAGGCAATGAACCTTGTAACTGGTTTCCACTGAGATTTAGATCAGTAAGCATGCTGTTGTTTGGAAAGAAATTTGGCAAAAATCCGTAGAGTTCATTCATTTGAAGATGCAAAGCTTCAAGGTATGATAAGCTCCCAAGGCATTGTGGAATAATTCCTGTTAACTTGTTGTAAGACAAGTTGAGAACCTCAAGGGAACTTGCATTGCAAATTGAGGAAGAGATGCCACCAGTGAGTAAGTTGAAACTAACATCAAGGCTACCAAGATTGTCAGGGAAATTGCCCATCAATGATGTCAATAGGTTCTGGGATAGGTTCAAAAATTGTAATGAATTCATTTCATGTAACCAATTGGGTATTTTTCCATTAATTTTGTTAACGGACAGATCCAGATGTCGCAAACTCTGGAATTGTCGTAAGGATTCGGGAAATTCAGTCAAAGTGAGGGAAGATAGCTCCAAAATTGTAAGCGGGTAGAAGCTGTAATTGGCATCGGATGTGAAGCTTAGTGATAATTTACTGTTATGTGATAGGGAAAGAGACCCCAGATTTGGAAGCATGGAAAAGAGTGGAAAATGTCCGCTCAAGTTGTTTGATGATAGATCTAAGACAAAAAGATTTGGAAAGCTGAAAAGTGATTGTGGAATATTTCCCTGCAGCTTGTTGTTGGACAAATCTAGATACACCAGGGAATACGATGGGATTGCACTTGTAGGCCATGTGAAGTGTGTGAAGTGATTAGTGGATAGATTTAAAATCCCCAAAGATGGCAAAGACAAACACCAAGCCGGAATTGTCTCTCTTAGTAAATTGTTATTTAAGTATAATTGAAATAGGTTAGAGAGGCCAGTTATTTTGGTGGGCAAAGGGCCCTCTAATTGATTATAAGAACAATTCAGAAGAGAAAGATGAGTTAAGTCAAACAATGAAGATGGGATTTTTCCTCCTATTTTGTTCTCACTGAGACTGACCGCTTCCAAATTGATTAGCCCACCAAACTCATCTGGGATTTGACCGCTAAATTCATTCTTTGAAAGATCTAATCGAATGAGATGTTGAAGGTATGAAAGTGATGATGGAAGCTCACCTCCTATATGGTTCTCACCCAAATTTATTTCTTGAAATGTGTTTGAGTGATGGAAGACATTTGGGATTTGACCACTGAGATTATTAGCTCTGAGATGCAAAAAAGTTAGTAGTGGAAGGGTAAAAAGTGAGGATGGGATTGAACCACTAAGGTTGTTGTATGAGAGATCCAAGGATGTAAGATGTGTGAGGTTAGAGAAAGAGAGAGGAATTGACCCTTGCAACTGACCATATGAAAGATCTAAGATACTCAGAGATGGTTCAATGCTACAACTCACTTTCGGAAGCTGCCCTTCAAGATCATTAGATGACAAATGTAGGTGTTTAAGATTTGGTAAACAGAGTATGTTATCATTTGTCAAGTTTCCCCTTATTCGAGTATCAAAAAGACTAAGGGTGACCAAAGAGGAAGAGAGATTGAGTGGTTTGAGTGAAGTTGAAGACATATCTGTTTCATCCAAAATAAGCTCTCTTAAAACTGTTGCGTTTTGGAGCAGCCTCTTCCAATTCCTTTCTTTCCATTTTAACTGAAAAGAATTCCAAGAGAGATCAAGTGAGACTAATTTGGAAAGATGTGAGATTTGGGATGGAATTTCTCCTCCAATGTTAGAAGACGACAAGTTGAGTTGTGTCAAACTTGAAAACCCTCCAAAGTGAGATGACAATGGAGATTGAGAGAAATCATTGAGAGCAAGATTCAGTGATTGGAGATTAGAAAGACGGAAAAGGGTACTGTTTGGATGGATTTCACCCAAAAGCCCACTGCAGCTGAGATCAAGTCCGATCACGTGACCAGAAATGGGATGGCACGTGACCCCAAGCCATAAGCAGCAATCTGTCTCATTTTCCCATGTTTTGATCCTATGATGAGGAAGGAGGCACTGAGAGGAATGATATAAAAAAGGATCATCATAAAGAGTAGTATTGAAGGTGAATGAGTTCTTGAATTGAAGCAAGGCAAAGCTGTCATGGGGATTACACAAGGAATGGGAGGGTGTGAAATGAGAGAGTAGCAAATGCAAACACACAAGTAAAAGTACAAGCAACAGCCTCAACCTCATCGATGATTGCATTCAAACCTCACAACAGTAGAAAAGAAATTAAGGAAAGGGCCAGTGGAATGGGAATGTTTAGCAATCATAATTGGTCATATTTATAGCCAAATTCAAAACACGGAGATACATGCAGTTTTGTTCGTCAAATTAAGCTTTGTAGTATGAAATGATAAACACGGAAACAAAAGCAAAAATAATCAAAATTTGATTGCTGTCCAGCTTCAAGATCCTAACAACCCACACCATTAAACACACTAACAATGATTGATCATATTTTTTTAACATTGCTATTTGCATGACTTGACTTGGGAGTCAATTCCTGCAAAGACGCACTATGGGAAGTGGAGCCAATCAGATGAGTTAATTTAATATAACATGACCACTTTCTACCCATCCATGACGCTTTCCAAATACTGTCACTTACGTTGACTTGAAAAGACCGAACTTAGGTACACAATTTTTTATTTGTCATCTATTCATAATGTTTAATGTTTCCATATGTCAATTAATTCATCTCACAGAAACAAGCTGAAGGACCCAAAAACAACTCAATCAAATTTTGTTAAGAAAGAAAAACCAACTCAAAATCAAATTTTGACGCAGCACAAAACAAGTAATCAAAGAAATTGTCTTATTTTATTTAGCGATGGCTATTAGAGTAGTAAAAACATTGATAATCGTTTGCAACATAGAAATTAAATGGTAGCCATACAATAATAAAAAAACAAAAGCAAAAGCAATGTAGGGAAGAAAACGTGTGAATCACGAAACACCAGTGAAAAACAAGTCAAGTTAGAGGAGATATGAGAAAATAATAGCAGTGGAAATAAAAGCAACATGAAAAATTGCTTTTTTAAGTGTCTAATGTGTGTTTTGAGTTATAGTTTCTGCAAACAATACATAATCTGATCAAATTGGATTGGATTCACAATATCACACTTCACAGAACTGGTATAAAAGGATAACCTATCACAGTAACTCAGCTTCTGTCATTTTTATGTAATTTAATGTACATAAGGTGCAAGTAAAAGAATGGTTGAATGCTTTCAAGCTGTAATTATAATATATTTATATTGATTATTACATAACAAAAGTCCAAACAATAGTAGTGTTTATGGGTTGGATAAACTCGACCAATCCGATCCAAGGAAAAAAAATAAAAATCAACGTTTAGGGTTAGATAATCGGGTATGGGAAATTTATGTTAAAAAGGGTTGGGTTCTAATTGTTTACTTCCGCAAACCTACAAAGTAACATTCCTGTTGTTGTGGACGCAACTGTTTAATTTCAGTCGCTTAATTTTACCATTTTTTGCTTTTGTGAGAGAATATATTGTTCCTTTTTGAGTGAGATGAGTCGCATCTAAATGATAGAATGCAGGGTGTATTTCATAAACAATCTTACGTCTTTTAGATGATTTAAAATTTTAAAGTATTATAAGAAAAATATTAGCAATACATTTTTTCAACACAAACTTAATTATTGGTTAAAATTTATTTAAAAAATTATAATATTATGTGAGACATACTCTTAATTTAATAATTTTTTCTTTTAATTTAATACGAGGTACACTGCAATCACAGAAAACAGACATACCAAGACTAGTTTTGGTAGGCCGTAGGTAGGGGTCATAATCCTTCTAAAGTTGTCATGTCATGCTTATCACTGATATGCTAGATTTTAATTCTTTGAGTCAAGAGGTTATTCTTTTTGGTATGAAAAAAAAAGTACACCAGCCAAATTTTTGTCCATTTTGTTACTTCAGGAATCATGATTTACCAAGCAATAAAATTCCATTCTGGTATTAGTGAAATTAAGGTTAATATCTTACCAAAACTTAGGGACTAAATGTGTATTTTAACCTTCATATGATTTACCAAACAACCAAATTCCATTCGAAATCCTCCTCAGCTTTCAATGAGAAAATGTATTAGTGTGAAATTAAGGTTAATATCTTTCCCAGCCAGCAAATGTATTATCTCATCTCCAATAGACAACGTCGTCTATGGTCGACACATACCAGCAATGCATCAAAATCAATTGGACTTTCTGTTTCGCTTTATATAAATCTTCCCTCTTAATAATTTCTTCCTTCATCCTTGTAAAAAAGTGGGGGTAGACATGACAGCGTTTCATAGCATGTCAAAAGCCTCGTTATATAAAATACATTTTTCTAACAAACATACTTAATGACAAAAGAATTACAAAATCCATTGATAAGAGTGTAACCCCTCCCCCACCAGCTCTTCGTCATTGTCAAGAAACTATTTATTTCTGTATGTTGCGATCAGCGATCAGCAGATTTTCCAAAACTGGAGTTGGATCTCATGGTATACTCTGCAACAAGTTGAGCAAAAGATGATGACTTATTCTCTAGCAATGTTGTTGGGGAGTTATACTCCTCAATAAGTCCTGCACCAGTGTCCAACCAAATCAGAAAATGAAACATCAAGGTAGAATACTCTAAGTGATATGAAGAATGGTAGCTTTTCCTAACCTTGACTAAGAAGGAGAACCATATCACTATCAAGAACAGATGTTATTCGATGTGCAATGGTAATGACTGTGGAGTCAGAGAAATGTTGCCTGAGAGTTTGCTGAATCAAATTATCCGTGGCGGTGTCAACAGATGCAGTCGCTTCATCAAGCACCAAAACCTTGCTTTTCTTAAGCAACACCCTACCAAGGCAGACCAACTGCCTCTGACCCATACTCCAATTCTCACCATTTTCGCTAACTGCAGCATCAACTTCCAGGTTAGCAATGAGTTCAAGATTAGATTCACTGCATATTTGTTATTCAATAAAGTTCGAAGACAAACCTGCAGAGTCAAGCTTTCCTTCTTTCTTTCTAACTTCATCTCCAAGTTGACACTTATCCAGGGCCTATTTCAAAAAAATGTAAGTGGGTGAAGGCAATCCAAATTAGAAGAACAATTACTAGTCTAGTCTTTTAAACAGAACCTTGTATCTGTTCAACTAACAAGATCAACCCACCTCCCAAATTTGTTCATCAGTGTACTCTTCCAGGGGGTCCAGATTATTTCTCACTGTCCCTTCAAACATTGTTGGATCCTGGGGAATAATGCTTAGTCTAGACCTCAGATCATGAAGTCCGATTGAAGAGATGTTGATGTCGTCAATCATAACTTGCCCAGAAGTAGGCTCGACAATTCGGAAAAGTGTTTGTATAAGAGTCGATTTACCACTTCCTGTTCTCCCAACTATGCCGGTTTTCAGTCCCCCCAAAAACGTGCATGTAAGGCCCCGCAATACAAGTGGAAGATGTGGAGCATAGCGAACCTTCATCATGGGTAACACATTGTTGCAAATGTGCGCAAGCATTTCAAAAAAGAAAACTTTAGCATGAATTTATAAATCATTTTACAAATTGAAAGAAAACAAAAGTACAAAACCATAAACATACAATAATTCCAACTACCTGCAAATCTTGTATATCAACCTTGCCATATGGGGGCCAAGAAGGATCAGGCCGATTTTCTTCTACAACAAGGGAAGGCTCGCTGGGAATACAAGTATACTGAAGTATTCTTTCTACTGATATAATTTTGTTCTCCAAGTTGCAAAGATTCCATATCACCCAAGCTTGTATCATGTTCAAATTAAGTCCATAGGTAACGGCTAAACCGGCAATGCCTTCAAAATTAGAAAATTACATACAAATGGAAACAATCATGTTCAATTCCATATTACATAAGTAGATTAAACCTTGATTGGTAACAGATACCAGATTGGAATTGCATACCTGGATCTATGACTCCTTGTGGAATAGATATTAAGAATATTAAGGAAAAGGCAAATGTGATAGACGACAACATATCTAAGCGGAAGCACAACCATTCCATGGCACCAGCAATGTTGAACTTCGGCCGAGAATACCCATCAGTCAGTTTCATATTTGTTTCCTGAAATCTTGACTGCTGATCAAAGCTTCTAATGGTTGAAGTGCCAGAAATTGTTTCAGCAAAGTGTTGAATGATTGGGGCCTTGCACACTCCAACTAAACGCGATAGTTCCCGGGCCGATGGTAGATAATATTGCTGCAGAATTACAAGTTTGTAAGATGTTAGCTATCACCACATAATATTGTATAATGGAGTCAAATTGGCAAAATAAATTTGGTATGTAATCTGTTCAGGTAAATCCACATTCAGAAAGGATAGGGGCAATGCAAGAAACATGTGCCACCTTACATGGTCCAGTTAATACCTGATACCAGATGCTGACTGCTATCACAGGTATAAAGACAAAGAAAACCTGCCATGCAACCTGAGACATCACTACAATAATTCCCAGAAGCTGGATCAGAGAGAAGGCAAATGATCCAATTTGATAAGGAATGTCTGTATCCACTGCACTTTGGTCAGTTGAGGCCTGCAAGAGAACAGACAGGAAGAAAACAAGTGACAAATTATTCTATAATCTAAATTATTGAAAACAACTAACAAAATGAGGGGGCGGGGAGGAGGGGGACTATTAATCTAAAGTACAAAGCCATTAAAGATACAAAAATCACATCTCTAAAAATCAGAAGGACAAAAATGGAAAGAATGGAGCGTACTCTGTTGAGGATTCGCCCACTTGGAGTGGAATCGAAAAAGGACATTGGAGCACGGAAAATGCAGAAGTGCATTTTATTAAAGAGAATAGTAGCTGTCTTATAACCAGCTGTGGCAAGAAGCAGTGCTCTGACAAGGATGCATAAAGAACTTCCAATGGCCAAACCAACATAGACTGCTATAAGAGTCGTTCCTCCAACAGGTGGCTCCACATCTGATGAAATGGGAGTCGCCCAAGCCATCCAATAGTTGCTTCCAATTTGAAGAGCTTGAAAAAGAATCTGAGCTAACAAAATGAATGGTACTAGAGCCCCTCCATATGCCGTTGTGATATATTTCCAGTAGACAGAAAACCCAACTTTACCTTTTTCTCTTTCTTCTTCTTGAACAAGCTGACCTTTTGGTTCACTCGTGTCATCTGTTTTGCCATTTGGCTCATCTTTGTTTGCTTCTTTTTCTTGAACATCATGAGTGGCAGAGACGTTAACATCTTGTTCCGAAGCACTTATTTCATTAGATACTGTCTCTCCATCCAATGAATTTAGTGTGGAGAGTGCTTTTTTGTGCGCACCAACAAGTTCCAAAAAATCGGTACCATTGCTAAGAAGATCATCATACTTTCCACATTGAGTAATTCTCCCATCTTTCATTACCTAACAACAAGGCATAATATAAGGAAATTAACAAATAAAAAATATCATACATTAATGACAATAAGATTATGAGAAAATACTCACCAATATAAGGTCAGCAGCAGGTAAGAACTCCACTTGATGAGTGACATAAACCACTGTCTTTGAACTTAAAAAGCCCAGCAAGCATTCCTGCCACACAAATAAAGCAGAAAAGTTCACTTACTAAAATAATTATAAAAGCACCAATGTGCTGGAAGAACTACATTTCAAAATAATTAAATTAAGAATTATATGTATTTGGTTGTGTGCACACAGAAAACAAGAGATCAGTTTTATATCGAACATAACAAACAAAATAACAAGATTGAGTTACCTTAAAGAGGTGAGAACCTGTATGAGCATCCACAGCACTAAAAGGATCATCAAATAGATACATATCAGCATCTTGGTAAAGAGCACGTGCAATTTGTATTCTTTGTTTCTGTCCACCACTTAAATTTATTCCACGCTCTCCTATAATGGTCTGATCACCAAATGACAAAATCTCCAGATCCTTCTTCAGAGAACAGGCTTCAAGTACCTTCTCGTACCTTTCCCTATCCATGTGTTTGCCGAACAATATATTATCCTCTATCTTGCCACTTTGTATCCATGGTGATTGAGCAACATAGGCCTTTGTTCCACAAACCTTAAGAATGCCTGATATTTTTGGTACTTCTCCCAATACACAAGAAAGCAAAGTAGACTTGCCCGATCCAACAGTACCGCAGACAGCAACCCTCATCCCATGAAAAACTCTGAGATTTATGTTTTGTAACGTTGGATCAGAGGCAGATAAATCCCAAGAAAAGTTCCCATCAATTACTTCAATTGCCATATCAGAACCACCCCAAGGAAGTTTCTCTACAATATCAGACCTTAAGTCATCAAGACGAAGGAATGATGCAATCCTATCAAGAGAAACTTTAGTTTGTGCTATCATTGAAATTGTATCTGGAAGATTATAAATGGGCTCTTGAAGAATCCGGAAAGTTGCAAGTGCAGACAAGATCTTCCCTGATTCAAGTGGGATCCCCATTAGCATACAAGTACCAAAAGTAACCACAGATACAAATGTAGGGGCACCCCAAAACACAAACGTTGTTATGGCTGCACTATAAACATATTTTTTTAACCAGCCTTGCTCAGTTTTCCTGAGTTCAGTTATTTTAGATAGAAACTTCATTTCCCAGCCTTGTAGTTTCAGGATCCTCATGTTCCTTAAAATCTCAGATGTGGTCTTCATTCTTGTATCTTTTGACTTCATCAACTCATCTTGAAACTTCTCTAGCAATGATCCCAATGGAACATTTGCCAACATAACAACGATAGTTGCAATGAAAGCAGCAATCGAAGCAAGGCCAAGGTTCTTATACAAAATCAGCAAGGCCAATGTAACTTGCAGAGCCACCATCCACAAATCATGCATGTACCAACTGAAGACACCAACTCTTTCAGCATCAACAGTCATGAAATTGATTATTTCCCCAGAAGTGTGGCCCTGCCTTGATTGACAAGAAAGAGTCAAAGTCTTATTATAGATCATTGTGACAAGCAGTGATCGAATTCGAATTCCAACTTGCTGCAACCTAAAGAACCAATGCCTTTGAGTGAGACACTCTACAATCTTTGCAAAGAAAAACGCAGAAACCAAAGCATAGCCCTGGTTTTCATATTGCCGTTGTCCATCAAGGTACTGGACAAAAGCATCAATAAGATAAGGACCAACATAAGAAGCCAATGTGTTCAACAATGCAAGAATAGCTGTGAAAAGAATCTCCTTCCACGATGACACAATTATTGACTTCACCAGCTTAAGTATGGTCACACTATTAATTGCACCACAATCAGCTTCAAGTTTGTCTCTGAAACTTGGAAATGCACCAACTACACTATCTCCACTATCTAGTTGAGGAACATCCTCAAGGTCCAATGTCTTCTTTTTGCCAACAGCTACAAGAGGACCCACCCAAGAGAACGTAAGACTGCTGAGAAGTCCAGCATTTGAATAAGGAGTAACAGTGTCACCCCCCTTGGTCTCTTTTGACTCCAAGGCATTACCAACATTTGTATCACCATTCAAAAGAGGCTCTTGAAGAATGTTATCTTGGCCTTCGTTTTTCAAAAAATACCCCACGTAACAGAAAAACAAGCCCGCACAAGTAGACACTAAATCACAAACCAAGTACTGAACTGGTAAAACAACATTTTTTTCATAGAGAACAACAATGTCCACTACGAAGGAATAACAAGAAATAAGGAGGTAGAAGACACACCAAGCTCTGAAGAAGAATGAGAACCTCCTTTCACCCGAACTGAAGAACCCGTTGTGTAAGCAAACACAAACAACACCCCAAGCAACTGTTTTGAACGCCAAATCTAAAAGGGTCACGAGCTTTTCTTCTGTCCAACCACTTCTATACCAATAGAAGTAATTGAACAAGAAGAGCACAACACTGAAAGCAGAAACACCAAGAGCACAAAACACAGTCGTTTTAAAGAGAGTGCTATTGGATTTCTCCTTAGACTCATCCCTAGCACCTACAGTGATTTTCTTCCAAACCCATGAAACCAAAACCGCCACCAACAACAGTAGGTGGAGAAAGCCAGATAAGCCATGAAGAAAATTGGGTTTGAAGAGAAAACCAGTTGCAAAGTGCATGAGGGAAAGGTTAGAAAAAACAGACAACATAGTAGTGCAGTTAAAATGAAGTATGAATCAGAAAAGAAGGGAAAAAAGGTTTATTTGCGGGACTTGAATTGAACCCTTAAAAGGGTGCGCTGGAATGACACTAAAGACGAAAATTTTGAGGTTATAAAGAGTGGAAAGTTGTGCGCAGTGAAGTCAAAAAGGAGGAGAGGGGAGAGAGAGTCAAAGGGAAAATGTGGTTCCTTGGGAATAGGGTAACGTGGTGGCCAAGACTTGAGTTTAGTTGACGGAGATAGCGAAGGGCAGGGACAAAATCGGAAATGAGACAAAAGGGTTATTGTTGGTGGCTCTTCTTCCAGGAAAGAGAAGTGAAGTTGGAAAAATATGTTAAGTTTTAGCACAGAAAGAGACACAGAAACTCATTCACTCACTCACTCTGTGAACGGTGAAGAAAGAGAGTGAACTTTGAATTTGGATACTTGGTGGCTGAAAACTGGTTTAAAATCTGCCATATGAGCTCAATCCAATTGGGATTCTGGATTGCAGTGTTTGCTCCGCATCTCACAAATGTATCTATTTATCATCACAACATAATTTACACTGCACTATAAATCTCAACAGTTGAATGACTTTATAAAGTGTCTCATCATTTATTTATATTTTAAAATATAATAAATTTAAATACGTTTAGTTTTTACATTTTATTTTTTTATTATGTTTCCTTCTCTTACTACAAAATTATTATTTGTTAACATAAACAATATTTTTTATATTTATTTAAGGATTCACAAGGAAAAACTCTGTACGATACACCTTTATTATCATCCTTATCTAATAAAAAATTTATATATTAGTATAAATATTATGAATCTAATTTATATAAATAATATGATAGATTATATTAATATTTAATGTATTAATAACATATATCACTTTTTATATTAATAAAATAATTTTTTAATATGATATATATATATATATATATATATATATTGTAGTATCGATTGTCATTTCTCGTTTAATATTTTTCTACTTAAATATTATTATTATTATTATTATTTTAATTAACTAATAGAAATAGTATTTTATATAAAATTAGTTTAAATAAATATTTTGGAGTAACAATAAACTCATTCTCCTAATATCATGCAAAATTTATACTTTAATATCTATTAGACAAAAATTTACCAAGAAAAGCTAATTCAATCAAAATTAATTGTAGTATATGCATGTGAGATTGTAGCACAAAATTTCGCAGTTTTTAACAGACTTTTATATTTTTTAAATTATTAATTGTTTTTTAAAATTCTCTTCTAGATCAATACTTTTTCTTTTGCTTTCAAATATTTAATTAATTTTTTTATTTTTTATTCAATATTAAAAATCGTTTTTCAGTTTTTTTCCATATATATTCTCAATATAACGTTTCCTATTGATTAAGTTTTTTTTCTTACATTTATATCACTTATTTATATTTTTACATAAATATTTAAATTAATCACTCATATTTTATATATTTAATTATTTAAAATTTTTACTTGAATTAAGAACATTCTTCCATTACGCATAATACGTAGCATGAAATTGCATGAAAATGAAATAGTGACTTTGCTTCTCTTTGCATGTTCTCATAAATATTCACAGGATAATGGAGATTATCTTACCTACCCACAGTCACACACGACCTTATGGCTACGACATACTTGTATTTCATTGATTACACATTTAATAATTCTTATTTATATTTTTACAATTTTAATTAATCAGTGAAAGTGATTTAAAAAAAATATTAAACGTTATAACAATTTCTTTTTATAAAAGGTGCTAAAAGTATATAAATTTGACCACACAGATTAAATAAATTATTATTAATAATCAAAATTTATTGAAATTCATAAAAACAATGTTTCACTTTTAATAAGTTAGAGGGTGATAGAAGATATGTTTCCACTATTTCTCTTTTTGTAAACTCGTTTATAGGAACTAAAATTGTAGTTAAATTTAAAATATAATTTCATCAAATTATTTGTGTGTGTGATTTTAGTTTGGTTCATTTCACTTTAGATTAATTGGTTTCGAAATCTGTTTTTAAAACCGATGCATATAATCAATCTAAGAAGTAGTTTATTTTTTATTCTTTTTTTTTTCAATTTTTGTTGAATTGGTTCAGCTCTAAAATATTCATCACTAATGAAATAGTCCCAATAGAAAATGAAGCTATGCTTTCATAAATTGATATTTTAATTTAATAATTTTGAGAATTAATATAAAATAAAAGATCAGTTAAATGATGAGAAAAATGAAAGAGATGCAAGGAAGAAGAATTTTTAATTTTACTCAATTTGTTTTTTGGAGAGGAAAATAAGGCTTAGTTACAAACAGAAGTTGGTTAAAATAGGACAAAATGACTTTAGAATAATATTTAAAATTCAAAATTTATGTATAAAAAAATGCTAAAAAAATGGACAAAAAAATCTCTTAAGAATTGAACCTTTGAAGCTTAGAGGGGACTGATAAAACCATTTGTGTCCCTCTTTGGGGATGAAGTTTAGTGATTGTGGGGCCTAAGATGGGTTTGGTTTTGTCTGTGTTTGGGTCTCTGTCTTTGTTTTATGTATTATTTGCTGATTAACTGTGAATTAGTCTAAAGTGTGCGTGGAAGAAGGTGTCCACAATCAAAACAACAAATCTGTCAATTTTGGAATATTTTATAGATTTGACGTTAACCAAGAAAACTTGATCACGCCTGTTTTTACGTCTCCACCCTAATCTTAGCTATAATTTATGTATTTGGTGTAAGTTTTTAAACATCTGTCCACTCAAATCCATTTCTTCTACCCATTTTAATTTTGATAAAATCTACGCAACCTTCTGTTGAGGTGCTGTGATACTTTCTCTTGTATATGAAATAATTTGTCATTAATTTTATATTAATAAATAATAAAGTTGGTAGTCTAATTAAAAAATATTAATACTCTCTTATCTTTGAAATAATAAAGCTACAGAGAGTATAGAATATCCTCAATTTATGATTACCACATTAAATTGAACTGAACTATTGTCACACAAATATTATCTAATCAATTGTTGGGGATGTTATTGCCTCAACGTATGGATAAAATGAAAATGGAATACAGTATTTGAGATTTGAGAAAATTCTTATGTTTTCTGTTTTTAAGTAGAGAGAAAAATGAGGAAAGAGTGAAAAGTTTGAGTCTTTCAATAAAAATTAATAATAAAAATAGTAATTTTTATTAAAAAGTATGATATTTAATAGTATGAAAATTGAAAATTTTTATGATTTTTAGTAAAAATTTATTATATATAAATTCTTGCACGTAATCCAACTGGGCAGTGAAACCATTTAACAGGAAATGGATCTCTGGACAGGTTTGATGCACATAGCACATTGAAAATGTGGAACAACAGGTTTGAATTGGGGTGACTTGAAGGTTATATTTAAAAATAAAATAAAATCTTAAAGTAACAAAAGAACATCGTCATCGTCATCTTTTGTTCTCTTTGGTCGTCAATCATAATATTCTTATGTCTAGTGGCTGATCCTTGTTCTTGTATCTGTGTTGTGTTCTCGTTGCCAGTTTTGTGTTTTGGACTTGTGGGTTGCTATGCGGTTATTGAGACCAAATCAAAGGCATAAAATAAAAACATAAAGGTAAGAAGCTTCCAAGATCACTATCGTTTTGTGTTATATTATAAGAATGCATTCAATCTTTGAATTTATACTGTTCCAATTAAAAACTGTGAAAGATGACATCTAGAAGCAGCAATGCAGAGTAGAGTTTGCTTTTGTTTCTATATATTATTTTTTATTGTAAACAAGACTAGTTGTGATTTTTGGTTTTGCTAATTTTGCCTCTATTTTTTGCAAGCATAAAACATATAATAATTAAAATAAGTGATTATTTTTATCTATGATTTTTTTTTTTAAATTCTAACTTCAAAGTTTTCAGGTTTTCATGTACTGTAGCACCTCACTCGTTCCACTAGTGATATGTTAGCTCACTATCCTAATTAAGTCGACATCTGAGTTAAGTTTTATAACATTGATTCGAATTGTTTATGATTTTTATTCAGTAAGTGTTTAGAGATATTCTGTTTGAAAGAAAATAATCTAATTTACAATGATGTTATGAAATCAATGTGTTAGTTCATATATGAACACCATGAATTTTCTTTACAAAATTTCATCAATGACTTCGATGTTGTAGGAAGTGATATTTTTTTAATAATTTTTATTATTAATTATTCAAATTCAATTTATTCCACCTGGTATAGCAATGGAACATAGTTGGAAGCAATTACAAAATATAATGCTGAAAGTAGTAAAGGTAACTTAAATAGTTTATGACAGTAGTCACTTAGGCAATACATTTAAAGGCCTGCGAGTAATGGGAATCAAGAAGAGGTCATTTTTTCTTCCTGCAGTAATCTTATTGGACTCAGCCATGTCAAGTTCTTCAGTCTTCATTTCATTGGGAAGCTTCCAATCAAAATGGTAAAGGAACTGAGCAAGTGGAAGCTCAATGTTGGGCGTGGCAAAAGCAATACCTGGGCACATCCTTCTTCCAACACCAAATGGAATTAATTCAAAGTTTGTGCCCTTAAAATCGATGGAACTATTAAGAAACCTTTCAGGTTTGAAACTCTCAGGTTCATCCCAATACTTGGGATCTCTTCCAATTGCCCAAGCATTGATAAGGATCCTGGTCTTTGCTGGTATCTCATATCCATTGATTTGACACCTCTCTCTATTTACTCTAGGAACTAACAATGGCACAGATGGGTGTAACCTTAAGGTTTCTTTGATGATGGACTTTAAGTATATTAACTCATGCAACTGTGTCTCATCCACATGTCCTTTCCAATCAAACACCCTTCTTACTTCAGCTTGTGCTGCTTCCATCACCTTTGGATTCTTTATCATTTCTGACATCCCCCATTCAACAACACTGGATGATGTTTCACCACCACCAGTGATTATGTCCTGAAAATGGATTAATGGTTATAAGTGCAATGAATATTCTTCCATGCAACCAAGTCATCAATTATTTTACTTTCTCTGCTAGATAAATGCTAGTATTGCACTCTTTTGAATGTGCTTTTTTAATATATATTTTTATAATTATTCTATATTTTGTAAATGCTCTTTTTTAAATTTATTTTAAATTTTTTTATTCAAAATCAACCAATAACAAAAAATATCGATCGGACCGCTTTTTAAAAACACGAAACTCGGTGAATATATATAACCAAAACATGAGAAAATAGTATCAAGGATTTGCTAATAGAAATAAGATGAAAAAGTTCATATTATTATCAGAGTGAACACAGAGTATATTCATTTATAAAGTGATAATTTTATTCTTGCTTAATACACAAAATTTTACCCTTAGAGAGTGTTTGGTTTGAGGTTAAAAAAACTGAGAGAAAGAAGAAAATAGAAGAGCAGGATGAAAGTTTTTGAAGGTGGGGTTGAAAAAAAAAATCTCCTAAAAGGAAAAGTGAGAAACAGAGAGAGAAGGGAGAGGGGCTTGGACTTTTTTTATGTATTAATTTTATTTTAATTTATTAAAATATAAAAATTAAGAAAAAATATTTTAATAAATTCATGTTTTAGATTAATTTTAATTTTTTTTATGTTTTTTTAAGTATAATTTAAATTTTAAAGATTATATTAAAACTATACTCGTAAGAATCTTTGCTTTATTTGTAACTGCTGTCTCTCTTTAATTTCTCTAACATATATAAAATGCAAATAAACACTAACCTGGATGATAGCTTTAATCTTGTCATCAGTTAGGGGACATTCTGATTCTTTTTCTGGCTGAAACTTGAGAAGCACATCAACTAGATCCTCCCCACCTTCACAGCGATCACTTTCTCTGTTTCTGTGATCTTCAATGATGTCTTGCAGTATCCTATCTATCTCTCTATGCACTTTCTCAATTTTTGGCTTAGCAATCATTTCAAGCACTCTACTCGAAGGATAAAGATCAGCCACAGAAAATCCTGCAACCAAGTTCAATTGCTCATCAAGTTTTGATATGAACTCTTGCTGGTATCTGCTTTTCTTACCAAAAGCTGTTCTTGCTGCTATCCCATATGTCATCCGGTAAATGTGCTGAGAGAGATTAAAAATGGACCCTTCACTTGCTAATATTTTTCTAACAAGTTCTGACACTTCCTCTTCTCTTATGGACCTAAAAGATTGGACACGCTTTGGAGTTAATAGTTCTATTGTGCATATTTTTCGCACTTGCCTCCAGTAATCTCCATGTTGACAGAAGGCAATGCTATCACCATTGTAGGTAGCTATTCTTGTTGATAAGAGGTTTGGCCTATCAGAAAAGTTGATATCGTGTGTTCTTACAATCTCTTTGACGATTTCTGGTGAAGTGACAATGATGTTGGATATCTCTCCTAGTTTTAGGTGCATTAATGGACCATACTTGTCTGCCAAATTTTTCAAGCAATGATGAGGTAGTGACCCAACAAGCAGGTGTAGGTTCCCTATTAGAGGTAGTGTTCTTGGTCCTGGGGGTAAATTAGTGGTGTCGTTGCTGGAACTGGACCTTTGAAGTAATTTGAACAACACAAAGAGAAAGAGAAAGGAGGGGATAAGGTAAATAGAGAAAAGGTAGTAGTTGTGAAGCTCCATAATCATGATGAGATGAGGGTCGATGGATTCAAAGAGAAATGCAATATATATCTATATATAGTTGAAGACATGACATGTATCCATACAAAGGACTTGACGTGTATGAAAGGATACAAGTCATTGAAATATGTGGTGTTCGGCTTTCACTGTGAGTGGACGATGGTGACATATTGCTTGCTCTATTATTGTTACAATTTAAAAGCACAAATTTGGATATACGTGACACATGATTTACCCACTACAATTTGTGGCTACAGTGAACTGAGGACTTCGATATTTTTTATTATTTTTTTTCTGGTACATCTATTTTTATTTTATTTTTTCATCTCTTAACTTTCACTCATAACACCCATTATCCAAACTTCCATAAATAAGTGTCAAAAATTATTTTGTGCACAAAATATGCAACAGGAGAAGAGATAGAAGTGAGTGATCCTTTTAACAAATTTTGAAAAATATATTTTTTCATCTCCTTCTTAGTAATTGTTTGGTACCCAGGGAAACCGTATTTATGATGGATTCTTAATCGATGTGTGTGATGTCATTAAAATGTTGGACTTGTGATAATTTTACTGGCTGATATGATAATTATATATAATTTTGGTGTGTGATGTGTTACTTTAAATTTTTTTTTTTATAGATGTCGTATTTAAAAAATTTAGACCAATAAAAAAGAGATATATGTAATTAAATAATTTTAAATTAAAATGGATAAAAATTAGTGAAAATCAATTTGAGTCTAATAATATCCAACAAAGTTCTAGGTATACCATCCAACAAGGCAAGAGGGGGATCCTGAACATAGTTGAAAATAATTGATATACAAGTTTGGTGTTAGTTCATTTAACTCAAGCTTACATCAATGAAATGAACTCAATTTTTTCATTGACCAGAACTTCAAATTGGTCTTCTTCGACTGGACTATCCAAATGTTTTCAACAGGATGCAGAAGTCTTGCTCGAGAAAAGTGGCGTTGATCGATAATGTAGCATTAATTTGTTAAAGTTTCATTTGATGTCGTCACGGAATCGAATTGTTTCACACAAGTCAAAACCTGATTTATGAGTTTCATAATTAACAACTACTTGACGTATATAATTCATTAAAAGTAATGTATTTTTTGCAGCTATTAATTAGATTTTTGAAATATTGTGTATTCATGAATAAAGCCCATTTTAAAAATAGATAGGGTACCTTATTTTTATTTATTAAACAATTAATGAGCATGATAGTACATACAACAACTTTTAATCCAACGAGTACTGATGATACTATGACATTAATACAAATTCTATATATATATATATATATATATATACAGAGTCTTGAATCACATATCACTTGTGTTCATCAGCTATACATTTCCTAATGGAGCATAGCTTCTCATTCTTAACCTTTCTTGCAGTTTCACTGAGCTTCATCCTTCTCCTCTCGTGGATTTTGAAACTGGGAACAAGATCCGAAGTCACATTGATAAAACCATTGAACCTTCCCTTAGGGCCATGGGAGCTTCCTCTCATTGGAAGCATACATCACCTAATTGGGTCTCTACCCCATCATCGCTTGAGAGAACTAGCCCAAAAATATGGCCCTCTCATGCACCTAAAACTTGGTGAAGTATCAACCATTGTGGTTTCTTCTCCAGAAGTTGCCAAAGAAGTGTTGAAAACCCATGATGCCATCTTTGCTCAAAGACCCCATCTAATTGGTGCAGATATCATGTGTTATGGTTCCACTGATATATCCACTGCTCCATATGGAGGCTATTGGAAGCAACTAAAAAAAATATGCTCACAAGAGCTTCTTAGCCCAAAACGTGTGCACTCATTTCAATCTATAAGGGAAGAAAAAGTGTCCAATTTAATGAGATATATTGCTACTAAGAATGGATCTTGTGTCAACCTTAGTGATAAAGTGGCTTGCATGACAAGTGCCATCACTGCAAGGGCAGCTTTTGGTAAAAAATGCAAGGACCAAGAAGAGTTCATTTCCCTGGTCAAGAAACTTGTGAAATTGTCTAAAGGTTTAATTGTTCTTGATTTTTTCCCTTCCCAAAAGTGGCTTCATCTGATCAGTGGAGTGAAACCTAGATTGGAGAAGTTGCATAGAAAATTTGATATAATTTTTGAAAACATTATCCGGGAGGCAGTACAAAAGCCTGGTGAAGTAGAAGTAGAGGCTCTTCTCAATGTTCTTCTTAATATTAAAGATCATGAAGCCCTTGAATGTCCCTTGACAATCAACAACATCAAAGCTGTAATCTTGGTCAGTATGTGTGTATTATTTTCTAATTGTTTGTCGCTTTTATTGAGTTTAAAATAAATTTTATTCCCTTCCTTTTATATTATTATTTTTATTTTTGTTTTCATATAAAAAATTTATATTTTAATTTCTATATTAGAAAAACGTTTACAAATCATTCATTTTTTTCTATTTTCTAAAGTTATAATGATATTAAATTTGAAACGTATATTAAACGTATATAAAAAAGTTTATGCTTCGTTTTGGTCTTTACCCCCGAGAAGAATTTTAGGGACTGTTCGGTTTCAAAAAATGTTTCTTATTTTTATTATATTTTTTTTATATATAAATCTTAGAAAATAAAATAAAAAATAATTTGGAAATTTTGTAACTAAAAATAATAAGTGTTTTCAGAAACCAAGCAATATTATGATTTATATATTAAAAAATATGAGGGTAATCTAATAAAATAATATCATTATTGACCGAAATACTCTTTCTTTCTCTGTTTTTTTATACTTTTATTTTAGCCGTAGAACAAATTGTACAAAACAAAAGTATTATAAAATAATTTGGGCAAATGCTAATGAGTGTTCTAAGGATATTATTTAATAAATAAAAAAAGATAAAATATTTTTTAGAAAATATAATTAATAAGTCTCTCTTATAATTTTTAACGTAGTTAAACATTTTTATTTGAAAAAAAAAATTTCTATATGCGGTTTCTTAATCAACCTAATAATTTTTAATTAAGGAGAAAGTTGCTATAGTTCAAGTAGAAAGAGAATATGTGTATTTTAATTAACATCAAATTCATTCAAATTTAAATTCAGTGCTATTAAAATTTTCACCCCTAAAACATGATTTAAGCTAATTTTGATTACTTTTTAAATACACAAAATAGTTTTAACTTTGAAAAAAAAATGCTTTCATTAGATTTTAACAAAAACTATTTTATACCTGTTAACATTTTTCTCGTTGCTTTTAAGTGAAAACTTTAATTTAGAGTATACAGAAGAATTTGTAATTTATGACCATTTTGAGGTTTTTAATTTCATGATTTTCTTAGAAAAGCTTATTAAAATAAATTTTTATTATTTTTTTAAAAATAAACTTTATAATCAATATTTTAAAAAACACTGATGGTATATAAATTTTTATTTTTAATTAAATTATTTATTTAAACAAATTCTTGACAAGGTGATGCTAGAATTACTTGTTTGCCGCACACTTTGCAATCACTACAATATGTGGAGTCTCAGTTATTAAGCGACCGATCATGTGTAGATAACCCTTGAGAAGAACATTTATGGAATCTTCTCATTTATCTGCATATTTTATCTATAGGAATTTCTTCGTTTAATATATGGTTGTTGCTTTCCATATCTTAGAGGCTTCTAGTTTTTCTTGACTTTTGCTTACAACGATATTTCTTTTGATCCATTTGCCCTCCATACAATTCTGGATATGTTTAGAAAAATGCAGCATATTCTAATATACATAAAAAAAATACACTTTGATTTAATTGTTTTGCTTATTATCTGAAAGGTTTTGTATACATGACACATGCAGGTACAATTTTCATTAAAATTGAAAAGATAGCTAATTAATTTGAACTAATTTTCCTAGTGTAGGATTTATTTGCTGCTGGAGGTGATACAACATCTGCAGTCATAGAATGGGCCATTTCAGAAATGGTGAAAAACCCAAGAGTAATGATCAAAGCTCAAGAAGAAGTTAGAGAAGCTTTTGGTAGCAAAGGATACACTAATGAAACAACTCTTCAAGAACTAAAATTTCTGAGAGCAGTGATCAAAGAAACACTTAGATTACACCCTCCTTTTCCTCTTCTTCTCCCTAGAGAATGTTTAGAAACTTGTGAGGTTGAAGGGTACACAATTCCTGCTGGAACCAGGGTGATAGTCAATGCATGGGCAATTGGAAGAGACCCTAATTACTGGGATGAAGCAGAAAAGTTTTATCCAGAGAGATTCATGGATTGTGCTATAGATTACAAGGGTTTAAATATGGAATTCATACCCTTTGGTGGTGGAAGGAGAATGTGCCCAGGAATTTTGTTTGCTATATCAAGTATTGAACTTTGTCTTGCACAGCTACTTTATTACTATAACTGGGAACTTCCAAATGGAACCATGGAAAACCTAGAAATGACTGAAGCTTCGGGCTCTTCCTCAAGAAGGAAAAAAGATCTTATCTTAGTTCCAATTTCTTACAATCCCTTTTAATTCTGTTTCATAAGACCATATATAAATGTTAGTTCTATCTTGTGAGGGTGTCAATAAAATTAGAAGAGAAGTTGTATTTATGAAGTGTATAATAAAGAGAGATAGAAAAAAAAAATAAATAAATAAATAAATAATTAAGGTAGTTGATAATATATAATAAAAAATTAATGTTGTTGTGTAAAATTATTATACATCTGAATGATATAAATCAAAATGAGAAGTCGATTTCTGCAAAACGTACGATACCCATCTCATGTAAGGCTTGTTGCATGCATGAGAGAGGTTTTCGGTCCCATGCATCTTCCTTGTTCACCTTTCTTTATTTTAAATACTTTTAGGTTTTGTTTACTTGGCCTCTCATTTTTATTTTCTTTTAACGAGACTTGTAAAAATATTTTTATATTTTAAATATCATAAATTTTTATTTTATTCATTTACATTTTATGAGTTTTTCATTTAGTCCTTATAAATGTCATCAATTTTTTATTTATATCCTTTAAAATAAAAAAATTGTGATATTTTAAGAAACTTAATGTAAGAATAAATGAAAAATATGATTTTGTAAAAAAAATGTTTTACAAAGGACTTATTTAAAAAAAATTATAAATCAAATAAAAGAGTTGTGAATTCTTAAGGAATTAAAAACTTAATTAAATGCACATTTTTTTACATTTTTTTTGTCTGTATCTTCTCTATTCAAATTCAACTAATACAATTCTCCGTTTAGTCCTGCCAACTTTAATGTTAGTATAAAATTTGCAAATTAAGTAAACCTCCTTTCCTATTAGTATTGAAGTACTGTTTAAATTACCTGTTTCTGCTAAAGGTTACTCAAATAATCGATTCCAAAGTAAATATTTTAAAGATGTGTTCTTCTAGACAAGCTAGACCCTCGTTGAGATGAATTTCAAGTTAGTGAAATTAAGGCTGATTATAAGGAAAAAAAAAATTAATTGTTGCATTTCTGGCTCTATATATTTTAAAATCGTCTAATATTTGATAATATTATTCAATAATTTTTTATTATAAATAATATATGTTTTTAGAATATAAAAAAAACTATTATATATGTTTTGCATAGAAAATGTAAAAAAAAATTAAACAAAAAATGCAACGTGTCTAGGTTACGGGATCACACAGAAAATTGAAAATAGTTTCCTGCTGAACACTTCACTGCTTTCCTCCTCAATGATGGCGCTTTCTTCAGCGGATCGGAATTTTTTCCCCTTTTAGCATGAATTGAACGGTTTAGTCAAATAAAATTTTACACTTTTGCTTAAGTCAAAATTTTTTACTTAAAATGCGCTGACGGAACAATATGGACTAAACTTGCCATTGCTGTTACTGTTCTTGAGTAATGACTGGGCTACCATCATTTAAAGTTGGGACCAGCCCATTCTATATTGCAGATAATTTGAAACTATAATATTAATCTTGTATATTGATATAGAACACTTCAGAAGTTAAAAAATAAACAAAATATAATATTATTTGTAACATTTTTTTAGAGAAAATTTTCAACTCACTTCCACATATTACTCAAATTTTGTAAAAAGTTAAAATAATCTTTAAAAAGTAATAAATTTATAAAATAAATAATTTAACTTTGAAAAAACTAAATACAGAAAAACGTCTTCAAAGAAGTATCTAACATTTCTCAAAAATATAATTTCTTACACCTTCAAAACTTTCCATCACTAACACAATCGTTATAAATATAATATTTCATCAAAGCCAATTCTGCTGAATGGTCCAGCCATGAATAATTCATCCATTATACATTTAATAGCATTCCACTTTCTCTAATTAATCTTAACCATTCAAAATATACAAGTTTATTGAAAGCTGAAACTCAGCAGGATTTTATTATAATTATGAAAGAATATAAGTTTCACTATAGTTTATGCATCCATGATCTTGCATGCATAATTGAACAAACATAATTGTACTGTGACTACCATATCTACAGTATACAATTCCAACATGCGCATATATTTAAAACCAAGAACTAACCCAAACTTCCACACAAGATTGGCTAGAGAATCACCTGCTCTTGATTTTGATAGTTAACGAGAATTTACACAAAAGGCCAAGTTAATTGTTTTCAATACAACCTAACAAAAGGGCATGGCTAATAGGGGTATTTAATATAGCTCATTGCCTTATTCACCTTGGCAAAGTGTTTAATCCAGAATCGTCTCCCAAAGTTTTACTTCTCTTTTTACATTTAACAGCAATGGAACTTAACAGAATATTATCTATATTTAATGAGTCAGTAGAGGAACTAGAATTGGAAGTAGATGTCTCAATATCAGAAAAATAATATTTTCTTTTGAAATATTCAATCCTTTCTGCTTGTGTAAAAATGCTTTTGTGCTGGAGTGCATCTGACGAACTTTGATGTTCATTTTTTGCAGTAATTTCAGAAATAGCTTCCTTTCCATGCAATCCTTGTGATGTACATCTGTTGTCGTTGTCATCGTCATCTAAGTCGATGATCTCAATAGCATTTTCCAATCTTCCCCCAGCTGGCATAAAAGAGACGTGTTAAAGCTTACTTTACACTTTTGCCAACAGAATACAACACTTCAAGCAAAAGCTTATAAAAAATAATAGATTCTGTAATCAAATAAAAATTTGGTAGTTTCCCCCAGCATATAATGGAAAATCCAGTCTCATTCTCTTCAAGTAATTGACAATATATTCTTTTATCAAAATTGGATAATATATACAGCAGGGTATCATGTAATCTAGTTTGTACGGGAAAAATAAAACGAGTTATCTTGTCTGCTTTTGATCGTTAGTTCTTCTGTTTTTTATGGAAAGAAAATTTTATCAAGGGAAAAAGAAGAAATTGCAAAAGAGACGATATGCAGTTTTGTTAGGGAACAAGAATACAATATAACATAATTTACATAAATCAGAAGAAAACCTCAAAAGGTACAGGTTAAAATTAGGGACCTCAAATCTCATAGAGCACAAATGATCAGGACCCTCCAAATCAAACCATGAGTTGAGCATCAAATGGAGACAATAGAAACAATGTTGTATTTTGACTTAAGGTAACTAAGAAAATCAACATTGGGCTCTTTGCATAAGTATTAGGCAGGTAACTTAGTGCTATGAAGCTCCCCCTATGTGAGGGGTCCAAAGAAGGGTCTAAGTCTAACCTACTGCATGGATCGACTGTAGGCAGTCATACCTTGCATTTGCACATAGATATAAGACACCTTAGGCTATTCCCCAAATTTCTAAAATTGTTGCGTAAACTTGGTCGATCAAACTTGTGGTTAACTAATTAAGACATTTTCACTTTAAAACAAGATTGGAGGATGTGATGAGTTTAGTTTCTAAATTGTGTCCAATTACAGTGGCAACTAGTGATGAGTTTATTGTATTTTAATATAATCAAGTCAAATCATAAATTAAAGGCAGTTGGACTAATAACTATTAACCTCAACAGTTCAATGAAGTTACTAAAACATAGCTCTCAACCATAGTCATTGCCTACACCATGCCTTAATAAATCAGAAAATCATGGTTCCAGGATCAAATACCAAGCAATTGATCAAAACACACTCTTCCTATTACTTCTATCCAATTCAATATTGTTGTGGTAACATTTAAAAAAATGCATATTTGTATAGCTATTAGAGATGCACACAGAATTTCCATTTCCATACCTGATGCACCTAGAGCTTGATCATCCTTGTTCCCTTTGATAGGAGACCGAGGGTGTTGAATATCTTTATTTCCTTGCAAAGTAACAGGTTCCCCAGAGTGATTTCCAACATCCACTTCATCTTGGACAACAAAAGTATCAGCTGGAGCCTTCACTTCAGTGTTTCCACCACCAGAGGCATAGTCATCGACACTCGTCAAAAGCTTTGTATCATCCTCCAACTTCACAACACGCACATTCAATTCCCCAAATTTCCTCTCCAAAGACTCAACCAATGCTACATGCCTGCCCTTCTCATCCACCAGTTTGCGATTTTCAGCTCTTAACTCCTCTATGGTTGCCAAATTCTTCTTCACTGCTTCCTCCAATTCTTTGTTCTTCATCCTAAGCGCATCCAAAGCATTCTTGTCATCAACCTTCTCATCCTCAAACAGACTAATTCTACTCCTAAGCTCAACCAAAGCATTGCTATCATCTAACCATTTCTTGTTCAACTCCTTCAGCTCAAAATTCTCACGTTCTAATGCAAAGTTCTTATTCTTCAGCTCCTCAATAATGTCTTTATCAACTAAGCCATTTCTCTTAACATCCTTCAACAACTTCTCGTAACTCTCTTGTGCTCTCTTCCCTCTCTCACACTGTTCCTCTCTCTTTTTCAGTTCTTCTTCAGCTTCAACCCTCATTCGCTTCTCCCCCTCAATCTTCTCTTGAAGTGGCACAATCTCAGCTTTAAGTTTGGCGTCCCTTGTCACCAATTCGTCTTCAACTCGATCAAAATCATCCACGTGATACGAAATGCGCAAAACTGAAACGAGCTCGGAAATGCTCATCTCTTTGTAGTTTCTTCTATGGGTGAATCCTGGTGGGGATACAGGTTCAATTTTGTGTTGAAATGCCATGAGAAACCCAGAAAGATGAAAAATTTAGGGAAAAGGGGCGAAGGAGAAATGGGTTTCGTCAAAGTTAGGAGCTTTTGATTGATGGCAATGTGTGTATGAGGAAGAAAAGAAAGGTGGTTCTGAAGCTGAGTATGGCACCCAAAATCTGAAGAAGAGGGAACGACACCGTATTAAACATAGCAAGTTGAAGTCTATGGACAATGGACAAATGAGCATAATGCGTTATCTGCCGGTACGCCTCTTGGGTTCCATATGGTACATTTTTCAAGAGATATATATTTATTTTGAGGAAAGAGAGAGATATTAAAAAATGAAAGTATAAAAATTATGGATGTGAAGAATACTTATAATTTTTTTAAATATTTGTTCATTAGTTAAGAAAATTTATAAACATAAAAGGTAAAAAAAATTAAGAAATTTATTAGTCATCCAAGATCCAACCAATAAATAAAACTTACTTTATTCTAGGCTATAGAATGCTCTGCTCTGCTTTACCCAGCATGATACTACTTTACGATCTTCAAAGATACGGTTGTGACTTACAGGAGGGGGAAAAAAATAAAAAGTGAACTACAGTATTCTAAAACTTTTTTATGAGTTTCGTATTAAAAAAAATTAGACCAATAAAAAAGAAATATATGTTAAGTTAAAAAATTATATATAATTTATTTTAAATTATATTATTTATATTATTTACTACATTATTTTATTATTATATATTTTGTATATTAAAATTTTTATTTTATTTTTTATAAATTTTTAATTTTAAATAAAATATAATTTATATTAAATATATTTAATAATAAATTGTTATATTTGTTATATTTAAACAAACTCAAAAATATTAAATTTTTGAATAGAAATATATAATAAAAGTTAAACTAACTAAATTTTTTTTAAAAATATTATGTTAATATATTTTTATATTTTTAATTCTATTATTATTAATATTTAATTATTATATTAATATATTATATTATAATTATTTTTATTTAAAATCATAATAAAAAATTAAATATACAATATATATATATATATAATAAGACTATGTAGCAAATAATATAAATAATATAATTTTAAATAAATTATATATAATATTTTTTTAACTTAATACGTGTTTTTTTTTATTGGTTTATAATTTTTGGATACAATACTTATAATATTTTTTTAGAGTATTACAGAATTTAAAAAAAAAAAAAGACTTACTCTATAAAGATAAGCCAAATTAAAGATATATTAATTAGAGAGAGGAAAAAGGACAATTACATTAAGAGCTTGAATTATGTATTATTATGGTTAATGTCTGATAGGAATAAGGGAGTACACACAATAGTTTTGGCCTTAATTAACTAGTAGCTGAGTGATAAATGATAGGAATCAACTGCAAATCCTGTTTTCTTTTAACAGACAAGGCAAAGGATTCAGTCATATCAAGTTCTTCAGGCTTGTTCCCTTTAGCCAACTTCCAATCAAAGTGGAAAAGCAAATTTGCAAGTGAGAATTCAATGTTAACAATGCCAAAATTGATGCCTGGGCATGTCCTCCTTCCAGCTCCAAATGGAATAAACTGAAACTCTCCACCTTTGTAATCAATTGAGCTGTCAATAAACCTTTCAGGATAAAATTTCTCAGCTTCAATCCAATACTTATGATCCCTCCCAATTGTCCATGCATTAACAATGACCTTGCTCTTGGCTGCTATCTCATACCCATTAATCTCACATCTCTCACTTCATTCCCTTGGAAGTAGAAATGGAACAGGTGGATGTAGACGCAAAGTTTCTTTGATAACTGATCTCAAGTATTTCAGTTCATGAATACTTGTTTCATCCACATACCCATTTCCCTCAAAGACCCTTCTTACCTCAAATTGCACTTTCTCCAGCACCCTTGGATTTTTCACCAGTTCTGACATCACCCAATTCATAGTTGTCGATGAAGTGTCGCTTCCAGCACTGAAGATGTCCTGAAAGAGATCTTGGAGCATTACATTACTAACGTGTATAATCACCAAGGATTCAACATACAACGAAAATTATCAGTTTAAATTGATCTAAGTCATAGTTTAAGCGAGAATAACTTAAAACTAGCACTTCAGTCTATAACATTAGATGAGTGTATGCCTTAGGAGGAAATCTACTATATGACTCACTCATGCAAATTATGCATGCTTATCTAGAGATAAAATACCAAACAACATGATTGCTTTGACAATATTGTAAAATATGTTCTAGACCGGTACAATTAATCCTACTTTGCCTCATCAAACAATCATAGCCAAGAAAAAAATTAAGCAAAAAGGTCATATCAAGTAAATATATGATTTGATCTATTTATCTAGGCAAATTTTACAAGGATTTTTAACAGAAATAAACTAACCAAAATGGTTGCTTTGACAACACTGTCAGATAGGGGATGTTCCAGGTCACCATTCTTTTGAAGCCTTAAAAGAACATCAACTAGATCTTCCCCATTTTCTTCAGCAGCACCCAATGTGTCGATATTTTTCTCTCTGTGATCCCTTACAATGTTCTCAATTATCCTATCCATTTCTTGATGGAGCTTCTCAACTTTAGTCCTAACCCTAGTAAGAACTTGAAGGACTCCTTCAAGGGAAGGATAAAGATCAGCAACAGAGAACCCCGCAACTACCTTTGTGACATCCTTCATAAGTTCTACATAGGCTTGTTGGTCTTTGGATTTTTTACCAAAAGCAATCCTTGATGTTAACCCATAGGCCAATGAATTAATCTTCTCACTAAGATTAATAAGTGACCCTTCACTCAGAGATATCTCCTTAACAAGATTAGATAACTCTTCTTTCCTAATTGATCTGAAGGACTCGACACGCTTTAGTGATAGTAATTCTATTGTACAAATCTTTCTCATCTGTCTCCAGTAAGTTCCATAGGGGCTGAAACCCATGCCTTTAGAGCCATAAGTGATAACATCAGCAGCAAGCACACGAGGCCTATTTGCAAAGATGATATCATGTGTTTTCATCACTTCTTTTGCCATTTCGGGAGAAGATATCACTATGCAGCTTAGCTCACCAAGCTGCATGTGCATGAGAGGACCATATTGATTTGCCAACTCTGCTAGAGAGCGATGAGGTAGTGTTCCAAGGTGGTGTATGTTCCCTATGAGGGATAGCTTCCTCGGTCCTGGTGGCAACTTGGAGTTTGAGTTCTTGGTTTTTGATCTCCAAACTGTGTTGATTAGCATGAACACAAAGAGGAAGAAAGGAAAGATTGTGTATAAGGAAATATGAAGCTCCAACACCATGCTAGGGAATTGAGATGGAAAATTCGTGAACTAGTGAGTTTTCAAGACTAGTAGATTATGTATATGGTGTAAATTTATGGTTAGTTTGTGAAGATTTTATATTGAGGTCTAAGCTTTTGAAGGGCAAGAAAATGATCCAGAACTTTGCAGTTCGTTGCAGTGAAGAAGAAATTTAGAGGACAAACAGCTAAAGGATAAAGAGAAATGAAGAAAGTGGAGTGGAAATTCAACATGAATTATAGGCACGCACGAGTTTGGCCATATGCAACTTTGAATTTTCAACGCTGAGGTATGTTTGTGATTATAATCTTTGTGATACAAAGTCGGTAAATTACTATAAGTTGGAGGCAACTTTGAATTTTCAACGCTGAGGAATGTTTTATGACTAGTCCTATAAAATGAACTTTGAAAAGAGATGTGATTATAATCTTTGTGATATAACGTCAGTAAATTACTACAAGTTTGATTTTTAAGATAAATGATAATTTGTAACAAAATATTTTGTAATGTAATTGTTTATTCAAAGGTAAAGGAAAATAATGTTTTAAATACTTGAGAAAGTTAAGATAGAATAATAAGTGAAGAAAACGATGCTTATTGAATTTATCTTCCTCAATATAAATGAACACCTTACTTCTCTTGAAATATTTTATAATTTATTAATGATCCAAATAAATTTAACAGAGAATTTGTGAGGTTTTACTTGTAAAAGTATCTACTCAGATTTATTTTTAATGGTTGTGATCTACTCAGTTTATTTGAGACGATGGCACACAAAAGTTAAGGCCTAAGGTGAGAAATTCTAATAAATTATTAATTAACACTTTTTAAATATTTTATTATTAATTAAAATTTAACATTGACATTAGTAATACAGAGTGAACTCGAAGTTTTTAAATGAGATAAATAAATTGATAAAGAACATATTGTTAACATTTTTTAAAATTAGGAATAAAGAAGTCGTTATATTGTATGAATGAGAATATGTTAAGTTGAATTAGATTTATCTAAATAAACCTGGCCCTATTTTATAAGATGCCAACCTGAAGCTAACATACTACTTTTCAAGTCCTTGACAGATTATCTATCTTAAGCTCGTTTTTGTCTTGGAAACATAAAAGTAGCATTTAGTAAACATAAATTCAGACATAGCATAAGATATGAGTTTCATTTATACCCCCATTTTTTTTTTCACGAGTACTGTTTATGGAAGTTAAGTCTCAAGATTATTATGACACTAAATATGGAAACCTTACTCTTACAACAGGAATTCAATCATGATGTGCTGTTTCGGAAAAGAAACCAACCCCTTCTAATAGACCGAACTCTAGCTAGTAAAAGAAAATAGAAGTAAAGCAAAACTATAAATAAAGTGCTGCTTTTTTTGCCGATATACTATATATAAAGCTGAAAAGTGATATATTTTGATTTCACAACGCAAAGAGAATAAAGCAAAACTAGTCCATTCGATTTTATTTGTGACTCTACCATAAACTTGACCCAACCCAAAAGCCCATTTTACAGCTTATGTTACATGAAAAACTTCAAATTAGACGACCAAAAATACTAATTGCATGATATTAATGAACCCTCTTCACGATAAATTAATTCGTAGAGGCTGAATTCATGTAAGGATGATAGGGCTTCCAGACCAAAAACAATTTCTGAAAATTCAAGGGCAAAGATGGAGATCCCCCTTCCTTTCGTCTAAGACTTCGTGTCGGTATTAATGGTAAACGAAGCTGTGACAATATTGAACGAAATTGAGTGGAATAAAACTATTGCTTCATTGTTTAGATATTTTACAACAGTAAAATAAAATTACCACTCCATTACATGCCTTCCAAATAGAGGAACCAAAAATTAGAAGAATAGGATAGAATGAGATGAAATATATTCCATTAATTGTCACTTTATTCCATTAATATCTTCAAAATCCAAATAATAACACAACATACAGTGTCACTACATTGCATTCCACTCTATGTCATTCTTTATCACCAATTCAGACAGCTTAAGAAGATGTGGGGGAGTTTGGTTTTAAAAGAAAAAGAAAGGAGGACAATTTCCATTTTTGATAATTATTTTCTAATTAGTCATTTTTAAAATAAAAAATTGATAAATTAACATAAAAATAATGTTATAACATTATATTTATTTTTATAAACATTATATAACTCTTTGCAGTTTAAAAAAATTTCTTCATTTTTTTCCTTTTAAAATCCCAATCCAAATCATTCCCTAGTTGGCCTCAAGGCTTGGTTCAGTTTCAGTAGACGCAATCAGCTGCTATATAATTTGATTAGTCAGAAATTTCTGATGCACGCAAAAATTGTCCAAATTTCTGTTTCGAGATCACTATGCTCAATGAAATTTAGTTCCCAAATTATTATGCCAAAACTACAACATAGCACATCTACAACCAATACAAACGGTAACAGTGGAGGAAGACATGATCATGGGGCACAAACACGTCAATTTTAGGGGCAAAAGAATTTGAACTCAAATGGGAATGCAAATAACATAAAGTCACACGCAATGTGCTTCATGACCTGCAGGGAAAGGGAAGAAAAGTGAGTGTAGAGGACCCAATTTAGGTACCCAGAAGTAATACCATGGTGTCTTTTGGCTTAGCAAGGTGAGCACAGATGATCAAATTTTTTTGAGTCGAGTGATCATAACATTCCTATAATATAATGTAAATATACATTTTCCTGCATTTTTCAAAAAAATCAAGAGGGTTTGAAAATGAATTATTCAGAAGCAGTCACCAAATGGTAGAGGGACTAATCCAAAATTGGCATCCAACCTAGAATTACCTCACAGTATAAAGAGAAGCTGACCACAGTTCATTGGCATCCAACTTAGAATTATTTTACAGTATAGAGAGAACTTGAAGACGGTCCATTGGCAGTCAAGTATGAGAAAATATCCTTCATGAATGGGAAAATACAAAGACAGAAATCGATTAGGGACTTGCACACTGAAATAAAATATATAAACATATTAAGAATACCCTTTCAAATCGATCATGAATATGTTTTCAAAATAAAAGAAGTGGCATATATGTAAGCACAACTTTTATATATTTGTCTCCCAGGAAAACCATCAAGCATGGAATAAAAAAAATCCTGAAACTCATACTAAACTTTTAGGAGTTAGAACAAAGAGTAGCAGAACACTTCCACAACTCAACTGCATGACGCAGTCAAAAGTTCTGGATTTTGGAACCTGAATAACTAATGTAATTTGTAAGAATTACCTTTGAGGCTGGACCATTAAACTTGTCAAAGAACGGCTGACATTAGAAATCTCGTGGCTCACTTTGTCTCACAAATTATCACATCAGTCAATGGCAACGGGTAACAAGGTAAGCACACACTGAGATAACCACTGCTTAATTTGATCAAGAAGCCAGATATCTATTCCAGTGAGTACAATACATACACACAACCTGTTGTCAGGACAATCTTGAAGCATGTTGAGACTTTGCCATTTCCCTTAAGACAGCACCAACAATCGCTGCCTGTTCAAGGCAGTCAGCCTTATGCAATGCATCTAAAAGAACAATACATGTTTTGCTATGTATGCGACAACCTTTCAGTCGAGTTTCCTCAAAAAGTGTATATGCATCCATTGCCTTATTGGCACTGCTTAATCCTTCTATCATAGCATTATAACAAGCTGAATCAGGTAGGCCCCCACTTGCCTTAAATCTCTCAAAGAGGCCTTTTGCCTCTAGAACATTTCCAGCCTTTGCAAGTCCTGAAATCATGGTGGTGTATGTGATAGTATTGGGTTTTAACCCCTTTTTCTGCATTTCTTGCCAGAATACAAAGGCCTTATTAAATTTTCTAACCTTACAAAGACCATTTATCATAATGCTGTAAGTTATTTCGTTTGGAGAGCATTTCAAGTTTTTCATGTTCTGGAAGCAGACAAGAGCTTCATCAATTTCCTCAGCTTTCACTAATGCATCAAGTAAGCAATTCCATGTGTATGTGTTTGCAGTCAGACCTTTCTGCATCAACTCCTCCAAAATTAAATATGCTTCATCAATCCTTCCCACCTTCCCAAACCCATCAATTAGACTACTATAGATCACTACATTCAAATCAACGCCTTTTGATTTTGCTTCTTCAAATAACATATATGCTTCATCAAGCCTATCAATTTTAGAAAGTCCATCAATAACAGAACCATAAGTTACAACAGTAGGTTGGAGACCCTTTGTCTTCATTTCTTCCAGTAGTTGGTAAGCTTTATTGACCTTACCAGACTTGCAAAATCCATCAATAACAGCGTTGTAAGCACGAGTGTCCAAATGCAGTCCTTGTTCCTTCATCTCATAAAACAACTTGTATGTTTCTTTTGAAAAACCTGCTTTCACAAGACCATGAATTAAAATTGAGTAACTCCGAACATCAGGCATTAAACCCCGAGTCTTTATTTCTTCAAATAAAGCCCTCCCTTTCTCAATTTCACCTGCTTTGAAAACACAATCCATGTAGGTATTAAGGAGCATCAGATCAGGAGAGCAGCCCGTATGCATCATCTCCTTGTAAATCTTGTGACCATCTTCCTTCCTACCACACTTGAAGAAGTTCCTAATAAGGGATGTATACACCACCACATTTGGAGTCCGATTAGAATCTAACATCTTTTCATAAAGCATATAGGCATCATTCACTTTGCCATTTCTGCCCAAGCCATCAATAAGTGAACAGAATGTTACTGTGTCAGGAGTGCATACTTTATGATCCAATTCTAAAAATATGGAGCAAGCTTCATCAAGTCTCTGAGCTTTACATAGTCTATCAATCATTATGTTCACAGTCATGATATTAGGGAATAAGCCGGCCTCTTTCATGGCATCCTGAACTTTCAGAGCAGTTTCAAGTTCTCCTGCCTTGCAAAGCATGTCAATTAAAATATTATACGTAGGAAGATTAGGTGCTGCATCTTTTTTCATTTCTTCATAGATTCTTAATGCTTCCTCCACTTTACCCTTTCTTCCGAGGCAAGTCAGGATGCAATTATATGCAATTACACTAGGTATACATCCCTTTTTCTTTTGTCTCTCAAGTAAGTTGTATGCTTCATCAAATTTCCCAACTGAACCATAACCCATAATCATGGTATTATAAGCATAAACACAAGGGACACTCCTGTTGAGATCCAGCTCTTCAAACAACTCAACAGCTTCATCCAACCTCTCAGCCTTGCAAAGAACCCCTATCAGGCTAGTATAAGTCACATCATCTGGCACCAACCCTTGTGATTTCATTTCATGAAAGAATTTCCAGGCCATATCTACCTTACCAACTTTTCCAAAACAATCTATACATACATTATAGAGGACAAGGTCAGCATTAAATGAATTACTCTTCATCTCATCCAGTAAGGATAGAGCAGCATCAACGCGCCCCTCTCTGGCAAATACACGAATCAGTGTGGTAAACAAATGTACGCTTACTTCATAACCCATTTCCTGCATTTGGTGCAAGAGAGTGAGCATGAGATCAGCTTCATGAGCTGCAGAGAGGGCACCAATCAATGTCGTATAAGCTGAATAAGCAGGGCGAAACTTGAACTTCCTCATCGTTTCAATAACACCAAAAGCTTCTCCTAGCTTCCGCAACTTGATAAAACTAGTAACCAATTCAATACAAGTATTATTAGAGGGTCCAAATCCAGCCAAACTCATTTCTTCAAGAATCTGTTCCAAGTAGCCCAAATTTCTGGTTCTAGCCATAACCATGAGAAGTGCATCGTATGCTTCAGGGCAATGCGCTTGTTCAGTCTTCCGCTCCACCCACCTAAAATACTGCAATGCCACCTTCACATCCTTCAACCTTCTGAGTACTCCAACAACCAATTCTGGTTGAGGCATTTCATCACACATGTTGAGTGCATCCTCAAGGACAGGCCCCCAAGGACCAGAATCCAACACCCGGCATACATCATGCAGTTCCTTTCTGATGCCCTCTAATTTTGTTGCATTGTCTTGGTAGGTATCATCCACAAAGGTATTTACTTTACCAAAATTTTCAGAAGAACCAAAAGAAGACCCATTTGAAGAACACGATGAAAACCCGTTCAATAAAGGGTATATTTTCCCACATTTAAGAGCATACCGAAACTTTATAACTGCAACAAAAATTTAAGAATAAAAATAAAAATAATAATCAGATTTCAAATTGCAATCCTGAAACGAAGAGCGACAATGATGGATTTATTTTAAGGGGAAAGAAAAAGACCTTTGTCCCTTGAGAGGATCATAATGCGTGCACACGCACTCACTGTAATGGAAAATCACCAGAACGTGAAGAGAAACAAAGTAGACCAAGAAGAGGGAGCTGGTGAGAACAGGGGAAGTGCACTTTAGACTGATAGGAAAACAAGAATATTATACAATTAGGGGCTATTTAATTTTACATTGTTAAATTAAAATCTTCGTACTTATGCTTTTTCATTTTCTTCTGATAAAAATGATTTATTTTTTCATTTTAACTGACAGTGAAATAAAGTTTGGTTGTTATTATATTGTTTTAATAAAAGATTATATTTGGGCCAATGTTAAAAAGTGTTTATGAATTAACAGTACTTGATTTACTAATGTTATAAGAATCTTAGATTTAATATCAATATTTTATAATATTTTTTTTTATTAATCTTTACTAAAAAAAATTGCATTTCATTTTAGTAGAAAATAAATTTACATTTTAGTTTTTACGCTTGACACGCTATGTTTATTTTAAATCCTACATAACAGACCTCGAATATCATTAAACTTTTTTAAAAAGATAATGATTAGTTTATAAATATTTTCAATATAAAAATTAACAAGTGGTCTTTCAAATAGAAACCAGAACAAATATACGAGTTTGCTCTAAATATTAAATATCTTGCATTAATCAATTTACAAATTGAGAGAGTTTAATTTTAAACTAATAATACGATATAATTTATCGGTTTAATTTTTATCATAAAACCCTTTACGGGTGAATTTAATATAAGTTAAAAATAAGATAATGAAATTATTTTATTAAAATAAGTGGAAAGGAAATTTACTCATTTTAAACAAGGTTTGGGAAATTTTGGTCCCCTTAAATTGTATTAGTTGGAGCTTAAAATGGCTTTGGTGTCTAAATTCGTTAATAAACATGTCCTGTAAAGCAAGAACGAGTTGTATCAACATCCTTGTTCAAGTTCCAAGGGTGAATATAAATCAAAATGACCATGAGCTACCAATATCAACTTTATTTTCAATTCTGACAATAGAGTTATATCCTAACAAAAAGTGATCCAATAAAAAGTGCTTGATCCTACAGATCCATTGCTTAATTCCTTCCAATCCAATTTTACATACAGATAGTGGCAGAATCTAACGTTTTAACTTAGATACACACAAGATATTGGAAAGATCTAGTAGCATTGGGCTCTAATTGTTCACACCTATGATATACAAAATTTACATTAACCATTTGATGGCTTGTTTGTTAAGTTCCAACTTGGAATTGATCTTCATAATATGACAGACAACCTTTTATTTAATGTAGTTTCAGCAGAATCATATATATATAAGGTTGTCCAGCTGATGATGCACGTCGTATTATTCAAAAGGCACGTGATTGTAAGAAATAGGAATTACAAAGAGATCTTCTTTCCTTCTCACTGTAGCACCAAAAACTTCACTCATGTCAAAATTTTCACCACTAATTCCAAAGGGAAGTTTCCAATCAAAATAGTAGAGCAACTGTGCTATAAGAAGTTCCATATTAGTTGCAGCAAAAATAGTGGCAGGACATATTCTCTTTCCTGCACCAAATGGTATGTACTCAAAATCTGAACCCATGTAGTCAATTGGAGAATCCAAGAATCTCTCAGGATAGAACTTGTCTCCTTCAATCCAGTATTTTGGGTCTCTTCCAATTGCCCATGCATTTACATACACTTGGGTTCCAGCTGGTATTGTGTATCCATTAATCTCACATGTTTCGCCACACTCTCTTGGAAGTAGCAGAGGACCAGGAGGGTGTAATCTCAAAGTTTCTTTAATGACAGCTTTTAGATATTTCAATTCATGAAGAGCCATTTCATCAACACATCCTTTGCCACCAAAAACTTGCCTAACTTCTGCTTGAGCTCTTTTTAGTACTCTAGGGTTTTTCATCATTTCTGAGAAAGCCCAATCAACAGCTACAGATGATGTCTCACTTCCAGCAATAAAAATGTCCTGCACCACAAGAGTGAACTCCTACTGAGTAAAAGCAAAATAACCTCATTTCACAAGGATTGTGTTAGATAATAAAGTTCCACGTTAGTGTCTTAACAGTAGGTTAAAGGATTCATAAACAAGAGGGTCACGAGTCTAAATTATTTATACTTCATGTCATGTCATGTTGGTCTAAATTATCAAAGCTTTTTAGACAAACAAGTCAGCCTAAAAAGCTTTGATAATTTAGACCAACATGACATGAAATGAAATGAAATGAAGTATAAACAAATACAAACTAACCTGAATAATGGCTTTGATGTTTTCGACTGTCAAATGAAATTCTGGGTCTACACCATCTTTCTTATTAAGAAGAACGAACAGAAGATTTCCATCTCCACCATTCTTTGTTGTTGCTGCATTGATTATATTTTCAAGAAGCCTATCACCAGTTCTGTGTATTTCCTTCAATTTATGAATCATTCCAGTAACTACGTGTAACCAATGTTGGGAAGGAAACAAATTAGTAACATCCAAAGCTTGGTTCATTCTCATAATCTTCTTGATAAATAAGATATAAGCTTCATGGTCCTTGCATATATCACCAAAAGCTTCCCTCGCAATGATGTTATATTGCGCGGATAAAACTTCATCCGTGAGGTTGATGGTGGATCCGATGTTGGTAGAAATATTTCTTACCAAATTTGACACCTCTTCCTCCCTGATTGATTGGAATGATCTCACACGTGTAGTACTCAACAGCTCCATGGTGCATATTTTTCTTATCTGCTTCCAATAGTCTCCATAGGGTGAAAAGGTGATGTTAGTGCAACCATAAGTTACAATTTCTGCTGCAACCAAGCGAGGTCTATGAGCAAATGTGACTTCATGGGTTTTCAACACCTCTTTGGCAATTTCTGGGGAAGAAACCACTATGGCTGAGGTCTCTCCAAGTTGTAGGTGCATGAGAGGGCCATATTTTTGGGACAGTTCACTCATGCGTTGGTGAGGAAGACTGCCAATTAAATGATGTATGTTTCCTAGTATTGGCAGCTTCCAAGGACCTGGTGGAAAATTTGAAGTTGTGCCAGTGTTTTTGAATCTCTTTCCCACTTTAAGGATAAAAAACATAAGAAGGATAAGACTAAGAAGTAGAGGGAATGATAGGAAATGATCCTCCATGAGGAACAATGCAAAATGCAGTGCTGCTTTAGTGTTGTTGATGAGTGATTATTACTAGCTAGTTTATAGTTATGAATGAGAACCAATCTTAATCAAATAACAGGTTGACTTATCTGTTGTCCATTATACCCTCTGTGGCAATATATTATAGTATGCTCCCAGTTGATTGCAATTTAGTAAAACTTGCATAATATGTTTTTAGACATCATGCTAAGTGTGATGAAAGTCTTAGAAAAATCGCTTTCGTTTCAACTACCTTCTCTTTTATATATCTATTGTTCTATTCGGTTTGTCTATTAACTCTTTGTTTAACTGAGTCTTTGATCTCCACCGAAAGCCTGGAAGCAATAATGTCATATAAAATGGTTCCGTGAGAAACACGAGGCTAATGGGTGTGTACGTTAAATTCATTGACCAATTATTCCACTCTCAATTATGGTAGCAAATATTCTGCATTCAGCGCCATATATCTATCCTTTTAGATATATTATTTTTTGCCACATAATCCTGTTCCTAGTATAAGTATTTAAGATTGATTTTAAGTATCCAAAAATAATATTTTAAAAAATATTTATTATACTTTATATTTTTCATATAATAAATATTTTTTCAATAAAAATTACATATTTAAAATTCTTTAAATTGTTGTTAAAAGTTGATATTAACAAAACCCTTTAACTATAATGCACATAATTTTATCTAATAATAATAAAATATTAAAAAAGTTTGTTAATTTCTCATAAAGCATGATTCTAGTAGGCTCCGATACTTCCTTAAATTTGGACCTACAACAATTGTTTTAGCCTTTATAAGTTTTACTTTAGTCATATGTGTAGTCAACCTAGAAATTCACCAGCCTCCATTGAAATTGCAATCAATCCACCAAATAATGAAGAGTAAACGTGAACTGGTGCATTCTATTGAAAAGATTCAAAAGGAAAAGTAGGCCGAAAAGAAAGAAAGAAACTGAAGAAGTTAATCACGGACACAAGTTACAATGTAAATAATATAGTATGATGAGGTAGAGAAGTTAACACAGGATCACATATACTAAAGTTCGCCAGCTGTCAAGCATGGATGATCAGTTTGTTTAATCAACTTCCATGCGGTCTTATGCAACATGCACATGATTGTAAGAAATGGGAATCACAAATAGATCAATTTTCCTTCTCACCGTAGTACCAAAAATTTCACTCATGTCAAGACTTTCACCACTGGCTCCAAAGGGAAGTTCCCAATCAAAATAGTACAACAACTGTGCAAGAAGAATTTCCATATTTGTTGTAGCAAAAAAAATTCCAGGACATATTCTCTTTCCTGCACCAAACGGTATGTACTCAAAATCAGACCCCTTGTAGTCAACTTGACAATCCAGGAATCTCTCAGGATAAAACTTGTCTCCTTCAATCCAGTATTTTGGGTCTCTTCCAATTGCCCATGCATTTACATACACTTGGGTTCCAGCTGGTATTGTGTATCCATTAATCTCACAAGTTTCACCACACTCTCTTGGAAGTAGCAAAGGAGCAGGAGGGTGTAATCTCAAAGTTTCTTTAATGACAACTTTTAGATATTTCAATTCATGAAGAGCCACTTCATCAACGCATCCTTTGCTACCAAAAACTTGCCTAACTTCTGCTTGTGCCCTTTTTAGTACTATTGGATTTTTCAGCATTTCTGAGAAAGCCCAATCCACAGTTACAGATGATGTCTCACTTCCAGCGATAAAAATATCCTGCACCAGGATTTGTGTGTTAACAATAAATTAAAGGGTTTATAAGCAAGAGTGTCCTTAGTCTTAAATTTTAGGCTCTTTAGACAAATTAGTTACACAAGCTTCACCCGCTTGTTTTAAAAAACCGAACCAGTTTGTGTGGACAACACTATGACAAACATAACATGAAATGAAATGAAGTATAAAGAAATACAAACTAAACCTGAATAACGGCTTTGATGTTGTTGATTGTCAAATGACATTCAGGGGCTCCACGATCTTTCAGATCAGAAAGAACAGACATAAGACTTCCAACTCCACCATTCTTTGCTGTTGCCGCGTTGATGATATTTTCAAGCAGCATATCACCAGTTCTATGGATTTCCTTCAATTTATGCATCATTCCAGTAACCACATGTAGCCAATTTTGGGAAGGAAACAAATTAGTAACACCAAAAGCTTCGCTCATTCTCATAATCCTCCTCATAAATAAGATAAACGCTTCTTGTTCCTCACCTATATCACCAAAAGCTGCCCTTGCAACGATGCTATAGGTCATAGATAAAACTTTATCTGTAAGGTTGATGGTGGATCCGGTGTTCATTGAAATATATCTTACTAAATTTGACACCTCTTCCTCCCTGATTGATTGGAATGATCGCACACGCTTAGCACTCAACACCTCCATTGTGCATATTTTTCTAAGCTGCTTCCAATAGTCTCCATAGGGTGAAAAGGTGATATTAGTGAAACCATAAGTTACAATTTCTGCTGCAACAAAGCGAGGTCTATGAGCAAATGTGACTTCATGGGTTTTCAGCACCTCTTTGGCAATTTCTGGAGAAGAAACCACTATGGCTGAAGTCTCTCCAAGTTGTAGGTGCATGAGAGGACCATATTTTTGGGACAATTCTCTCATGCGGTGGTGGGGAAGATGGCCTATGAGGTGATGTATGCTTCCAAATATTGGCAGCTTCCATGGCCCTGGAGGAAGATTTGAGGTTGTGCCAATGCTTTTGAAACTCTTTCCCACTTTTAGGATAAAAAACGTCAAGAGGGTAAGACTGAGAAGGACGAGAAATGATAAGAAATAATCATCCATGAGGGAAAATGTAAAGCAGGTCAACGTTGTTGATGAGTGAGTATTACTAGCTATCAAAGAGGACCAATCTCAAATCCTATTTTATGCAGGCGTCTTACAGGTTCACCTATCTTTTGTAATCTGTCCATAATATTTCTTTTTCAAATAAATATTATTTTAGTCCTTCGAATTGTAGGCATAAAATATTTTTAGTTCTTAACTTCACAAAAATCTTACTTTAAGCCTAAATTAACAAAACGACAAAAATTAAAGTAAATTTTTTTATAAATTTAAAGACTAAATTATTGACCTTTATAATTTTAAGGCTAAAATAAGTATTTCCTCTTTTTTTCCTTTTCTTCACGTATCGATCCCAGCACATTACACTCTTATCGAGGTAAATGTTCTTATAATAACCTACTTTATTTCCAACACGCAACTAAATTTTCTCCATGTAGTGCTTTAGTTTCACATTGGTACCTTATTATTAAGCATAAGAAACTCCATTATAAATAAAATGATTCCTTCCAACCATTTTTACATGCAGAGTAGTAGAATCTAAAACTATTTAAGTGTAAGCAAGGTATATATTGGACATTCCTAGCAAATGGCAAATTGTATTCTAACAGCAAAATTTTTCTTCTTCTATTTGACCTGTAGTGGAAAAAAATTACATCCGTGAGGAAACAAAGTAGGGGCATGAATGATATAATCAAAACGACTTGCTAACAAAAACAGAAAGCGATGCTAATAACTGGACAGGAAAGCCACAATTGAAAGAATTTCTCACACTTATATCCAACAAGGATGAGCAACAAGAAGAACAGGAAATAAAAACAATTAAAGAGAAATTCATGTACAAGTTACAACACTTATAGTAATAAAGGATGGTTCCATCAAGCACCTTACAAGTTACAACAACAGTAGCATACATGAATGCAGCTGCTGACACCTGTGCATATCTCCCGTCATATTATCAAAGGGACTCTATTCTTATTCATTTCACTATTTGTTATTGTAAGCAGGAGAACTTCAATTCTCTCTTACTTAACAAACAAGAACCCCCAATCAAAATCACTAAACCTAAAATTCATGAACATAGTAAAACTCAAAAGCAATTAAGCATGCTTGAAGATTACTCTAGTCTAAATACAATAATCATAAAACTCAGAAATATGTGAAGTATGGTCCATAGTGAAGCTAGGAATCTTGTCCAACTTAACAGGGTTGTTCTTCCCTCCCACCAACTTAGCAGGGTTCCCAACAACAGTAGTCCTTGCAGGCACATCCTTAATCACCACTGAACCAGCACCAATTTTAGCTCCTTCACCAATCTTAATATTCCCCAAGATACAAGTTCCTGCACCAATAAGCACCCCATCACCAATCTTGGGGTGCCTATCCCCAGAAACCTTACCAGTCCCTCCCAAAGTCACACTATGCAAAATTGACACATTGTTCCCAATCACAGCCGTTTCACCCACAACAATCCCAGTTGCATGATCCAGCAAAATCCCACTTCCAACCTTAGCTCCAGGATGAATATCCACTGCAAAAACCTCAGAAACACGGTTCTGAATCATCACAGCCAGAACCTTCCTACCCTGAAGCCACAATTTATGAGCCACCCTATGAGCTTGACACGCCAAAAACCCTTTGAAGTTCAAGAAACAGTGCACGTGGCTAATGCAAGCAGGGTCCCTTTCCTTCACTGCTCTAAGATCATCCTTCGTAGCATCCATGAGGGTTTCATTAGCTTCAAGAACTTTCAAGAAAAGATCAGAAAGGACACAACTTGGAAGGCTTGCACTGCTCAGTTTGGTAGCTAGGTGATGACCCAGTGCAGTTTCCAACGATTTATGAGACAAAATGGAGGTGTTGTAGTAACTACACAAAATGGGTTCTTCAGCGACATCGTTTCTTGCTTCTTCTAGAATCTTCGACCAGAGATCGGGTTCAACCTCGTATGCTTCAACTTGTTGCTCTACAGTGGAACCAGTGTGGAGGGTGTGTTTGTTAATGGGGAAAAAGGGAAGAGGAACAGAGAAAGTGAGATGATGATGGGTTTGGCAATTGGAAGTTATAGATTTGGTGGCGCGTGTTATGTGGCGACTAACGAAGAAGAGGGGCAAGTGTTTGGGTGTTGGAGTCACAAGGAAGCGTCCTCTCATCGTGATTTTCATGGAAAATTGGACGATTTTCTGGGAAAATGATTTGCAAAGAATGTCTCAGGAAAAAAAGGGAAGAAAAAAGAGTAGAGATAACACGTTCCAACATTTTCACTATATATAGTGTGTATCTCTCTTTGCTTGTTCTTTTCTAAATTATGATAAAAAGTAGTAGTTTTTAAGAATATTTTAGGTTTATTTTTTAATAAATTAAATTTTTATTTTGATAGTTTGACGACAGTGTAAGATGTGAATCTTGAAATTTTAATTAAATTAATGATATTCAAAAATGTAAGAAATTATACTTAAATTTTATTTTGAGGATTAATGAAAAAAATATGTAGTTGAATTAACCTTGAAATGAGAGAACACATTTTTTAACATTTTGTTTTCAAAACTTAATTGTAATATAATCACAGCGAAAAAAATATATAATTCATCTAATCACATAATATTACTATATTAGTCATAATTATTTATCTTTATAATATTTAATTTTAAAATTAAATTAATTATGTATTTTAAATAATTTATGGGGTAAATAATGAATTAAAATTAAACTCTTATTATATATCACTATTTTTATATATTTTAATTAAAATGTATCGTTATTTATATTATTTTATTGATTAAATAAATCTAAAATTTTTAAATATAAAAAAAGACTAAATTACATAGAAGGATATACTCTAATTTTAATATATAAAGGTGAGTACGAAAAATAATAATTTGAGATTAAAAATAAAAAATTAATGTAAAATGAAATAAAATTTACTTGACTTATAGAAAGAAACATTAATAGAAAATTAAAATAATTAACTTACATTTGAAGAACCATAAAATAAAATGTTTTAAATGATAAAATCATATGTCACAAGAATAAAAATCAATATGATGAATTTACCTCACTCTAAAAATTTGATTTATTATTTAACGTCTAATTATTTACAATAAATATCAATTAGTGTTCTTAAAAAACAAGTTAAATTTTTTTTAAAAATTATAAAAAATATGATAATTATAACTTTTAAAAGTTTAATATAATTTTAATAAAAAATTTCTTTTAATTTTTAAATTAATATTGGTTGGCAAGATTTATTATTTAATTGTTTATTGAAAGTTTTGAAGATACTTAGAACCTATACGTTTTATAAAAAGAAAAGTCCACCTTTTGTTTCATTGAGTCAAATTGTTTCAAAAGATATACCTTATCCTTGACCCAACCAATACCACCCGTTCTCATCTAAGCAAAGACATCACCACAAATTCATGTTCTTCCCCATCTTCCATGCATTTGGATTCTCTTGTACTAATTAATTATGTTGAGAATATATATATATATATTAAATTTAATCAATAAATCTATAATTAACTATAATAAATTTTTATTTAATAAAATGTGTATTTATATCTTTAATACATCATTTTATTCAACAATAAAAAAAATGCATCTAAATTCATCTTTATTTTCTAATATGCCTATTAAAGAGTAGATAGTAGAACATAAGTGGAGTTAAAATGTAAGTCTCTAAACTATATGGAATTAATTTAGACATCAGGCAAATTAGCGAGAGTTATTTTGTATTGAATCCTTAGAATTGTAAATATTGTTATAGTGTGGAAAAAATTTGAAAATATTGCTAATAAAATAATTGATTTTTCTCTCACAGTAGTTTTTGTTATACGAAAAATAGAACAAAATGCTTCAAATGACATTGTGTAAATTTTATTTTTCACATGAAAAATATTTGATAGACATCTTTTAAGTCTTTATTATGTCTCGCAACATCTATTTTATATAATATATTTTGTCCCATTATGGGTATTCGTATGACAATGGAGAATCTTGTGTTAGATGGTTGTTATTTAAAGGTCTTCATTATTATCTTAAAAAAACTATGTGTTTTCTAAAGCTAATTTGCATTATTGGTATTGTAAAGTAAAGGGCCTTTTTCAAAATCAATATTTTTTTAGAACCAAACTTGCCAATCAAAGCATTCTTGTCTTGTTTGCTAGCACCTTATTTACAAATAAGGGTTTCATACCTTTTATTTCTCATATTTTATATCTTAAATATGATTTTAGTTTTTTTTTTAATTATTTGTATTTAAAGTTTATAGTGTTTCAATTTCTAAAATTGAGTATTTTACCTAACATTTTATTTTAAATATTATAAAAAATATTATTTTATTATTTTATATAAATTGATAAAAGTGAGAATGCTACCAATGGGATATATGTTAATAATTTATAAATATAATTAACATTATTATTTAATTAAAATAAAAAATTTATTCCAATAATATATGATAAAAATAGCACATTAAAATTAAAAATACACACATTAATTAAGTAAAACTTGAAATTCTAATTAAACAACCACGGTATCATAAAATATTATAGTGCTATAAATATTTCACCTAAGTTTATTTTATCCTTAAAGCTCAACCTCCCCATCAACAGCAGCAGGAAGATCAAGTTGCATACAAGGAAATCATGTCTTGAATAGTTCCTAATTTCTATGAAGACATAAGGAAATCATGTCAGGACTTGAAATTTTTCTCAAACCTTAAAATAACTAAATTTAATCACCATTTATTCGAAGATAATAAATATTTTTTAATTTGTCTCGTGATTTTTTTAATTATTTTCAAAATCAAAATTTGAAACTACTTCAAAAATTAAAATTTAAAATTAATTCATAAAATATTATAAAATTTAATTTTTAATAAATATTTTGACACATTACAAAAAATTATTTTCAAAATTGAATTTTGGATATAAATAAATAAGAGATTTCCTCATGTGTGGTCATTCGAGGTCCATAGGCCCAATTCAGTATTTATATCTTTTTTTTAAGATAAATAAAAGAATAACATTTTTGGCTAATTAGATTTTCCTTTCACCACCAAACACAGGACTTGTGCGTGTGTGTGTGAATGAGTTTAATATAAAAAATGGGAGGGTAGATGGTGGTGAAAGAAGGTGATCGCCATGAATGAAGGTACTTTCTTTGAAGCTGATGATAGATCATTGAGTTTATTTATTGCTTTCGTTAATAATGGCTACTAACCGTTACTACATTGATATAAAGAGTTGAAATCAGTGCTAAGTAGTAACTCACCATTATACTTAGAACCCACTAACATTTTAATTGCCACACTCAAAGACAACACCCTATTTATTCACCTATTTATTTTTTGAATTTTTCACCCACCCACTTCACCACCATTCTCTGTTGAACTAATTTTACCTTGCACTGTAATCACTGTGATACATGTACACTTAGAAAGAGATGAGAAAAAGATAAATAGAAAAGTATAAATATAATTGTATTATTATATTAGGGAACAGGATTGAGCAAATAGTTTACTTTTTTGTTCCCACCAAATGGATGGAGTAATCAAGTAACAGTGTCCACCGCAGGAAGGAAAGATTTTCAGAAAATCAACTTTGAATTCCCCTCTTTTGAGTTGTCAAATGTACCCAATTTCTTAATTTGGTGGCAGTTGAGAAAGCCCAACTTCCTCAACAGTTGAACATTTTATCAACGTGGCCCTTATATATTATTCAAAAATAATAGAGGTTTTCTTTTTTATTTTTATAACATGAATATTTTTATATCGAATAATTTTGAAATAAACTATATGTTATAACCCAAAGTGCATGGGTCTTCTTATTACCACTGTACTTACAATTTACAACTACTATTCCGATCTTAAAACACTAGCGAATATAGGGATCCGATTTTATCCTAAGTAATTAATAGATATTCAATACAAGTAAAATATATATATTTCATCTAATGCTACAACCGCCCTTCTAGTTGCTCAGTTCTATATAAACTTTGCAAAATCAAAATCATTCCTTTGAGTTTCATTTTATGATTTTCTACTTAAACTTATTAATATTCTTAGCACCTTTTCACCTTCATTTGAACTCAATATTCATCTTTGCTTTCCCATTGTTTTGAGTATTAGTCTCTTTCACTTTCATAAGTTCATACGTCCCTATATAGTGTTCAATCTTTTCTAGCTATTGACTAGAGGAGGAATTAATGGCTAAGATGGGGTTACCAGTTTTGTTTTTTCAAGTTTTGTTGTTGGTGTGTGTTAAGGTGCAAGGTGGAGATAGTGATGATGGTAGGAACTTCATTACTTGGGATGATTTCATGGTGAATGAACATGGTATCGCCTCCAATGGAGGGGGTCGAGTTATCGTGGTTGATCAAAGTGGTAATGGAGATTCAACAACTGTTCAAGGGGCTGTGGATATGGTTGCTGAAAACAACACACAAAGGGTGAAGATATATATTTATCCTGGAACTTATAGGTTTGCTATATATAAGAATTAAACTCTACATGCAATCTCTCCTTGTTTTTAAGCATCCTCATCCTAATTCTAGTTCCACAATGCTGTCATTTTTCTTTTCTTGTTCAATATTTCCACATGAACAAAAGTTAAACCATTTTTTAGATAAAAGAAAAGTGATATATGATGTGAATTATACGTGCTAGTGATACATGATGTGAATTATATGTGCTCCACATGTGATTATATGCAAGACATATAACTCTTCCCTCCCAGTTTTTTACTTTAGTTTATTTAAATGTAACTGAGTTTTTTAGGGATATACGTTTTCTCTCTCTGTATATCTACTACTCTTAATGTCACCTAGCATTTACTAGTTTTAAATTTATATTATCAATTTTAATATTTCAAAAACTGAAATGTTTTTGGTTTTGTGAAATGACAACACTTAATAGTAAGTAAATTTAAAATTTTATTTTATATATCTTTTGAAGTTTTAATACATTCAAAATTACATTGGTAAAAAAAAATGCTCTTTGAAACTGACTTATAATTACTCACTAGCTAATTGGTTACATACTTACAGTAAATTAAACTGTATTATATTTCTTAAGAGAGAAAAGAATCAATTTTTAAATTAGAAAAGTGGATAATATATTGTGGAGACTGAAATTGATCTTAAGTCATGTATATAAATAGAAAAGATCCGTTTTGTAAGAAGATAAATGGTTTGGTTTGCCACTGAAAATTTATTTGTAATTAAGAAATAGTATGCATCTCATGTCACATGCACAATTTAAATGTCAATATTTGTAATAATTGGGATAAGCAATAATGTGCAGCTGATGAACAATTTATGCAGAGAAAGAGTGCATGTGCCGAAAAGCAAGCCGTTTATTTCATTTATAGGTAAACCTAATATAACAATGAATGGCAATGAACGAAATGTAACAGTTAATGCCAATGCATTAAATGTTACGGACATTGGCAATGCCATACCAATTATCACAAACAGTACTAAGGCATCAGACAAAGGCTCAGATGGTCAAGAAATGGGCACTGTTAGTACAGCAACTGTATGGGTAGAATCTGATTTGTTTTGTGCCACTGCTCTTACTATTGAGGTGACCACCATCTTATTGCTACCAACCATCAACCCTTAAATTCATTTCAATTATTACTTTGTTTGTGAGATGGTTTATTAGAAATATGCATAATCCTCTATGCTTCTAATTAAAAAAGTTGAATTTCAACAAACGTGGGTGAGTTTATATATCATGCACACTTCAATTCAAATATTATACGTGTTAGAAATATAATACATACCATAATATGTCTTCACTTAAAAATTTAAACTTTTTTAGATAATTGATTCATATGAGAGAAAGAAGGTGAGAATTGTAAAGATATCTTTGTAAAAATAATAATCTGAAATGAGATTAATAGATGTTTGAAAGAATTTATGAAAACAAAAACCAAACATGCCTGATTCTTATTTATTTATTTCTTCAGAATTTGGTAGATAAAGATGCATATAAACGTCAAGCAGTAGCGTTGCGTGTAGACGGTGATAAAGCTGTATTTTACAGAGTTAGGCTTGTGGGAGAACAAGACACCCTCTTAGATAACACAGGAACCCATTATTTCTACCGAAGTTTCATTCAAGGATCCGTTGATTTTATATGTGGCAACGCAAAATCATTGTTCCATGTACTAACATTGTGCCTTTTTTGTTCCACAATCTTATACACATAACTCACATAGTTTGTTTATGTAACATTTTTTTTTTCACTTTTACTAACATAGTAATGTTTGGTGTTTGTGTCTGCCACCAGGAATGTGTACTAAACTCTGTAGCTGAGTTTTGGGGAGCAATTGCAGCTCATCACAGAGATTCAGCTGATGAAGACACAGGATTTTCATTTGTTGGGTGCAAAATCAAAGGAACCGGAAGTATCTTTCTTGGGAGAGCTTGGGGAGAGTATGCTACAACAATATATTCTTATTGTGACATGGGTGATATCATTAACCCATTGGGATGGAGCGATTGGGATAATCCATCTAGACAAGAGTATCACCCAAATTCTCATTTTTAAATTATCTCAAATGTTACTTAATATGAACACTGTTAGAGAACTTAGAAATGTCTAATAACCAATCATGATGAGAGAAAGAAAATTAATATTTGAAAAATTAATTAAATACGACCAAATTTTTTCATTTTCTTTTATTGAGTTTAATTTTAATGCACTGTCAGTACAAAAAGTATATACTGTACATCCGAATTTTATATTAGTTATTGAAAAAATTAATAATTACAATTGGATGCCATTGTAAAAAAATATATATTTAAATTAAATTCATAAATTAAACACAACAATTTTTTTCCCTTTTATTGTTTATCACAGGACTGCTATGTTTGGGGAGTACGAATGCTCAGGAAAAGGATCAAACAGAACTGAGAGGGTGGGATGGTCAAAAGCTTTGAGCAGTGATGAAGCTAAGCCTTTCCTTAGCAGAGACTACATATATGGAGATAGATGGCTTAGACTATAGTAGCAGCTTCACCCACTTTATGATATATGGTTGATGGTTCTTTATTCATCTCTTTATTTATTTATTTACAAAACTTATAGTTCAAGACACAAAACAAAATGTCATAGAATCATAATCATCATAGTTGTAAACAATTTTGCATTCAGCCCAAAAGTGTTATTTAAATTATATTAAATTGGGACCTTTGCCAGCACATGGAGGCTGTACTCCAAGGAAACTTAACTATTACAATAATTGTTTAGGTAAGTAATAATAATTGACACCAAGCAATAAATACAATCTCTTGCTGTTGAGTTATATCACCTCTAGTGGTAACACCACCATGATAACTGACCATATTACACGCTTACCAGGAAAATAAAAATCTGTTGATCATATGTTAAAAATGAATATTTCATAATTAGATACTCATCAGTCACACTAAATATCCAAATCATGGCTAGCTTCAGATGTTTTGGACTAAACAAGATGGTATAAGTGCAAAGCTATAAAATCAACTACCAAAAATGTTCTCTGGAATTCCCAATCTTCTACAAAAGTCACCATATTGATGTTGAGACTCTTCATCCATTCCTGTGAGTATGTTTAATAGGAATTGAACTTTTGATTTTTCTCACAATCTTAACCTATTTTATCCTTTGCAGTAACATTATTATTAGAAAAGATTTTAATTATGAAATATTTTATTCTTTTTTAAAAATAATAAATATAATAATGAATGGTAGAGATTAACATTAATTTGGTACAGTGAACAAAATTCACTGCAGAGGATCAAAATCTTATTTGACCAATTGAGCTATACCTCAAGAGTCAAAGATGTATTTTATTTGAATTTAGAAATAAACAGACCTCTAAATTTAAAGTTTAGAACTCAAGCAACCTGAGAAATAAAACTATATTTTGCCTAACATGATACTCCCAAGAACTTGCATAAATTAAACCTATATATGTCCTACAGCTTCCATTTAGTCATATAGAGTTACCATCTAGGGCATCACAAGGTTAGATGATCTAGTCAAGAAACATAAAATGAATTAATGTTTTTTAAACCAAGTGGAGTGCAAATTCTATCTCATAACACCATATCTACTGATTCATCCACTCCATCATGTGTTACACAAGCAATGTGAAACTATAATGAATAATCTTTAAGCATAATAAGATTTTACACAATTACTCTCGCGATCATGCTTCATGACTACTTCTTAGAGAACCTTCACACAAAAATTGTTAATTATTGCACGGCACATTCATAATAATCTAGAGATCTACATATAACAATCACCCTTCCTGCTTAGGTGTGTTCGATAGGAAACATATTTAAACATTTGTAGATTAACATATTATTTAAAGGTGAATCTGAATATGCTTTAGAATAATAGACTCACATATCACTTAATAATAGACACAATTTTTAATTAGAAATTTACTGAAATATGCAACTATATATATACTTCCTGAAATTTTGACGAGGCGTGTAAAATTATTTAACACATATATCATTTTCTTTGTGGCTAACGTTGAGCTGAGATCATAAGGTAAATTCCAAGAATCTTTCACTGAAACCAAGAAAACAAACTTTTCACTCTTTTGTATTTTCTTGCTCACATTTCTGGTACCTGCATCCGTAACCTTTTTCCTATGCTTAATAAGCACTTCCTTTACTTGTTCTTATGTGAAACAGTGGAAAAACTACTGAACTGAGCAAATCCAAATACATGAATCTACGAGCCTAACCAACTCTTGCCTATAAATGGTGTGAGGGAAGCATGTGTGTGTGAAAGTTATTATTATACGGAGAGAGGATCATGATACTCACCACCGTGGACTCGTGACTAATGAGTGCATCCCATTAATTGTTTTTGCCTTAAATGGTCAGTTACTGCACTGAAGGAAGAGTTTGAAATGATTTGGTGTTGTAAAAATTGAAGGAATATGAAAAGGTAATAAAATAATCTATTAACTCCCATTACTCTAACTCATTGGTATTTGATATTGTAACTGCTATCTGTTATCAATATTATGCCTCTACATTCTACATCTACATTTATATGTAAAATTAATTATGATTATTTATTAATATATACATTTATAATAAAATTTATAATTATTAAAATTTAAAATACTTAAAGTCATCTATAATATTCATAATGTTAACTATTTATTACTATATATTTATATCAAATTTTATAATTACAAAAATTTATAATATTTAAAATTAATTAGTTACTAATAATATGAATGTTACATTATTAGAAATAATATATTACTTCTCACTTATTTATTACTATATATATTTATAATAAAAATAATGCTTATTAAACTTTAGAATACTCAAAGTCACGTATAATTGTTATAGATAATTATACATGTTAAAAATAAAACAAATTAATCATGAATTGCATTTAATAGAAATTTATTAAAAATTTTAAAATACTTAAAATCACATATATTCTTGTCACATATATTATCAAAATAGATGTTAATATATATTAAAAATAAAAATAACAAATTAACTATAAATTGTATTTAATAAAAAATTGTTAAAATTAATTATAATATTTCACATATCTTAAGAATTTAAATTATAATCAATTCATAATTATTATATTTAAATTATATTTAAAAAATATTAGAATTAATTATATATAAAAATTTTACATTGATAATTATACAATTTTAAAAATACAAATGAAAAATTAGTAATATATTATATTTAATAAAAAATTATTAAATTTGATTATATAAAAAAAGTGAAAACGAGACACCATAAATTTTGAAAATAAAAAAAATACTTAAAATCATATAAAAATAACTTTAAAAAAATTAACAAATCTCTTGAATTATTGTTTTATTAAAAATAAAATTATATAAATTATTTTAAGTCTTATTCAAATTTAAATGATATTAACTTAAATAATTTTATTAATTAGTTTAATATATTTAACATTTAAAAGTGTGTATTAAAAATTATAATATATTTAAAATAAAAAATAATTAAAATTAAGTTGAACTGTTATATTTATTTTTTATATATAATTTATTTTAAAAAATAATCAAAATTTTCATTTTTATTTTTGTGTCACATTAAAAATATTTATTATTTAAATTATCATTATTTTTAATTAAATTAACTAATAAATTATATACATTTATATATTTGTATAAATTTGTGCAATGCACGAATATATTTATTAATACTCTGTGATTTTATATGATAATTATATTTATTGTCCTTTTCTTTTAATTTTTCCATCTTAATTTCATAGATTAGCTTTTTTTTTTCTCAGGTATATGGAGTTTCCTCCCCCCTAAAGGAACGTCTTCAAGCCTTAACTTCAACTGCTCTTTACTTAATATTTTTTTAATTATCAGCTGTTAGAATCTGTCTTCTAATAGCAATCCAGTACAATAATTAATGAAATATAGTAATTGGGAATTATAACATTAATGTAATGTGATTTATTAAAAAAAATAAAACACTTGTCTACGAGAGAGAAGACAGTTTTTCAACACAAGTTAAAACAATTTGATAGAACATGTCTTTGTTGTACAATATCTATATCTATGTGTGAATCAGAAGAGAAAGAAATGGGGGAAAAATAAAGCGAATGCCATTATAGATGGTTTCCAATAAATCTATTACTCAGACAGAAATATTTATAATATTCATTATGTTGATATAATAATTACACTTGCATTTTACTAATATATCACTATCCTCACAAGAGATTAAAAGGGACCAACATCATTCTCATAATTATAATATATCAACTGATTTCTCAACATAAAAGACTTGAATATTCACATATGTAGTAGTAGCTGAACCATAACTTAAAAAATCTAGCTCACTGTGCGTCTAATATGGAACGAAAATCAATCATTCAACATTGTTCCAAAATCCCAATAGCTATACCTATGTTGCAACAAAAAAAAATATTAAAAAGAAACAAAAAGAGATGGTATCATCATATTATACATATTAGTGGTTTATCATTTATAAAGGAAAGAAAAAAACAGAACATTTGAAAGCCATTGAGAAAGATCCAACGTCCAAGATCAGTTTCACCAAAACAAAGAAACAACCAACACAATAGTAGGGGGCAGTTGCACCCAATGTCCACACCCCATGATGCTACAACAGCTCTTCTTGTTGCCAAGTTCATCTTTTCTATACTACCACGCTACCAATAACCGTCTCTTCTATAAATACGATCAAGTTTAAAAACATAAACCCACTTGGTTACCCTACACTCTTTCTACTTTTTAAAAAGTAGCTTCACTAATCATTGAGCCAAAGTCTCTTTATGTTCTTTTTATTAAACTCAAAAGCAAACCCATGTTTATTTTCAATTCCTTACTTGAATTGTGATTTGTGAAAGTGTGACTCTTTATATTTCGTTTCATTATTATTATAACAACATGCAAGCTTTACCAGGATTGGAACAGACGTATTACTTTAACGCTCGCTTATTTATTGCAATCAGCTAATCCACGCTTCAACTCTAGAAAACGTTACACCACTGTTTCATGAATAGCACAAGCTTTTTGTTCTCATTGGAGTTTCTAGTTCTCACCTTGGTACTATAATAACAGATCAACAGTTTTAACACACCCAAACACCTTCATGCTGAATATCTTATTCCTTGAGTGGCCAAACAATGATGATGATGATGGGGTTGTCTTCTAGAGTTGTGTTCTTGTTTGTTTTGGTTTTCCTGATGTGGGTTCAGGTGGATTTAGCAGAAGGTAGCAATGGCCATGGTGTTGTCAGGGATTACATTAGTTGGGAAGATCTGCAGGTGGATGAACAAAGGTTGACCTTGAAGTCAAATAACGAGGTTCGAGTTATCATTGTTGACCAGAATGGCAAGGGGCATTCGAAAACTGTTCAAGGAGCAGTGGATTTGGTTCCAGATAATAACAGAAAAAGGGTGAAAATTTACATCTATCCAGGAATTTACAGGTTAGTATAATTGCATGTTTCACCATTTGAGTTTATCTTTTACTTTCACCACCACTGTGTCATTATTCAGTTCTAATCAAAAGCAGTTGTTTTCATTCTTTGCCTTAATTAATATTTGTTTTGAAAGATACATTGTGTATTTTAGGTAAGGCAGCAGGTCTTTTTGATCTAATAGTTACATTACATTTATTTTTCTTACTTTTTTATCACGAAAAACTTGAGTTCTGTTTTTCTTACCCTTAGTTTATTTGCAATTTATGCAGAGAAAAAGTGTTTGTGCCTGTCACCAAGCCTTATGTATCATTTATAGGTAAAAGAAATCGAACAGAAAGTGCTGTTATTACTTGGAACAGTAAGTCATCTGATAAAGGTCCAAATGGTCAAGCATTGGGCACCTATGATTCAGCAACTGTGGCAGTGGACTCAAATTATTTCTGTGCAACTGAGGTCACTTTTGAGGTAAGGACACAACTCTTGCTACCCAAACACAAGACGGGTAACCAAGTGCATTTTGGACTTTGTCAAATGTTAATCTTTGTTGGTTGCAGAACACGGTGGTCGCAGCTCCTGGTGGGAAAGGGATGCAAGCAGTGGCATTGAGGGTAAACAGTGAAAGAGCCGTGTTCTACCGAGTGAGGATTAAGGGAACACAGGACACTCTTTTGGACAACGAAGGAAAACATTACTTCTTGAAGTGTCGCATACAAGGAAAAGTTGACTTTATCTGTGGCAATGCAAAATCACTTTTTGAGGTAAAATGATGAGCCTTTTCTATGTTACTAAAATAAACTCGCGACCAAGTCAATTTAATTCTGACTTTTGAGAAATATGGAACAGAAGTGTCGTCTTCAATCAATAGCTGAGAACTATGGAGCAATAGCAGCACATCACAGAGATAAACCAGATGATTCAGGTTTTTCTTTTGTGGGGTGCAGCATTAGAGGAACCGGCAGTGTGTACCTTGGCAGAGCATGGGGGAAGTACTCAAGAATTATATACTCCAATTGTAATATGGATGGTATTATTAATCCTGAAGGATGGTCAGAATTTAATCATCCAGAAAGAAGGAAGTATGATATTGTCTGTTCTGAATTTGGCATTATTATTCCATTATTGAATTCATAGTGGATTATGTCTAAAAGCATATATGCTATCAATTTCAGGACTGCAGTGTTTGGTGAGTATCAATGCAAGGGAAGAGGAGCAGATAGAAGACACCGGGTGCCTTGGTCAAAATCATTCAGTTATCAAGAAGCAAGGCCTTTCCTGGACAAGAGCTTCATAGATGGAGACCAGTGGCTTAGACTGTAGCATTAGGCTGCATTAATTATACCAAATATTATTATTCATTAATTATCTCCTTGTTAATTATGTTACTTGTTACCCAAATGATGAATTTTCATGCTTACTTTTCATCTTTTAAGTGATGCTTGGGATAACTGATAGGTGACTATTCCAGGGTCCCAAATGCTTAACTGTATCATAATCATAAATCATAATGAATCTTGACGTGCTCTTATTCTTGTTCATCCCCCTACTGGAACCAACACTTGCAAGGAAAGCATTATCACTGGCATATTATTTAGTTACCATACTATGCTTCGATTGAATGCGAGAACAACGAATAGACGAGAAGAAAAAAAAAACCTATAAACATGCCTCGTATGCTATGAAAATAAGAAAAAATAAAATGAGACTGAATAATGAAAGAACCTATAAACAATTATGCAAAACGGTGAGCGTAACAAGATGCATATATATTTTTGCATTATCAAATTCAATTAAATTAAAAAGTAGCAATTAATCATTTACAATCTCAACTCCCTCGTCCCAGTCCTCATCCTATTCTAACTCCCACCCCCACGACTTCCCTCCTGTCTAACTTCCCACCATCTTCATTTATGTCTACTATGAAACAAATCTAATATCCAACAACAGACGCACGCACAGCCCTTCAAACTACACATCAATGAAGGCAAATAAAGAAATCAAAAGGCAATCAGCTTCCTGACGTATAACTATCCGCATATTCTAAACATTCTAGCGGACTGAAAAGTTCAACAATTGACTTCTAAAAACTGTATATACAGTCATTCCACGAATCTGCAGTTTTACAGTCATTGTCAGAAGTCCCAATCGTAATACTAAATAACTTGTAAGTCATTATTTATGCATTGGATGTTCAAAATCAACATAGGCTATAACTAGATCAAGCTTCAGAACAGGATGTTCAGACAAAACGGGCTATTTGTGATTAAGTAAAATCTTTTATTTTGTCCGTTGTAAAATATGTGTGATGGTCAAATTCATCCTCTCAAGGTTAAATAACCTGGCAAGAAACATCTGGCAAATAGAATTCTTCTATCAGGTGAAAAAGAACTTCATCCCCCGAAATTAATAAGTGCTTTCCAGCAACAGAATTACAATAGCCAAAAGAACAAATGGTTCAAGACAAAAGTTGCAAGACTTGCGTAAAACAAAATCTACATTTTCTATATTTGATGTAATCACTCATCAACTTGCAATGACTTCAAAATCTTTGGTGAACTAATGAATCAACTGGCAATGGAACTGACAATCTTAGCCTCGATGAAGAACATTTATTATACGTTTCATTGCTATTCTTGGATCAATTTCTCCAAAAGCGACCACGATGCTTTTGTTCTTGCATTTTCCTGCATCATTTGGAAAAGTATCAATAATATATACACAAAATAAAACTTCAACCACCAACATGAAATCAACGTAAATAATATGCTAGACTAGATTAATGAACACTAATTTCATCAAATTTTATGGGGGAAAAACGTAAACTACCCCAACAAATATAATAAACTTCACATCTCATGCTTAACAGAAATATTTTCAAGCTCACAAACAGACTAAGGGCTTATTTGGAAGAACTTATGGGAAACTTATAATAACTCTCACAAGCTCTTGTCAACTTATTTCAATAAGATTTTTAAATAGCTTATCAAAATAAATACTCTTCAGCTTATTCCAGTAAGTTTCCTGATCAAACTGAAGAGTTTATCAAACACAAATCCTTATATCAAATAGTTGAAACTAGGGGTTAGGGTGGTGGGGGGTTCAGAATGCAAAAGAGAAATGCAACAGCGGCATAACATATGCATATATTCTCATACTGTCCCTTGTACCACACCAACAAATAGGAAAGATACATCCTCAAAGTTGATGTGAAAAAAAAAATGGATTTAAAATGCAATTTCACTAGACAATATAAGGGGGTGCATTTGGTCTGTTTTTGGCTTTGATTTTAGTTCATATTTTCAATGATAATGACGAAAATATTACCATATTTTCATTGTTTCTTTTTTCAAAGTTTTGTCGAGTAAACACCCCCTTAAGGACATGTTTAGCTTGTGTTTTGTTATTGATTTTTTTTTTTTTGTTTCACTATAACTAATTACAAGAATGCTTTCATATTTTCATTTGGTTTCATATTTTCAAAATTTTGTGAAGGAAATAATGAAAATATTTTATTCTTCAAGATTTAGAAAATATTAAACAACCTCTGATGCTCTTTAGAACGCCTGATGAATTCAGTTGGAATATCACATCCTTGGTAAGAGGATAGCACTGGTCTTATATCAGGTGGACTACTGCGGGCAACAACTGCACATAGATAATGGAGGTGATCAATTTTTACAAGCATAAAAAGTCTCAACAATAACTTCAAACATGAATTCATTTATAGAGGAATGAATTCATCCTTCAACATAAATTAAGGAATGAATGCTTACACTCAAGAAATGGTATGAAATCCAAAAGAGCTGTGTCATCTATATCATGCTGCTGCCATGGCTTAATAGGAACACAGTTCTCAGGTTGTTTGCAACTTTCCAAAGCATGGCCACTCAAATAGAGGACTTTTGCTGGATTTCTATTTAGTTTAGAAAGGTCCTGCCAAGCAATGGTGAAAAAAGGGAAGAATGTCCCATTATAACTTTATAAGAATATCCAAAACACCACTGCATTTGTGGCATACCATAATAAAATGACAGGAATTGAGCAAAGGACATGATGCAATATGTCTGTTATTAATATTGTTCAGGTGTAAGAAAAATTACTTTTCACCATTATAATATAGATAACCATTCCAAGGCATTTGTTCTTTTATTATTTCACAGGTGGTTCTACTCTTTCCACAAAAACTCACATATAATTTGAGAGGGAACAATACAAGAATATAAGCTCACACATACTCTGAAGTGTTTCCCATCTTGATACTTTGTAGCTGTCCTCGATAGCCTGTATCTAATGCAATGTTTGGTATCCAGCCTATCTAAAACAGGGTCTACAAACTACACAAATCAACAAAAGCAAGAACATAAGAATACTCATAATAACAAGCATCCATTCAGAATATAGAGAAGAAAATTCATATTACCATCTGTTGTTCATCTGTATACACCACTATTTCATAGAACTGAGCTAAATGTTCCAAGAAGGCATCAACTCCAGGTCTTTTAAAAGTCTGCCAGCCTGTATCTCTCTTTACATACCATATAAAAATAATATTTAAAATTATAGTCATACATCTACAATATGTAAGGAGCACTAGCAAGTAGCAAAGCAATAAGAGGCCCAACACATTTGTTGTGTGACAAAAAGTGTATAAAGGAAGGAAGAATGCCAACAAAACACCCTTCAATATTGGTTGAAATTCATATGGGTTCCTCTCCCTAATTAGAGAGTCTTACTATTTGTTAAGTGTGTCCCACAAAAAATTTCAACCAACAATAATGAGTATCTTCAAAAGAGTGCGGTTAACAAAAGAAAAGTGTAATTGCAGTTGAAGTCTTACCGTCCAAATATAGTGGATCAATGTCTCGTTAAGATCTAAAACCAGTGTAAACACATGTTGCTCCTGAGGAAGCAAATCAGGAAGGAGCTTGTCTGTGTATGGTTCAGTATAACTCTAAAAGAAAGCAGGAAGAGATCATCATTAAAAATTTAAAACAAACACCAAAAAAAAAATTAGTAAAAAAAGACATGTCAAAATCAAAATCAGCGAATAAAAAAGCATGTGCATACCCTAACTTGTTCTTCAATTAGCCTTCTTGCATCCAAATAAAGTTCTACTGCTTTAGCAGGCACTGAGAAATCACATGCAAAAGAATCAGCATTTTGTTACTAATAAAGGCACACAGATGTATACCCCAAAAAGATGCATACAATGTTAATTTATCTGCACCATGTCACAACAACACAAGAAGTGTTTTCCACTGGCCACTTGCTTTCCCTAGCACCCCCCCAACCCTCCTAAGAAGGTGGCAAGAACCATGCTCATATCCCACATTCTCATCCATTTGCATTTTTTTCTGCAGCAAAAGTGTGTGGATAATATAATGACTATAATTGAACAGATCCTATGGTATATCAGAAAATGAACATTAATGATTATAGTAATTGTTAATGTTGCCCCTAACACTCGTGCAAACAGTATTCCAGTTGATGAATAAAATTAAAAAGTTCACCCTTATCCATAAGCAAATGCGCTTCACAAACCACAAGAGAAATACAGAACCATCCAAATGACTAAGTTAGCTCATCCATTCCCATTCATGTAACAGCAACAGCCCAAGAGATTAACAGACACATCAATAAACGAGAGCACAAGTTATTTATGTAAAGTGTAAAGAACATAACAAAACTACTATAGGAAACTTCACGTACAGAATAAACCTCAGGGGAACTCACCCGTCATTGCAGTTGAGTATAGCAAGCCTTGAAATTTCTGCACAAAATATGGACTAGAACATGTCACCCTACTAATGTTATGGCCAATTAATATTAATATATTAAAATGAAGGAAAAGTGATAATTTATTATATCAAAACCAGGCAGAGTCCAAAACTAAGTAACAATAAGGTGTCCAACAAGGGCAGTGGCTCCATAGAAAACTGAATGTTAAAAAAGCTAGAGAAGTAATCAGAACTCACGTCAAGGGCAGTGGCTCCATCACCAACAGTGTACTTGGCGGAATCACGCAAAGACCTAGTCTTCTCATCTATTTCGTCCAAAGTGTAAGCTGCACATTGCATTCCAACAAAAACAAGAAAAATCTCTTCAACTAAACATCATTTCCAGATCAATACGATTCAAGAACAACCCTAACATATCAAATCAGAATACGGAACAAAGCACAGACGAACATAAGCTAATAAAGATACTTAACACTATTGATGAACCGTAATGATCCCTAAACGGCTACTCTGAAAATCGCAATGAAGGAGAAAACAGTAACAAGAGAGAAAACGAACCGTAAGAGGCGTAACCGGTAAAGACGGTGGCTCCGGTGAATGCACCGACGACGGCGTATTTGAGAAAGTTCCAGCGGCTTGGAGAGGCGGTGGAAGGAGGAGGAGGAGGAGAAGAAGCAGCAGCAGAACCCGCATTGGTGCAGAGGAATCGCTTGGATGCGAAGGAAATTGCTCGCGATCGAACAATTCCCAACGACATAGTCGTGTGCAATGAGTGTGAAATGAAGTGGTTCAAGTAGGGTTTTGCTCGCTTTTGCAATTTACAAAGCCATAGATCAACTATGCCCTGTTTGGGTGCTTCTTTTATTCCATTTTTCTTTTAATCTTTTTTTCCAGGCTGTGTTTGGCCTTCAGACCCGCTTCTTTGTTTGGATGACCCACCTTGTGCCCAAAAATATATAACATCTTAGATTCAGTTTATTTTAAAATTAAATTCTTTTTTTAAAAAAATGAATGAAAATAATAATATATTTATAATTAAACTAATACGAATCATATCATCACTTACAACACAAATAGTAATATATTGTTCAAAAGGTTGGCCCATTTTGTGATATTTCAAATTTTATAGTAAAAATTAAACAATATAAATTTAACTATATAAATTTAATGTCTCACTTTCTAGCATGATAAATATAACAATAATCAGTTCAATTAATAGGTAGTGAAATGTATGATCATATTTATAGTTCAATTTATTCAAATCTCTCACTAATCACTATAAATATATTGAATATAAAATAACATAATTAAATATATTAAAATCTCTAGTAAATCCATCTAGATACTTATTAAGCGATTTATTGTTACAAGGATTATTAAAATATTAAATTACCCAAATTTTTTAAATAAAATATATTTTCCTTCTTAAAGAAATGTCTAAGTTATACAGTTACCTATCAGTATATGTTACATTTAAGCTTGTCTTAATAATAACAAGTTTGTTAGAGGTGCACCAGTTACTAACTATAAAGAAACGTCTTAAGGCTGTTTTTTTTTTTTTCCTTTTTTTTAAAAAACTAATTTTGAATATCATAATTATAATTTTACACTTTAATAGATAAAAATAACATTTTTAACATTCGTAGTATATAATTTTTATTTCATCCTTTAAAATTTTAAAAGTGATGAAAGGTATTTAAAACTAGTTACGAATAATCCCAAGTCACAAAAAGAAAAAAAATGATTTTTAATAGTTTTATTTACTTTTAAAATAGACTACATTATAACACACATTAATTTTTCAAAGATAAAAGTACATTTATAACTATAATGAAAATAATAGTATCGTGGAACTATGAAAGTTAATTAGCACAAGTTAATTTAATTTTATCGGTACTTTTTATTTAAAATTTTAAATACTTTAAAAATTAGTATTTACGATTATCTTATTTAATTTGGAAAAAAGTTATAATTTTTGTGAAATAATTATCTTCGTTTTTTTACCTAATGTACCTTTAAACTTTGTTTAAAAATTCTTTTTAAAAAAATAAAAGGACTAATGTTATAATTATTCTTATTTAGAAGTTTTAAGATGGGAAGAAGATGATTTATAAAGCTTTTAAAACTTCTCTAATTCTATGATTTTAAGTTCTACAAATTAGAAAATCTTGTATTAATTTTTCTTCCTTTCTTTCTCTTCTATTATCTTTAAAACTTTTTTTTTCTCTTTTTTTTTAAAAACTCTTTAATTTTTTTTTCTTTCAACGTTTTAATGTATCTTAACCCTTTTCAAGATATAAAGAATAGTAAATAAGTTATGCCGAAAGCATGAGCAATCCTTGTCACAGTGAATAAGTTAACTTTCTATTAGATAATCCCAAAATTGAGTTTTAGGATCAACTTCACATAAAGTTTAGATAGGGAATCAATTGGCCCAAGCTTTACCATCCTCTTTTTAGAACTAAAAAAATGCAGTGCTTGTCTATTATTCCTTTCCTTTCTATAGTTTATGCAATTTGTTGTTCTTGTTGGGTGTGGTGGAGGCAAAAAGTGTAAATGATATTTTGGTGCATATCTTTAAACGCTGCTTCCATGACAATAATGAGTTGTTCCAAACAAGCTACTACTTAATTTTAATACACTCATGATGAGAAGATTAGGAGAAACGAAAAAAAAAAGAAATTCATATTTTTGTTATACAGTGATTATTATATGAAGTCTTTGATTGATAATAAAACCAACCACTATTAGCAATGTCATTTGGATTAATGCAATAATCAAACACAGCATAGTTTTTGCAACTCAAAAGCACTCACTCAACAACACGTGAGCATTGAAACTTTAATTTTTAAGACAAAACTTAAGCGTTGTATTATAAGTATTTTTTATGTTATTCTTTAAATTTTACATATATAATAGCACCAAAAACATATATAACATTACACATTTATTTTATCTCAATTTTTAATTTTATTATGAGATTAAGGTAAAATCTAATTAGTATCCCTACTAAAAAACTAAAAATGATTTTCAATAAAAACTTTTAGTCCTAGAATCATTGTGGGATAACTTTGAATGAATGCCACTTCACAAGTGAACCTCAAAATCTGAAATGGATGAATGAAGAAGAAAAAAATAGTCAATTTCTGCAACAAACAGTAGTTTGACAAGTGGCTACTTACCCTTCAAGTAGCTATCTTCATTTATGACAAAATCCCTGAAGAGCAGGTGAACCTTAGGACAGTGTAAAGTGCCATCTGCCTCACAATAATTTTGGCATCCATGGGCATTTCTGGAACCAAAATAATAATAGGATCACCCCACCATTCTATATAAGGAGACCTCTTGCATAATTCATACACCAACCACACCATTTCAGAACAACCTGTGTTACCAACCCTCCCTAGTGCTATTTCCTTTCTCCAATAGAGAGGACACTATGGATCAACATAAAATCCAAAATATAGCAACCTTGACTCACAACATAAAATCTCATTACTATCTAATTATGCTTACCCAATTGTTTGTTTCAGTTTCTGTGTGTTCCTTCATCTTTTCACCTTCTTCTTTGCTTGTTTTCTTCCATTACTTCAAATTCTATTTCTCCACATTCCCTTTTCAACTCTACACCCACAACATAGACAAAAACTGCATGTTTCTCCTTTGCAATGGTCTCCTCGTTTTTGTTGGTATAACTAGATCTCTCTCTGGGTCTAGTGGTGATGATAAACCTTCTAAGTATATTGAAGTTGGTTCACAAGCTCAGTTTCCAGATGTTGAGGCCAAAGAGCTAATGTTGGAGATAGAATCTGAAGAGAGAACTAGTGAACCTGATGAGCATAGCTTTGCAATAGAGCAAGTGATAGAAATAAAAACCTGTGCTGAAGAAGTAGTACAAGAAAACATTGAGAAGATAATTTTGGTAGATGAAGAACAAGGAAAAGAAAGTAGTCAGTTAGTTTTGGAAGAAGAGGAGGAGGAGCTAGATGAAGAAACTGAAGTGTTAGATGTAGCTGATGAAGAGGAAGATCAAGGGTCAGAAACTGATTACTTTCTGATTGAAGAGAACATAGAAGAAGAAGAAGAAGATGTAGAAGAAGAAAGTTGTGTGTTGAGCACAGAGGAGTTGAACAAAAAAATAGAAGAATTCATTAGAAAGATGAAGGAAGGTCTAAGAACTGAAGCTCAAAGGCAATTAGTCATTGTTTGACTTAGTGATAGCCCTGATCATGTTTCTTTTTTTTTTTTTTTTCATTTGGTCTTTTTTCTTGGGAGACCTATTTATTTGTTAGGTCTATCCTTTCATCTTTTCTTATTCCACTTCTCTTGTATCTTATGTATCAACTGAAATTTTGTAAACCATTTCTCTGCTTTTCTCCAATGATTGCAAACATCAAAGAGCAAGCTCGGCTCATGAATTTTGTAAACCATAATCCAAGCACATGATCACATTGTTAATGGTGTAAATCCACACATATGGCACAGTTTGAGGACACAATAAAAAGTATCCCCTTCCACTATAATCTATGCAATGCACTCTTAGGATTTCGTAACATGATGTTGTGCATCGGAATAGAAATAAATTTGGATTCTACTATAGTCTTAAATAATAGGATATGAATTATTAGGGAGGATGAGAAACAATTTATATTATGCAGAACTCACGAGATTGATCATAGAGTCCATTATCTATATTAAAAAATATAGTATGATCTCAGCAACAGAATATGGCCGTACTTTAACGTGCACGAGAGAAATTCAGACTAGATGTCTTAGTCTTTATTCTTTTATTAAATAAAACTTGGTAATCTGAATGTAAACAAACCAATGATTAAGAACCGAGATTCATAATTAAGAAGTGGGTCAGTACTATGTTTATATACATGTTCAATTAGTTGATGAAATTTGGGACCACAAATACAAACCATTTGTTTGGTTATGGGTACTTATATCATTGTCTGGCCAATAAGTGGAATCTTGAAGAAAACATGTTGAACTATGGTTGAAATTAAACATCTGTATGATTCTACCGTTTTCCAAATAATTGAAAAGGATTTGCGATCGTATTAGCCAGAGCAAATGGTAGGATCCAAATTTGATTGATACAGTTCATGAGCCTATCAGTGATTAGTTACTGATGGCTAAGAAAGATAACACACATTATTCCCATCAACTTGCAAAGTACAAGCATAGTACGATCTCGGACAAAATAACATTCTTTGGAGAGAAGCAATTATTCCTAAACATGTAAACACTTGGAAGATCTGATTTTTGGCATAGTATGTGAGTTGATTCTGATCATAAGTTAATGAGAAATAAAGTGCAAGTTTATTGAATAAATAAATATCTTTGTCTTTAAGTTGAGAGTCAATCATAACAACCAAATAAACTAGCTTTTTTATTTTCTCAATATTTTGAGATAATGACACTGATCTTCTCTGAGAGATTAATGATAGTTCATACCTAAACCCTAGTTAATTTGAAAATTTACTCAACTCCCTAGTCATTCTTACTTTATTATTTTTAAAGATACTATATATGTTGACATCCATTATCTTTAATGAATTATACATACATATCTTATTTTATGTGAAGACTGATTCCCGTGAAAAAATAACTCAAATTACAATTGAAGTAATAAGATTTAAAAAGGAACCGACATCTAATCGACTAAATAGATAAATAAAAAGATGAATAATAAGAATTCTCACTGCCCTTTTGTTATTCTTTTTTATTTCACTTCCATCAAACAGAATTTAGCTACTTCCTCCTCGGAATTCACTTTTGATGCATTAGAAAGATTGAAGTACGCACGGACAAGTCT